CCTCCCCCCACCACTACCAATCCCCACTACTCCCCAGTCCACTCCCCAAGCCCCCAAAATTATTCATCAACGGCGTCAGCAGCGGCGATTGAGCCACCAGCGTCTGCACTTTCGACGCACTGTCGCGGTGGATACCGAACATCTCAACCAGGCCCGGCTGGTCTTGCTTCCGCACGCCTTTCAGCTCGAGGATCTTGCGGAAATTCGTGTCCGAGCGGTCCGCGATGTGGATTAGGTAGGCTTGGACTAGGCCTTCGGGGGGCGAGGGACGGACTTGTAGGGTTTTGAGGAGGGGGTCCAGGCGCGTCATGGCGCTGGTTACACGTTTGGTGAAGGCGGTTAGGGTGGTGGTGCTGGAGGGGTGGGGGGAGAGGGTGAGGAGCGTGGAGAGGTGTTTTGTTAAGACGTATTTGTCGAGGAGCATCTTTATTCATAACCTGGTTAGCTGGTGCAATAAATACGAAGAAGGTAGAGAAGGGGAGGGGAAAGGAGGAGATTTACCTGTTCAGCGCCTACTTCGGATACAGGCCGGCATTGCACGATGTTGGCGATGTAGTTGTTGGCCAGATATTCAACCGCATTATCGCAGAAAGCTCGCGCGTATTGCTGTTTACTTATCATAGGCAGTATTTCTGTGGCTTGCTCGTTGACGTGCCGCAGTAGCTCGGCAACGTAGGAGCTTTGGTCTCCCACGCTTTCCATTTTCGCCCAGTTTGTATTACGCATTTCGCGCCATGAGGCGTCACAGTCGAGCTCGACTCTGTGAACTAGTGCTAGGACTGCTGCACTTGCGACGCCCATGAATGCATCTGATTGGGAGGATAGGTCTACCTTTGAGGCGAATTCGTTGTCGATCCGTTTTTTGAGGTTATCTTCCAGTTGTTGCGTGTTGGTGTGCCAGTAATCGGCTGTATTCAGCACCAGTATGACATTCTCTAGACTTGGCCCGCCTGGAGTTTGTAGAAAGTATAGCAGGACTTGTTGGGCGTATACGTCTAGGTATTTGGCCAACGTCTTTGAGAGGTCCAGTAGGCGTTCTCCTGTAGATAATTTGGCACATTGTGCCAAAGTCGTCTTGTAAAAGTGAAAAAGTTCGATCGAGGATGGAATCACTGCTTGAGGTGAGAACTCCTCGTCTAGTGGTAGAAGAGGTTGATTCCGATATTTGGGTATCATAGTTGCAAGCTGTTTGTCTTGCGATTCCACCCATAAACTCAGATATGGCTCGAATGCCTCGGAAATTGACCTCTCAAAGGTCTGTGGCTTGTCGTCAATTGAGCTGAGGGTGTCAATGCTTGCTCTTTGGTCATTGGCGAATCTCTTTTCCAAACTGTGTTCAAAGTCCATAGTCTCCTGTAAACAGCTCAACAGCAAGTTGACATCAATCTTCCCTCCATCCGGCCTCCTCATACTCCTTTCCAAGATACCCTTGAAATCATCTCTCGTGCCTTCACAGAATGCATTTGCTAGCACTTCATTGACTCTCCACTGGATGGGAAATATCCCAGCATGCTCATCGTCATACGTCTTCAGCATTCGTCGAAACCAGCTGTACCGCCGGCCAATATTATCCAGACTCCCAGCTTCATCGTTCCCTCTGAAGACCTGTCGGTATTCCCTCAGCTGTGTGTTGACATACCAGGTCACCAATCTCGACCTAGCATTATCCCCCAGCGCATCCATCACCAAACATGCCTCTCCCAGCACCCCCTTCTTGCTAGCCACCTCTCCTTTAGCAAAAGCCATCTCGAAGTCTTCACAGACCTGCTCTAGAAGCTCCCTCTGAAGCTCCGCTACATTCCGGCTCAACGTAGCAATCTGGTCTATACTCCGATAGCTATTGAAATGCCTCATGAGCTGCAAAACAGCCTGTAACAAGCTCGCACATTCCCTATACTGCCTCGTCTTGGCTAGACCCCTCAACTGTTCGTAAGCCGTCGTAAGCATCTGCAGGCGCTTCAAAGCTGTCATAGACAGTGTGAGGTTCCGTTTCGTGCCATCTAATCGCTTTATATCCGCCGTCATAGACGTAATTGTCTGCTCCGTCTCTATCGCTCTCGTACGCACGGATTCGATCTTGCGGAAGAGCTGGGCGAGCTCAGCTTTTGCGGATTGCATGCGCTGGAGGCTGGAGTCTTCGTTGTAGGCTTGGGCGGCCACCAGCTCGGAGATGGTGGTTGAGAGGTCATCTTGGTGGGTTTGGAGCGCGTCCGCGGTATTGCTTATGGATTTTAGGGTTGATGGATGTGAGAATATCGTGTTTAGGTGTTCAATTGGGTCGTAATCCACTGTGAAGAGTTGTGAGCTTGTGTATACAAAAGGATGTTAGGCTAGGATAGTGGACCTCACCAGCATCTAGAGAGGACACTGTCGTTGCGCCGTTCATTCTAATTCCTCTGCTTCAAATACGCAGGATCCTTGATATGTGAAAATTTAATTAGATGTCCCGATGGTGATTTCAATTTAGGGAAGTTGTATTGTTGTCGTCGTGTTGTCCTGTTGTTATATTCATAACTTGCACATCTCTCGCATAATATTGTGAAGCTCACTACTCGAGTAGATATCGCTTCCTTTTCAGGGGCAATTCCAAACGGAGTAAAAGTCAATACCTTTTGTAGGAATGAGCAAGTATTCTGGTTGCATCAAAAATCTGATTATAGGTACAGCTTCCATTTTCTAACACAACCAAAATGTTTCTTCCATCTTGGCGAAAACAAGCCGTCCTATCTCGCCTTTTCCCCGTCCTCAACCCTACACCTTTCAACAACCAAACGCAGCGAGGTTTCCTTCCTTGACGTTTTCTCTATCCACAAGCGTGAGAATTTAGATTCTACGGGCGTTAGCATCCATACACCAATATGTAGAAGAGCTCGTGTCGAGCGAGGTGCACATTCATTAGGTATTGTCATTTGAGGAGAGCGTCTCAACTGCTGCCTCAATTGCAAGTGCTGCCAACTTCCTCCAGAATGCGCATCTTTGACCGAGAAATGGCAAGAATCAGGGGACAAGAAGCAGGGTAAATGTTTACAATTCCAGTGTTTTCCTCATCGTCCATTTCATCGTGCCAAGAAGTTTCTTTTTCATAATCAGTAGCAAGCGCATCTGCTTGGTTTTGCACTTTACTAGGTTACTTGCAACTAATCAAACATTTGCTATTCCCCTTCATTTTATAATTTTAAAGAATTCTTATGCCTCTGTCACTTGTACGTACATACATGCAACACTAAGTCAAGAACAATCTAACCCTCTCCTCAACTCATATTTCAGAACCAGTCCTCATTCCCATGCTGACTGATCATCTTCCCACTACTCTCCATCGTCACCCTACCAATCGTCTCCAACTGATCCTTGACACTGACCTCCTTCGCAATACGTCCCTTGATCTCAGGATCCACTTTCTGGAACAAACCGAGCAGATACTGCTGACCTGCCTTCGATTCTGGCGTTGCTGTATAACATATTTCCCACATCAGCATCCTCTCTCCTCAAAGTCCTCTTTCTCACAGCCCCATTTTAGAGCACACTAATAGGGGCGAGGAGGACTAAGGTAGCACTTACGTTCACCCTCATCAGTATCAACCCACCCCGGACTCAAACTCAAGATGAGCACCCCCTGTCCCGCCAACTCAACCGCAAACTTGGCCACCACAAGATTCAGCATCGCCTTAGTAGCACTATAGCTGACAGCCCCCGCAACACCCCCCTTGAGCACCAACGCCGCGTCCCCCATCGCGCTACTGGTATGGATAATTTTCTTCTCGGTCCCTTTGAGGATGAGCGGCAGGAAGGTGTTGGTTACGTGGATAGCGCCAAGGACGTTCGTGTCTATGCCCTTGTGGAACGCGCTGTTGACCTTCTCAATATTCTCGGGAGAAGATAGAGAAGTGGGCAGGAATCCAGGAGTCTCAGTATCGAGGTATGCACCGTTGTTGATCAAGATATCAAGGCTGCCGCCGGTTATGGACGAGACTTTGTTAGCGGCTTCTTGCAGTTGGGTGATAGAATTGAGGTCGCCGGGTAGGATGTGTACGTTTGGGTTTGAAGCTGCGAGGGCTGTGAGTTTAGGGGATGAGGTGGTGTTGCGGACGAGTGCGAAGACGATGTTGGAGGGAGTGGCGGAGAGCTGGCGTATGTGTTCGAACTGGTTATATCAGCTATGAATTATAGTAAGAGGGAGGAGATATATAGCTTACGCCGAGACCGCGCGAGGCGCCTGTTACTGCGTAGGAAACCATTTTGATGGATTTTCTTTGAAAGCCAAAAAGATAATAAGATGGAAGAATGTATAAGGGAAGCTAAGATGCCAATGTACTATCTACTCTACTTTCCACGTCTTCCCACTCCGTTTATGTACAATTCTTCTCCGCTGCACCGGGTAGTCTCAATCCCCATTCCGATCGTATTACTCAGAAATCAACTATACAGGATTACAAATATGTCTTTCAATAACAAAGCATCTGACGAAGGGCAATGGAGTCTGAAATTCAAGTTCTAGATGACCCGGCACTAAGCCCAACCAGACATCGGTGCCGGACGGCGCAGGACGGGATGGTTCTGATTGGCTTGTTGGTACACAAGGTCACGATTCGGGGCGATATTTCGGGGCCGAAATTTGTTGAAGGGGGCCCTTGTTGAAATATGTCTCCGAGGGGAAGTGATTTGGGCCGAGACGAATGGATAGCAATACGATAAACGTGACTATTAGCACCCAGAGTTCTAGAGAGCACGGAAGCATGTCCTAGCTAGCTTTACTCCATAGAGACGACTTCGGTATCGAGTCTGCAGATTTCGCACACTTGCGATTCTTAACATGTTAAAGAGAAACAGACGGAATCATGCGTTCTTCAAAATTAAAATAAGTATATATACTTGCGCGTATCTATACAAAATGGGGTATTTCTCCATGTACTTTTTCTATTTAAACAATGCCTCCCTTGTACACAACTAATAATGTCAAAACTTCCCTACTTCACCCACGCGGATCCTTCCCCCTTTTCTTCGAGAAGCTCATCCACCGCTTCATCCCGGCCTGCACCTGCTCAGCCGCCTCCCCTGGATTTTCCTCTTCATACCATAGCGCTGGAACAAGGAGACGATACGGCATGGTGATACCGGCAGGGTCTTTCTGGCTGACTTCCATGTTGAGACATATGTCTAAACCGCCCTCGAGGTTTACTGGCCGATTTCTAGGGCGCTTGATTTGCCTTGCGGATAGTCCCGTGGGAGTGCGATGGAACTGCATTCTTGGTGGCGGGCCGATGTGTGGTGTATTGCCTGCAATTGATGTAGAAGCTTGCTCCACGGGATGCGCTGGCACGCGACCCGTAGGCGAGTCCATATCTGGGAAGTAGTTGTCGTCACGACCACCGCTGCCACCTCTCATGCGAGGTCTTTCGGTGGACTGTTGGTATTGTGAATCATCGTCCTCGGTATCGTCTTCATAGCCATTGATACCGCCACTGTCTTGCCTTCGTTTGCTACTCTTCCGGAAGAGATTACCAGGAGTGAAATCCTTTCGTGTTAAGGACAACGTCCTCGTCAAGACTCCAGGGCGTTGGGAATCCATAGAAGCTCGATGGGAGGTGGATGGACGTCTGTTGAAAAACCCAGCACTTGAAAGAGGTGGTGCGTTCGAAAGTGGTGGTGTAGACGCATCTGGACGATAGCCTGGGCCACGAGAACCGGACAAGCGGCGCAGAAGGCTCATTTTCCGCGGCGGCGGGCCAGGACTCCTACTAGTTTCAGGTGTAGGAGGCGGAGACAACTCTGGATTATACAGCTTGATCGAACACCAATTCCTTCGATTCAACAGACGCTTGTTATTTCTTGGCTTCCCGTTCGTATCGTGGGTAAATATTGGGATCATATCTTCATCAGTATCTGCATCTAGATGATGAACCTTGTTTCGTCTATTAAGTATATCGGTAATTCTATCTGGAGGGGGCGTATTGACAATGGCCGAGGATATAACATTAGGCATGTAGCGATGATCGTGATCCTTGGGAATGTCATGTTTGGGGTTAGAATAGAATTGACCAATTGCACCGAGATGAACGTCACCACTATAACTGTTAGTCTTATCCTGTGAAATCGTTCAAGTAACATACCCGAGAATGGTGACCCGAACAGATTTCTCGGCGGCCAAGTCTTGCAATTCTTGGATAAACCAATTTCGTTCTTCTTTGTGGTGTCTTGCAGTCCAGTGATCATCGAGGTCATCTAAGATCTCAACACCGCCGTCCAGATGGTTAAGAAGCTTCTTGCCCAGAAGTCCAGTTCTCCCAAGGGCTTTGATTGGCTCAATAGCTCTTGAAGTAAGGCTAAAAAGGTTAACAAAGCGTTTACTGAAACTGGAAATATCTTACATATTTTCAAGCCAGACCATTCTCGGATAAGCAACAGGTACACCAACCAGCACAATAAGATGTTTGGTTTTGCCATAAATGATATCTTTTTCAAGCCGATCGAACACCTTATGATAGGTTTCTGCGCTGACAATTTCATCGTTCATTCTTTCTGTGCGACAGTCTAAGCCGAGGAAATCAATACCCCCACCAAGACTCGTGAATATGCTTCGGCTTAGTTCGCCGATATAGTGACCCGGTTCAACGCCTAAAATCCAACTCGGTTCAGATTCCTCACCTTCATCAATACTACTTTGGTGTTGAAACAGCATATAGTATTTGAAGGCTATCGCTCCGAGACCAGACATGATTGGTGAACGCATGAGACCATCTGGATAAGAGCCATATCCATCAATAATGTCGTGATCGTCGAAAATGTTGACCATCGGAATTTGGGATGCCGCCAGGCCGAATAATCCCTGAGAGAACCACATGCAATACCGGTTGAGGTAGAATGATTCAAGTTCATTCTGAAGCTCCGAAGAAAATGGCATACTCTCCTTGCGATGGCCGTTCTTCATTTCATCCCAGTCTCTCAAGATACTAGTTTCCTCCATAACAGCATCGTTGTATATTTGATCTCCGCCTCCAAGCATGACATGGATTGGTTGAGTCTGATGGGTGTTTAACACATCTCGCCACATTGGATCTGGCCCACAAAAATCGTTGGGGTTGACATCTGAGCTGAACCCATTGCAGCTTTGAAACATAATATTCATCGGTTGGCCGTGAGGAGGAACCCAGAATCCAGATGCAGGGCCACGATTAATGCGGTAGGCGATTCTTTGTTGGTTTTCTCGTAGCTCAATCTCGATGTTGAACCTCCAGAAAGTCACACCATGCTCAGTGTGGAGCCGGAAGCCTCTGACTTCCTTGTATTTGCCAGCTTTTTCTCCGTCATAGTGAGGCTTGGGGGATCTTCGTTCACTTGCTCCATCGAGAGGACTTCTATGCATCTCAAACAGGCCTTCATCCGACTCTTCTCTCGAAAGGTCTTTCTCTTCTTCTAAATGCTCAACTGGTCGAATGTAAAGAGTTCTACCATCCCGTCCGATCTTTGGAAGGCCTGCGATAGGATCAACATATTCCGAAGCCAATTCCTCGCCACCCACTTGCGCAGGCGGAGGGGGAAGCAAATCTGTTGGTTGGAGAAATAGTCGTAGAGTCGGTGCGAGTTCGTAAGAAGAATGATCGTCTTGAGTGACTATCATGATACTACCTCTCCATACTTCACGCTCTTCTTTACCAGTAGTGCGTTGCAATCTACCCGCCAATTTCTCTCGGCGCAGCCCACAATATCTTAACAACGGCCCGCTTTTGAGAAACAGTGGTGGTTTAAATCTAGTTGGAACTATATCAGGACGAACGCGGATAGCCCGCGTCGGACAAGTTAGCAAATGAGGTTTGGATTTAGAAGATTTAGCAGGCTTATTAGCTCTACTTATATTGGAAATTATAGAAAAGCTCAAAGGAAACAAAGTTGTAACAATCCACGATCTAACACTGAAGGGTTGCAGTGGCCTGCTCACGTCGGGTGTGGTGGTATCTTGCGTAGTCCTGGAAATACGACCCCCACCTTCTAGCGTCGAATGAGAAATTTGAAGATCCTTACCATTGCTGTCATCATACTCGCCGTCGTAAGCTTCGGCTTTGCGTTGCCTTGTTGTTGAGCTCCGGCGACGCTTGCCAGTATGCCCGGCTTCCCACCACGCCTTGTCCTTTTCTATCTCGACCTGTTCTTCGGCTTCAAGATCCAGCAGAGACCCTGATAGCAAAGCGACACCGCCCGTTTTCCATTCATCAAGGCGTCCAGAGGGAACGTAGACTCCTTGCCCAGGATCACTATCATGCCTTCGATGGAATAAGTCCGGCAAGTAATGAACTTCACGATGGGTTGAGCCTTGGGGTGCAGGAACCTCGGTGTCAACGCCGTATTTGGCCCCATTTATTTTAACCTCAGGCCTGGCTGGTTGGATGGATCTCGACACTTGAGCCGGGAGCGTCTGGCCCGTCAATCGCTCTGCCTTGTTTAAGGTTTCTCGTCGCACAGGCTTTATAGCTGTTTCCTCTGCAGAATCCGAATCCAGATAGTCAGAAGGTCTGTTTGCTTCTGTTGGCAGGATTGGAAGCTCTTTGTCCATGGCCGGCTGAGGATGGCTACGAAATGCCGTATCTCTTGAAGGACCTGCATCGTTTGGTTCCGAAATGTTGGTAGACGGTCTTGGATGAGTAAGTCCTTCAGCCTCCATCCTTAGACGCATCCACGGGTCTCCTGGCGGCTCCTTTTGGAGTTTATTACTGCCACTTCGGCCAAGTTTAGAAGTAACTGCAGCCCCAGCTGCACCAGCTGCTACTGGGATGTAAGATCGATCACGAACACTTGATCCTCGCCGAGGAGTGGTCGCTTTGTCTTGTTTTGGTCCGAGATCAATAGAATCTTGCTTCCGTTGATAGTCAAAATCTCGAGCCGATGTTTTGGGGGCATTAGACGGAACGGGTCGCTCTTTTTCAATCGTTCCACTACGCTGCAATTGATCCTTTTGTTTGACACTCAAATTCCGTACCAGCCCAGCTTCTGGTAACGTTTGCGGCTCAGGCTTTACACCAGGTTCCCCTTTCGCCACAGGTCGATTTCTGAAGCGTACAGAGTTTTGATTTCCAACTCTCTCTCCTCCTCGTCCAGCTTTAGCTTCTCTCGCCAGTAGTTCCGCCTCTTCAACACGAGCTCTTTTTTCCTCTTTCGTGATGCCGTCAAGCGTCAGCTCTAACCTCTGTAAAGGAGATTTGTCCGGTGCCCACTCTCTGTCTCGTGCACCTGCTTCTGAAGTTGATCCTTTTCTCCTTTGATTTGACGTCTGGGCGCGCGAAGCTCTGCGGGTACTAAATTCGTCGTCCCCAGATCGTACGGCAGCTTTGCCGTTGCTTGGCCTTCTTGAAGTAGTAGCGTCGACCGATGAATTATCCTCTCGGGGGTGTGAGCGATAGTATTCTTCTGGTACGTCTTGACTTGGACTGATCGGTCCTTCAGATCTTATTCTAGACGTTGTTCGGTTCGGAGTTTGGTGATTAGATGAGGAAGCCCCGTTGCTGAATGGTTGTTTATAGCTCACAGGAGGAGCAGAGCGTGGCACATCTGGTGCTGCTGGCGGAGGTGCAGATGAATCTTCTTCGTAATAATCGTCCTTATGCTTGCTCTCCCGCCGCCTTCTCTTGTCCAGATAATCGTCGTTGTAGGATGTCGCAGCTGCACTATAAGGGAAGGAGGGAGGCCGAGGTGCCAATCCGTCACCGCGGAAGCTAGATGCTGTGGGCGAGGCAAATGGGCTTTGGGTAGATATTGTGGCAGCTTCGGTTTGGATGGAGCTTCGATTAAGTCGAGACTGACCGGACAATCGCTCCGGTTTTACACCAGTATCAATATGGAGGTCGTGGCCTCCTGCCATATTCGAATCTCGTTCGCGCTTGAGAGAGTTTCCTCGAGTGACCTTTGGGGGAGGAAGCTGCCCCCAGTATGGAGCTGTAGACATGATAACAGATTGTAGAAATGGAAGCAACGAGACAGCACTGTGCTGTGTGGATCGAGGTTGCGATTCGAAAGGGGACGATTGAAGATGTTTTATCCCTAGGTCTAGCAATTGGAATTCACGATATGCGATTCACTCGTGAGCCTTCCAGCACTTGTCGGTCGTTAAGCACTCGTTCGACTTTATCGTTATTGATCATTAGTTTTCGCGGCCTCGAGCTGTACCTTTGCGCCAAAGAGAGTCAAGAACAAGACAGAAAAGAGAATTAGAATTCAAGTTTGTGGCTGCATAGTTAGCCCTCAATAGAGGTGAATAGTATATGCATCGGGCCGCTTCTGCAGAGAGAGCAGAGGTAGAGGCAGAGTGAGATGGTAAATATCAAGAGGTTGGGTACCTGCCCTACCCTACCAAGTATCACCAGCTCACACCTGCACGATAGCTTGGCAGCGGCAGCGGCTACACCCCTGGAGTTCCCTAGGTATTAACCTATCCTGTGCTGGGCTTAGCGGACGGCTGGTTTTAGGGGCGAGGGGCCCTTGTTCTGTGAAGTCCCAGGGGGCGGGGGGGGAAGAGAAGTTACGGTTGTCTTGATGTTGATGCAGAGCAGAGCAGACTCGGCAGAGTACCAGAACCAGCAGAACATACCACGCAGCCAAAATAAAGAGCCGAGTCATGTACCAAAACTTGCACTCGTGGCTTTGAGACACGTCCGCCTTTATTCTCCGCCCTAGCTCCACACTTCTCGGTGGCCGTTGAGTGGCTGCATTTGTCTCCCTTCTATTTCCAGTTGGGACTTGGCTTTGTCGAGAGATCTGAGGTGAAGCCTAAACCTAAACCACAAGTACCGAGTACCGTTCGTGAAACTAAAGGGCCACCTAAGCTCACGGCGAAGCAACATATTCACTGTGCAATCCCCGTATTATCCAACTCATTCAAAGCACGGAACAACTTGTATCTCAGTCTTGAGCCTTGTCGCAGTCTTCCAAAAAGATAACTCCAAATCCATCCGATAGCCTGCCTATTGTTCCACGCTTTGGGGGCACGGCATTGAAACGACATTTCGTCGATGCGCAGCTTCAAACTTTACCAGTCCTGTTAATCACATTAGAGACCATCAGGTCTCCGGGGACTGAACATCTGCGCCTTCCAGAATCCCTCTCGAAATGAGGTTACACTCCATCTTCAGCCTCCTGGGTCTAGGATGCATCGCAAGCGCCTCAAATCTTTGGCCACGAGACTACGAAGCGCAAGATTACTATGTCCTCCATCTCGATTCGAATACCCCTCCTGCGCAGATAGCATTGCAGCTTGGGCTAACACATGAGGGACTCCTAGGAGAGCTGGCAGATCACCATGTCTTTTCATGCCATAAGCAGGAGGAGGATGTCGTACACACAGCTTTGAAGGAACGGAAACGGAGGAAACGAAGCGTCGGTGGATCCGATGCTCTCGATGGTGTGAAATTCGCCCAGAAGCAAAAGCTAAAGGCTAGGATGGAGAAAAGGGGACCAATACCGCCCCCACCGGAAGGATACATGGCACCAGTCGAGCGTCAAGCACCGCCTCCAGTGGATGAGGAGGTTGCTAAACTAGATGCCATCGCACTGGCGTTAGATATCAACGACCCAATATTCAAAGAGCAATGGCACCTTTACAACCCGGTTCAAGTTGGACACGACGTCAACGTTACGAATGTGTGGATGCAGGGGATTACTGGCCACAATGCTACCGTGGCAATCGTCGACGATGGACTAGACATGTACAGCGACGATTTAAAAGACAACTATTTCGCGGAAGGGTCCTACGACTTCAACGACCATTCTCTGGAGCCTAAACCACGATTGTCTGACGACAGACATGGCACACGTTGTGCAGGAGAGGTTTCTGCTGTGAGGAACAATGTTTGCGGAGTCGGAGTTGCATATGACTCGAAGATTGCAGGAATTCGGATTCTCTCCAAGTTGATTACTGATGCAGATGAAGCCGTAGCAATGAACTACGCATACCAGCACAATCAAATCTACTCTTGTTCGTGGGGTCCACCAGACGATGGAAGATCCATGGATGCACCGGGTCTGCTCATCAAGAAAGCTATGCTTAACGCCGTCCAGAATGGTCGAGGAGGAAAGGGATCAATCTACGTATTTGCATCTGGAAACGGTGCTGCCGCTGAAGACAACTGCAATTTCGATGGGTACACAAACAGTATTTACAGTATTACCGTGGGAGCCATTGATCGAAAAGGACAACATCCTTATTATTCCGAGCACTGCTCTGCCCAGTTAGTAGTTACCTATAGTAGTGGGAGTGGGGATGCTATTGTAAGCAAACAAAGTTCGATTGCTGAATGTAGCTAACAGATGCAGCACACGACCGATGTTGGGACCAATCAGTGCTACTCTGGACATGGCGGAACTTCAGCTGCTGCCCCTCTTGCTGCCGGTATCTTTGCTTTGGTTTTGTCAATTCGCCCAGACCTTACATGGAGAGATATGCAATACATCGTGATGGAAACCGCACTGCCAATTGATCTTGATACTGGCGAGTGGCAAACCACCACAATTGGAAAGAAGTTCAGTCATACTTTTGGGTATGGCAAAATCGACACGTGGGCTACTATTGAGGCTGCCAAAGAGTTTAAGAATGTCAAGCCTCAAGCTTGGTATTACTCTCCCTGGATCCATGTCAACCAGAGTATTCCCCAAGGTGAAGATGGCTTGGCTGTCTCTTTCGAGGTTACAGAGGCTATGTTGAAGGATGCCAATCTTGAACGTCTAGAACATGTGACGGTTACTATGAATGTCGAGCATACAAGGAGGGGGGATATCAGCGTTGACCTAGTCAGTCCTGACAAGATCGTTAGCCATCTTTCAGTTACCAGACGTTTGGATACCCTGAATGAAGGTTACGTTGACTGGACATTCATGTCCGTTGTGCACTGGTCAGTATTCCCTCTTCTGAAATTGAAAACAATTAACAGAATTCAGGGGCGAATCCGGTATCGGTACCTGGACCATATTAGTGAAAGACACAATCGTGAACGAAAACAACGGCACCTTCATCGACTGGCACCTCAAACTCTGGGGCGAATCCATCGACGCCAGTAAAGCAACCCTACTGCCCATGCCCACCGAAGACCAAGATGACGACCATGACCAAATAATCAGCAGCACCACCAGTATATCCGGTAGCACCACCTCTGTCGACGCCTCCGTCCCGACATCTAGCATCCCCGCAAACCCAACAGATCACCCAGACCGCCCCACCAAACCCACTGGCACAACAGAAGAAGAAGAAACTACACCAACAGGAACTGGTGCACCATCAGCAACAAAATCCTCATGGCTCCCCTCCTTCTTTCCCACCCTTGGCGTCGGTCCCAAAACGCAAATTTGGATCTACGGCGCCGCAGCCCTGATCATAATTTTCTGCTGCGGACTCGGCGTATATCTGTACATGGCGCGCCGAAAACGACTCCTGAACAACCCGCGCGATGAATGGGAATTTGATCTGATAGAAGAAGATGAAGCGGATGTTCTTAATGGGGGAGGCCGGAGGGGGGTAAGAGGAGAGCGGGTGAGCTGTACGATGCGTTTGCGGCCGGGAGTGAGGATGAGAGTAGCGAGGGCGGGGATGAGAGGGAGAAGAAGCTGTATGAAGACGAGGATAGTGATGATGATGAAGGGAGCGGGGAGCGGGAGTGGACATCATGTCGTCGGGGATGATGAGGATGAGAGTGATGGGGATGAGAATGAAAAGAAGCAGGGGGACAGTTTATTGCATAAGTGAAGCTGAAATTATTAGATGCTGGGTATAGCATTGGTATGGCATGTCTGTTTTTTTATTTTTTGGAGGAATCATTGGATGTTTTCATGCATGCATGCAGGCGTTACGAAAGGAATGGTATTTTCTTGCATTTGCATCTATTGAACTGATTCAATGCCGTACCCGAGATTTTGGAACGTGACAACACATGTGCTTCCTCCGGGACCTCGGCATGACAACCTGTGTAATGGAAGTTGCAGAACTTAAATTATTATATTCGACGAAGAAGCACTTTTAAACCATTACGGTTTTCATTGGCAGGCACTAGTATAGTGCGCGATTAACGAGATACTTCTGCGTGGTGCAAATGCACCAAGGGTGTAGGTAGAGGTGTGTGTAATTGGGACGCCGCTGTGTGCGAGTTTGGATCCTTCACTTGAAGCAGCAGTTCTAAGTAGCTTTATATCTGAATAAATGTTGAATTTCCCACCGTTACTTACAGCTAGAATACATACATATGTCCTATCTGATGTTTCCTTCCATTTCCTTGCCTCCTTTCCCCAAAAACATGGAACGCCAGGCTCTGTGTATCGCAGGTAGAATAACCGACCGATCCAAGTACACGGTTGTTTCAAAAAGCAAAATCCAATCCAAAAACAAAGAGTGACTTTATTGAATACCGTCTACAAACCTCTTCTCAAACTCTCCGAAAAGCTTCGGACTGATCTCGTCGCTACTGTTTCCCTCGACTTCCCACAATACTCCTTTCTTCGCGTAATGCTCCAGCAGCGGCTCGCTCGTCTCCTCGAACTTCCGCAATCTCTTCTCCCATGTCGCCTCGTCGTCGTCCGACCTCTTGACTAATCTCTCTCCGGTTATATCGTCTTTCCCCTCTACCTTCGGCTTGTTGAAGGTAGTGTTATACACGCGTCCAGAGGGGGGATGGACCCAGCGGCCAGAAATGCGCTCGAGGATTATGGAGAAGGGCGTTTTGAGGGATACGACGAGGTTTATGGGGACCAAGGCGTCGAGGGATGTGGCTTGAGTTGCGGTGCGCGGGAAGCCGTCGAGGATGAATGACGCGGAGGGGTCGTCGGACGTAAGAGCGGGTGAAGTGAGGCTTGCAAGCTCGGAGGGCGACACAAAACTGTCGATGTCGAAGTCGGATTCTGATGCGGAGGCAGCGGAGGAAGCGAGGGTTAAGGGCTGCATGCCGCCTGGTAGGGTGAGCCAGCCGCGGGTGGTGAGCTCGTGCTGGATGAGACGGAGGATCATGGCGTCTGGGACGAGGGAGCCGGTTCTCATTGTGTGTTCGGCTTTGATTCCTGATAGTGGGGTTAGTATGGGTATGGGATAGGACAGATTTGGAGGGGAAATGTACCTAGAGGAGTCTGGTTCTTGACATTATCACGAAGCAAATCCCCGGAACTGATGGTAGACAGTTGAGGGTATCGCTGAAGTAGTCGGTCGGCCTGTGTCCCTTTCCCCACTCCTGGCGCGCCGACCAGTATCATACGAGCAGCTTTGCGAAGTTTGCTAGTGTTCATTTTGCAGATAAATTAAGAGTTCTGTCTTCTGAAGATGGAAAGCTATTGTCTGTTCCGCAGGCCCGGAACTCTACGTGTGCTCTGTTGTTGCTGATGCGACTCGGGGATATGCCTCCGCCTGGGAGGCTGTATGCGATTCCAGAAACCAATTGGCGCGGCTAAAGTATATCCATAGTGAATGGCTGTGGAAGGGAGACTTTCTATGAACAGGAGAGAGAATGGTCTGGATTATTCGTGCAGTCAAGAGGAGGAACCGTATTAGGATGGTGGGTGATGGGCCGACTAGAGAGAGAACCGCGTGCCAAACGCGGGGAAGTCTACTCCGTAATCAGCTCGGTGGCCGCCGGAACGTTGAGAACCAAGCTTGTGCCTGCACTGCAGTGTGTTGAGAACCCCTGATCTGTTGCAGTAGGTATGTATATGTATATATATATATTTACAGTATCACATTGAGATTTAGAGTAATTGAGAGATGTAAGGAACAGACATCTTTTACATGCAGGCAAGAGAAAGACGTAACGTAAAACAAAGAGAAAGTACCTAAACACCGTACTCAATGCCCTTTGGAAATGTTGAGTGGATGACGAATATGCCGGATCACGTGCCCTCGGCGATCGGATTTATCCCAGTTTCTTCCGAAGACCTCCCTTTGGACCACATGTTTTGAGCTACTGGGTTCATATTTGCATCTCTAATCACCCCTCTACGTTGCTTGTACACAAATTTCATTCCATATCATTCCATCAATACCATGGCCTCTGTCTGAACCCGTCTACTATCCCTACACCAACAACATATACGATCGTTCTGACCACCACTCTTTACTCTGCCTCACGTCTTGTTGACAAGACTTGGCTTTCAATCATGAGCGCTTCCACCAGACTCGTCCGCAATGCGGCCCAATCGTCATTCTTGACTGGAGGTACGGCCCTCTCATCTCATCACATCCCTATCTTTTCCATTAGAGTCTTGCAATGCTGACAGTCATCCAGCTCGGGCTTTCCCTCGTTCTGGCCCCTCCTCCGCATACACAGCATTCCTTCGACGTAATACACGAACAATGCCTTCTCAGATGCCGGCACTGGCTATTCTGATTCCACGCAGAGGTGTCCAGACTGACACACATACCACTGGAGCCCCTTCATCTGGCCCGCCGCCTGGGTTCAACCCTGATCAGGCTAAGAGACCTCTCAGTGACGACCCTAAAGCGCCAACGAAGGAGACGGTGGCAAATATGGCCGAGAAGCATGATGTTGAGCCAGTTCCCAACAACCAAGCCACTGCGGTCCCAAAAACAGATGCCGTTGAGGCGCTCACGTTGTCGGAGTTGGCTGGCAAGAAAGATAAATCCGTGGAGACAACTGACGGCAAAAAGGCAGATAAGAAGTTGACCATCGGGCAAAAGATCAAGAAGGAAGCACAGCACTACTGGGATGGGACTAAGCTACTTGCCACCGAAGTCAGGATAAGTACCCGACTAGCCTTGAAGATGGCAGCTGGCTACGAATTGAGTCGGAGAGAGCACAGACAACTGCAGCGAACAGTACAAGACATTGGCCGACTAGTTCCCTTCTCGGTATTCGTGCTAGTTCCATTCGCCGAGTTACTGCTTCCAGTAGCCTTGAAGTTGTTTCCCAACCTTCTCCCCAGCACATATGAGGCGCAAAAGTCAAAAGATAATAAGGCTGCGAGCCTCAGAGGCACCAGAAAGGACGTCAGCAACTTTCTCCGCAATACCTTGAAAGAGACTGGATTGCCATTAAGTCCTTCAAACGCGCAAAAGGACGAGTTCTTGAAATTCTTCCGCAAGGTCCGATCTACTGGAGAGCAACCTACACCCAACGATGTTATCAATGTTTGCAAGATTTTCAAAGACGATTTGACTCTAGACAATCTTTCGCGACCACAGCTAGTCGGCATGTGCAGGTACATGAATCTCAACACATTCGGTACCGATATGATGCTCCGATACCAAATCCGCCATCGCATGAGACAAATCAAGCGTGACGACCGAGCAATCAGCTACGAAGGCGTCGACAGCCTATCAGTCCCAGAACTCCAAGTCGCAGCCCAAAGCCGTGGAATTAGAACCCACGGTGTATCCCCAGCCCGCCTACGTGATGACCTTCAGCTCTGGCTAGATCTTCGACTCAAAAACGGCGTCCCATCCACGCTTCTAGTCTTGAGCAACGCCTTCATGTACGCACAAGGCAAGGAGTCGGAATTTTCCACCCAAATTGACGCACTCACCGGTGTCCTGTCCTCCATTCCTGAAGAATTGTTCCATGAGATAGAACTCGAAGTCCACAATGCCGAGGGAGCAGCTACCAACAAGCAACGTCTTGAAGTCCTGAGGGAGCAGCAAGAGCTCATCGAAGAAGAAAACGAGCAGGATGAGGAGAACAAAGAATCTGGACGCGCTACCCCTAGAGATGACGAGGATATCGATGAGAAAGAGGAGCGCAGACTGGAGGCTGAATCTACTGCAGCTGGCAAGGAACAAGCCAGTGAAGCTATTGAGGCCGAGAAGGAGGGCGTTGAGGTGCAGAGGAAGGAGGTGGCGGCTGCTGATGAGAAGAAGTCTTCTTAAACCAAGAAGCGGGGTATTTTTCTTTTGTTGTAGCATTCACGGATGGATGGGTGGGTATGGCATGGATTAGGATTTTGAACATGCGGCTAGAAAAACTATTAGAATAAGCCTTGCGGGAACAACGCCAGCGGCACTTGTATAAATTCTCCTGCTCAGCATAGTAGGAGGTGAGAGTCTCTTCTTAGACATAGCGAAAATGATAGATTAGTATAACAACTGTTTGACCATGGTGTTGATAAGGTATTATTTGAGACAAGAAGACAAAGTTCACACGTCTCTGTTCTCTTGTGTCAAGGGTAATAGTCGGTCTTCCCCCCTAAGCTCACTAACAAGTTTATGTAGACAATCGTTTTCATCCTGCACCTGCCGAGCCGTAAGCCCATTATTCTTTCAAGGAGAGAGATAGATCCATATAAGTAATGTATGCTCAGATTTAGTAAGGCCTGAATGCGGGATCTCTAGTCTAGGTGGATGTGATCAGCTAGCCGAGCCGATGTATTTCAGCCAAGAGCAACAAAAAGACTTCCAAGATCAAGAAAAGTATCTTATCTTGTGTATCGAAAAGCCCTGGAAAATACATATTGGATGAACTTCGCTGCAGGCTCTTCTCCATAGGTCGCCTCGGTGAAATTTGAACACCTTTTGGTGAGAGTCCGGTCTCAGTTATAAGTAATATCATGTGTCGATCGGGCATTATTTATTTGACGTTATATGAATCGGTCTCTAGAAAGCACATTTGGATTATTAATGCCTTGTATATAGTGTTGTACGTAGCAATACATTCATGAATTAAGACCTCCAATACATAATTCATCAGGCCTAGATTCGCAGTCGTAATGAAACTGGTAAATTCGCTATGAACTATGAAGTTACGCGGAATATACATTTCCAGAGAGAATCCCATTTCTTTGCCTCCCATAACTCAGACCTTACACAGCCGCTACCAATCGCCCCATGGACCCTCTCCAAGGCTGCTTGCATAGAATCCACGCTGTTATTGTCCTCCTGGCTTGTCCCACTTTCCCTTGCACCTCTGAACAAAACAACCGTCTGTTCGGAACTCGAGAGCTTCTCATTCGAATTAGAATCATATTGAACTATTCCGACCTCGAGATGTTCAGCTCTGTCCCAAGGACCGGGCCCGTTAGTTGTGACATTTCCGTTGCGACGCCGTTCGATGTTGCTACTAAGCCGGAGCGTTATATCAAACACGTGTTGTTCAATATAAATAATGTAGGTGAAAAGGGTGTCAATAGAGGGATTGAGGTAGATGCGACGGGCTGTATCGTGTGCGGTCTCGAAGACGGCTATGTAGACTTTCAAGGCTTCTTCTCTGGATTCACCGCTAAGAAGACTTGTCAGCATTTATCTCATATGACCTATGAGAGACTGTCCGAGTCGAGATTCACCGTCAAGGAACAGGAAATATGACCTTTGATACAGCTATGAGGATAACAGACTTGGAAGGAAGGGGTAATCTCAAATGAGGAGCCCAGTGACCAAATCACTTACCATATATGCAGAAGAGCCGGATTCTCTCCCTCCAGCTTGAAGTAGGTACCCATGGGTTGGACACTGGCGTCCGGGGGGTACACTGTGACTTGCACGTCGCGAGCTTCTTCCAGAGCCTTCTTCCATATGTTCAACCGAAGCTCGGTAGGTAAGTCGGGGAAACGCGTGAACATGTCGAGAGTTGTTGATAGAGTCGAAGGAGAGAAGCTCAATGACATGGTTGTGAATTGTTTTTGAGGGTATTTGGGTTGTTATGTGTTGAAGGAGGGGTTGAAATTGAATCGATCGGAGTTCTTGAGAAGGTGGGCTGGCTGGACTGGTAGCCACGTGATCGGCTATTAAAGGGATGAAATTTTGGACTGCAATAGGCAGTATGGTACTTACGGATTATTCTCGTTTGAGTTAGTCTACCTTATCAATACCAATGACGGACACAATCTATATGGTCTCATTCTTCGCTCGTGGCGGTCGCAGGTTAGGTAGTTGAGCAACCTCCCAGGCACGCCATACCGCTATTTTTCCCTTGGTCTCACCATTCACTCCAATCTTGGAAACAACGATAAAAGTGAAAGAACGACAAGTACACCTAAGGATACCTAATCATTTGACCTTGCATTACCCAATGGCTTCATCTCAGGCTATTCAAGTGCGGAGTTGTGGATTGTATAAAAGGTGTCGGTGCTGCCCATAAACGTTCCAAAATATGCCCACTCACTACGATCGGAGTTCTTCATTAAGCAAATTCATACGCCTGCTGCTGTCTGAGCCTGTTATTTTCTTCCCGGACCAGCAGCTTACAGGCCGCTACCCATCTCTCCGCATCCCAATAATTAGAATGAAACATATTGGCGACAGGACCCGAAAGCCCCCTTTCTAAAGCCTTCACAAGTCTCTGCTTGATATCTGCCTCGGTACCAGGTATGCTCTCAATACTATGACCCTCCTCATAAGGTCTACCTCTTTTTGCAGAAGCCGAGAACACGTAAATGTATTCATCAAATCCGTGTTGATTTCTAGGGCTAGACTCCATCCGGGCGTAGCCATATTCCAGCTGTTTGATACTGGCCCAAAAACCAGAGCCGATGGTTTGACCAAAATCTCCAGAGTTGCGAATGGAGGGTGGTTCCATGTAAGAGTTGTTTTCAGCCCGAACAGATTGGTCAAGGATGAAGCTTTCGAAGCCGCGGGTCGGATTATGGATGTGAATAATAAGTGTATCAATATCAGGGTTGATGTAGATATCATCGGACTGATCTCCAAAAGTTTCAAATGCTTTGACATAGATTTTCAAAGCTTCTTCTCTAGACTCGAGGCTATGCACAGCTGTTAGCTAGTACTCCTGCATATAGAGTTTCTTAAGAGACTGCAGCCTCCCAATATAGAAACAAGATTACTTACCAGGTATAGATGAGAGAAGGTTCCTTTTCAAGGCCCTTCCCCATCAGCTTGAAAGCGGTCGTCACACTGCCCTTGAATGATGTGGTGATGACTCTGACATGAACGTCACGTGGATCTTTAAGACTTTCTTTCCAGATCTTCAATCGAATTTCTGTTGGTAAACCCTGAAAAGTTTTAGTAGTATCATCGGGAGACGAGGATTGACTGAGGTCACCTAGAGTTGACGCCATCGTTGTGGAGGGCAAGTTGAGGCTGAGTTTACGAAGTGAACTGGGTTTTGGATGTTGGACTTGCAAAGGGTTTTAGTATCTTATGTTGCGAGGAATTTCGGCAGAACCATTGGATTTTCAAGATCTAACTTGCACTCAAGATTGATCTAGAAGACTGCTCGAAATTGAGGTAGTGACTCCTATGAGGAGATTCCCACTTGCAAATATGATTGAAACCCCCATTTGGACACTTCTCTTATTTGTGAGCTAGTGATAACATATGAGCAAGACAGATCAAGCTACTTCATGCACCAAAGGAAAGATAAGGTGGGGTTTGCTAAAGTTGTTCTATGCTCATACATGTGGAAGACCGCTTGCTTCTGAACCGATGACTAGCTCATTCTATACCAAACACATTCCACAAACACAATTTCGGAACCAAGTGTTCGCACTAATCTATCAATCACGCAATTGGACGATTAACAATTCATTATATGATATCAATATGCTTTGAAAATGCAGCAAACAAGTTGTGCCGAGCAATGAAAGTTCCAGCACTAGCTAAAAACTTCAAGGCAATCTCACTCAGCCCTCAAACACGCTGGCATTAGAGGGTAAGAAGCTAGCTGATAATATTGGGACGGCCGAATTACAGAAATCCGGTCTCCTTGAGTTTACCGAGAGATCCTGGCTAGTGGATTACCAGTCTCAAGCACATGTGCAATTGTATCACAACTAGCTCCGGGACAATTAGACATTCCCCTCCTTGCAAGTAATATAGGACGATTTGCCCCACATCAACACCATCAACCTACAAGAGTTGTGGCTTGCTCGATTCCTAGAGAAAAGCCACATATGTACTCCGTACACCGCATCAAGTGGCGGGAAGTGGCATTAGACGACCCTTGCACGCGCAGAACTCGCTCACAAAATCAAAAGTGTCTCGGGTTTGTGCCTTTTCTACCGCCAATATCAAACTGACGCGACCGACCACATAGCCACAGCTACGCACAGCAAGCGTGTCCTTGAGAAATTCGGCGTTTGTAAAACAAACACTTAAAATCAGCAATCCGAGGAAGAATCTGACACAAAGCTGGTCCAAGCCAATTCGACGAGGTGAGCCATTTCCAATTGCAATGGGTATCGGTAGATCAAGCTTCCGAAGCTAACAGTGTAAAGAGCACCTCGCTCGACAAACGTTTGCACCCCCACTGAGCTAATTGTGGGTTTCTCATTCACTCTCAAAGGTGTACATGTGGGCACTCTTGATGCGTAGAGGGAAGAAATTATTAGACAGCAAGCAAGCACCAAGTTCAATCCCAAGTCAACCCAGAGTCAGGTAGCACCATGGAGGACAACACTCTCGTCGGATTCAAGGAACGTATGATGTCGGGGGTTCAGGGCACATATCCACAAGAAGAGATCGACGCAGTTTTCGGGGGGTACGAAGACGTCTGGCTTTCCTCAGCGAACCTCCATCCCGACAATGTCATTCCCTGTATCCCAAAGATATACAGGCGACAACACGAAGAGCATCGTGCCATATACGTTGCTGGGTTTACTTTCGCGTGTGATTGTAAGGACTTCCTTAGGTGGGCTCGTTCGTTCGGTGGCGCCCAGATCGAAAGAACAGTCACTATCGTTGATACGGAATCCCAATGCACGTTCCGTTGGCTTGTCATGCCTACCGCGGAGGACGCAGCGACGGTTCTGGGTCGAATCCATGAGATGGAAGTTACCATGTGGCAGCCCCACCGAGATGGTACAGAGGACGTACTCAAGTTTTCCCTGCGGGTTTGTTACTCTGCGATCGATCTATTCGTTTACAATCCACTATCAAGCGCATGTTATCAGCCAGAGGGCTCGTTATCGGCCCATCAAAGTGTTTCAACGGTTCATGGGCACCCATCCCCTCCAGAAAATCTCTCACTCCAGGGGCTCTCACTTCAGGATCCAGCACCAATAACCGAGGCCATTAGTTCTATATCCCCAGTCATCAAGCAAGAGCGTATGGCGAACTCACCTGGTGACACTCCTGGGCAATCGTCCTATACACCAGCTTCTTCTTGGGCAAGCATCGCCCTCACCGCCAACCCAGACTCCGAGATCATCAATCTACACCCACCAGCCAGAGCTTTCACCGGTCCTCGAGTCAAGCCTGCTGGTCGCTTCACTAGTACACCAAGTGTCATCAGTGATGAGCCCATGGTCGACCAGGCACGCGTTGTATTCCTGCTGGATATGCCGAGACACCTAACACTTCAAGAAGTGTCCGACGCCGTTATCGAAGGGCCGTTGAGAAGCATCACATTTAGTACTGATGAGAGTAACGGAAAGCCTTACGCTGGTATCATCTTTCAATACGCTCAGGATTCCGAGTCCTTTTACCAAGTTCTGTGCAAAGAGCGAGCCGACAGTCGCCCGGGTCGATTCAAGTTCGTCGTCGATGCCATCCGAGGGGATCCTTTCCCAATGGATGCTAATATCAAAGCAATGGGCTCTCCGACATACGCTACTCGTCGCCTTACTATGGTCAAGTCCAGATTCTTCTTCATGGTCAACGAGAGGTCGTTGAGGCAGTTCTGCGAGAAGTACGCGGGGGTTGGACCGGATATGATCCAACTGGTTTGGATATACAATGGTGGCAATGCAACCATTGTATTTGCAGATGTGGGCGAGGCCATCAAGGTTAAAAGCAAGCTTGATGATTACAGCATGGGTATTGGGGTGTCTGATAGGCAAGCTGAGGCAACATGGGCCGGTCTCCAGACGACATTCTCAAAAGATCCCTGTGTTTCACCGCTTGAGCTCAAGACAGCAATGACTTAGAGATGGACGGCCGAGTTATGCCAATATCGGTGGCACTCGAAAGAGGTAGACGATCCTAGGTTGAAACTTCTCAACTAGCAGTGGGACTTTGAAGTGTGGTCCCTTTCTCATGATATTTGTTCACGGTATTTACGACCTCATGGCAAGATGACTGCGGCTTTTGTTTGCAGTGATTTACAAAAGCTTTCTACCGATTGTTGCGCATGAGATATTTGAATCTGGATCTTCGTCCTGGATATGGTACGTTCAGAATGGCGCTGGTTGTCTTGTATTCCAGTATTATAGTCGACTTGTCAGTAGGCATAGAATTGAACTTCCTTCCTCACTAGACGATTCTTAATCCCTCGGGATTTGTGAACAAGAAAGGGAAGGAAAAAGAGGACTCTGAAATTGGAAGTGGGATGAGATGAGGACCAGTATTACGTAAGCACGGACTAAGATTCTGGTGATTAGCAGGTGACAGGTTTGCAACGATATCTCCCCCCCTTCATCTGTATTAATGTCCTTGGAATGAAAATGTTCTCAGTTGATGGCTACGCGCGATACTACAAGATGCTAAATATGACTCTAGAATATCATTCAAAGGTTTTCTGGCCTGTTCCGTGCGTGTCTTCATGGTCCAGGATTTGGCAACTATCTCTCCTCAGACACTTCGAGGAATGACTTTTATTCTCTGCTTTTCACGTTCAAACCAAGTTCGAAAAGTTTGGAAACATCGTTTTCCTAGCGTACTACCTGCCAGTCGCAGTTGCCGATTTACTTACTGCGCTCAAGTGAATCCTACTACCAAGGCAGGTTTAACCTTGCGATTCCAAATGACCTGAGGTATGTGAATGTTAAACTGCAACATCCAGTCTAATCTTTTCCTTCTATTTAAGAACTTTTTTCCCTGCAACATCTCGACACTACTTCCTTCGTACCTTCTTAAAGTCATAGTTATTGCGATCAATCAAGAAGAACATCACAGAGATGCCCTCTGCCAGTCAGACCCCAGTTGCCGATGGCCCCAGGCAGCCTATCGTCTTCAAATTCCCGGGCTTGGAGTTGGACACCCGGTTAAAGGTTTTCGACCAAGAATTCCACGTGCACTCAGCAATCTTGAGACTCTATTCAACATTCTTCCGCACCTTCCTCGACTCTCCTGATAAGACACCTGCCCCGGCTTCGGCGCTTTTTCGATACGAATATGTCTCTGTAGTTGACGATGATGGTACTTGGGGACTAGAAGTCGCGCTCGAGCGTGATGACCAGAAGGCTGTCCCACAGGACGCTGGAAGTTCACCAACGCCCGCAGAGGGCGTTCCTGACCTGAAGGTTTGCAACATTTGATCACAATCCCAGAAATATACTAATACTGTTTAGACCACTACCTCTCAGTCCAATAACAAAAACCTGAAGAAGGGACGGAAATCGCAAGCGCAAATGGAGAGACTCGCCTTTTGTAGACTATTGTACGCCTTGTACCGGGAGCGGTACACTGTTAGCTCTATGCGCGAGTTTAGCGATATTGTTCGACTGGCCGATTTCTATTGCGCACTTCCCGCCGTCTCTCGTTCAGTTGATAGTGTCTTATTGCACAGCCCAGAATTGATACGACAGATACCGGCCAGCTGTTTCATGGCCCTGCAGATAGCTCACAAGTTACGCCATCCACTTCTGTTCCGAGAAGCTTTAGTCCATGTTGTCTCCGGCTGGGTTGAAGATTCCACTAGACTTGATATTAGTCCAGAGCTCGCCCATGTCGTTAATACTGTCTATAATCGGCTCCAGGCAGAAGCACACAAGGTCACCTATGATATTCTTCATGCCACAGCAGCTAATGAGACAGTACGCAAAGCTTTTGAAAATGCGGTTAAAACATTGGAGTCGGATGCGACTACCGGAACTGCGCGTTTCTTCCTACTTGTGTACAATTCTTATCCTCCGCCGACTTCTCTGTTTTGGTGTAGCCGATCCTTAAAGGCTTTTCAGACCCTCGAAAAGTTGTTATCGAACAACATGAGTCTAGCTAGGTTGATATCGGCTCCAGTCCACATTCAAGCAGGTGGTCCAGGTTATGAGAGGAAGTTTTTGTGTGCCTCGATTGAGGATCATGAGCTCCCATGGGACAAAGAGGCTGTTGACTGGTAGCGTGTTTTGGTAATAGACTATGGATAATGGGTTTGCTTGCTGTCTGTATGGTAACGGCACTCTTTTTACAGGGGCCTAGATGAAAGTGGGAAGGGTTTGTCAGTGAAATAAAAACTTTGTCTTCAAAATTTGCTACGTATACATTGATGCCGGACAAGCCTTACAAATTTCATGTGATTTTAAACATGTGTAGCACTCTAGTGTATTCTTCTAATCCCCTACTTCATTGTAAGACTGCCAATGACTTGTCGTATAACTACAGATACACCCCTTCCTGAATTACAACGCAGATGATCCCACAATTCTCACCGCCTCTACAGCAATGCTGCTAAATTTATACTAAACTTGCATAGACTTCCAACATGAATACAACATACCTAGCTTAATGCTGCCCTAGGATAAACAGTTCCCAACAAGGAAGTCACCACCCTCGATTTTCCTCATAACAAGCGCCCTTGAATTCACCTACTCTCGAATTCCTCTCCACAACTCGCGCAGCCAACTTCCTCTTTGCACACCCGAATCTAAGTAGATTTTGGCAAGACTTCTTTCGAAAGCCGAGTCAGAATCACTCAACCAATTCATCGTTGCTTGCAGAAGCACCCATTCTTTCCTCCATACCCGATTCAGATATATTGCCCGCGCACAACTAACTTCTCACTTTCCGCTCCCAAGCCTGACTTGCAATCATCAGATTCACTTTGTATTTCCTCACTTCCACTTCAACATCAACATCCATAACCTGCTATTTCCAACCACCAATCTCACGCTGCCTTATTTATACTACTCATCATGTCGAAGAGAACTCACAGCCAGCGTATTGCACGCCTGATCGACTCGCCAACTCCCGAACCACTCTCCGCTAGCTCTACACTGCCGTCATCTTCATCGCCAACTTCGGGCACGGCGTCTAATGTGAAGTTCTTATCGGGCAAGAAACAGAAGATTGAAGGCGATTTCCCCCTCATCTTTACAATCCCGGAAGAGAAACCGGATGTTTACATCAAGGTTTTCAGCCGGGAGTTCCATGTGCACTCTTTGATATTGAAATCGAAATCTGCCTTCTTTCGAGAGGCATTAGATACCCTGAACCATGAGGGTCCAGCGGTCGATTCTTCACTATTCCGATCTAGGTGGTATACCGATGTCGACGTAGATGGACATTGGAGGCTTTCTCAAGAGAAAAAAGTAATTACTAGTAATAGCTGTTTTTCAATTGATAACACTTGCTAATAGCCACTATAGATTGAATGTGAGGAGATTGGATCACTCTTCAAGGGGAATTCGTCGCTGGAAGAAAAGGCCTTTGAGGATATGCTATGCGCGATCTTCAGCCACTACTACCAAATCGCTAGCGGTGCAGAGCTGTTATGCGTTACGAAGCTGGCTGACAAATATCGTTGCCTTCCTGCTGTGTCAATCTCCCTCTTTGGACCGATTTGCACTTGTCCTGGATTAGTTCCAAGTATATCAAACAACCCTTCTTCGTTTCTATTGGCGGCATACAAATTGCGCCATGAGCTACTCTTCAGAGAGGCTTTCGTTCACATTTTAGGCCCTGCATCCTCGCCTAGATATATTAGACTCACCCATCCTACATTGAAAAACATGGCTGATCTAGTTTATAAGAAGTTCCAACTTGAGCTTTTGAAGGCCCACGAGGCCATCCTTGATCTCCACGCTAATCCGAAGAAATACGGTGCAGTTGTGCAGGATATGGCTAAACTCGCAACAAAATCGATGTCTGACGGAAAGGTTATGAAGCCGATGTATCTCAGGGAATGCTTTGAAATGGCCTGCGAGAAGAGAATCTGCGAGGAGGAGCTTGAGAGGGTATTGGGACCTCTGATGAAGAGCAAGTTGTTCCTGGATAAGACGGGTGCAACAGCAGGCAAAGGGAAATTTAAGGACTCATTCCTCTGCTTTGAGCCAAACACAATTCCATGGGATAAGACTGAAAGTGATTGGTAGAGAGAGAGGTATGGGACTGGAGCAATCGGTTGGGTGGGGGCCAGGGACAAGGCAAGTTGACAGTTTCGACGGAAGTTATGGGGGAAAATGATTGGGGCGCAAACTTTCAATGGATTGTGAATAGATTTACGTGGTTGAGGGCATGGGGGTGGATTTACATCGGGTCCGGACTTCTTATCAACATGGATATTTAAGGGTGCAAGACGAGTATATTTGCCTGATTTACGGAAATGGAAGGTTGCAATCAATACAGCCGCAGTCCCGTCGCATTGCATTACTATTTGCGACTGTCTCACAAACTTTTAAGCATCTTCGTCAAACATACCATTCCACAAGACTCACCGCTCGATTGCTTGACATGATTTGATTGACTATATTACAAACTTAGCAACCAGTATCGATTTGGAGAGCAGTGAGCACCCACTTGAGTTATGGGATGTCGAGGTATAAAACCCCTGGCCAAGCCCAAGGAATCCACCAGCAGAAACTTCATCAAAGGCATTCGACAAGATCAATTCAACATATCTTACACCGCTGACCAGGTCTTGAGGAAGCAACTGGAAGAATTTAACACCGATCATGTGACACTTCTTTTGTGTTGAACCAGCTCGGAAGCACCGACGAATCGAGACATTATATCTCAAGACTTATTCATCGTTTCTCGTCTATGAATTGACATACTAGGATTCGCTGAACCGAAAAGGCTTGCTGCTCACTTGTGCTTCTCCTTGAGACTCGTCCAAGCCGCTTTCTCTTGAGTTATTGGGTACACCTCCCCTAATGACTCTACATTGATGGTATGTTGAGACGCATTCGTTTCTTATTCACATGCCCCAACACGCCCACAGCCCCTCTCCCCTTTGTCTTCAACTCTAACAGCGAATAGTTTCTCGGCGGGCAATCTGAGCCAGCAATCTGAGCCTCCATGTACCTCCATTGTGCGTAGCAGTGAGCAGAACCACAATACGACATACTTAGAGCTAACTATCAACGAATGCAGAGAGAAAGCACAGCATGGCCAGCTCGAGGAACCCTTGAAAGCAAAACCAAAGCGCTGAGAATATGAAGACGGGGCTACATCATCAAAAGACATTAACTAGTGGCAGTAATTGCCACTTGATTGCAATGCACTTGCAAGCAGGTGCATTCTCAGTACTTTGACATTTCTTCTCTCTTTTGCGTTTCAAAGTCGTCGCTAGCGTCATCGATATTCATCTGAGGTTTCGTGGGGATGTCCGAATTGGCTCTAGTGTGCCAAGACAATTCGACCCTTATTCAACCTCACTCACTTGAGCTGCTTCCATTTCTCTCACTCCCCAAGACATGGAAAAGTTTTCTAAAGTATTGTTTTAGAAGCGCACTTGCGAAAAGTGGTTTGTAAATGCTTTGTCTTCCTGCTATTTGTGAGCAACTGTCTGCCCCTAGGGATGACTGCTATAGCGGAGCCATGCCCAGGCCTCTCTCATTTCCATTCTACCAGTGTGGCTTGCAGGCTCATAGCAGTTGGAGAAATGCTCTCTTGAGATGCTATTCCGGGGTATAACCCCTCTGAACAGTGGTTGAAAAGTCTTTGATCTTTGGCGAATGCCATGACCATGGTGCAGACATGCCTCTATTGTCTTCCTTTTCACAAGAGTTATGATAAATATTCTCGCCCAGTTGTTGCGCCGCAACCTAGGCTAAACCAAAGCATGGCGGAATGTATCCGAAGACAGGCTTGGTGATTACGTGCGGTAAAAATTGCCTCTTTTGTCTTCTGTTCTGTCTTTATCCTGCGGAAGTTCAATAAAAACAGGGCTGTTTGACTATGCTTTGAAGCAAACCTTCCCGACAAGTGGCGTCATCTCTCTCTATATATATTCACATCATAGCCTTACTATGTTCTACTGCAGGTGATTGGCGTTCCGTAGAATTAACCCTGGTCTTCTAGCAGTATTGACTGCTGGCTTGCATCAGAACGAATGTGTGAAATGGCCTCCTTCTTGGCGACACATATCGTCAGCTGTTACCTGACTATATATTCAACTTGAAAACCACCAGAGCCGGAAGCCTTCAACATCAAAGACCTCGATCAAACAACCACCAAAATCGGAACCTTCATTGTCAAATATGGCCACCACCACTGACTCCAACGCGGACGTTACATCAAGCCCAGTAATCTATGCTTCACCAAGTTTTGGCTCCCCAGATGCCTGTATCACAGTCTTCAACAAGGGGTTTCATGTCCACTCCCAGATTCTGCAGGAGTATATTCCCTTCTTCCGAAAATTCTTGACATCTGCAGACAAAGCTGGACAACCTCTGCCTGCTTCTGGATTCAAGTATGATTGGATCACTAAGGTTGACGAGGACGGCAAAGGCTGGGGCCCTGTCAACAATGATTCGAAGGTATGTAGTCACTCTGCATGCGTGCTTTCCCTTCTAGGTCCTTTTGACCGAATACGTCTAACTTCGTCATGTAGGCCGAACCACTCAACCTGTCTCTCTTTACTCGAAGCCGCGCACAAGAAGAGGACATATTCGAGAAGCTTCTCAACGCAGCATATCGTCTTCCATTCACGATTGGATCTCTCGAGGAATTAGTATCCCTGGTCGGAGCCTTCAAATACTACATGGCGCTTCCATTGCTGTCGACATCCATATCTGCAGTCCTTCAAAGACTCGACGATCCCATTGAATTGATTATGGACGACCCTTCTGCGGCCCTACGTGCTGCAGTCGAAATGAGATGTCCAGAGTTGTATCATGACTCGTTGATACTTGCAATTGGACAAATCCACGCTCCAGACTTCAAGATGAACGAATTCGACGACCCAAAACTTCTCCAGAGACTCGAATTAGCTTCTGGCAAGCTTAATACTACCGTGACCTTGATTCAACACGAGATTATTAGTGGCGTCGTTGCTGAAGACGGCGATTCGTTCACGTGTCTATGTGCGGATGCTAAGCAGTGGAGCGACAAGAGCATTCGGGAATTCAGTGAAGTTGTCTGGCCATACGTCGCCAGAAACATATACGATGTTGATTATAAGAGGAACACATTCTTCCAGCATACCATGGAGCCTCTGATGCGCAACAGTCTCCGTTTGGACCGTTTACATGGGAAGTCTGGAGCTGGCGACTTTGCACATTACTTTCTCTGCGCAGATTTTGACGAGGTAGACGTCCTATGGGACAGGAATGAGAGATACTGGTAGTGGCGAAGGTTCTCAACCAGGTATGACAGTTTAACATCTAAGTGTGGCGCTCTACATATGCTAACATAATCAAAAGATAATGTATAACACATGGAGACATAGTAGGAAAGTACAATTTTGTGTAACTATGGGAGGCACTGGTAGCCTGGAAATTTTAGATTGTGGACATTTAGAAATGTACTACGGCGTGGAGTGTGGACATTTTTGGGCGAATTCGGCCAAAGACAGCATTCATGAGCAGTGTATGCATGTAGGACAGGTGCCATATTTTGGCGGGGAAATCCATAGTTGATCTCTCGAATGTACTTTGCAGTCTAGAGGAGTTACATCTATTTGGATCCACCTGAGTTTTGAATATTCCGAAGATGAAATAGAACTGTACTATCTCCTGTCCAAGCTTCCCCTAATGTATGGGGAATATTGTCTGAGCCTTTCTACGCAGCATTGCAACCACCATATTAACTAGCTAACCAACAACCAATGGACCACCAGTACCATCAAATACGGACCTACACGTGTAGTGAAGTGATCACCTTGTGAGACCAACACCTAAGCTCTTTCCCAATTTGGAGGATTCAATCCTCCCGGTCCGCACTTTTAATATCGCCGCTTCGAGCGCCGACCTAGGTGAATTGCTTCTTCGCCCCACGCAATTCCTTTTCAAGCTCAACTGTCAGCCTCCAACTCCTAATACGATATCGACCTCCAGTGCTCCACCCGCAATCCTCACTGGATAATAACCTCCACACCAATGAGACTGTCAAGCCCGTGACAATGGCGCCGCCCGTAAAAAAAAAGCAGAAAACCAGCGCCGCGGCTACTTCTTCCCCAACTCCCATCGTTTTCCAATCGCCTGGTCTTCAAGCCGATGTTCGCCTTATGGTCTTTGATCAGGAGTTCCACGTCCATTCAGTCATCCTGAAGCTTTACTCTGCTTTCTTCAGGAAGTTTCTCGATTCGCCAGATAAGGCAGCCGCCGTAGAGGCAGCCAGTACCGGGGCTCTGCCTGCACAATGGTCTACACCGACGAAGTTCAAATATGAATGGGTCACGAAGCTTGATAAAGATGCCGAATCTGACCAAGAGGGCAACTGGCACTTGATTGCCGCTACCAGTACAATGAAGGTGGGTTTAGGCAAGGCATCAGAAGAGCATGGCTGTATAACTAATCATTAATAGGAGCCCATCAATCTCTCAGAATACAGGGGCTACAAGAAATACCAGTCGAAGGCCTTTGAAAAACTGCTTTGTGCCATGTACCTCAAACCATATAAGATCAGAAACTGCACGGAGCTCACAACTATGACCGGGCTGGCCGATTACTATTGCGCGCTTCCAGTTCTTTCCCATACTCTTGATGGAGCATTCATGAGAAGTCCTATGCTTGTAGCTTCGATCCGAAGCATTCCCTGCGAAACCCTTGCCTTGGCTGCAAAGCTTAGGAACTCTACGTTGTTCAGAGAGTGTCTCATATGGGTCCTAGGCCCTTGGGGGGATGAGTGTTGGGAACAATTGGAGGACCCCAAACTGAAGAAGATTGCTAAAATTGCTCGGCACGAATTGTCTCACAAGATCGCGAAGGTGCAGGAAGCCATTACCAGGGCCATAGAGGCCGCCGACGATTCATCACTTGAATATTTCACGGAATACTTGCGGGATGCGGCGATTGAAGCCCGTGAGGAAGGGCCCGAGTATTTAAGCATGCCTCGTTATTTCCTGAAGTTCCACGAGAAGCTGGAGGCTGGGTATGTCTGCCTTGATTTCAACGATACGGGTGTGGACGAGGTAAGTTTGGATGTGCTGATGGAAAGTAATCTTGTGCTGGAGCAGCAGCAACAGGCAGGGAAGTTAGAGATGCGTGTGATCATTTCTTGTGTGTTAGCATCGATGACGAAGATCTTCCCTGGGACACCACAGAGATGGATTGGTGAGGAACAATACCTCATCAACAATGGTGAAACCAAAGAATTTTATCACTCTAAATCGGAGTTCTTCAACACTGGACTAGTGCTGTTTTACAGATCTTGTCGCGACTTTGGCACGTTGCATCTCAACAACTACTACCCTTTCGATTCTCTGCATAATAGGCTAAGACAGACATCTCACTTACTTATTCTCAAAGTGATGCCTTTCTCTAATTCGACGCCCCCCTTAACGCCATAGCACCCAAAACGAAAACCTCTAACTCCCTCCTCTCCTCCTCCTCATTCACCACCCCATTCCCCAATCCCTTTTTACCCCCACCACCACCGCTATTCAACTTATAAACCTTCCTAACCTTCCCCACATCCAGCATCCCCCTTCAAAATCCCGTCCTCAAACCCCACCGCCTCTCCCTCAACCGCACCCTCCAAATGCCTCTTCACTTCTTCCCTTCCCCCCCCAACCTTAACAACCAGCAAATTCTCCGTAGTCGCCGTAATCCCAAAGCGCCGGAACGATTCTGCAATCTAATAGCAAGGTGAAAACTGTGTGAGTGAGAGCTTTATGACGTTTTAAGGTGGGGTACACCAACATTGTTGTTCGGGCTTAGTGAGAACACGATTTCCGAATGCACGTTTCGGCTGCGTAGGCGGTGCGAGTGCAGGGCGTTTATGGCGCGGTAGGCGGCTGAGAGGACGTGTATTCTTGAGACTATCTGATGGGGTGGGAGAGAGTGTGCTTGTCAGTCTATATGCATCACGTGATGTATATACAGAGAGAGATTATTTTAGTTGTGAACAAGGCTGGGGCAGATGGAGATGAGATGGAGATGGGGAGCGAAGGGAGGGACGTACGACGCTGGCATCTATGAATGCGTATTCGAAGTCGGTGTTTCCAGCGAGGAGTTGCTGTTGCAGGAAAGGTGCGTTTTTGACATTGCGGTATAGGGAAATGTGGATGGGGGTCGTGGGGAGGTGCTCCAGGTGGATGGTTTCGAGGAGGGCCATTGTTGGTGGTCACACGTCTGAGACGGTTCGTCGGCCTGTCCAGGTATGTTTTCCTGCAGGTCTTCCGGGGGATCTACCTACGGCTGGGGTTTATGCGGCAGGCTGGGTTCGAGCGCGAGATATTGCGAATGTTGGGGTTTTAGTGCCGCTTTCTAGGCTTAGATGGGGAGCGTTGGTAGCGTGGATATCTACCGGATCTACAGTAGTGAGGAACCTTATTCCCCCGCTAATGCTTTTGATGCTATATTGAGGTATCAATCCAGTATGTAAGGTCAAGGATCAGATGATGTTGAAGATATCAGAAGGAAGGCTTTGTATGCATTGCAGGGTACGAAGTACACAGTTGAGACAGTTTTCTTTTCTATCCCCCACTGAAGAATGCCTTTTAAGGTGCTGACTGAGACTGCCAAGCTTTATGGGTATTTTCCGCCTGGTGGTGTCGTCAGTCGTACAGGATTCCAAAGGATTGGTCTGCTGGATCGAAATAGAAAAATGCTGCATGGCTTACTGCAGGCATTGTGAGATATGGGAGGAGGGGAATGAGTACTACGAATCCATTGATCTATTCATCTATAACGACATAGTATCTACTAAATACTCAATGAGATGTTAAGCCATCATGGTGAAAACAGAGCTACCGTACTATAGCTATAAGGTAGGGGATGTATGTACAAGGCTGTTCTTGGCCGCATCCCCACTTTCCGAAGTACTATAGCAAGGGACAGCAATACGAAGATTTGCATGTACCTAGGTATGCAGATTTACAGAACAGCATATGTACTGGTATGGATGCTTTCTTTAGCCTCTGCATGAGCTGAAGATTGTTACCTACTTGAGAGCCTCTTGCAGTAAAAATGTGACGAATCTTCATCTTCATCTGCTTTCAAGAGATTCGAACCTTCCACCGGGGAATACCCACCATCTCAACAGCTCCTAATATTTTCCTTTCTTCTTCACTCTACATTTAGAGTCAAACCCGGACTGGTCCGGCACCAATAACATCTTAGAAAAGGCAAGATAGAGGTGTTGTTCTTTCTATACCCCTTACTGTAATCCGTGCCACGCCCAAACGGTTTAGCTCCAAAATGGCATTTCGCCGCTCTACCTCATCGCAACTGCACACAGCTCTCACATCCTGGACAAGGGCAAATTGAACAATATCCTTATTATACAACGCCAATTTACGATATTATACGACGCGATTACCTTCCTTCACGCGTCCAAGGCGTAGTCGCAGGTGGTGGGGGATTTCAATACAGGTGCCCGTATCAGACGGCCACGGCTCCCAGCATAAAACAAGAGGATGCGACCATGCCCGGCAAACGAACTGCGTCTGGTGAACCCGACGGCACTCCTGTGAAACAACACAAGACGGACCGCCCTGAAGAGTTCTCTAAGCAGGTCAGAACAAAGTTGCAGACTTCGACGAGAACCGGCCAGGCGTGCGATAGATGTAAGGTGCGTATTGGTGTTGACCTCAGCGAGTCTTTCATACCTACCCATGCTAATGCTCCCCCTCAACGTTCAGGTCCGCAAGATCCGATGCGATGGACTTCCTGGAGGATGCTCTCCATGTCTCGCAAATAATACAGAATGTCGAACTACCGATCGTATCACTGGCCGCGCTACCCAGAGAGGATATGTCGAGGGCCTCGAGCATGCGAAGCACAACCTAGAGCAGAGAGTTCGCGAATTAGAACAGAAATGTATACAAAATGGGCTCGATGTCAAGCCATCGAACGAATACTGCGAAGCTGCACCTCCCAACTTTACTTTCAATCATCCATCGAGTGCACAGGCTCCGGTGTGGAGTCCGGTAACATCGGCATATGCCCCTCAAGTTGACAATGCTATGGCGTCTCAACATCAGAGCGTGGACATGCTTTCCACATTGCCTAATTCGCGAACTGAAGCCGGGCTGGATGAGCACCTGGGCGTCTCTATGGACAGTTTATATTTGAGCGAAATCAAAGGCACGGCACTCTCTATCCTGGGAATGACCATAGATATCGCGGATTTCCAATCTGATGACATGGACGAGCCAGAAAAAATCTCGTCACATCAGACAATATATAACAAGTCATACCAAGCGTTCCTACAATCTACGCTCAACATTAATCCTAGGTTGGAGGGGGTGAATTTGCCACCAAAAGAGGAAGCTTTTACGTATTGCATGTGGTATTTCCGTGTAATAAATCCATTTGTACCTTTGCTTCACAAACCGACCTTTATGAAGCTGGTAAGTTATGGAATTTATAAATATCTAAAGCTATTCCGCTAATGACTACAGTTGACATCTTGGTATGACGATCCGACCTTCAGACCTTCAGTTGCAGAAACCGTTATCGTCCACATGGTCCTCGCTATAATGTTCTTTCAATACGCCACACGTAACCGGAAAGACCCCGAACAACACCGGATACTTACCAACACTTCCAACAAGCACTATCACTACTCCCTCAGCTTCTTCTACCAGATCTGCGTTAGCCGCACAGCAAAAGATTGCCAGGCCTTAACTCTGATATGCGTGCATCTCCGGAACTTTCCAAAGCCCGGCGCCAGCTGGATGTTGACGCAAATTGCAATGTCACAAGCGATTGAGTTGGGACTTCACCGATCAGCCAAGAAATGGGTTAGCGATGATCCCCCGAACCCTTTAGATGAGGAAATGCGAAAGCGCACATTCTGGACATTGCTCACAATCCATGTAACCCTAGCTGGGAAGCTTAACCGTCCAATGACATTCAGGCTTGAAGATTTTGACTGTGAATTGCCGGAAGAAGTGGACGACGAACTGCTCTCTGAAAACGGGCTAGACACCACGAGGCCAGGCAAATGTCTCCATAAGATTGGAGTGCACGCATTTCGTCTCGTACCTCTCTTCATAGAGATGTTCAATACGATATACGCCATTCGCCGCCAACCAGATACCTACATGTCTACTGTTCATTCTCTAGAGGCGAAACTTGCAACTTGGAAGGAAAGCTTCCCACGAGAACTTCGAAGCGAAGAAATAGGTCAAGATGAACAAGAGCGTCGCGTATTTCGCCTCTACACAGAGACATGGGAGCAAGAATACCGCCTTCTTCTGCGGCATCCATCTGTCGCGGGAACTACTGATGCCACATTCAGGTCTGAAAGCATGAGGCTTTGCGTTGAATCTTGTCGCAACATGCTCCGATCAGTCCAACAACTGCGCAAATACAAAAGTTTGGATACGACTTGGTACCAAAGTGCTGTCTATGTCCTGGCGATTACTACCACGCTTTTCTCTCTGTGGGAAAAGCGAAGTGAGTTGACTGCAGCCGATTTAATGGCATTGAGGCGGGAAATGGACTCCTGGTTAGAAATAATGAGTGATGTGGGGTTCCTACTAGGTGAGTTGATACATATCTCTTATGAGAATCATGCTCACTTTATCAGGCTCTGGCATGCGTCTTCGAGATGCAGTAAGAAATGTGACTGAACAAACTCTCGGTATCTTAAGTCGGGCCTTGCCAACTAGAAATACATTCACACAAAATAACTTAAAACAAGACAAATCACCCCCACAGCATTCAGGGCCGCCTTTGACTAGCACATACTCCAAGCCTTCGACATACAACTTCGACAGCACCACATCCAATGGAAATGGAGCCTCTGTATCTGCATATCTTCCAGCAGATGACCATCTACCGCACCAGCAGACGCCCTACCCACAAGCGACACAATACCAGAACTATGCCGAGTCTGCAAGCTCCGCGTACACACCACAAGAAAACCACCAATACACACCATATACTGCCTCTGGAACACAAGAAGCACCTATCCTCGCGGGTTTTGCAACACAAGCCAGCCAAATCGCCCCAGATAATTGGCAGCGGCGCGACTCGCAAATCCCCAGCTCGAGTTCACAAGCATGGCAGCAGTGGGCAAACACCCTGACCAATTCCCTCGATCCGCAAGAAAGTTATTCAGCCACTGCTTTGATGCAACTTGGAGCGGGAGTCATACATACAAACGTCGCGCAATCAACGCACGAGATGGCGACGAGTTCGGCGGAGGTCCTAGATCAGGGACACCTGGCGGGGCAAGTCCAGTGGCCGTTGAATATCTTTGATACAGGAGCTGGTGCTGGAGGTGAAGAAACGCGATAGTAAGCGGAGTACATAAAAATAAAATTTCCCCAAAGGTTCGGGAAGTATCATAGAACTTTTGGGTGGTCGCTGTGTATTAGTATAGTAACGAGGGATCGATGGCGTTGGTTGGTTTATATGCATGCGTGGATATAGCTAGGCGCTATCTATGGCTGGCGCTAGGAAGGACTGGATGGGGTGGGATGAATTTAGATGAAACATTTATACAAATATTAGTTGAGTAATGTATGTTATTATGCACGCACGCACATGCAAAGCACGACTTATAAGGCGTGAATAGATTGCGAGGGATGATGAAAAGGCGTTGAGTTGAGTTATTAATTGTGTTCCTGCGATACCTTAGGTATGTATGTGCCTGTGTATGTGTCATGAATGCAGCTACCCAACTCCCTTTCCGCTATTGAAGGAACCGAGCCAAGAGGGCAGAGATGAATCGCGCTCTTTTAGCGAGTGAGCATGGGTAGCTGGCTAATGAAGTAGAGTATATTGATTTGTTTGAATTGTTTTGAGGAAGGATTGGTCTGTGGTTTTTCTGTTGATTGGATACCTGAGGCGGGAAGGGGGTGAAGCGGGAGTTTTATCAAGGAGGAAGATGATATGATATAGTAGTTGAAACTATTTAAAGAGATGTATGTATAGGGCTGGTTTTGAATATGGTAGCGTAACAGGCCAGACTTTGAAAATACCTGATTTAGTATTATGCTAGATAGTAGACGTGTTTAAATGTTTCTTATATCAAGTCTAATAGCGCCAATCAAACCTATTATCCACCACCTACAATCCGCGTACTAGTTTGATTATCGGAGGAAGACACATATAGATAAAGCTACGGAGACTATTCCAAGTGCCCTATTTACTGTCAATCCAGACGCAGAGCTGGTTTGGCTCGTGGTTGCTGCAGCGGGAGATGTGGCTGTGACCTAGGGAAGAGAGTGGGAGTTAGTATTACTTGTTTGTTTGCCCGTTTCTTGTGTGTATGCAATTGCAGGGGGGTCGGTTGATTTGGAGAAAGAGGATGTGTCAATTCAAATCGACTTACAGTAACAGCTCCACCTCCATTCCCTCCGGTCACAGAGGGAGTTGAAGCAGCAGACGAAGATGCAGCGGACGCTAAAGAAGCAGCAGTCTTGGTGCCCGGCTCCGTATTTCCCGTTTGCGAGCCCCCGGTAAGGGCCGTCGTGCTTCCACCATCCCGTGTCGTTTGAGCTGCTGTATGTGTATTTTGCAGGACGTCGCCTACGCTTGAGCAGAAACCCTCTAGGAATGCGATGTCGCTGTAGTCTGCCGGATCGGCCGTCTGTGCATAGTCCGCGCAAGTCTGAACGGCGTCGTCGAAGAATCCCGGATTGAAGCTTGAGGTGCTATAGCAGAGGCAGGGCGCTTGATCGGTCGAGGACATGTAGAGAAAGCCGGGGCTTACGGAGGAGCAGTATGAGAGGGCGAAACTGACGGTTGAGCAGCCTGGGTTTCGGGATATTCGGCGAGATGATGAGGGTGCGGCTGTTATGAATGCTGAGGAAAAAGAAGTCGTCGCTGGCGTTCGCGATGCTCCAGATGCTGAAGACACTCGTGTGTTTCCAGCTGCTGTGCTAGCGGGCCTGATGTTCCCAACACTGGAGCAGAAGCCTTTGAGCGGAGCTATACCTGAATAATCTTCCGGATCGGCGGTCACAGCGAAGTCTGCACAGGTCGATACTGCTCCGTCGAAAGCGCTGGGAAGCCAGACTGTGCTGCTGTAGCAAAGGCAGGGTGCTTGCCTTGAAGGTACCATGGACAGGAAACCAGGGCTTATGGAGGAGCAATATTCGATCGCGTCCAAGGCGTACGAACATGCTGCTGGAACCGCACGGGGAAGAACACCTGTGTCATCCAGTAGGTGGTCTTGAAAAGCTTCAGGTTCATTGTCACGGGGGAAAACGACATGTTCAAAAGTGGCATCGACGCCAAGGATCTGGAAAACGGCGATGGGTAAAGCCAATAACATGTTTGAGGAAACCATTTTGTAAGTGATATAGTGAGAAAGAAGATCCCGCAAAGAATTTTAGATAAAATCAACGAGTGAGAAAATACAGAGGCATAACGCAAAATATAACTCCCAACTTGCCAAGGTTGCTCTTCAGCTGTACTTTAATTCCGCAGTAGCTTGAACCCGCCAAGACGGTACAAAAACGCTATTGCATCTGGTCTGCTAATCAGAAAGACCTCTGGTACGGATTTAGATGCCAAGTATGCCAAGTACTCAAAACAATATTAGGTTGCGGCACGACACAACGATGATGTCCATTTCGAGTGGTGGTTTCGGTTTTTTTTTCTTCTTGAGCCTCTACGGAGTAGGTGCGGATAAAGGGTGTGACCTTGCGCCGAGACCCCAAATTATAAAGCCTCGCCAACTGTAGCTTTTCTTAGACTAGGGGCTCAGCCTTGCTGTGGATTCTGACATGTTGTCAACTTGGCATTCATACATCTCGTCGATGGCCCATATCGTAGCTGGCACGTTGCGCCGAGAGGAACTGTAGAGGTCACCAGGTACCTGGAATTAGAGAATGCCTGGCTCACGAACTGGATCCTCAGCCGAGAATTTTCCATCTCGCAATGGTGATTCGCGGGGAGCGTTACCTGGATTCTGTTCATCAAAGGTTAGAAGGGAGAAGAGGTTAGATGAAGAAGATGAAGTTCCTCCTGGTGCTAACCGGCAATTAGCTTCGTTTAACATGTGACTTGAGTCTACCAGATCTTGTTGCGACGTAAGGTTTAAGACAGATCATTGGATGAATCAAGGATTTCAGACTTCTCTTTCTGAGAGTTGAACCTCTCTATATAGTAGATTAGGATCTATAGTCACGTGCTTATCAATGGTGGAGGCGTTTCGAGAGTCTCAGCACAGCCTGCTATTCAAACCCTGCTAAACCTAGGTAGGAGTAGGGTAGGATAAAAGCACGGGTGTAACTGATTACAGTAATCAGTAATTCTTAGCTTTTCTTGCCCCGGTAGATGTGACATTAAGGTATTTATGGAAATCCTACCATGTTAAGCGAAGTGACATAGGGGTAGGAAGGGTGGTTTGTTACACTACAGTATGTACATACAAGGAAAGAACCCTCCTTTCGAAGATGTACCTCACCAGCCTCATTATCCATTCCATCTCGTAGTTGACCAGGGTGCCCCTTGTGAGCATCCAGGTAAGTATTCATATCACGTGATGGTACTGGAAAGGTGCAATGCAAGACAAAGTCATGATTATAATATCGCCACAACGGATGAACAGAAAGTTATAGAATCCGAGCAGTATCAGATAGCTTACGGCTTTGTATTTGGAACATTCATTCAGTTCATCACGTGTCTGAGATGTGGCGCTCAGTTGGTGGGATGGGGATCTTTCTACCACGATACTCCCTCGACTCCGTAGATCCGAACATTCTCAGTGGATCAAATGCAAAAGCACCCAATCAACGTTATGATTTTCCATTTTCTGTTGGAGCACTCCAAATGTCTGACCATTTTGAGGATGGATTTACCCGCGTCATGATCAGACCACCTTTTGCGGCTTGGATACCCATAAAATACCCATAAAACTACTGTAGGCCGCACCCCGGATAAGACCGTTTAACAGATCTCATGTCACCATCACCCCATATTAGCCTCTACTTGGACGCGGCCTGTACGGGGCGGGGTGTTCGTAGGTCCAGTAGTACCAAGTTAGACCAGCCCAGGTACGCTGCATTGATCAGGCCACCACAGCAATTCTTCTCGCTACCTTACCTTTCCCTACCTTTCCTTGCCTTACGGAGTCCGGATACTGTCCTGTAGTAGGGAAATCTGTAGCCATGGCTGGCACCCGTCCCCCCCAGCCTTGCATGTGCAGGTGCAGGTTGCAGCCAGGCGCACGCCGCGATGGCCCCGAATCTACGTACTAACTATTTATCTGCTGCCCCTCTCAAAAAGTCAAAATTCCTCGTATAAAGGAACGAGCTTCCTCGATTCACACTGTCTTCAGACCAAGTCACACACAAAGTCACATCATACATTTAATAGCTGAGAGCTTTAATCAGCTTACCTCGGTGCCAAGAGCAAGCAAGAGCTTCGTCCCTTACCCCCGCCCCCACCAACAAATTACCCCGCCATCCCAATCAGGGACTGCAAACAAAATACACCTCCCTTCCTCCTCCTCCCCTACCACAAAACAACCTTCTCAATCACCCATCATGGCTCCCTCGCGCGCCGATGTCGCTATTGAGAGCATATCCGCATATGGAACTGCTCGTTCAACCGTCGCCGAGAAACCCCTCAGTTCCGAAGAGGTCCGCAAGATAGAGGCATACTTTCGAGCTAGCATGTATCTATGCCTTGGCATGATCCATCTCCGTGAAAACCCCCTGCTCAAGGAGCCTCTCACAAAAGCACACCTCAAGGCCCGACTGCTTGGTCATTGGGGGTCTGATGCTGGTCAAGCATTCACCTGGATGCATTTCAACCGTCTGATCAAGAAATATGATCTGGATGCACTTTTCGTCTCGGGCCCGGGTCATGGAGCCCCTGCTGTGCTATCCCAAGCATATCTCGAGGGAACTTACTCCGAAGTGTACCCTAATATGTCGGAAGATGAAGAGGGCATGAGAGCATTCTTCAAGCAGTTCTCATTCCCAGGTGGCATTGGCAGTCACGCAACGCCAGGTAAGCACAGATATGCTTTCTGCGATAACTCTTCTTATTTCAATAGATCATTATACTAACTCAATGCTCAGAAACCCCGGGCAGTATTCACGAAGGTGGAGAGCTTGGATATTCGATTTCACACGCCTTTGGCACCGTCTTCGACAACCCCAATTTGATTACGTTGACTATGGTTGGAGATGGTGAGGCAGAGACAGGTCCTCTCGCTACAAGTTGGCACAGCACAAAATTCCTCAACCCAATCACCGACGGTGCAGTCCTTCCAGTCCTCCATCTCAATGGGTACAAGATCAACAACCCAACCATCCTCGCTCGAATCAGCCACAAGGAGTTGGAATCACTGTTCCTTGGTTATGGATGGACACCCTATTTCGTCGAGGGTAGCGACATGGAGAGCATGCATCAAGCCATGGCTGCAACCCTAGAGCATTGTGTCTTGGAAATCCGCAAATACCAAAAGGAAGCTCGTGACTCCAAGAAGGCGTTCCGACCACGTTGGCCCATGATCGTTCTTCGTAGTCCGAAAGGATGGAGTGGACCAAGAAAAGTGGACGACAATTTACTCGAAGGATACTGGCGCGCCCATCAAGTCCCAATTCCCGATGTCGCTTCCAACCCTGACCACTTGAAGGTGTTGGAGAATTGGATGCGCAGCTACAAGCCGGAGGAAGTTTTCGATAAGGAGGGCACTCTCATTCCCGAGCTGAAGGCTCTTGCCCCAACCGGAAACTCTCGGATGAGTGCCAATCCCGTTGGAAATGGTGGTGTTCTTCGGAAGCCTCTCCACATGCCAGACTTCCGCACATACGCCCTTACAAATATTGAACCTGGAATTTCCAACCTGCCCAGCATGTCCAACATGGCTAAGTTCCTACGTGATATCGTGGCCAAGAACCTGAACAACTTCCGTGTCTTTGGTCCTGATGAGACTGAGTCCAATAAACTTGGCGAGATCTACAAGGCTGGAAAGAAAGTCTGGATGGGCGAATACTTTGAAGAGGATGCCAATGGAGGAAACCTTGCATACGAGGGTCGTGTCATGGAGATGCTCAGCGAGCACACCTGTGAAGGCTGGCTGGAAGGATACATCTTATCTGGACGTCACGGTCTGCTCAACAGCTACGAACCATTCATTCACATAATTGATTCCATGGTCAACCAGCACTGCAAGTGGATCGAAAAGTGTAACGAAGTCGAATGGCGTGTCAAGTTCTCTTCGCTCAACATTCTTCTGACAGCCACCGTCTGGAGACAAGACCATAACGGCTTCACCCATCAAGATCCCGGTTTCCTCGACGTGGTCGCTAATAAGAGCCCCGAAGTCGTCCGTATCTACCTACCACCCGATGGAAACTGTTTGCTCTCCGTAACAGACCATTGTCTTCGAAGCACAAACTACGTAAACGTCATCGTCGCCGACAAGCAAGACCATCTCCAATACCTGGACATGGACGCCGCGCTCGAGCATTGCACCAAGGGTCTCGGCATCTGGGACTGGGCTAGCAACGACCAAGGCGTGGAACCCGATGTAGTCATGGCATCATGCGGTGACGTCCCAACCCACGAGTCCTTGGCCGCTACAGCACTCCTCCGCGAATTCCTTCCAGACCTGAAGATCCGTTTCGTCAACGTCGTGGATCTATTCAAGCTGATCGACAACTCTGACCATCCCCACGGCCTGACAGACCGAGAATGGACCTCGATCTTTACAAATGACAAGCCCATCATCTTCAATTTCCACTCCTACCCATGGCTTATCCACCGTCTCACATACAAGCGTCCCGGCCAGACAAACCTGCATGTCAGGGGCTACAAGGAGAAGGGCAACATCGACACCCCGCTCGAGCTGGCTATCCGCAACCAGACCGATCGATACAGCTTGGCGATGGATGCTGTTGATCGCATCCCAAGTCTGCACAACACGGCTAGCGGCGTCCGCGATAAGTTGCTGAATCTGCAGATCGCGGCCAAGGCGCAGGCATACGAGAATGGTACTGATCCTGAGTATGTTACAAAGTGGAGGTGGCCATACCCGAGAGAGTAGAGCAGCTGTAGATGGAGGATAAAGAAGTTTTTTTAGAACGAAAGAGAAAAGAAATATATATTGGCTGGGTAATGAAGACATGCGGCGTTCTTAGGCATATGATTGTTTTATATTCTTAGACTAGGGAATTCATTCTTGATTATGACATCCTCATTCTTCTTACGTGCTCGGTGTGAGACTTGCATATGTTCTGGTTCGTTCTTGAATCAATATTGTTTTCATTTATCGAATCCCCTCCAAAGCAAGCGTACCGGTAGTACATCATGTCACCCCTTGTATAGTACGTGCTCTGGCTCGTTACACCTAACATGAGTCCTCGGCCTAAAACCGTTTAAACGCCATCTCAATCTCACACACAAATCGTCCGTCCTGTGGATGAGATTCCTTACCTCCCTCACCTCGCAAATATACAGTACTAGTACTACCAGTACGTCACGTCAGGATCTCTAGTTCAGGCGGGCTTTCAAAGGCGATAAATTGCGAGGATAATGGGTAAAGAAGAAGTATGAGAGCCGTGAGCCTCTGATTCCTGATCAATGCATTTATTGCATGTACGGAGTACTGTAGTCTCCGAAAACGAAAGCTTTCGAGAGAGAATTCCCTAGCAATGAGTGATAGTCACAGGCAGGCAGTAAATAGAGTATTGGGAAACGGGGAGGAGATGCAAATGAATGATAGATCGAGAAATTGGTTAATGTGCGAGCTAGTTGAATAATGCATGAATAGTGCTTTTTTATCTTTAATGTTTCAGAGATCATTGTACGTGTAAATAACTAAATACAATCGGGATTCGATCATGGGGTCTAACTAATTATCGAATAAATATCCACAAGCTGTACATATTACGGAGTGATATCAAACAGAATATACATTAGTAAAAACATATGTGCTAATACGGACCAAGATACTCCAAAAAGAAAACCAAACCCCTTTTTTCATAATTACGGTGCGGTGAAGCAAGCTTAAACTGGCCCAGTGCCCGGAAGATCAAACCCGGGCAGATTGGGCCAGTTTCCCAGATTACCGGGATCGCCACCAATACGAACGAATTGTCCCACAGAGGGCGTCGGGCCGTCGAGCACGAACATCATGTACCAACCCGGTGGGCAGGCGTGGGCGTTGGGAGGGGCTGTTACTGTGCATGAGGTGCCGGCGCAAGTCACTGCTGGGAAGAGGGTTCGCTGACCCATCGAGTTGCCGTGGGTGGAAGATACGGAGCCGAGGAGCGAGACTTTGATACCGCCAGTTGAGGAAGTGAAAGTGATAGAAGCGCCGTAGCTCCAATCATTGTTACTGATCGTGAACGTTGGTCTTGCGGCACCTGAGAGGAGATAGGGGGGGCTGAAGACCTCGACGCGGTATTCCTCCGGGAAGCTGCCGGCGGGGTCCGTGTAGTCGCCTGTGGGATCTGAGCCGGAGACCATGACTCGGCCGTCGAGAAGCGTGATGGCTTCGGAGTGGTAGAGGCGCGGGACGGTGGTGTTGGCCATGATGCTCATGCGCGAGTTGACGGGCTTGGTGGGGTCGTAGAGAACGGCGTTTAGGTTCGGAGAGCCTGCGAGACCGAAGCCGGCGACGCCGTGCTGGCCGCCGCCGAGGATGAGATAGGTGCCATCGGGGAGACCGGCCATGGAGGGCATCACACGTCGAGAAGGCTGAAGGGAAAGGGGTTAGTATGGGAAGCTGTTTGGTTTGATGGGGGGGTACTTCTTACCATTCTTTCAATGGTCCAGGTTGGGTTAGCTGCTTCTGGCTGGGTGGAAACACAGTTATCGATGGCATATCCAGCGCCGGTAGTAGATCCACCGCAGACCAAAATACCAAGAGGATCAGTGAATGGTGCATACTGAGGCAGACTGACTGTAGCACCTTGCAATTGGTAAGTTCGTCCTCCTGTCGGGTCATTGACAGCCCCTGGCATGTTGGGAAGCGTCTTGACAGTGTTGAAGTTCACCTCGTCTATAATGCGCACTTCATTATAATAGACGATAAGGATACCGGAAGGCACAACCGTAATCCATGGGTAGAGATTGAAAGGTGCAGTCCGGTCAAGGAAATCCAAGTATTTCGTTGTATTGGAATATCCACTGACCGTACTTGTGTCAGGAACACCAGTGGCCGGCAGAAGTTCAAGTGTCGGTTGTTCTGCATCATTCTGTCCAATTTCACCACCGACAATTAAGATGGATCCATTGGCCATGATCAATGCAGTTGGGTACCATCGTGCGACTTGAAGTCGGAGGTTCGTTGGGTCCTCAACCCATTGATTCACACCTTTGACACCCGGAGACCCATCGGGCCAATACAACCTAACTCCAAAATTCGAGTCGCCTGTCCATCCCCCGACTGTAATTTGTCGGCCAGCTTTATCAGGTAAAGTGAAACCAGCAGAGCAGAAGGTGTCAGTCTTTGGCTCTGTCATAGTCCTCCAAGCTGCACTGAAGTTGTCGATTTGCGTGAGATCCAATTCGTATGCTCCCGTGCCATTCGGTTCACCAGTTCCAGCCTTCTCCACGAACGTGACCTTGCCAGTGATTGCTTGGTTCGTCATAAGAGGTACGACGACCCCACCAATCAGTAGGGAGTACTCGCCCGCAGCAGATCCAGTAGGGGTGTTCCATGTGTAGAGTGGGATTGTTGCGTTATAGGTGTACCAAGTGAGCCTATTTCCTGACCCACATAGATACTGGGGAGCCCCTGTACAGCCAGAGTCGCATTCCGTGTCAGGGCGTGTTGTTGGAGGAGTTCCGTAAGTGTAAACAAATGGATCAGTGGGGTCAGTTGAAGTCTGTGGCAAAGACGCAACAAAGCGGTTTGCACCATCACCGCAGTCTAGAGCGGGTCAGCTTAGATCGAGTAGCAAACGGGAACACTTACAGCATTGAGAGCCATATTCCAAACCAGCTGCGTTGAATCCGAACTCTTGACACTGCTTGATACATGCTTCTGGGGTGTTAGTCGCGCTGTCCCATAATTTGTATGGGAACACAGAAATGCTGATTTGAGCATTTTCAGCGGCAGGAATGTTGTCTTGAAGACAACCAGCATACGCCCAGCCAGTTGGAAGCCCAGCCTGTTGCGGACCTGGGGCTTGGAAAACTTGCGGGGTTGAATTAGAGTAAATGGTCATTCGGCTTCCAGCTCCACAGTTCTCGGATGTTGCTCCAGGACATTGTGTATTGCAATCGCCTTGATTGGCTGCAAGGGCACCACCAGCATATACGAAGTTGTCGCAAAAGCACTGTACTCCATATTCAGCCCCAGCAATGCTATACCCGAGACCATAACAGGTCTGCGCACAGGTTTGCAGGGTGTTGGTTTGGCTATCAGCTTGTTGATGAGTCAAAATACGTCCGTTCGCCCCATCGACCCAGCATCCTTGTGAAGTCCATCCAGCCGGAAATCCGGTAGGAGTAGGTGCTGCAGAGGCAGTAGAAGCAGCTGCAGATAAATCGACAGGTGAAGAAGCGATTGATGCAGCAGAAGAAGCTGCTGATGCAGTCCCATTCTTAAAGTAGACTGTGAGACGATTACCTGCCCCACAGAACTCGCTGGAGTCAGCTGCACATCCCATACTGCATTCAGAATTGAGAGCAGGTACAGATCCAGCACCAAAACTGTTCCCGCAATAACCTGAAAATTCCAAGTTAGCCTTGAAGTAAGTTACACACCATGATTGGCTTACATTCTTGGCCATATTCTGTTCCAAAATAAGAATACCCGCTACAGAACGTCGCACAAGCCTCATTGGTCATCGAACTAGAAGCAGTCGAGGTCGAAGCTAATGCGCGAGCATCAGTAGCCTCAGTCTGGCAGCCGTAATATTCATATTTTCCAATGGAGATTTTGTTGGCGGGAGCAGCAATAGTCTTTCCACTCCAGAAAAGCGACAATCGGCTTGGCCCTCCACATCCTTCGGTAGCATCACCTGGACATGTCATGGAACATTGAGCCGGGTTTGACGAGATCGCGCCGGTGGCAATAGCATTGCCGCAATCTGGCAGAAATTAGAAAGATTACAATCTATTACCAGAGATAAAACGTACAGCATTCAGCTGAATACTCGATTCCGGCATAAGCAAAATTATTAGAAGAGCAGTAAGATACGCATGACTCCTGGGTCATGGCCGCTCCATCATTATATCCTCCTCCTGAAAGAGTCCGGGTAGGGCCATTATCCCTGTACAAAAATCAGTCTTTCTGATTCAATAAATGTTGAAATTCTAGTCTATACGTATAGCAGCCCTGGAATGTCCATGCCCCTGGAAGAATTGCAGTATTGCCGGCGACGAGAACATCAAATCTCTGTTCGATGACGGCGGCTTTTGATGTGGAAATCTATAGATGGCATGTTAGCAAAGATAATGGATATGGGTCGAAGAGACTGACGGAGCTTAGGATGATGGCTGCTCGGAGGGCAGACCTAGCAGTTGGGATCATATTGATCCTCGGATGGCGCTTCAACACTTCCGGAAGCCAAGAGAAAAATGTGAAACGAATGTTTAATAAATGATTAATATGTTAAGACTATAAGACCATCATGAAACACATGAACGAATGTATGACCGGAACAAAAAGTCATAAGAAGGGACGAAAGAAAGGCAAACGAGTGTTAAGATATAACTATTCAGGAAGCAGATAAGTAATGGGGGTTTGAATGCAGGACTAGGGCTGATCCTGACAAGGGTATAAATGCACGACTTCGGCGGCGTTGTCAGCTAAGATTCGTATCCACTGAGATACCCGGAGCTTGGACTTGGCTCGGACCATATGGTATCTCCAGTGCGGCAATGTCATTGAGCTCCGTAAGCACAGACTTGAATCCATTTAAGTCGGGGATACTCCATTAAACGCCAAGAACGTCCCGCGCGTTTCCAAGAAGTCAGACTGCCCAGCTTGCCCAGCTTATACCGTACGGAGTAGGCACACGCCACCAACATATAATTTTTCATCGCAGAGTTGTACTCACAGACGGCGGACACAAAGTATTTTTGGATGTAGGCTCGTATAACATTGTTAGCTTTTCTTTCGCACATAACCTGCATGCCTAGTTGGCCCTAAGGACCTGCTTCAATAGGCCATCCTTCGGCCTAACTTCCTACCTAAGGAGAGTTGATGGCCTGGTATGGCCTTACCACCAACCAAATGGTCTACCTGAGAATCTGAGATAGATGATTTGATATATACGAGGCCCAAATACTCAGCCGCCAGCCATCAATCCATCAGGGAAGAAAGCTGGAGTACTACAGTCCGAGAGCCGTTCGAGATTCCACGTCGGTAGTTCTATTTCCGTATTCGGGTGGATGGTTGGCATCGATCGCCTTGATTCGTATTATATTGCAAGCCATCAAATCTTTTGAGCAATTCCTTGAGTCCTGGGCGTGTCATGCCATGTGTTTAACATCCGGTAGGTAGCAGCACGCGACAATCGATGGTCCCAAGATGCTACATAGTATAGCAAACGGACTAGCCGTACTCGCCATGGCATCAAATGTCCGAATGGATGAGTACGGAGGTAGTGCCAGCTGCTGGATCTAGTGGATGTGAAATTCGGAAAAGGAAGGGGGTGAAGTTGGTCAAAGCAACTTTTTTTGGCACGTGATTGCCTGTGATTGCCTGTGATTGCCGCGCCCCGGCCCTTCCAGCATTATCCCGTCTCACACTCACCTAGGTTTTCTGCATCCTAAGTAAATAAACTTACCACACGAGCCGCCTCGCCCACTTCACCTCGTATTCCCCGCATCTACAAAGTAATGCGATGATTAAGCCCCCCCCCCCTTCTCTAACATCCCGCAGGATCAGCTCCTATATTCACATCCGTCTGCCACTGAACCCCTGAACTGGCTAACCGAAGGGCTGTTTCCACGAAACTCTCCCAACGGAAGCAAAGCCCATCCAGAGCCCCTCCATCTAAACACTTGTGGATCAAACGGGAAGACAGTATACCCGGTTTCACGTCTGGAAGGAACAAGATTCGAAGACAGAAATATAATATATGATTCTAGACGCCGTTAGTAGTGGCGTTACGACACTTATTATAACTAGGGTCTAGGGCTGCCGCTGCGGCTAGATATGTGTCTAAGGTATGCTTATAACAACCTACTACATATTAAGATATACACCTTATTATTAAACTTCTATACACGTCTTCTGCCAAATGATAGAGTAAAGCCAGTGGCTCCCGAATATCACAAATCAGGGAATATTCAGAAAACCGGTTTGCTTTCTGCAACGCACTCGTCTCATGACTCGACATAAAGCTCGACATAAAGCTGACACATTGGCGAGATGGAGGGTAGGCAATAACTAATTAATAGCCTTAGGAGGTAAGTACGATTCTTAGCACCATTTGTTTTCCTATACTACGCAACTTATACCGTCTCTCGGCAACTATTTCTTATATAATATTTCCCCATAGGAGTAATATGGTCATGTGATTAGACATATTTAACCCCGCCCCAGAGCGCTGGAAGCCATCTGACTTATGGCAAACATTGTAACTTTCCAGAATAAAAACTTTGCCACTGAGATTTATCCAATATTTTGGTGATGAATATACACGACGCGCCCCTCTATTCACGTGACTAAACCGGTACTTTGCCGTCGGAGCTAGTCTGTGAGTGTACCTACCTAAGTTGTTGATTGCTAACAATACCAGTGTTTTATTTATGAGTATACGAGTATGACAGGATTGACTGAACTGCTCGTACATGTAACAGCTACATTCCGTAGGTGAGAAATCAACAACTCCAAAAACATCGACATCTGAAAAGCGATCCTGACGACCGGCCAAGAGTCCCAAGACCCCGCCTCCCCGCTTCCCTGCACCAGCTCTACTTCATACATGCATGCAAGCTGCCCTGCTCTAGACCATCATCAGAAGCATCTCCGGTCAGTCAACATAAGCCTGGGCTCTTACCGTCAAGCGGCAGCTTTAATAAGCTTCTTTTCGCGTTTCTATTCGTTGAGACGAGAAGGCTGGAGACACGGTACAATAGCGGGGTTACCTACGTAGCCTACTTGTAGCTCAGGCGACCTCGACAACCTTCTTTGGCTGGACCCAGAACTCTTCGTATTACATGACTACAATGGAAATTTAAGAGAAGGTAGATAAGCAGTGTAACTTTCGTCCAGAGCCTAGCAGGTCGTCTCATACGGTCTCCGCCGCAAGCATGGCATCCAAGCCAGATCAAGACGCGAACCAAGAGAATGCGCTCCCAGCAGCCCTCATTGCGCAAGCTGAAGCTGCCATAATTGGCAGTACTGGGAGTATTAGTGGATCCAGGCGAACTTCCAGAGCATCACAAAGAGCAAGCCATGGCGGGGAATCATCATCCAGGTAAATGGCTCAAATCTGTACCTGTCTCGAAGCTATCTAACCAACTTTCTCTTTTTACCCAGGGCCCATGGAACGCACCTCACAGTTCCACAGGACAGCGAAACCGAAGCCCCTCCAGCATACGGCGATAGCCACGATCAGATAGAGCTCAGCCAAGATGGATTTGACACAAAGGCAAATGTCACGGACGACGGACGGATAAACATCAATATCAACCAAAAGACTCGCAAACTCTCAGATCTGCTCGTTCCTGCGTTGAGGAACCAGCTAAAGCTAGTAGCACAGGAGGAGAAGGATACACCACTTCCACCCGGATACATACCGCCGGCACTGGGAGGATTGCCAGGTCAAACCCCACCTCCTCACCTCAATATCGTTATACATGTGGTTGGTTCGCGTGGAGATGTGCAGCCGTTTGTGGCACTGGGCAAGACGCTGAAAGCTACATATGGCCATCGAGTGCGCTTGGCAACGCATCCTACCTTTCAGACTTTCGTTGAAGAAAATGGACTTGAATTTTTCAGTATTGGAGGAGACCCTTCGGAACTCATGGCATTTATGGTGAAAAATCCGGGATTGATGCCTGGATTTGACTCTTTGAAGAGTGGTGATGTTGGAAAACGCCGAAAAGGCATGGAGGAGATTGTTTTGGGTTGCTGGAGGTCTTGTATCGAAGCCGGCAATGGCCTTGGAGCACCTACGCGCAAAGATAATGCGGATGGTGGATTCGACGCTGGAATTAATATGGATACCGATCCTTCAGATCGCCCTTTCATTGCTGACGCTATCATTGCCAACCCTCCGAGCTTTGCGCATGTCCATATTGCTGAAAAAATGGGAATACCTCTTCACATGATGTTCACGTAAGTCACCCCATCTAGAACTCCTGAATTCCTATTTATGCTACATAGTATGCCATGGTCCCCCACTCAATCGTTCCCCCACCCTCTCGCAAACATCCAATCCTCCAATGCCGATGTAAGTATGAATAATTTTGTATCATATGCCTTGGTGGAGATGATGACCTGGCAAGGCCTCGGAGACGTGATAAATCGCTTCAGAGAACATGCTCTTGGACTTGAACCAATCAGTCTTATCTGGGCTCCTGGAATGCTAAGTCGTCTGCGGGTGCCTTATACATACTGCTGGTAAGATATATTCTCCTTCTTCATTGGCCACGAATTCATAGAAACCTAGGTCACCAGCACTAATCCCTAAACCAAAAGATTGGGGACAATACATCTCTATATCCGGATTTTATTTCCTGTCGTTAGCTTCCTCATACACACCAGAACCAGAACTCGCTGCCTTTCTTGCCGCTGGTCCTCCACCGGTTTATATTGGCTTTGGTTCAATTGTGGTCGATGATCCGAATGCCATGACGAAAATGATCTTCGAGGCTGTTAAGAAGGCTGGTGTAAGAGCTCTGGTGTCTAAAGGCTGGGGAGGGTTGGGAGCTGATGCCCTGGGCATTCCGGAAGGCGTCTTTATGCTTGGCAATGTACCTCATGACTGGCTCTTCCAGCACGTATCGTGTGTTGTGCATCATGGAGGAGCTGGAACAACTGCTGCGGGTATCGCCACTGGAAAGCCGACTGTCATTGTACCATTCTTTGGCGACCAGCCATTTTGGGGAGCAATGGTCGCCCGAGCTGGAGCAGGCCCACTTCCAATCCCCTACAAGCAGCTTACTGCAGATAAGTTAGCTGCGGCACTGTCTGAGGCCCTGAAGCCCGAAACTCTCGCAAAGGCGAAGGAGCTTGGTGCTCGTATCAAAGAAGAGAAAGGCAATGAAGTTGGTGCCAAGAGTTTCCACGACATGCTTGGTGTCGATAATCTCAGATGTTCTCTGGCTCCTAACAGAACAGCTGTATGGCGGATAAAGCGTACTCAGACTCGTCTCAGCGCCTTTGCTGCCAACGTTCTTGCAAATGAAGGCCTTCTCGATTTTGCTGATTTAAAGCTGTAAGTCCTACAAATCCTATTTTTTACATTTTCCTAATAGAATAGATATCGACCGAAGGAGTATGAGACAGACGACGGCCCTTGGGATCCTATCTCTGGAGGCGCTTCTGCCTTGCTCGGAACTATTGGTAGCATGACGATGGGTATGGCAGACTTCCCGATTGAGATTTTCAGAGCCGCTCGATCCAAAAAAGATGCTCGTCTTGCTCGTAAGGAGACAACGAAAGATGGTCTTTCTGGAAGCGACACTATTGAAACATCCTCAAGATCTCGGTCTCAGCTCGATCTGGCCGCAGAAGAGGCGGTCGAGTCGCCCGCTGAACCTCTTTCACCTAGAGTCTCAACATCGACACTAACCCTAAAAACTTCACACGAAAGCGCCGAGCGCTCATCCAGTGATACTGCAGGTACCGGTGATACCTCACTGACTAGTATGTCAACAGAGAGAGCCGGCCGTGGGAATGCACTGAAAGAAGCCCTTCGGGGCACCTTATCCCGGACGAGATCTCAATCTAGAGAAGGGGCTGCTCGAATTGGGCGCTCTTTTTCAAAAGACCGTAGCTCTACATCTCGTACCGCATCTCCTGGGGGTGCACGTACTCCTAAGGAATTCGATACTAGTGCTTTGACGTTGGACAATGCAGTTGGTGCTGGAAAAGGAGTTGCTCGAATCGTGGGTGCTGGCTTGAAGTCGCCTATGGATTTCACCTTAGGAATTGCGCGTGGTTTCCATAACGCCCCGAAGCTTTACGGCGACGACACCGTCCGTCCACACGCGAAGGTCACAGATTTTCAGAGTGGTGTCAGAGCCGCAACTAAGGTACGTCCAAAAACCAATTTCAAAGCAATGCTAATATCATCAGGAATTCGGATTCGGATTTTATGATGGGATTACGGGACTTGTTACGCAGCCGCTTAGGGGTGCAGAAAAGGAAGGAGCTGCGGGTCTTATCAAAGGTATTGGAAAAGGCATTGGAGGTCTTATCCTCAAGCCTGGTGCAGGTCAGTAGTGGCTACTCTCTATTCTTTATACATGACTAACAGAAATAACCATCTAGCTATTTGGGCAGTCCCTGGATACACGTTCATGGGAGTTCACAAAGAGGTTCGCAAACTCTTTGGTAGCAGTGTTTTGAACTATTGCATTTCCGCACGAACGGCCCAAGGTTTCGAAGAGGCAAGCCGTGCAACGCCAGAAGAGCGACTGGACGTTATATATCGGTGGACAACCCATAAAGCAGAATATCAAAATATGAAGCAGAAATTATTTGAAACCGGTGGTCCTGAGGGTCAAGGTACCGGACATCTCACCCCAAAAGGATTCCTTCAAACTCGCCATCTCTCTTTCGAAGAGAGGAAGAAGCTGCACGAGTTAAGGAGACTAAAGCGAGAAGAGGAACAGCAGAATACGCACGGTGCTGGTGCTCACAAACACTGTCCTTTCTGTCGCCGAGACGAGCCGCACCTCCACACTCCCAGAGCGGTACAAGACACACCCAGTGTTCTCGATGACCCAGACCGAAACGACGAATTTGAGCACGCTATTCATGCCTCGGTGGCCGCCACCTCTCATGGTAATGTGGAGCAAGACATGCTAATCGAGCGAGCCATCCGCGCTAGTATAAAAGAGCTTCAGAGCACCGAGACGACACTCAGTGACGAGGAAGCACTAAGGCGCGCCATCCAAGCTAGTGTAGTTGAATCCGGACATAAATCTGGCTTTGATGGAGCAGGTTCGTCTGTTGACTTTACGGAAGAAGATGCAGAGCATCAAACCCTCCTGGAGAAAGCGATCCAGGAGAGCTTGAAGAGTTACTCACTTCCTGCTAGCCAACCACTTCAAGATATCGACACCGACGATGACGAGGAAGTCAAACTAGCTCTGAAGATGTCTCAAGAGCAGACTGGACCGAAACCTACCGATATTGACGATGCTCTCAACGTCGCGATACAGAAGTCGAAAGAAGAACACCTAAAGGAGAAGACCGAGGAAGATATCGTGTTGGCATATGTGAAGAAGCAGAGTATGAAGGAGGCTGAACATAAATCTAATATTGCGGGGAAGCAGAAAGAAGTACCGGTAGTGGAAGAAGCTTCACAGAGTAAGGCAGATGAAGAGGCGTTGAGACAGGCTATCGAGATGAGCTTGAAACACGCAGGCGGAGACGGGGCTTCTGGTTATAGTTAGATGAAATGATGCGGTGGGTTGGGAAATAGGATTGGTCTTGGATGGGGTTTAAACATATACCCATACGGTCACGGTAGAGCGTGTGTTAAGTGATGATTTTTAATCAGTTGTTCTTGGTATGCCGTTATTGCTTGTCAGCTGCCTTTGAACTTCCTATTAACATTGGTTGTCTCATGAAGCGTCTCCACCCACACATAAGCCCTGAGCGTCTTGGGCTGTTGTTCTGTCCATATATGTTAAGTCCATTGTTTTTATTCTGATGTCTGCATCCTTCAAGCAGCTAAGAGTGCAGTGATTGCCGCGAGCTCATGCCTAATATCCAACTTCAAGCTTTTAGAACGAGTGTGACTTTCTTGTCATCTGACTTCCTAGGCCGTTCCCTTGAGGCTTTTAGGACATTGAGGGAGGTAGTGAATCGCCCCTACTATTATCGCTTAATTGTAACAATTCGTCAAATATCAAATACCCATTCACAATTGGACTGCTACGCTCTTTACCGCTCTCATCCTCGTCTTTATCAACCTTGCGTTGGTAGCGTCGCGTCAACCTTCTTTCCTTCCTTCCTTCTTTCACACCATACACACACCTTTCCTTTGCGAAGACTATCTCAGCTTGCGACAGCGGCTATCCTGGCGATAGCTCCTGCCGCAGAGGAACTCTGTCTTCGATTGCGTCTCTTCACTTTGTTGCTCTTGACTCAACAACTCAACCGTCAAGAGCGATCCCCTCCGGCTTCAACAGCGAAACAGCGTCCATTTCGATTTCGACTGGGCTGTTGTCCCATCAGTTGACTCGATTCCCATTCAAGAAAACATCTCCACCAGCACCAAGAGGTCATCTGCTATCCGATTCAATACCCTTCCTTATACAAGAATTTCTACAACTACGCCCTTGTCAAGAATGAAAAAGACTTCCCTAAATCCTCACCTTTCTACTAGCCAACGATAAACCACATTGCAACCATGGGTCCCAAACGGAAAGCTGCTCAGGAAGCAAACAGTGCCAACAAAAAGGTTGCTACGGGCGGCGGTGTCGCAGCTAGGAAGAAGGGTGCTGCCGCTGCTGTTAAGCCTGCTCCGAAAACCACTCCCAAAGGCCCGGATAACAAGATTAAACGTGCTTCAGTTCCAGCCTCAAAACCAGTGAGTCCTATCTCCCAAGTCCCAGCTCATATACCGTCTTCCATCTTCTATCATCTGCCATCATTGCTGACTTCAAGCCGAAACTTTTGCAGCCAGTCACAGACAAGAAACGCAAGGATAATGCAGGGGCTCCGGCTGGTAACGGGGCTACATCACAAGTTCGAGCGGCATCTGGTCTGGGGGGAAAGGAGGGTCAAGGGCAAGCGCAAGCCGCACGTCGACCATCAATCTCCCAACAAGCTCCTCAGGGTAGCCCGATGCTACCTTCTTACAGCTCTGCGAACAAAGGACAAGTTCCCCTTATGAGAACGTCTATATTTTCCCCCGGACAACACAATGGCTCAGTAAATCCGTTCGCTGGGCGTCTTCAACCGCTTCAAAGTCCTATACATTGTGGACAACAATCTCTCCAGAGAAGAACATCCATATCATCTCAGGAACACTACAATGACCTACACAATAACTTCGTTGGCTTGCCTATGTCACCTGGAAATCCACTAACAAAGGAACAGACCCAAGCTATTGTGCAGCGTCGACTTTCTGGAGCTGGTCATAATAGGCCGCAATTTCAAGGTTCCATGAGCTCTCCTAGTCAGCCTTTTCAACAAGTTCATACACAATCACCGCAGATGGGCGCGAGAGGTAGTCTGATGAGCCCTCCAGATCAACTACATCCGTATGTTAGACAATCGCCACAAATGGGTGCTGGAGGTGGTCCAATGAGTTCTCCAAATCAGCCAATTCAACAGTCTCAGAGTCTTCTGCCGCAGATGGGGCCCGAAAGTAGTTCAATGAGCCCCCCCAGTCCATCATTGCAATACACTCATAGACATTCTTCGCAAATGCCAACAGGAGCTAGGCCAGCCCCGCAATCTTACCAGCAAGTAAGCCCTCGACCCAAGTTGCAGCGTCAACTTTCAAATCCAGAACCATCTAGTCGAGGCTTTTCCCAACTTGTTGGGAATCTGCCAGGGGCTTCTTTTCCTCAGTATACTTCCGGGAATAGCCAGTCACAATCTCAATTCGAGATGCTGCAACGGTCAAACCAACTATACAAATTTGAGTCTCAATACCAGACGCACTGTATGCAGAAAATGTCTTCGTTTGGACATTTGCACCCCCAACAGCAGCAGCAGACACGACAGTCTAGGCCAAATCCAAACGGTGACTTAACACAGATCCATGTTGGTGGTGAAAATATCGTGAGTGGATCCGACCATGGGGTTACTGGACAAGGTGAACAAGTATCACAACAGCCTCAAAATTCTAGAAACGGGTCTGTGAATAGGAAGGTGATGGGACCTCCTCCTATCCGCCTTCGAAATGCCGATGGTGGTGAACCCATTTCTCCAGCCAGCCACTCCCCACTGACACGTCCCAATGTGGACCCCCAAGATCCTGAGGGGCGAACGAGACTTGATATTCACGCGAGCACCAGACTCCTCAACAGACATGGCCAGCCAGACGAAAGTAGTGCGGAGACTCAGGCTTCTCCAGTCATTTGGGGAAACGGTGCGCATTCACCTCTGACACCTCTGAAATCGCAAGCTCCTGCTCTTCCTCATGGACAAGTTTTTAGTAGAGGCAATCATCGAAGTGGATTCATGTATTCGCCATCCGAAGAACCTGTCAGTGATGAAGCGCCTATCTTCCCTCAAACACAAGAGTCGACCCAAACTAATATCCAGCGTGAGTCTGTACCTGTGCCACTTCATAGACAATCACCGCAGATGGAACAATTACAGCAATCCAACGGATTTTACAGTTTGGATACGAGCGTATTAAACGGCAATGAACCGACTGGAGAGAAAAACCAAGATTTGGAGATGACAAATGAGCCAGCTGGCATGCCTGAATCCATGTTTGGGGAGGCTTTACCACCACCCATTGACTCACTTTTAGTTCCAGTGCCTCCAAATACAATCTACAGCTCCGATCCATTTGTATCCTTGCCACCTACTAGATCAGACAAAGAATATTTTCCAGAGCAATTTACCACCAGCGGCGGGCCACCAGCAGCTGGGTTTCAAAGCCCGGAGATCGGTCATATTCTGGGATCTTCTCCTCCAACGGAGTCAGTCAAGCCGCATAAGAGTGCAACTCAGACACTACGCCAGTGGGCTACTCTCGCCATTACCAAATCACATTCTCCTCCTACAAATTCACATACGAACAGAGATTTCGACCAGGTTGAGGAGGATACCGGACTTGGGATCATGCTGAGTGGTGATTTGAGTAACACCATCAACACCTCCCCAGGGAATTTGAATTTGAAAATGGGCACTGCACACTTATCAGGTTACTCAACACCGCAACTACCAACCAAAAATAATACTGGGCATACAAGCACTCTAGATTCCTCCAGCGCTCCTATGATACCCCCATTTCAACCTCCCGCCAGACCCGCTTCCCCTAAGACCGTTAAGCACAAGCTCCATCAACGATATGAGGACGGTATGGCTGGCTTGGCCGATCAGAGTGAGCAAGACACTCGACGTAATGGACTTGCGGCGCAAATTTTAGGCAGAATGAATCACTCTCTGAACAAGCCTCCACCACAACCTAGACAAACTGCATTCCGATCGGCAGCTAGTCCTGATTTCAAGCATCTAGGCATTGCAAGCATCAGAAAAGCAGATGAGAAACCTAGGTCTATATTTGAAGAATGCTCATGGTGCTATTTCGAGACAGACTTCGGTTTGGCTAATGACAGTTGCTTGCTTGACGCGAAAGCACTCCGTTCAATCTGCGCAGACTGCCGTGCTACTCAACAGAACTTTATGAATGAGTACGGAACGGCGACACGCGGCGCTGAAATAACAGCCGAGGAAACGGACAGGCTTAACTTTTTGGTCAAAAAGTGGAATTTGCAAGCCCAATTCACTCCACTGAATGAGGCAGTCATTTTAGAGAGTGGACAAACACTCGTTCAGGCAGCGCAAGCAAAGAAACTACCACAGAACACGAAGAGCGTCAGTGATGGCCGAAATATTGCTCCTTATAGAGGCATTATCACATGTCGCGGTTCTGCCCATGGACAAGTCGACGTCAAGAAGGCGCTTATTTGTGGGAGCTGCAAAGAGGAGAAATTCCGTATCATCAAGCATGATAAACACACGGATTTTCACCCCATTGCCCAGCTGCAAAATATGCGTGGCCCTCCCCACAGCCGCCGATGCATGATGTGTTGCAGTTCAGCGACCGATGCATGCGCAGATTGTCCGTTGAGACTTTGCGATGCTTGCCAAGTTCTTTTGATGTGCCAGTGTAAGTCGGTTTGCAATTGCTAGAAGGATGAACGCTGACGATAAGGACAGGCAAGGGGTATCTGAATAATCTGTTCTACCATTACAACAGCGCGCACTTAAGAAACGACGTAAGTAGATTGTCGGGTGGTGGGAAACTGCAGCTAATCTGTTTATGCAGGCCTTTCTTTTGCGCTCTGATGGTGGAGGATTCTGAACAGAACGAGTACTTCGGCGAGTTCGACCTCATATACAACACCTGAACACCTCGAATGTCTCTTGATTTGGCAACAGTCCCAATACCTGGTCCTATCCTGAGAAATGCTCTCTCTCATTCAACAATGGAGGATCTGAACTTACACGGACCTGGACACCTTGCCTCTTTCATACGCGATTCTCTGCGGGCGGCATCTTCTTTTCACGATACCCTGGTCCTTCCCAATATTGATACGCAAAGTTACAGTACCCGATGGCGGCATACCATCTAATAGTTCTGTTGTCTCATGCCAAACTGCAGATACCGTAAAAAGCCCAAACCATATATAATCAATGCATGTTTTCCGTGATGCTATGCCAACAAATGAGTGAAGAAAAGATTTGAGAATTTTAGAGATCGTATATATATCTCGGCCCAAAGCTTGCATAACATAGATATGAACGGTACGTTGTTATTGAAGAGAATGTTTGGACATGCCTTGAACTCGCCCTTCTTTCCAGCAAGATATGCAGACACGGTGTTTTATGTTTCCCTAGCTGGACGAACAATTAAGTGCTGAGCCTCAGCAGCTGAGGTGAGGTTGGGTCAAGGCGCTAGACCTAATTTGTTCATCGATGAGCCAAATACCTTGTCTTATAACATTTCAAGCCATCAACCTCACGAACCTTTTCACATGCAAGATATTTCTTCCGATTCACAGCTGCATTAGCAGATAAATCATATATAGTCTACACGTAAACATACACATAATGACATTAGTAGCTGCTCACTCCACGTGACAAGTTAAGAGGTTACTTATAGGGTGTGGGAGGATAGAAAGTAGGATTTGGTCGTTGGCAGTATTTCAAGTATAGATAGTTTTCAACCATAGCTCTAGTATATAATGCTATAAGACACATTAATAATTCTCCCAAAACCCCATAGAGAACAACGCGTTTCATGTTTTCATCTCTCATCTCTCATCAAGCCTCATTTGATAACATTCTCCCTCAACCCACTTGTCCTCAAACTATACACGCCATTACCATTTGAACTTTTCCCTTCTTTGCCCCCATTTTCCAACGCCCTCCTAACCTGCTCCCCAATCACGCCCCCAGCATTACTATCCGCGCTACCACTCCTACTCAGCACACTAGCGCCATCACTTCCCCTCCCACTACCAACCATCAGTAGCCCCTTTACACCCCCCGCCTTCCGCGCCGGCAGCTCGCTCGTCCCAGCGCTACATACGTACAACAAGTATTTCAGATTCGGTAGCGTTTGCCTGATATCCAGCACTTTTAGTCCCTGGCTCTCAGCCAAGCACTCGATATCCTTATTCAACAGAAATACTCCGTATTCAAAGCGGAAGCGTAATGTGCCTTTGTTGTAGAGCGGGAATGTACGTTGGTTGTCTTGCAGTTTGGAGATGTAGTCTTGGATTATGGAACGGGAGCCGTAGGCTGTGATGGGGTAGGGGAGGGGGATTGAGAGGTAGTATTGTAGCATATCTACGACACGTGCCACGTGGCCGAGGGCCGCGGAGACGGTGTCTTCGTCTGCGTCGTCGAAGTGGGAGTTTGGGAGGGCGAGGGAGCAGATGGTGAAGAGGAGTGGAGAACTAGTTGGCTCGATGGGGAAAATCGCAAGGAGCTCTTCACAGATTCGGCGGCGCTGTTGATGGATTTCTGTGGTCGTAGTGCTGAGAAGTTCTTTACAGTTTGCAAGTTTCTCTTGGGCGTTGTTGATGTCGTCCATTACCCGCTCCTGGGCTTCTTTGCCTGATTGTATTGCTTTCCTCCTCGCAGCTATCGAAGCTTTGAGCTCAGCCCGTCTCCGAATGGATTGCTTCAGCAATTTCTTCTCAGAAGCAACGTATCTCGAGGCAAGCGCTGCCTCTTCCCTTGCTTGAGGTGATTCATCTACCGGCATATCTTTCAAGATAGCATTGATCTGACTCGCAATTTCCTCCCTCGTAGCCAGCGCATCCTGTATTGACTCGTCCAAATTCGAAAGCCGCATCAGCGCACTATAACTCGACGTAGGTGCCACCGGAGCAGGTTTTGGCTTCGGAGGCTTCGAAGCCAACTCAATAGTATAGATCCCATCCACAAGCTGGAAAAGTATACAATTCGGCGGAAAGGCATGGTTCTCCAGCCTGCCAATAAACTGCAAGCTCTGCAGATTAACCTCTTCTTCAATGAGCGGGACAAAGTCTTCCCTCTTCACCCAGATCCGGACCGTAACTATATTCAAACGGCTGATACCTGGTCCCATTTCCGAGAGATCGAAGAAGCGGAAGGTGGGATTCATGGCTTTCTCCACCACCTCACTGATATACACAGGCTCATCGGATTCCCGTCCCGCAACATGCAACGTAAAGAACGTATCCGCCATGCGCGCATCAATCACATCCTCCAGCTTCTTCTGTCTTGACACCGGGCTCGCAGCCCCCCAGTTTGAGCTCCTCCTCCTCCCCTTCTGCGTCGGGCGCAATTCATCCGAGGACTGCGCATGGTGGAGCTGGGGCTCGCGTTTCTGGGATGTTTTGTTGAGAGCTGTATCGTCAATTGTTTGGCCGCGCGGACGAGTGAGGGTAAGGTTCCGGAGGTATATGCCTTGGAGATGCCGCAGTTTTCGGTTTTGGGGGAGCAGGAGAGGCCGCGATGCCTCGGAGGGCATGGTTGGTGGTGTTGAGTGAGAGCTGTAGTGGTGTTGTGTTGCTAAATATGGTTTAGCGGGGAAGCAGCTAGCTAAGCTCCGGCTCTCAGCCTCGTCCGTAAGGCTCTGACTTTGAAGTATTCATGATTCTAAAAGGTTCGCTACGAGCAGCGGAGATCATCAAGGAGAAAGATGTAATGTTTGAGAATGTGTCACATTGAAGCCCTTTCGAGTTGGAAAGTACTCATCTGGAAAGGTCAGTCTTACGTCGCGAGTTACCTTGACTCAGGTCGAGCACAGCAATTTGTGACACCGCGTACAGTAGGCAAATTGAACTTTATCATTTTATGGCCCAGTCTATATCCCCAATGACCTCCCATTCCGATTTCCGACCAAGAAATTCCATAGCACCGACTCCATAGCACCATGCTAATTCCATAACTTTTGCCTTCCGTTCCCAAACTCCTCTTTTGAAATCATCTCTTCCTACCAGCTACCGTCACAGTAGCCCTTGGCTTACAATCATCTGGCGCAATCGGATGCAACATAATCTTATTAACGTGCTGGGGACCATTGAACGCATATCCCTTATGCCAATCATAGCTGACGGCATAAGCAAAAATCGACCCATCCATATTGAAACCAGTAGCTGATATCGGTGCCCCAACAGATGGATATCCCCTGAGCCGATTGTGCCCGTCCTTGTCCCAGAAATGGAACGTTCCATCTGATCCTGCCGAGCTGAAGGTGCCATGGACGGGGTGGAAGGAGATGGCGTTGACGGCGGAGACTTGGACTATGCTATCTTTGTCTGGTAGAGTTCTGTGACAGCGGAACGCGAAGTTGCGGCTGTACAACATTATTAGCTCCAATTTCCTCTCACGAGGGCTTAGGCTATACCTTTCATCTTTCTGCGCAACATATTGACACCCACACCTCCCCTCTATACTCCCCACGGCAAAGCCCGACGCATCAATAAAACAGCTCACAACCCTCGTCTGCTCCTTGAGCGGACTAGCTCTCGTCTCAAAGATCGTAGTCGGTGTATTCAGATCTACAATATGTATATGTTTCTCCGCCGTCCCAATCACAAGCAGCTGCTCCTTGACATCCATTGCATATACTCTGTCCTTGCACACGAGCGTCGCTGCCGGCATCTGCTGCCTCAAATCCCAATACCGAACACTCTTATCCCAGGAGCCGGTCGCTAGCATTGGCGCATTCGCATTCGGAATTTCGAAAAAGCGGATTGAGCGGATAGGCGCGTCATGCGAGGAGACCTTCTGCGCCGGAGCTCCGTTTGCGGTTAGATCAAGGAGTTTGGCAGTTCGGTCTGCGCCTGTTCCTGCGACTTTAGTGCCGTCCTGGATAGATGTTAGACATGAAACTTCAGCTGAGATAATGGTACATACCTTTGACCAGTCACATGCAAGGACTGGACCCTCGAAGTCAATGGCCGCAACGCCTGTCCCCGTCTGGTCTGTTCGAACATCGTAGATCCTAACCCTACAATCCCATGATCCTACAGCGAGGAAGTTCGCAGCTGGCGACCAAGATAAAGAGGAGATGCTATCATCCGGTGGCATTGAAAGCGTAGCATCTTTGCTGAGATCATTTGTGGCTACGTTGTGGGACGGGGTAGCTGAACTCCAAAATGAAGACATGCTGTTGGTACAGTACTGGTGCTGGGCAAGAAAACCAAGACGGTGAACAGAAGACAAAGTTGAAAGTTAGGAAATGAATGTGAATCGGAGGAAATCTGACTTACGGGTACCTCGACCGGTGGAAACTTACGCGTTGGTCTTTAATGCGAGATTCACCAACTTCATCGCATTCATCCCGGCATCTTGAGAGGAATGCGAGATCAGATAGCTTGGAGGAGGCAAGGAGCTTGGACCGTTCCACGTGATCTCCCCCCTCTTATTGGCTAAGCGAGGGGTCGGAAAGGATGGGTTGCAGTGCATCGGGGTTTATTGGTAGGTGTGATACTCTCAAGCAGATTCGTTCGAATCAGACATTTGTGACACAACAAGGTAAGTGTGGTCAGCCTGGAGATTGGCTGAATCACCCCTCCTTTGCATCAGCCCAGAAAAACTGGAGTGCAGATCTTGCAAGTATCTATCCATAGATTGGGGTATCTTGGTATGAAAAGGTGGATAATGTAGGCAGTCTCCTCAAATAATATACCGAGGTCAATAACTCGTATTATGCTCGATATGCTATATCTAGGTAACTGCACTTGCCTCTCATTTGGAGGCACGCAAGCGGTGGTAGGTATTTGTTAAAAATCCTGAAAAGCACTTTTGTTGAGCTTTGACTTCGAGAGCCTAGCAGGAGGATGGCATCATGATTGGCACACATATTCATTCCCCATATCCATTATATCCATTGATGCTTCCCCGTAAACATTTCCAACCTCCCAAAACGCTGAATGCAATGCTGTCTATGTTGAATGCTGATATCCCCAACGCCAAAGAAATCCTAAATTAAGATATCCGATTAAGGCCAGCTTGGAAGCTATTTGTCCTTAAGCAGAGTATGAACAGGAGCGTTGAGCTTGTCTCGGCCCTTCAGGAAGTCGATCTCGAGAATGAAGAGGAATCCCATTAAATCTCCACCAGCTTTCTCAACAAGTTGTGCAGCCGCTGCGGCAGATCCACCTATTTTACCGCGTTAGAATCAACACTGTTGAGGTACGAGAAGCCACCGAAGGGAGAGGGCTTTAACTTACCAGTCGCAATTATGTCATCCACTACCAAAACCTTCTGCCCCTTCTCTATAGCATCTGTTTGAATCTGAAAGAAATCCTGTCCATACTCCTTATCAAAGCTTGCTTCCTCAGTAGGGCCAGGCAATTTACCCCTCTTCCTGACCGGAGCAAAGCCAGCACCAAGACGCAAGGCAAGGCTGGGGCCGAACAAGAAGCCTCTTGCATCGAGCCCCACTACAACGTCTGGCTTGACACCATTTGTGAATTCGAGAACTTGTAATTCAAGAGTCCGAATGAGTTGTTCGTGCAGGGCGTGGTTTGCGAACAGCGGGAGGATGTCGATAAAGTCGATGCCCTTGATAGGAAAGTCGGCGAAATTTCGAAGGGCGGCTCGCAGGCTTATCTTTGAACTGGCGAGTTCGGAGGCACTGGCGGCAGAGGTGGGGGGCTGGGACTCGAGTCTCGTGGCATGGTTATTGCCTCCTTGTTGTGAATCGGCGGTAAGAGCTTCGGGTGTTTGTTGTGTGTTCATCGTGACGAGAAGAGGGAGGAGAGAGGAAGGTGAGGTGATGTCGGTAGTGAGATATGCAAATCGATAGAAAAAATTCTAGGATTGGAAACGCGGCGGTAGTTCGGTGGGCCTTGGTGGACTGGGCTGGGCTGCGTGCCTTCGCAGGGTGGGCTCGGAAGATCTTGGGCTTAGGCTTTGGGCAAACAGGCAGGGAGGGTGAGAGAAGAGGGGGCTGGAACCGCAAATCGCAAAGAAAGATGGGCTTGGAGGGTGCTGCAGTACTGTATAGTACTGTGCTGTACTGACTGTAGTGGTAGCTCGATGCGATCGATGCTGCGGTCAAGCGATTGAAGCGCTACTAGTAAGTTAATCAAAGGCGGTGGGGGAGAGCGAAAGACAGCCACCGAGGCGGCAGAAGTGAGGAAGGTTGAGTGAGTAAGGACTACTAGTATGCACACAGTACAGATAGTTCCTGGACAGCAAGGAAGGTATGGCAGGTCTGAGATCCGGTAGGCTCCGCTCCGGACTTGAAGCCGTGTGGCTATTTGTGGCAAGTGAGAAAGAGCGAATTGTTTGAGTTGAGGACGTGGGGTGGGATGTGTTCAAACTCCAAAGACGGTGTTTTGCAAGGTTGTGCATTGTGCATGTGCAAGGAGGGGCAATGGCGCTCTGGCCTAGTCCGCGGGAGGATCTATTTACCTCGATTGTACGGAGTGTATGTACTTCGCGTTGTCACGAATCGCCAACACACCTTCCTTGGTGGCATTATTATTCCCTTTCTCCTACCAGATGAAACTTTTTCATATGGTGCAATCATGATACTCTTTCTCTCTCGTCCAAGTCCAGAGAAAGCTGCATGACTTGTCATGATATATCAAACGGCCGTCTCCGTTTCCACTCACGAGCATGAGCCCATCCTACATGTATCCCCACTATTCGACCGCATATATTTTCCCCGGTTTTACAAATTTTCTTGCATGAGCCATGGCTAAAAAAACAGCATTGAGCCGAAGACGTCTTGAACAAAGTCTAAGAAATCCAATCACAAACGAAAGCTAAGGACCTGCCACTTCACTCCATCCCATCTTCTTGGTTAACACCACCCATGCCGTTGACCGTTCGCCATTCGCCATCCGCCATTCCTGCCAGATACGAGGAGTCATAACCTAAAAGTGAGGCCGTTTTCACATGTTTTCTTTCAGCCTGTCATCAAGTTATCTTACCTCGTATGAGGTCTTATCAAGTCCCGAAATGTTCTCCTTCCGATTTGAGGGAAAACTTAGTTGTACTGTACGAAGTATATTCCCTCCCCGTGGAGTAAGGGACCTCCTAGCCTAGTCAGGAAAAGAAATAGACGCCTAAAGAAGGCCTAAAGTTGCACAGCATGAACGGAAAATAATACAAGGGCTGCGTCGGTAATCGTTCTGGACTTGAATTTGATGCACGGAAGAGGTGCACAACATTCAAGCCGCGGGGATCGTTATCGATTAGAAAGGCAGGCAAGGGGTGGGGGTGAGGGGTTGAAATGCAGGCACCAATTTTGATTGAAGGCTTGACCGCTGCTTCGAGGACTGAATTGGGATAGAGGCGCATATAAACGGGTAGTAATGGGGCTCGTACCAAGTAGGTGAGAACTGTATAAGAAAGTTGTACGATATTATATTTCAGTTATGGTCACGTGTAATGGCTAATTGTCACTTGAAATCGTCTGTCTTTATCTAAGTATTTCTTTAATATGTCCTCCTCGAATTCCCTTCATATTCTAGAATCAATCTTCAAAATAAGTCAACCCGCTTGCGCTTCCCGCTCGGTCTCTTCGCCTGCTCCTGCTGTCGCTTTTGTTCTTGCTGGCTCTCGTCCCGTTTCCATTTCTTATTTGCGGTCGGCCTGTTCACTTTCACCGGCTGCTGCACTTCTTGCTGCACCTCGTCATTGTTCTGATGATGCGGAGATATATGAAGACCGACCGGAAGTTTGCCCTCATACCAGCATTGAAGCATTCGTACCACCTCTTCCCAACCAGAATCCCAACCTACAATTCTACCCCAAGCAGAAGCACCTTTGGGCTCCAGCCATTTCTGGCGACGTGATAATTCCTTGTGCTTGATGATCATTCCGCCTCCCGCTCCAGGCTTGTGCTGCTGGAAGCACAAAATGAAATGTCTGCAGCCATCATAGATATGATCTGCGTTCCAAACACCCATTGAAATATCGATTCGCGTGGAAGTCCAGGTAGAGAGAAAGTCAGAGCTATTACCTCGAGGGTCATCATCCAAGTCTCGATCATACACAAACACTTCTTTGATTGAACGCCAGTGGTAAAAAGCCCAGTCGGGAAATATAACGAAAAGTGTATCGATGCCCGGGTTGATGTAAATACATCGCTCTTTTCTGGTCCGTTTGGAGGACACAGTCTTTCGCTTCTTACGGAGGCGGAAATGTTCTTCGGAGGGGGAGTATGAACGTTTGAATGAGGATTCGCTGCTGGAGTCATAATCGTCGAAAGAAGATTCGCTCCCTGAGTCGATCTTATCTTGCCATTCTGACTGTCCTTCTACCTCGACCTCGAAGCATTTCTTCAAAATCTTAAGGCCCTCGTTCCGAGATTCCACACAGGTATGTATGATTGCCGGAATAGGCGAAATGGAGGTAAATTGTGGTGTCTTTTCACTTGGTGTACTTTGCTCACCAGGCCTACTCCACCAATTTTTCAGCGTGAAGGCAACCTCTATATCTCGAGGCTGTTTCACAACATGTCTCCATACCCGCCCACGAATGAGTGATGGAAGTTCGGAAAACCGAGTGAAGGTTGATGTTGTCTCCTGGCTTTCGGAATCGGTGCTTGGAGAAGGCGGGGGAGACCGTGACTCGTCGTCCGACATTGTGATTTGGCTAGATACGGAAACACAGCAGCAAGGATTGGAGGAGTCGAGAGAACAGTTGATTATGTTCTTGAAGAGATGGAACTTGCAAAGGATGGAAGTCAAGAGACAAAGATGAACTTAAATACATACAGAAGAGGACGAAAACTAAATGAATATGGGAAGGTAAAGTTGTGACCAGTCTGGTAGTGACAATAGAGAAGGAAGGCTAACAAGAATAGAACTCGGGAATAACAATAGGCAAACAAGGCTTACCAGCATGGAAGGTGGCTTAATGGGTTGTCGTGATTCACCGCTCGGAAGTGCCAGACTGCATTGTTCCAAGTCTATTTATCTAGGAAAACTTCTCGCCAACCTACCAACCCTCAAAAAACCAACCCTCAAAGAAAAAGAAAAATATCCTCGCCATGTCATCGCTAGCCGCAGTAAACGCGGATATGGCTGTCGCAACATTCGAGCTGTTCCCTACCCTCCCAATCGAGTAAGTGACATTCGCCAGTAGGAGCTCCTCTCCGAGTCGTTTGAAGAGTTGGCAGTGCAAGACACCTCTCGAGCTAGAGCCTCCTACTCGCTATCTGCTCCTGATCTATTTCCCCAGTAACGATGCTAACCCCAAGTTTGTGTCTTGAGGATCCGTCTCAAGATCTGGCGTATAGACGCACACCAACCTCGCCTAGTCGAAACCGCAATCATTTTCGTCAAGAATGAAGGCGGCGGCAAAAAACCGCAATTCAAGTCGCTCAGCAAAATTCCGGCCGTCCTGCACGTAAACCGCGAAGCTCGCACTGAAACCCTCAAGTTCTTCACAAAATGCCTCCTGGAACTAGATTGCTCGCAAGTTCTGGCCCTCATCGATTCTGAAAGGAGTAGACCTCTAAGAACAGCACGTAATACGCGGTCTGCGTTGGGTGTCATGCTGCAAAACTATGAAATGCCCACTTCGCTATCTCCTCCGCAGGTCCACTTGCCAGCTATTGATCGACGCGTTTACTTCAACCCCGCAACGGACTGTCTCTGTATTGAGATCGCTAAAGCTACTCCACATCTGAACAGATTTTTGGAGGTCTATAAGCTCAGGGAACAAATCCATAACTTGCAGCTTGGGGAAACTCTGACTTCTACACGACTCAGGATGGGCGCTAACTCGACTGTGAGGGGGATTTGGTCTCTTGAACCACCGAGTGATTCCATTGTTCCATGTGGTGTAACCGACAGGCACTATTATATGATGGTAAGGTTCGAGTTTGGCGAGGTTAACCGCCGCACCAAACCCTTCGCACAGGCTGAGTTTCCGAGATGCATGACGGTACTGCCATTTACCGGGGTTGGATGCTTTACTTCTGCTAGGAGACGGGAATGGCATAACCACCTGCAGTGGTTTATGATAAACTTTGTCGTGGGTGAGGGAAATGAATTGGCAAAGAAGAGAAACAAATGGTGGAAGCGTACTGGCCGCGGACTGAAGCGTATCCTCACTTTAGGCCTATCCTAGGCAACGTTGGCTGGATGCTTCCCACCTAGAGAAATATCTACGAACATGACGACGAATGTAGTGGGTTATTTTTGCATCCACTTGTTGAGGAGGCTAGGTAGCATCAGTTTGAGGAACTATACGTACCTACCACCCAAACACACCACATCAGCGCAAAACTTAACGCGAGTCTACGAGTGAAGAAGTCCGCGAGCTTGAAGTCTTGAAAAGAATTGTCCTATGCTCCCCTCCAAGCTAGCCTGACTGCTGATTTACATATAATCTACATAGGTCAACCAGTCTTCCAAGTACTATCTCTTCTCATCCATCCCTTCCAAAATAAACACTAACCGATATCCCAAACACCATCCCGAAACCCGTTGAGTGGAGAAATGCTTATTTCGTTATATAGCTATATATAGCAAAGGAAGCGGCCGAGGTTGCAGCACAACTGTTCAGAGCCTTAACGCAAGGCGGCATATAAAGCATGTAGGCCCTGCCCTCAACCGCTTGAATCAAGCATCCTGAAAACCTAAGGTGCACCTATATACCTCAATATCCTCAGCTCTACCATTTTAGACCAACCTAGACCAAACGCATAGCTCCTACTTCTCCACCGCGTCCGCCACCTACTATTCAATGATAGAAATATAACAGAACATAACATGACCAATACCAGTCTGTTTGCCTATCCCCTAGGACAAAGAAACATGGTTCATATATATATTCCTGCAATTCAACGCACCCAGAATTCAAACTCCAACAGACCACAACCTATAGACATACCTTACTCAACACAGCTTAATGATTAAAGCAGCACACCACAGCTCTATTTGAGATTTAGCATACCCAACCTAACCTCCCCTCCTTAGCTGTCTCACTCTAAGCTAGGTTTCCGCACAACTAGCTACTTATAAAAACTTTCACACTTGTGGGAATAGATTATTACACTCTTGTATGCGTAACAGTATTCGGAATGAAAAGTCATTGTTTGGAAGACAACGTTTAAAAGCAACTATGCTGAAGAATCAAAGAAAGCTACCTTAACAAAACAAACATTGCCCCTAAACCTCTCGTGAGGTTAAGGGGCTTAACCGATGGCTCAGATTCCGTGGGAGGTATTTTAATACACTAGCATTAAGAAGCAGACACATGTATTGAAGATCGGCTGCAGATTTTACATATTTACATCTTTGTATTAATGTACCGCTATCAATGTACCACTATCGATGTACCGCTATTCCATCATTACTCGGTGGTAACACCCAGTAAAGATCCGCTATTTATGTGCCCCAAACTCCTGTCTTCCAAGCACTATCTATGCATTACATAACTAACAATTTAATGAGAATGTCCATCATGTTCAGAATGGTCGTGTTGTGGCTCTGTCGCTGGAGCAGCACAACATCCCTTGCCTGTACAATTATCCACACATTCTAGTAAACACTCCTCGTCGTCCATTCTACACCGCGCTTGGCCGACGATGCCGTCGAGACCTATGATTGCGTCTTCACTATGGTCATGGTCTCTGTCGAGGCAGAACTCTGGCTGGATAGTTGCGCTGTGGATGCCGTAGGCGTGGAGGCATTTCCGGGCTGCCCTGGAGATCTCCATATATTTACCACCGCTGGCTTCGCTGATGGGGAAGGCAATTTGGACGTGTAGGGACGCGACGAGTTGTACTTCACTCAGTTGCCAGATATGGACGTGGTGGCAACTAACGACTCCGGGGATGTTCTGGATGTCTTGTTTGATGTCGATGACGTCGAGGTGATCGGGTGTTGCTTGAAGGAGGATCTTGGCGGTAGCGAAGGTCAAGGGAATTGTTGTTTTGAGGATGATTGCTGAGATAAAGAGCGAGACAACGGGATCGGCGTAAAAGCGTCCAGACCAAGGTGTGAGCCAGATGATTAGCGCCGAGACAATAACTCCTACATTTCCCAAAGCGTCCCCAATGACGTGAAGAATCATTGCGTTCATGCCCATATCACCATGGCTGTGGCTGTGACCTCCCTTCGATGGCTTCCTTGGCTTGTTGTGGTTGTGGCCAGCATGCCATGAGTCGTGTCTTGGCTTCTTAAGGCCGTGATCGTGATCATGGCTATTGGTGGCTCCATTCGATTTGCCATTTGACTTGGCAAGTAGTGGAGAATCTTCAGTTGGCGCCGCCTCATCGACAATAGCTTCTTCCTCATTATCACCCTCACTATCTGTCCCATCCTGTCGCGGTTTGGTCGAAGCAATGATATCTTGTCGAAAGCTTGCGGGATGGATGCTGAGATCATCAATATTGTTGAAAAAACCGCTTGTCCTTCTCCTATGCTTTTTTGGCGATGATATCGTCTTGCTCAACGACTTGTTTGTAGAGCAACTGTCTTTCGTGCTATTTTGCTCCTCTTCAGTGGTCCTGAACCGAATATGTTTGGCCTTAGCTATTAACACCTCTGGGAATATATCGCCCACGCCATCTTCCTCCTGGTCTGCATGGTCGTGTAGGTGTGGCCCCTCATGCGCATGACTATGTCCTTCCTCCGCAGCGCTAATTTCGTCACCATGGTCGTGTTCCTCGGCTCCATGAGAATGTCCATGACCCCCAAGAACCAAGAATCCTACTAGGTTGGAGGCGAGACCGATAGACCCAACAATAAGGATGAGCACCGGGTTCGAGACCACTGGTGGGTCAAAGAGACGTTCGATAGCTTCGAGAATAATAGAAAAGCAAAGTGCGATTAGGAATACGGCGTTGAAGGCGGCTCCGAGGATCTCTGCTCTCAAGAACTACAACACTATTAGCTTTCATCCAAGCCGTGCAGAAGCGATGAGACCCTACCCCGAAAGAGTATTTATCTGTGGATGACTGTTGTGCAGCCTTGACAGCCCAAAGTCCTACCGCCAGAGAAATAATATCATTCAACTGCAACCCATTAGCATCAGCAGAAGTGTTGAGAGTGACGTAATCCCTACCATATGAAAAGCATCTGCCATCAACGCCAGTGACTGTACATAGAGACCAACAGTCAACTCGACAATGAAGAAAACGACATCTATGCCCAGCATTATTGATATCCGTGTTGACTTTGACCACGCCATGATGGAAGGAATGTGGCGAGAGAAGCTCTCGAATATCACTGTAGTGTTTGGTAATGAAATGGCTCGTCTGGCTTGTGATGCTTGTTGATATGGCAGGGACTGGAGAACGGATGGGTGAAATGGGGTGAGATGGGATAGGTTCTTTCCTTATCAGATGTAGAAGGTGGGGATCTGAAGTCAGAAATGGTCGGTACTCCGGAAAGCGCAACCCAGAGTGAGAGGTCACTTATGAGTTAAGATGAAGAAGGGAATACGCCTGCGCCTGCGCCAATGCCTCTGCTGTACGATGCTGAGGATATCGTGGAGTCTGGCGTGTTTAAGGAGGCGAGGATGGACCTCATGGCGGGCTTATGGGATTTGTTTGTCGATGGCGTAGGCGTACGGAGTATGCGACGGGATAGGGCTCACTAGTGCTAGTGGACTGGTATTGACCGGTAAAGCTTTGATCCGTCAGATCTGCGAAACAGAGCGGAGACATAGTACCGACACGTGACTATTTTGGTATGACCTTCCATATTACGGACTCCGGAGGATGCTCAGTTGTAAACTTCAGGCTGGAGAACTGGGAAATACTTAGTATGTCATGTCCTTAGTTGGTCTGAGAGAACGTGCGTGGCTTAAGACTATCTTCTTTTTGTTCAATATTAATGTGGTTACGCGAACTTAAAAACACCTGACACTGAAGGGCTTTTGTCACGACAAAGACTTGTAATGAGAGACATCCTGCTAAATATTGTCTGAAAGATGTATGTTTTTTGATATGGAGTTTATTTGACTTGGTGCAATGTTCTTGATCCATCCATCAAACTTGAGGGCATGTGCTAGCAACTACAAAGCAGTCCGCAACTTGCCTTCCATGGTGTGAACTTTCGCCTACGCATAATGTCCATCAAGTGAACTAAATACTAGTATCCTGCAGTGCTTCCGGTACGTCCAGAGTACTTCCCACGTCTAATATGCTCGTAGCAAGTGAGCCCTCGCCATTGTTCTTTCAAATTCGTGCTTCAGCCGTGATTTCAATTGATGGTTTCCGGCATCCAAGTAAAGCATCCGCTGATTTTGGCAGATAAGGCTGCGGTATCATGGTTTACTCGGATTGCAGTGCCTAATGCCTATCTCTTAGCGAGCCAACCGCTTTGGGGGGATCAAGTCACGTCTTCCTTCAGAATGTCCACTGCGATCAGGAGAATGAAGAGCAGCAGCATGAGCAGTAGAGATGTCAGTATCTATCATCCATCAACTCTGTGTCCCAATATCGACTTACTAGAAAGATACCAACGGCCAATGCCACAATTTCAAACCCTCCAGAGATGGCCTTGCCCCTCACAATTGCATTCTGAGATCGCCATGTCCGGAAGCATCCGATAAATAACGTATAGATAGCAGCTCCTTGACAGATGCACGACAGAGGTTTCCCGAGGACAAAGAATCCAAAATGCGCGTTAGGGGTAGGGTTGTGCTGGAGTCGGCTGTATCAAACATTAGTATATATCCTGGATAAGTAAAATGGGTGTATTCTTACAAGAGTTGAGCGACAGTGATCCCCATCATCGATAGGGCCAAGGACGTCCGCAGGTAGCCAAGGAATGTTCGTTCGAGTGCTGATTGAGATTGTCAGTGCAGTTTGTTTACGGCGAAGTGTATAGAAAGTTTGACCTGAGGCGGTGCGAGATCCCGTGCTCGCCCGACCTTTGTCAACGTAGATGATCTTCGATGAAGAAGTCTTGTCAGGTCTTCAATCTACCTGACTTTGTAAATAAAGTTTCGTGGAAAACAATGCAAAGGTACCATATAGCATTGCGCATATTTCAAGAAGAGGAAGGCTCGGAAGAATACTTCCGGAGCCCAATCAAATAGATTGAAAGTATCCAAAAGACATAATGACAAGAAAACGATGCTCGAAAACATACCCAGATGGTCACGACAAGCTTCATGATCAACGGAAATGCTGACTTGGTTTTTCCAGAATTTCTTGATGTTGTAGGTGAGAAGGCCCAGAAATGTTGCAGGCTTCATCACTGCTATCGTAGAACCAGATCGTCGTGACACGCGGCTATAATTGCTTCTTAACCGCGCCAGCTCCGTTGCTTCAAGCCTGTCATCTTGCGTGGGGGATTGCTCTAGCTGCAGTGCCTGGTCGTCTTCAGCGTTGTCCTGCTCCTGGGTCTGCGGTTCCTCCTCCACTACAAGGGCAAGTGGATGTGGATGTTGAGTGTGTCCTGCAGCCATGGCGACGCGGTTCTAGCAAGGATGCGGATTGGATGCTGCGACACCTTCATAAGGTGGCAATGAAGCGCATTATTAAGTGAGATGGGATAGTACTGACAATGGCGATGATATTGGTAATGGAAATGTTTTCTGGCTTACTGAAATTCGCCACCCCACAGTACTGTACGTACAATACAGTAGTAGAAATGAAGTTGGGGTACAGTATGTATCAAGTGCCAAGAGATTAGATTAGATTTGCGCGGGCAATTACAGTACAGTAGGCGAATGAAAGCTTGTCAGAAACGTTCCCAACTAACCGGTACCGACAACCAGGGTATTATACTGAAGTTTCTTGCTTTGTTTGAACGATAGTAAAGTTCAGTATTAGAAGAAAACATTATCGTACAGTTTCCAGCTATTCTTTGCTCTTATAATCATACATATTATTGCTGCATACCTCGGTACCTGACTAAATAGGTCAAAACTTATGTCGGTTGGGCAGGGACTCTTTCGAAAATGTGTTAGCCAAGTAACGAGCTGTATTTATATTATAAGTGCTAGAATATGTTTTTCCATTACCGCAATTCCCTTCTTATCTACTCAACTTCTATATCAAGTTCACGGCTGCTGCCATGGACTCATTTATAGAATCAAGAGACTTGATATGAAAGATGCTGAACTGTGACAACTGTTATGGTAACCCTTATTGGTGGTGGTAATATAAATCTAAATCCGCGATTATGTAACATATATACAGAAAGTGACGCTTGACCTAAATACGTCCAGAAACCCACGCAATAGTTGTAAAGAAATTGACTCCTGATATATCCGGAAACCACCCAGATGCTCCTGACAAGATATCGCCCCCGAGAACTGAAGAACTTTTGGTACAATAAACAATCAACACGCCCAATGACAATCCAGTTGGCGATTCTGTTTTCAAGTCAGCATATAGTTAGAAGATACTATGATGGAATTGACTTACCGGTGACTCTGCATCAGCCCCTATTAGACTGTCCAACCAATCCCAAAAATTGCCATTGTCCCATCCACCTACTGAACAGTATGGAAGATTGTCGGAATTAGTATCCGTATCATCCCATTTAGTACCCCCAGCGGTGATTGTCAACACCCAGTCTTCCCATCTCACTGGCACAGGTTCAGTCGGTCCCACCAGTCTTCCCTTGACTGATCTCCTCGCCATTCTGCTAGGGACCGTTGTCGACTGTAAAAAGTCGACACTAACGTCGTACGGGAGTTTGGAATCTGCCGCCTTCACTGTGCCGGTCTCACCCCATGCTCCTTGGAAGCTCTCACTAGCAAGCAGGTTATTACCGCCATCGGTGATGTTAAACTGCATATATAACGGTTCGTTATAGTAATTAGATGCTTCATAGATATGCAGGTCGCATGTGCCTGTCACGTAGGGAGGTGGCGCTGTCGTTGTGACCGGGGGTTTAGCCGTCGTTTTGGGAGGTGCGGTGCTGACTTCGATGTGTGTTGTACCAATTTCACAATAGTAAGTAGTGGATCCATCGGACCCGACTGTGTTTGCTACACCGGCCGTCCAGCCGTCATTGCAAGAACATTCTATGGTGGCTGGGTAGTCGATAGTATATAAAGAGTATGCGGTACTAAGAGCAGCTACGCTAGACATAGTACAAGAAGTTATTGGCGGAGAAGAAATTATGCTGGCGGTGGTGGAGCTGGATGATGATGGGGCAGCCTTTGAAGATTTGGATTGGAGGTTTGACGACGATCCGGTGGACTTTGCTATACTAGTCGTAAATGGCCCGGACACAGAAACTGTTTGCGAACCTGACGAGGATGTACTTGAAGCTGTAAATGAGCTACTGGAATTGCTAGAGTGTGTGGTGCTGATGACTGTTGCCTTTCCAGAAGTTACTGAAGCCTGGAAGTTAGATGAAGTCTTTGCAGCACTTGAATGGTTTGAAGTCGTAAACGCAGAGAAGAAGCCAGCCAGTGCTGGCATTCCCGAGATGACATTGCCAACGTATAACTGCTGGTAGATGCTGGAACCGAGAGCCGTCTCAGAAGCGTCGTTGGAGACAAAACTAGGACCCTCGCCGATATCAGCCTCACCTGCTGTGGCGATCATCTGGCAGCTGCAGCCCTTGTTCGCCTTGTTCGTGTCCGCTGAACACACTTGATCCAGTCCGCCACCGCAGTTTGTCGAGTCAGCGCATGCAAGTGTTGACACTGGACAACCGGACGAACTCGTGGAACTACTAGAGCTACCAGAACTGGACTTTGATACTGATTTCGTATTCGTAGAAGACGCAGATTGTTCCGAATTTGATTTGTTCTCATCTTCATCTTCTGAAAGATTATCCGTTAAGCTTGTCAAGTCGTCCATATCTGCTTTGACACCTTCGACACCCTCGACGCCTGCCGTGATATCACCTGAGATCTTGTTCAAAGTGTTGGTAATACAAGATACACTATGTATGATATCGCCAATAATATCTGGAATCAAACCTCTTGCAGCTAAGATCAGGTCTCTCTTTTTCGAACTGCTACAGGGCGATGGTGTGTTTCCACCACCAAGCGAAGTCATGAGCTCTTCCGCTTCTGGGAGTACTCCTTTAATGGCATTGATTGCCTTTGATGTGTCTGACGAAGGATTGTCGGTCCAATCCTTGATCAAGGGAAGCACACCAACAACGATCATGCTAGACAAAGCACTTGCACTGGAGCTTGCCACAGTGCCTGTGGCAACCAGGGTAGTAGGAGGCACGGTGATTGAAAGAGGGACTGGAGTTGGGAATGCCCCACCGATTATCATTGGAATCAATTGAGTCGTCCCAGAAACAACGCTAGTCAAAGTTGAGATGATAGGCTGTTGGTTGACGGCGGATGCGCTGGATGTGATAGATCTACTGAACGTGCTGGAGGGGCTAGATATGGTACTCGACCTTGGAGGGCTGCCTGTGGAGTTTGTGGAGGGAGAGAGTACAGAGGAACTAGACGGAGTGTTGTCTGTCGAGTGCTTTGAGTTCGAATTTGACGATGTTGAAGAGAGTGATGATATTGATTGGCCATGGGAGACAAGAGTCGCAGAGTGGGTCGATATAAAGCTAGAATTACTCTGGTTAAGAGTCGAAGTGAGAATTCTTGAGGTAGGAGTAGCACTAATCGATGTATTGCTTATAACGAGTGTGTGGCTTGTGGAACTGAAAACGGGCGTGGAACTGCTAAGCTTGCTGCTAAGAGTACTTGTAGTCGCTGGTGTTAAGACTTGAGGAAAGGCTATAGTAGAATGATCTTCAACAATAACAGAATTTCCTAAAGAGATGACATCGGTTCCAATTGTGTATGCTTGACCGCTCTTGATAGTCACGGGGCTCGCTGATGGCACAGAAACCACGAAACCTGCCGCATTTGAAGCATTCAATACGACGGTTGCATTATCAATTTTCAGAGTAACACCTGGGTCGCGGATATTGCCATGGCTAAGGGCGAAGCTAAGAGCAAAAGAGCCCAAAGATACGGCGAAATTAAGTTTCATAGTTGAATGCAAAAGAGTGTAGTTTTGAAAGTTTCAAGGCTACAGAAAAGACAGAAGTTATAGGATATCCCACGATTTAAAACGAGAGTACTGTAAAAACATTTGAGCGTGTTTGGACAAAAGGAATGTTAGTACACGGGTCATCATATCTGCCGCGCGGTTTTGCTCCTACGAACTACCTCGAAATTCTGTCGTAGAGGATGATCCGAGTATAGCCTTGGTTCGACGGATTCTTGTCTGAAAGGCCAATTAAAACTAGCTTTAGAACTTTTATAGACACTGGTGACGAACTTTCAAGTCTTCGTACATGAATATTCACAAAAGACGCTGTGACGTTGTTGCTTTTCCAGATCCTTTGATCCTTCCACTTCTACTACCGAAGTACAGCGGTCAAGGATGGTTAAATTTCTAAATTAGTACTTTCACCCTCGGAGAATTTAAGAATGAAGGTCACAACCAATGAGCCTCATGACGCCTCTCCGCTCCTCTGATTTGCCACAATACGAGGGAAACGTTGCTGTGGCTGGTGCGAATGTTCGGTACCTCTCTATTCCTAATTGGGAACTTTTAATAAATACAGCCCCTGTAAGCACAGCCTCGATAGGCTTGAAGATCTGTAAGCACTACCCTAAGAGGCTTAGAGGATGCCCCTAAACTCCAGTTTTTTTAAATTGTAACAATGCTTAACCTCCGTACGGAGTAAAGATAAGCTTCTATTCTGAGGATCAGCCCCATGCTACCCGCGACCCAGAGACTTGTGTTGCAAGGGTCATGCATATACGCAGCCTAGCCTTACGGCGTAGGTCAGGGACCTGGTACAGTAATCAGATTGCAATCCTTTAAAATAAAATATGAGCACAAGGAATATGATATTCTTTGAGCAGATCCCTTCTTTTAAGTCTTAATATCGCGTCGCAGCTTTTAAGGGCACAATTATGAATTGCTATATTATACCTGGAAATATATATAGCTTGTTTAGAGAACCGGGCCTAAGAACTTCTTAAGCTTACACCTGCTTTGTACCCCGTCCCTACTATACTATACTAATCAACTGTTGACTATCCCCTTTTATTATTTCGACATGAAAGTATATTCGCAGGATCTTACAAAACAGCTAAAAACTTTCTTTCTATTATTAACCCCTATTATCCTCCTACCGTCATCCTATACAAGTGATTAGTAAACACTAGTGCTATGCAATGATGAGGCATGCGCAAAGTTAAAAATGTTTCATTGGTATAAAGAAGGCCCGAAGTGGTAATTATCAAGTTCTAAACGAGCACTCGTCCTTTCTGACTTGTAAGCCTGGTAGTGGAGACTAATAAGCGCGGAAAGATAGATCCTGTTCTTTTCCCCAGTATCATCCCAGAACTGCAGGAAGTCTATTGATATCACAGGGGATGATCACTTCTCACTAGCTAGTAAGACTTGATACTGGTTCTGGTGGTTTCATGGTACATCCTACGCTATGCGGGCTGAATAGCTGTTAGTGGATCCACTACTGCGAAATACCTATTCATACCTTACCTAGTATAGTATCGTAAACACTTACTACCAAGGGTAGATTGATAAAATCAGGAACCCATAAGCTCTCTGTTGTGCTACCCTATGCTAGAAACAGAAAGCTGCACTCACTATTATCAACTTTTAGTAATGTCCCACGCTACCTGACACATTATAAATTATGTGGCGCTTTTCTTCTATCTACCAAGAGGCTTCTTCCTTTTGTGGAGACGGCCGTAAAACACTATAGGAGTTGAGCGGCGCGGAGAGGCGGAGTATACGGAAGTAGTACTTAGGGAGTAAGAGGGTCTGAGTGCCAGACTTAAAATAAGATTCACAAGGAAACTGTTTATCGGCATAGACTCATTCTCGTAGGCCCAAGGTACGGTCGATGGAGATTATATGAATCCTTTCGCATATCAGCCTTGCAGGAATATAACTGTATGCTATTTGTGTTATTTCCGTCTATGCTTCCAGCCTTTCACGAAGCTAGTGGTGCGGTCAGGTTCAAGTAAAAAAGCTGTACAGAGTATAAGCTTTTCATGTTCTACTTATCTCTACGGCAAAAATCTATCTTCTCAACAACATCCATCTTACCTCTTTTCCTTTCCTTTCTTTTTATATCGCCATCATGTTATGGGGCATCGCCGGTGCGCTCTTAGCCTTTCAGGCTGGGGTTTCAACAGCAGTGGTGAATAACAAATGTAGTGGGACCAGCAAGACCAAAATCGATGCTGGCATCACAGATGCTATCAAGATGGCCAATAGTAGGTTCGCCCACCCTCTCCCCTTGGGATACGCACAATACAATCATTTGTTTAACATCTCGGTCCTTAGCTGCTATACAGACGATACAGACTCAAATGAACAACGACATGTTTGCAGCTCCATTCATACAGTTATTCCCAGATAATGAAAAGCAGTCGGTCATCGGGATATACACTAAAATTGCTGCCATTCAGAGCTCTGCACAGGTCGTCAACTTTTACTGCGATGAGGACCACATAGCTTGGCGTGGAGATCTAAATAGCTGTAAGCCAAATTTCCATGTAAAAAGTTATATGTTCTATGTGAGCTCGGAAGCTCAGAACTATATGAGGAGCCCAAGAAATGCGTTCCGCAATATATGGGATCCCGGCTCCTGAGACACCTCCTGAGCTCTGTAGCTACCTAGAACCGTTTTATCATACTAACGCGTTGAGCAGGGGTTGACAATCAGTACACCTATACCGAGCAAGGCAAGACTATGCCACTGGTGTACAACATGCACGTTGGTGATGCGAGCACGAAGCCTGGCGCGCAACAAGGCGGCAGCTCATACACAACTCTTGGTACGTGCGATCAAGCTCAAAACCCAGCAGGTGCATGTCCTTGAGGAATTGCTAACAACGTCGCCGTCTCGCAGGATACAAAGTCCAGCTGGGCCCCGGACAAATTGCAGACTCTAGCGACCAGGCGCATGTTTTTATCAGCGACCATCGTCTGAACCCACCTGACGGGCAACAAGATACGAGGCAAATAGACACGATTGTTAACGACGGCCTGGACGCCCAGTTCAACTCGCTCGACACTATCCACCCTCTTTCGCAAACTATTCTACATGAAGTGAGTCTCATAGTCTTACTTAAAATGCTGCGATTGCACATACTGACCGTGCGCTTAGTTGGTCCATGTCGTGGGTGGCTGTAAGTGATAACCACAACCCCCTTCAACCATCGACAGCACGCGTCTCCATTGAGCGCTTGTTGGTCGTATGTATTGAGTATGCTCGAGGCAGTGCTGATGTATATGTAGGGGCGGATATACAGAAGTTGAGCGCCGCTGCCGCGATTACGGATGGGCCAAACGAAAGCGTGTACGGCCTCAACGCTTGTTTTGAGGCCAATGTAAATGCCCAGAAATTGCCAGGCTCAACGGGCACTGTCAGTTTTGCAGATCCATACGCCGTTTTGGCTAAAGGTAGGTAAATTTTTAATTCCTTGGAGCATCAACGTGATTGGTTCCTTTTGCTCACGCTGTGGTTTCAGAATACTATCTTCAGTTGAAAAAGAACGCCAATGGAGACGTCCACACAGGGCCAGTACTTTGGGTGTTCGGCGCTGTGGATCCAGTTACACTACAGCCAATTGGAATTCCTGGGTCTTGAGGGGGGGGGTTCAAACATGGAGGGTAGTTATTGTTTTCTTGTATTTTAGATGAGCCGGATTCTACGGAGTACTTCTACCTTGCCCTTGCATATATATTCGCTTAGAGTTGTTTGTCACAATCCTGTAAGCTTGGCTTAAGCTTATCTCGCCAAGGCGCACCTTAGTTCCTATACAGTACAGTAGGTGCCTACGAGGTAGTTTAGTTTTGAACGGCTTACTCTAAAAATAGCCGTGGCTACTTAAAGAAGCCTCCCGGTAGATAGAAAAAAGCAGCTAGTAGTTTATAATATGCCAGGCGGAGTAGGACATTAAGAGTCAACCTGAAGTTACTCAACCATTGTAGTAAGACCCGCTTTTTACTATCTAGTTCAAGTAATGGAACTTTTGTGGAGAAGGTTGTAAAACACTATAGTATAGGAGTTAGTACTTTCTCTGAAATAATCCAGAACTCATAAAACTTGAAGTTGGATTATTAAGCCTCAGTTTTATACAATTATACTCTGTTTAAGAAGACTATATAAGTACTTTAAAAAACGAGTTTTATCCCACCATCCCTGTCTTCCAGTGCCTATGGGTTGCCTTGTCTTAAGGAGCTCCCTACCAACAGCTACTAAAAGTCCTGCTTACTGTATTATGTGACGTATTAGTACTGTACATTGCCCCGCAAAGGACATAAAAGGAAACCTATCCGCGTTGTAAACCCAATACATCCTTCTCACTTATTTTCAGTCGGTCGACTTCTAAAAACCATCATGCGCTTAGTAGGGCATTGGGCCATCGCATATTTGCTATTATTCTTTCTTGGCGCAGAAGCTGCGCAAGATTCCTCACCACAAGAACAGCAACAGCAAGATCACCTTCCTCAGAAAGAACAGAAGAAGCAGCAACACTTTAATCAAACTCCTTCGGAAACGACAACCGACAACCCCCCCGCGCTGCAGGCCGAACCTCTGAGAACTACACCGAGGAACGATAGCAGAGCCCCCGCAGTGACATCAGAGCGAGACACTTCTGCCAGCGGAAACCTACCAGTACCTGGTGGTGCTGGCGCTGAGATCGAGCCTCCCGTTGCCCAACACGGCCAGTGGTATCCGCAGCCGAACAACCCTCCACCTTCAGATGGGGATTCGATATTGCGCAACATGCGTCTGATGCACCAGATGGGGATTCCAATAATCCGGGACCCCAATCTATTACAGCAGTTTGGCATTCCCAGGGCTGTGGAGAACCCGCGACCAGCTGGAGATGGCAGTACTGAAAGCAACAGCGCTGATGGTAATGGGAGACCACCTTCGTCGGGAGCCTCGACTCCAGCGGCTTCATCTCCAGCTTCGTACCCCACATTAGCCTCGATGGCTGATTTAAGGGCCATTGAAACTGGGGTACACTTTGAACCGGCTCTGCATATATATCATGGGAAATATCTATGAAATCGATATTGTCAAGAACTACGGAGCCGCAGGTCCATGAGAGGTATTATACCAAGGCTTGAGAAAGAAATTCGGCTCTGCTTTTTGAACGAGAATATGAGAGATTATTACAATTGTTGTACTCGATCTTTCTACCCGGCTGAAATTACTACTATTCTGAATATATCATAACCTTGTGATTGTTGAATGAATTATACAAAGATCAGACAACTCCTACCCTACCTATAGTGTTTTACGGTCACTTTATAAAAGGACCGCCAACAATAAACCCCTTAGTAGACACAAAAAGCGGCACTTATTATTATTGACTTTGGATTAAATGTCTTACGCCATCTGGTATATTATAAATTGGCGCCTTTTTCAATCTAACGCAAGGCGGCTTCTTTCTATAGACAGCCGTAAAACACTATAGGAGATAAGATAATTTGTTACTACTTGGTGTAGAAAGAATCTTTAGAGCTATCCATGTTGAATATCAAAGAAGTTAAAGGAAGATTTAGGGTCGGGAGGGATTGATCAGTCTAAGGACTTGTGGGGTAGATAGGTTGTAGTTGTAAAGTTCTATCTAGGAGTTAGGTAGGTATCTTCTGCGTGCCTGGCCTCATCTTGCTCCCTAAAATTACCTCGTGGGTCGCTTTATCGCAATTCGCCCCCTGATTGGCCTTGGCGTCGTAATCCCCGCAAACCCTCAATGCATCCATCTTTTCCCCTTTCTACGACGCGCCATTTTGCAAAGTACGTACTAATCCTTCTTTTTCCTTAGAAGGAATGGAAGCTGACAATGTCGACGGCATATCATAACGGCGGGTATTCGACAGGCGACAGCCTTGTTCCTCCGCCATCCCTATTGTCGCGACTTCTCTCGACGCTACCTCCGGAAATCATGCACTGGTTCGGGAGGGACAGACATGCGTATAGTAGGGTTGAAAGGAGGAGAGGAGGTTGGAATTGGAATTGGAGGGCTCTAGCAAGTCTACCGCATCTATTCGTTGTGATTTGGGTGTTGGTTTTATGGTGGGGGGAACGGTGGGTGTTTTGGGATGCTGTTAGAGAGTGTGAGTGGGGGAGGTGGGAAAGATGGGTAGGTTCTACGCCTTGACGATATATGCAAAGCACAGGGAAGAGAAAGATTGCTGATATTTGTATGAAAAGCCAAAAGAAGCAACGCCTCACCACCTCATCTTCCTCGCAGACCCCCAGATCATAGACCCGCACTCCTACCCCGGACGGCCATGGCCGCTCGAGACATTCACGATCTTACATACAGACAATTATCTGAAAAGGAGTTATATCTCGCTGCAGAAACTGCTGCACCCGGATACGGTCTTCTTTCTGGGTGATCTTTTCGATGGAGGCAGAGAGTGGAAGACTGCAAAGGGAAATACGCAAGATCCATCCTGGGCAAGCGGTCGGAGGCCCTCGGGCGAACAAGCTTATGCCGAGACGTGGGGGAAAAGATACGGAGAGGATTTTTGGCTGCATGAATATGATCGATTTGGGAGCATATTCGACAAATACTGGAACGTTGCGGGCGCGGAACCGGGGCCAGGACAGAGGGGGAGGAAGATTATTTCGAGTTTGCCTGGGAATCATGATCTGGGATTTGGAGAGCAGATTAAGATCCCGATACGGAATCGCTTCGAGGTGTATTTTGGGGAGACGAATCGGGTGGATGTCATTGGCAACCATACATTTGTCTCTGTGGATTCTGTCTCGCTGAGTGCCGGTGATTCAACGCACGATACGAAGGCGATTACGCAGCCTGTGAACGACTTTCTCGAGAATGTTCAGATTATGAAGCGGAAGGCTGTGGCGAAAGAATTGGCTTTTCAGAGGGGCGAGGAGAGACTTTTAAGGGCTAAACATATTATTGCCGATTTGGATAACGTGGATTTTGATGATCCACCTACGCTGGACCCAGGGCCACATGCTCCTGGATTCCCCACAATCCTTCTTACCCATGTCCCCCTTTTCCGGAACGTAGGGACACCTTGTGGTCCAAAGAGAGAACGTTCGCCCCCAACGAAACCACCAAAAGGCCAAACGCAGCCTGTAAACCCAGACGAGCCAAACGCCATTTCAATTTCTAAGGGCTACCAGTACCAAAATGTACTCAGCGAGGCCGACTCCATCAAGCTCGTTTCCAGCATTGGGAACGTGGGATTAGTATTTTCAGGGGACGATCACGATTACTGCGAGATCATACATTCAGAAGCCAAGAATCACGCTAGAGAAACCACAGTCAAAAGCATGAGCTGGGCACAGGGGGTACGAAAACCAGGGTTCCAAATGCTCAGCATGTGGAATCCTGTTGGACCAGACGGAAACCCGCTACATTCAACACACACAGGTCACGGGTCCGGCGCAGCAACAGCAATAACCACCGAAAGTCATCTGTGTCTCCTTCCCGACCAAATAGGCATATTTATTCGCTACTTAATACTTATACTTATCACCTTCACCGCGCTCATCATCCGCGCAGTTCTCACGCCCGTCCTAGGTCTCACTCCTTTCTCATCTTCTTCCACAGCGTCTCAAAACCCAGACGACAGCACTCTGCTTCCCGTGTCACAGAAACGAGAACCGGACGCGCACCGCTCGTCGAATTCTTCTACCTCATCTACATCATCTAACTCCAAAAACCTCGCCCCCCGCAGCAGCGCAGCCCGCACAAGGAGCGTCAGTCCTGCCAAAGGGTATGGGCTCCCTGCGTCTCAAGTCCGCTTCGTTACACCTCCTATAAGTCAAGCTGGTTACTACCCTAACTCAAACGGTAATGGAAATGGGAATGGCAACGGCTGGGCAAAAGAAGAAGAAGATTTCAACAGTAGCGTTCAGAGCTCCGGCAAGAACAAAAAGGTTGACACGCCGCTAAGAATTATATGGCGGGAAACGTGGACGAGTATTTGGCGAGTAGCGTGGATTGTGATGGGGGTGTATTTATGGTTAATTTGTTTCTATCCTGTGTAGAGCAGGCAGGCGCTTTGTATATTGGACATGAAGATGAGTGCATGGATCGGCGTTAGGATGATGACATGCTTTATACTCCGATGGAGGGAAGCTTTTTTTCCCCATGACTTGTATAATACCCGAATAGGAGATGGGCTTGTAGGAAATTCAAACCCCTGTATAGGTAGTATGCATTACTGCTAATTGATTCCGGACTTAGGCTCATTATGTATTGAAAGCAGAGTGAAGTTTGGACTAAAGAGTACAAGGTGTTGGTCAGCATTCATCCGATAGTCGCCTGCTAGGATGAATATCAATACTTGTCAATCTGGTTTTTGAAGGTTTGTGCAGGGAAGCCAAAGAAGTCGTGAATGTTCTCGTTTTCCTGTCACTTTGCAATAAGAAATAGCGCTTAGCATCTATGTAGAATGCTTGTTCATCAAAATATACACGTTTCCATTCCCCCAACCCACGAATCCTCTTATGCCGTCCAAATCCTCTTGATGCCTTCTGTCAAGCCCACATCGTTCGTCTCAAATTCATACAATCCAACACCAACCACCACCGTAGCAAGCTTTAATCCCCAATCAAACGTCTTCCGAGTCTTAGGCAGACGCTTGGTAGGAATGTAATCCACTATAAGAGCCTCAAAGCCGATATGCGAATGAATCAGAATCGTGGCGCAGAGGAGGGCGTCCGTCAAGGGGTTTAAGGAGCCTGCTGCAAAGGGCGCGATTGTGAGAGGGACGAGCCCCACGGAAATGGCGCGCTCGAATGTCCAGTGGTATGAACCGTGGGAGGGATGTGGGGTTGGGAACTTTGCGGCGTCGTTCGCTACAGACTAATCAGTTGAATTCTATATTTTCAAAGCATCATTGCATACCAGTTCCATCAATGACCTCTGCAGTACGGATTAGCTCTTATGATCAGTCCATGCAGGTAGTGGTTCAAGGACACTCACGAGGTAGAGCGGGCAGAATTGCTCGTCTGCCACTTGCGTGAAAAGCAGCTACTCTCATTGACCCTGGCAGGGCACTCTTTGCAAATGCATTCCGTGCCACTTGCTTGGAGAGAACGGATGCTGCGGGCTTGTTGATGGCGGGGAAAGTCGAGGCTGGCTTGGTAGAAAAGGCTTGTTTCGATACAGCCTTGAGGCAAGACTGCTTTAGCATTGTTGGGCGCACAATTGAAGCCATCACGAATTGCTGCAACCGGTTCCTTCGCCTTCGTAGATTGCTGAATCGTGAAGCTCAGATGAGAGAGATATATTGCCGAGGGATGTTGTTCCGGGAAGTCGCGCTTACATACTCACTATCGGAAGCGTTGTGATTGGCTGCAGAAAAGAGCTTCAATCAAATCTCAAGAACCGACGTTCCTAGCCAGACCAGACAGCCCTCAGTTCCACGACTACCCAGATATCCGCACCCCCTTCGTCCCTCACTCACTCATATTTCTCTCCCATGGCGTCCCGGCGGTTAGCTTTGAACCTTTCCCAGGGACTGCGCAACCGCGCGAGTCTCAATGCCGTTGCCCCCTTGAGGAGAGGCTTCGCAACACCCGTTGTGAAAAATGGCGTCAAGACGGAATCAACAACCCTCTCCAATGGCTTGACCGTGAGTCTCGAAAGACACCAGGGCTCTCAATGTGTACTGACGTGTGATAGATTGCTACCGAGCACTCTCCCTGGGCGCAGACGTCGACGGTCGGTGTGTGGATTGATGCTGGGTCTCGGGCGGAGACGGACAGAACAAATGGCACAGCTCACTTCCTCGAACATCTTGCCTTCAAGGTACGACTCAATTGGCTTTACAGGTGATGTATACAGGACTGATGAGGATTGTAGGGTACAAACAGCCGCACACAACACCAATTGGAACTGGAAATCGAGAACATGGGTGGCCATTTGAACGCCTACACATCTGTATGTTTCGGAAGCATTGGATCATATGGCCTATACTAATATCATCTACAGCGCGAGAACACCGTCTACTATGCTAAAGCCTTCAATGCCGACGTACCCAAAACCGTTGACATCCTCTCCGATATCCTGCAAAACTCCAAGCTCGAGGAATCAGCCATCAACCGGGAACGTGATGTTATCTTGAGGGAATCTGAGGAGGTTGACAAGCAATTGGAGGAAGTTGTTTTTGACCACCTACATGCAACCGCTTTCCAGGGGCAGCCCCTAGGAAGAACGATTTTGGGGCCGGCCGAAAACATCAACAGCATCCAAAGAGCCGACCTAGTAGACTACATCAAGACTAACTACACTGCTGATCGCATGGTCCTTGTTGGAGCTGGTGGTGTTCCTCACGCACAACTCGTGGAGCTTGCTGAGAAGTATTTCTCCAAACTCCCAACTGAACCATATACCGGTGCTGCATCTGCTGTTGCCGCTGCACAGAAGCGGAAGCCGGATTTTGTCGGTTCAGAGGTCAGAGTCCGTGATGATACTATCCCAACTGCAAACATTGCTATTGCTGTTGAGGGTGTCAGCTGGAAGGACGACGACTACTTCACTGCCTTGGTCACTCAAGCTATTGTTGGAAACTGGGACAAAGCGATGGGCAATGCTCCTCACATGGGCAGCAAGCTTAGTGGTTTCGTACACAAGAACGACTTGGCCAACAGCTTCATGAGCTTTTCCACAAGTTACAGCGATACTGGGTAAATAACGTGTGTAGTTTTCTTTTCAAAACGCTAACATATTGTAGTCTCTGGGGTATCTACCTTGTCACCGACAAGCTGACTAGAATCGACGACCTTGTTCACTTCACACTCCGCGAATGGTCCCGCCTATCATACAACGTCACCGAGGCCGAGGTCGAGCGTGCTAAGGCTCAATTGAAGGCATCTATCCTTCTATCTTTGGACGGCACCACGGCTGTTGCTGAAGACATTGGACGACAGATCATCACTACTGGACGCCGTATGGGTCCAGAGGAGATTGAGCGAGTCGTTGGGGCTATCACAGAGAAGGATGTTATGAGCTTTGCGCAAAGGAAGCTTTGGGATCAGGATGTGGCTGTAAGCGCGCTTGGAAGTATCGAGGGTCTACTGGATTACAACAGGTATTTTCTCTCTTGCCGTTTGGTGAAGAGCATAAAACGCTAACATATTGTGTGATAGAATTCGAAACGACATGAGTAGAAATGCATAAGGAGGTTTAAACAGGGGCTAGAGCGCGCTGGTGCTTTATAGAGTGTATATTCGCGACATGGGCGGTGCTTGTCTGTACACATAGGTTTTCTATAAAACTCTTTTCATCCTTTCAGTAGGTCTTATCATGCCGTTTTGAGTGGCCATACTCTTTATTCCCAAACAAGGCTGTAAGTCAATGATAGGAGCGGCTCAGATTTATACTTTAACAGCGTCTCATGCTTTCCTTTGGTCAACGGAGTCAAACACGGTCGTTGATGCCACAAAGGTCTAGTGATTTGAAACTCGTGCTATTTTCATTCATGTATGTTGATGTCTTGGTTTTCATGTTTGCAAGTTTTACAATTATCAAGTGAAGACCTGAACTTTTAGGGAGGCTTCGTTTCTCTACTACGTAGTATAGACTTGATTCTGGTTGATGTTGCTTCGCATTCATGGTGGTGTTGACGCGAAAAGAGGTTATGCCTCTTTGCTGACTAAGCTACGCTAGATCACATGGCTATGAAGGTCGGGATACAGCCCATTATCCCAACATCAATAATAAGGTCAATAATTTTATCTACTTTCTTTCAACTTAGACTAATTGAGCGGCGAGATCTCAAATTCACTTACGACTTTCCCGCCTTCAGCGCGATTCTAGTGGCATTAGGTATTCACTTATACTGGTCTCGTTCCATCGAGATGTTCCAACATTTCAACCTCAAATACACACAACTTGGGTTTCCTCCACGCCATCCACAATGACTGAAAGACACACCGATGCGATGGATTTTACAGAGTTCAACGCCAAAGGATTGAGAAACCAATGCAGGCAACGTGGCCTTCTGGACACCGGGAACAGTCCGAACTTGATTACGAGGCTAGTTCAGTATGAGTACGAGGCAAAAAACGGCGGCGCTCAACTTGCAGAACCCCGAACCGACTCTCTGCCTGTTCAAACTCGCCATAATGTCCCAAGCCCTACCAGCGACCGCTCTAGCATTTCTGGTGTCGTCCAGTCTAGTCCAGGGGAGCCATATCAGACGGAGCAGGAGGTCCGATTGAGACAGCTTTGTCATGACAACCATCTCCCCCCGAAAGTCCGTGACGAAGCAATTCGGCAACACGAAGCCGCCCATAAGGATTTCAACAACGAATGTGACAAGGCACTTCTGAGTCGGAATGCCAGTATCAAGAAGGCAGAGACCAAGTGTGCCAAGACCGTCGAGACGCTTATCAAAGACCGAGACAGCAAGCTCGCTGAGAGCAAACCTCAGCTCGAAAAGCAAAAGATCTGGGGTACTGCATTTTATCAATTGAATGTAAGCAGTAATATTAGGCACCAATAATTAAGATAATCAAACTAATCTTCATCTTAGAAAGTCATGATTGCTGCTGGAAAACCAACTGTTCATCCTAGCGAGTTCGATCCCACGCGCTATCCACCAGCAGTTATTCCGCAGAGCAACCCTCGTTGTTCAGCCGTGTTTGCTACTCCTCCATCTACTGCTGCCTCTCTAGGTAGCAGATCGACGGCAACCATGAAGTCTATCGCCACAGACACCACCTCCAGAAAGCGGAGTGCCGAGGAAATGGATGACGAAGAGCACTTGAGCCCACCTCCCCGCCATCGTATTACCGACTCCTTCGTCGTTGAACGAGCCTCCATTCGGAGTGAGGTGCAGAACCCGTATATCTTCATCTCTGATCAAACTCTGCAGGTCCGAGCCTCTGATATGGAGGAAATGCGTGAGATGATCGTGCGGCGGGGATACCGTCTTACGCATGTCCGCGCTGATCCTACCGGGTATTATTGGATCTTTAGAAACTACTATGAGGCTGAAAGGTGTATTGACCGCTTCCAGGGTTATAAATTCCACGGTGTTTCTTTAGACTTGACGCTGGAGACCGGAAGTGCTGAGCGGGGTCGCGAAGTTAGTAGTGTATGGAGGGAACGGCGCTGATGGTTTCGTCTGCATATTATGGATGGATTGGAGTCGATATTCCACCCACCGCGGGGAATTTATCTTAAGTGATGGGCACGAAACTATTATTAGTTCCTGTCACTGATCTAGACCCTTGATGTTATGGACAGATGGATCGATTTGTTTGAATCCCTTTACGCACTCTGGGATTTTCTTTGGGGGCGATGGTCTGATAATGAGTGCATGATACCAGCATCTTAGCGTATGGGTGCTTTATTTGATTTGGTTTGAGTTGGTTGCTTCACTCACTGCGGGAGTTTTAATGGCTTTTTTTCAAGAGACAATATTTGCTCTTTGATATGTAACATGGATGGTGGTGCTTTTCATCAATACGTACTGCAGTGGACCTATATTCTGCATTGCGACTTCCCAAAATTCGTGCCAGTGTTCTTCGTAACTTCCGTGCCCATAAATCCATGTCCAATTCAAAACATCATCATACATACACTTATCATCACAACGCCCCCAAGCTCTTCCCATCGCAAACATCCTCTTGCTTCTTCTTAATAGCGCCACACTTATCTCATCTGTCAGCACACCTCTCAAGATACGTACCAGGAGATTAAACTTACATTCTCACTCTCCCCTTTTTCATCATACTCAGCAAGCACGGTAGCAATAACAGTCGCATTCTTCTCATCATCATTCTGCTTTCCCCAAATCGTAACTTTCCTCGCCGTACTACTTATCCACTCAACCACCCGCGCATGCACGATTTCAACCTGAATAGGTGCAGCCTCGCGGAGTAGAATCTCGAACGGAGGGAGATTCTCAAGTGTCGTCACATAGCCGTTACTGTTGTCCGAGGAGTAGCCGTCCTCAGCCAGTGCTTCTTCTATCTGCGAGAGCCGTACTGGATGTCGCTGCTTCATCTTCCGCTTCTGCTGTTGTCGCTGTCGCTGTCGCTGTTCACTCACCAACTCCTCTAGCGCACGCGCTCTCTCGTCATTATCCGCTACCAGCGTCTTGATATCTCTCACTCGTCCCGGATCATCCCTTCCGCATGCCTCGCGCGCATAATCCAGGACCTCAAATTGGTGCGCTAGGAAATCTTCATATACTGCGAATGCGTGTTCTTGTTGCGCTGCGTTGTGTGTAGGTGAGAATAGCGGGTGGGCATGTTTATATGCGTTTTTGTCTGACACGAGGAGCCGGTCGATGAGGTCTATTGCGATGCCGTCTATGCGCAGACCGCGGGTCTTGCATTCGTTGCGGAGGGCGGGGTGGGAGAAGCAGTGCCAGGGTTGGAGGTAGATTGGGTCGATTTCGTTTAGGAAGCCGGAGATGCTGTTGGCTTCGGGGAGAGATTGGGGCGACTGTAACGTTGATTGGGGCATGGTGGCGGCTGGGTCTTGGGCCTTGGTTCAGGAGGAGGTGGGAACTGGGGATATTACTGCAAGGCAGCGGATGTTTTCAAAGCAGTCATATCATGCCATATCATGCTATTCACCGAAGATAAAAAAATTTTCTCGGATAATGCAATCGAGGATTCAATTTAGAGGTACGCCATATCTAGATGCATCGTACTTGAAGTGTCGGAAAGATCCACGGGGTTGGAGATATCCAAATGTGCAAAGTGGCCTTGAAACCTGCTAAAGGCATGGCTCATTATCCAACCTTTCCTCTTTAACAGCCTCTTATTTACCCTCATTCCCTCCATACCTGTTTACTAACGTTTATTCATTCTCGGATTGCGGCGAAATGGAGAGGTACTTATCAGCACCATAGATCGGCTAACCAAAGTCAGAACCAGTATCTCCATTCTCATCATACGTATAATAACCAGCTGTAGGCGACATCGATGAAACCTCTATAATTTCACCCTCCTGCGTGCGCGTTAACTCTTCCCTCGCAAGGATCTGCCAAGCTCAGTTGATTCATTTACCAACTCGTCCTCCAAGTCTTTTTGTCGTTGTTCGACACCCCCTTTTTCTCGCTTGAGCAACCAATCGCATCGCGTGTGTGGACTCTTTGCGCTTCGTCTGACTACTTCGTTGAAGGAACAAACCTGGAAGTCACTGCAGGTTCTGGTTTTGTTTCTCTTGCCTATTTTCCCATATCCCTTAATCTTCAACCTTTTGGAATCAGACAGATGACTTATATCGCAGGTCGTTTCAGGGATGAAAGACAGATGAAGAAAGCCCAACCCCCCTTCTACCTCGCTTGACATGTTTCCAGCAAAGCTCAACCAGAATTTGCGAAACATCCAAGTTTTCAATCCACCATTGGTTGGATAATTCTTAGTTTAATTTTCACTGCTCCAAGGATAATAGATGTATTACACAATGCGATGACTGAATCTCCACGTGAGCGACCACGAACGACAGAAACTCGTGAAAAGGCGAACTTAAAGACGTATGGTATGATATAAGCAATAAGCAATATAATATAAAAATTCCGCTCTCGTTGACGTGATCATTAAGTTCGCTACAAACGCGTCAGCCGCTGGGCTGAGCATCATAAACTTTGAAATCCAGTCTCATGATCAGTTAATCACAAATTGGTAGAAAACATCGCTATACCTTATACAGACTGAAAATAGCTATCTGAGGAGAAGGAATCCTCAATACAAGTATTATTGATCGATGCACTACATCTCCACGGGAAAGAATATCTATATTTTCAATCTAAAATCTATTTATAGACCCTGGCCGTACATGCTCCGTCTCCCAAGACAAGAAATCCCCCAAGTCGTGACCGAGGTTGAAGCCCATAGGAATCGGCGTCTCATCGCCCGTGCTAATATCATGAGAATCGAAATCCACCATCGGGCTTGACGGGAAGCTTTCATGCCCTTTCTGCGGCGAATTTACCACGTCTCCGATGATCTCCGAGACGCTCGTGTCCGTGTCTAGCTCAAAGACATTCAATACATCTTCGAAATCTGCGCTCCCGCTTCCACTTCCCATATCTGGACTTCGATCTAGATCTTCATCGCGGGCCTCCAAGTTCACGAGCATTTTATCATCAAAATCCGTACTCCAGACACTTTTCTTTTTTGAGTCCTTGACGACGCGCATCCGCGCAGGGGCATCTTGCGCTAGTCGACCGATTCCATAGAAGCCAAAACTCTGCCACCAATTCATGATATCGTCTAGCTCGGCCTCGTCGGCTTCCCACTCATCATCGGCATCGTCGACCGCGCTCGCATCGTTCATTGTGCCCTGGATAGCCATCTGGAACGCTGTCCAATCCAGCGGTTCGTCTTCGGGTTCCGGAGATGACGGGTCTTGTGAGTATTTGAGGATCCGCTCGACGCGGATGGGACCGTGGCGGAAGTTTGGGGAAGTGAGAGTGAAGGGCGTAGAGGGTAAGAAGATGTGGTCTTGATTTTGAACTGGTTGTAGGCGCACTTCGGGGGGTTTGGGAGTGGTGAGAAGAGCTCGAGTGGGTGATAGGGTGAGGGGAGATACTTCTGGTATGCTGGGTAAAAGAGCGGGTACGCACGAGTCTGAAGGACTTCTCATTGGGTCTGGTGGAGAAGGGAAGCTCAGATCGTTGATAACCATGGAGCTGTTTGAGCTAGATGCATATTCCGCGGTCCCAGTCTTCATATGAAGATCTTGCATAGCATTTGGCGTAGCAGGAGGTGGAAGAACAGGACTGGGAAGTGGGGCCGAATGCACTCTCGCTGCATCGATGCGGGAGGAAAGACTTTCGAGATGAAATGGCTCCGTTCGAGTACTATCATCCGTGCTTCTAGTTCGAGCAGACTCAGCGGATATCTTGCGATCAATCTCAATTCCCCTTTCTTCCTTCATTCGTTGTATTCTACCTGGTGTCAACATCTCATCTACCTCGGTTCTAAACATCTTCCCGCTGAAAACGTCGACCACATTTGTGGTAACGTCCGTTAATGTCCATCGCGGTGGTGCATTCGCAGATTGAATAGGTACAGTCCTCAATGCTCTGCCTAGTATATTCCGCCTCTTGGCAGTCTTCTTTCGCTGTGCTTTGGCTATTGAAACGGATCGTGAGGTGGGACCTTTGGCCAACGGTATAATCGAGAGGCGGGGGTTATTCATCAGGCTCGTACGGGGTATTGTAACAGGAAGGTTCGCTGGGGAAGATAACCACCATCCCTGAGTTGCGGCTTTGGCGTCTTCCAGAGCATTGCCGACGGCCTGGAAGGCGGCATCTGTTTCCCGAATCAACTGATCAACGTCGCCCGAGAAATCTTCCATATCTGATAAATCCAAGCTCTTGACACTTTGCGTTGGTGTGGTGTCTTCATCTACCGGGTCTATTGACAAGGCTTCAATTAGGTCAAATGTAGACACTCTCGTCTCTGCACTTGGCGAGGCCTTGGTATTCGTATTAGATGAAGTCGACGCTGGTGACAACAACAGAGGCTCCGAAAATATAAGTCGCCGTGTTTCCGCATCGCCACGACTCTTGGTTGAAGACAATGGCGGTGGATAAAGAATCTCGGGCGATCGTGGCGTGGGCTCCGGACTTGACAAAGAACACTCAATTGGACACCGATCTGGTTTGCAGTTGCAACTGCATAAAGAACTTGAAGATGAAGACGCACTTGAGGTCGCGGGTGGTAAAGGTTGATTTCGCGTTCTAGCGCTACTGCTTGTTCGTCGCAGTGTAGCAGTTTCCGTAGGCGGGCTTTGCGATAACCATGACAATCTCCTAGGGTTATTTGTCGACAAATTCCTGTCTGTGAGACCTCCACCTTCTCCAATATCGCCAGAAGTCTCGAAACTGTCTTTTCTTCTATGAGCAATGAATTGTTTGAACCGCGAACTAGTCTTCTGAAGCAACATAGCGGCGGCGGCGCATTGCAGTAGGTAATATAATGAGGAGCGCGACAATGACAAAAACACCGGAGAATGAGAATTCGGTAGGGAATCTATCTGGGGGCCACAGGGAGCACTTAGAAAATGCCACTGAATGATCTTGGTATGACATGACAGAGAAAGGATCTTGCAGGAGGTGGCTGAAGGAGCGTTAGAGAAAAAGCTGCGAGGCTCCTCACATTGATCGGATCCACATCGCTTGATCGGGGGATACTTGCCAGTAAATTCTGGAAGAGCAGATACAAAATGGCCACCAAATGGGCTTGCGGACTCGTATAGTTGAGGTTCGTATTTGTGATGGACGTGAAAATAGTTGGTCACTTGCAACACTTCGTAGGACGTCCACAACGGATAAACTTACGAAAGAAAATCCCATGCAACTGTGGAAGTGGAATTTCAAGGACATTCCATAAGTTCCATAGAATTGGCCATCGAAAGAAGGCTGAAAAAGTACCTTAGCCCACAGCAGGTGCAATACATGCATTTGGCGTTCGTTGCGAGACTATTGCTGCAGCAAGATCAAGCCACAATGTACCTGCATGTGACCCATCACCTATTTTAAAAATGAAATACTCGTAAAGAGTTGGCTGGAAAAGCTAATAAATTGTCGAATACAGGGTCTCTGCAGCAAGCGGCGCGTTCCACCTATCGCTTCTTTCTTTGTACTCCTTGGAGGCTATACATAGAGACAGGCCGACGCAGTATGATGCTCATGATATGCGAGATAAAGAATGAGATTGTTCCCAACGGGTAGGTGCAGGTACCTGCTGAAAAATCTTTCGATGTCCAAAGGAGAATTTGAGAGCTACCCCGATTCTTGGAATCATGGATTGCTTCGGATAGAGTAGGGACCCATTTATCCTGTTCCCAGGCCATAGACCATGTTTGTATTCAAGCGCATCTGTAAGGAAGAAACGCTCCGCGCGGGGGAGGCAGGAAAAGCTCTATCTTGATTCGAAAGGTTTCATTCTCGCGTCCGTCGGGGGGCACCATGCCGCTCCGAGCTGCATGGAGGGAAAATGCCTCAGCATAGATCTGGACGTCGGATTATGTTGTCATTGTCCTAAGAATACATCGTGAGGCCATTTCCAAGACGGTGCTACGGTGCTGAGATGTTGAAACGCCAAAGGATTTTCGGAAGACTGACTTTGAGAACTGAGATCACGTGATCGACGTATCTGTCTCTGTGAGGCATAATCTGCGTCATAAACTATGTCCCTGGCACAATTATCATCATCTTTATATAAAGTTTTTCCCGGGAACCGAAGCTTTACGATGAGATAGTATCAGATACAAGCGCGGGTTGTACCACGTGATCAGCTGCAACTGAACACAGAATGATATGGGGTGAGATGGGGTGAGATGGGTTAGAACTTACAGTCGGGCACGATGGCACGGGACGGCTGTTGGGTTCCAGACTAACACCAAGTGCAGAGTCTAGCCATTCTTTGGGGACACCAATACACTTTCCTTCTTTCAAGACCTCGTGGCATCCCCCGAAGACGACTTGAGGTGGAACAAAGCGTCATGTGCAACAAGAGACTCTAATCGTGTTTTAACCAGATATAAATACAGTAATGGCTGAGCCATATAATATGTACGGCTTTGTGCAGGGTAACCTCGCAGATGCATATGTCTTGAGGCAAAACGAATGTATCTGTCAACGCCTGGGGATCAAATTGCTTCCAAACCCCCACAACCTCTCAATCCGCTATAGAATGAACGCCGACTCATCCGGAGGTAGGCACCTTCAATTATACGACCCGGAATGACCAAAATATGGTGAAGGGAAACCCAACCCAGAGATTCGCATCGAACTCCAACAAAAGTGTTTCAAGCCGAACTCTGTGACTGATGTGCATCTGATATCTCGCGCTCGGCTTGCCCCGGAATTGACTGTTCCTTCTTTTGTTCTCTCTGAGCGTGAATTGCTGGTATCATAGTTGGAGTTGTCGCTGTTTTCAGGAAGGACGATGCTGCATGAGTGGGTGTGTGGTGGTATTTCTTCTCTTTCTCGTCTCGATATTGTGGTATGGATGTGCTCTTTGGGGGGCCCTTTAGGTCGCATATTATCGAGGACCAGAATCCTCTCCTCTCGGTGTTTTCGTATGCTCGCTCATTATGGAAGACGTCAAGACCTTTCATGGTTGTGTAACACGGCGTATGTCTTGCAATATAGATGGTGCTGCCTTGTTCGGGCGAAAGTGGCGGGAAGTGAGCTTGGACTTAGTGAAAACGAGGCTCTTCAAAGACTGATGCCAGCTACAGGTGATGATAGAATGAGAGCGTAGTGAATTGACTGGAGTTGTTTGAAATGCGTGATATAGTGTGATAATATAGAGCCAGAGAGTTAGAGCTGTGTAGAAATCGGTAGTAGGGAAAATAATGAGTTTCTGGCATCGACTCTGGCTCGCCGCAGATCATATATAGATATCTGGGTTATCTGATCGACATGAGCCTCATGATACCAGTGTATTGGATAGGCCCTGTAATAATAAGCTAGGGTATTTCAAAGGCCCTTTCTTACCGGGACCAAAGAGGACTCGCGAATAGAATCAAGCATTTGACGGCTGCTGAAAAGTAGCGTTAGTCTATCATAAGCCCAGCCAAGCCATAGGACCTCGAGGCTGCCACACCACATCCCGCTTTGGCTCTGCGTTGTTCTTCATAATTCCATTTTGAGCCTTGTAGACTCCAGAAAAAGACCAACACTACCAGGTACTAAGACAGGATCTAGGGATACTTCAAGGTATTCGGCACTTCAAGAACGAATCTTATATTGGATTCCTGGAGCCGCTCCCAGATCCCGAGACCATGAAGCGACACGGGAAGATGTGTCTCAGCCTCTCAGATATTGTGGAGGATCTGGACAAAAATTCTCTTGGCATTGGCAAAGCCGATCCTCTCAACCTCCCGGTACTCGTGAAGGCAATTGAATCGTTCGTGAATAATAGCATGAACAGCATCAGAAACCGAGAACCTACGCTCATATGCTGATGCGATCTCTGCATCGATGCGCCGACCGCAGTTCACCGCCACGACTAGGCCCATGATAGGAAGAAGGCTGAAAAGTATGGCGCAAAGTGGACGGCATGACAGGCTTGACCAAAGTAGCAATAATGTGGAATCGATGCAGCCGACCAAAGTAGCAATAATGCGGAATCGATGCAGCCACTTGCTGCTTGACGCGGCAGGATCAGGCGTTTTGAGATGTCCTGAGTCATGGGAATTGATGAAGCAGTCGTGATAGCCAGGCTTTGCAATACGGTACTTGGGGTTTTATGGTGTGCTACTAATATTGTGCTAGGTGTGCTTTTATCTCTAAGCGTCCGAATACGGAATTATTATGGGGAGCTAGCCATAACAAACCTATCATAAAATCGGCGCATTTATTAGAAACACTGTTAAGCACTAAGTCTTAGCTGTTTGTTATACTTTACTCTTACTGCACTTGAATATCTGAAACATTAGTAAATGCATTTCATTCTTCAGGTTGTGACATAATTGTTTATCTTCCGTTAGTGATGATGAGGATACTGTAGCAGAATACGCTGGAGCTTTATTGAAACTAATATCTGAGTAGTCCTGTGTTTGATATAAAAAGAGTTCGAGATTGTTCTGGGCGCTTCCGCGCTCAAAAGCCTGAGCTCCGTTCAGAGTGTACTCTACTTGGATTTTTTTATCAAGGAGTCTAAAAACACGAAATCAGAACTGAGTCAGGCAAACTGTTGCCCCCAGAATGAAGTCATGATCCTCCACCTCCAGCTAATCCTCCTTATATAAGACATAGACTTATATGGAAACACTGTCCCATTCATGGATTTATAATTTAGAGAGAACTTCATCAAAAGTATTAACTGGAAAACACTATCTTATAGGAAGTTCAATTGTCAATCCTTACTCACTTCGTCTTGTAGTACCACACACGTACTTACGGAGGTATACCTCACACAGCTCTGCAAAATCCTGCGACATTCGTTAAAAGCATCATGCCACCAGGAGTATAAAAACTCGGGCTGTGAAAGATGGGTATCCGTACCGTAGCGTAGTTCATACTGTACTGTATCAAAGCCGGTCGGAGATCCGCTCCCCTGTATGGAGTAACAGCCGATGCACATTCCGTGCAGATTCCCCGCGAATAGGCCGGATGTGCTTCCTTAATAGGCTCTCCGGGCCGTGAAACGAGCATATTTGCTGGCGGAAGTTCGGGATGGCCACAGCCATCTAAGTTTTTCAAGGTGGCGGGGCGTATACCTCGGCATAACGTCACTTCTTAGTTGTATTTTCCAACGTCATGCATGATAGGTCCTTTATTCTGAACTTACGAGTATACGGAGTAGTAGTATACCTACAATCTGTATCTGCCATGAATAATGACAATGAATCTCCCGTTCACTTTGAGATGCCGAGACCCGTTCCATCGGAGATAGATAAGGTAAGCAATTGGTCTCGGCCTTACTGCTACCCTTTATTGGTAATCCGGTAAGGAAAATGGAGGAGCTTTATATCTTACCGCGTCATGTTCCACATATGCCTAGGTAAATCCACTTCCTTTGTTAGTCTGCGAACTCAAAGTATTAAAACTCTTGCTACGCCCTTCAGACATCCGTCTCTACACTAATATCATACAACACATACCCTTAACTGCAAAGAAAATCAATAGTCACAATGGTTCAAAACAAGGGCGTCATCTTCAAGCAGGTGCCAAAGGGTTTGCCAGTTCCCGGCCAAGATCTCGTAGTCGAGGCGCGCGAATTCGATCTCGACCAAGCCCCACCAGCTGGCGGTATCATCACCAAGAACATCTATGCCTCGTTCGATCCATACCAAAGAGGCCGCATGCGCGCACCGGAAATCAAATCCTACAGTCCTCCCTTCACCCTCGGCCAGCCTATCACCAACAGCACCGTTTCAAAGGTCCTCAAATCCGACAACCCGAACCTCAAGGCTGGTGATTTTATCACTGGATTCATTTCCACAGAGGAGTACTCAGCACTCCCGAAAGATGCTGCAAACGCGTGTAAAAAGATTGAGAACCCTTACAACCTTGACTCGAAGGTGTTCCTTGGAGCTCTTGGCATGCCTGGTCTGACAGCCTACTCTTCTTTCTACGAAATTGGCAAGCCAGTCAAGGGGGAGACAATCTTCATCTCGTCCGCTTCAGGTGCTGTCGGTCAACTAGTCGGCCAATTGGCCAAACACGAGGGCTTGAAGGTCATTGGATCTGTTGGAACCGACGAGAAGCTGGACTACATTGTGAAGGATCTGAAGTTCGATGGAGGTTTCAACTACAAGAAGGAGAAACCAGCGGATGCTCTGAAGAGGCTTGCACCCAACGGTATTGACATTTACTACGAAAACGTTGGAGGAGAGCAGCTCGAAGCAGCTATCAATGCCATGAACCCCTTTGGCCGCATCATTGCTTGCGGTATGATTTCGGAGTATAGCAAATCAGAGACTGAGAGGTATCCCATCACGAACTTGATGCAAATTGTTGCCAGGAGGATAACCTTCAGAGGTTTTATCGTTGGAGATCCTAACAGTAAGTGCTCCATTGCACCACATTGAGAGCCCCACAGCAATGCTAATACCTTGCAGTGGGACCTGTCTACATCAAAGAACGGGATGAGAATGTTGCCAAATGGCTTCACGATGGGAGCTTCAAGGCCAAGGAGAGTGTCACAGAGGGTATTGACAATGCACCAGAGGGATTTGTTGGGATGCTTCAGGGCAAGAATTTCGGCAAGGCGGTGTTGAAAATTGCCGATGTTGAGGTACGTGATGCCATTGCTTAAGGTGAACCGTGCTAATAATATCGAAGTAAGTGTAAAAATACAGTCTAGTAAGGCTATGGATGTAAGAACAATCCGAAGCATACCCAATTATTGTCTTTGACCTTGAACCTTCACGTGTTCCTTTTCGGCGCAGAAATCAATCAAGCCTTGCTCAATAGTGAAACCAAGTCTTCAAATCCAACACTTGCACAAATGTCTTCGTTTTCATTGCTTTGCACGTTTCTCAAATCACGAAATCAAGCCAAATTCATCCCGGCGCAAATGTCATCATGTGATGAGCAGACAATACGAGTAGTAAGCAACCTTAATTCAACTTCCTTCGCTCAATGGAACCTCACTTCTATATATTCTCCTTCCACAGTAAAACAATTCGCATCCATTCTAAGCCTAAATTATCTATAAACATTCATTCACCCAATAGACCCAATCCGCTCGTTGTAAACAATGGTAGTCAGTCACACCAACCCCACCATCTGCGCCCCCGACCTTTCTTTCGGTATATACCTTCCACTTAATTCCCCAATATACCGGCAGAGATGCATTTAGATTTATAACTAATTAGCTAGCTAGCACATCATACCCCCTCCCTATAGTAACGTAGCCCCGGTATGTATAGTTGCCTAAGGCAACAATTCGTGGTCAAGCGTTGAACCACCTCACCTTGCACAACTTCTAATCAACTTTCCCGTCCCCTTTGGCGGCTACAACTTGTCGTGTTGTCATTATATATATCAGCCGTATGCTTCTTAATGCTATAATACTTGTCATTTATTTTTGAGCCAAACTCACAGTTCTAATTCCGCGGTTTCTTACAGACAGACACAAGACTTTCGAGGCTATCGAGGCTATCTGTTGGGATATACGATCCGCCCTGGGATCCGCCCTAGGATCCTCCCCAACCTTTCTAGTCATGTGATCTAGCTCATGTGACTTAGCTTAGTCAGCGAAGAGGCATAACCTCTTCGTCTCCGTAACACCACCCAAATGCTAAGCATCAATCAACCAGCATCAAGTCTATACTACGTAGTAGAGAAGTGATCACGTTCTAATGTATCACCGCCTGTGATACCAACACTATCTGCCATTTTTCAAACCTTCCTACTATCAAAATGAGCGGCATACAATATGACGACCTTGCTTGTGCGAGAATCGACGCTCAGTACGATGCGTTTCGCAAAAATTTCCTCTTGAAAGAGAATTTAAGCTTAGCCGGTGATTTCATGGTGAAGGCAAGTGAGGGTGGAATGCCAATAGAACTTAGCCTTGTCCAAGTAGGTGGTTTTAATGCTGGTTTGACGATGAGTTTCAAAAACAGCGTTCCGCTGTTGATTCGATTTCCCAGGCCAGTGATCTCCAGATTTTCCGAAGAAAAGATCCGTCGGGAGGTGGCTATAATGCAATATCTTACCGACTTGACCGCCATCCCAGTGCCTTTCGTTTTACGCTTTGGCATGTCTAATGAAGAGCCTGGGTTGGGTCCGTATATTCTTATGGAGTTTATTCGTCACACCCGCTCTATGAGCGATGTGCTCAATACACCTGGTACCTATCATCAGTCCATTTCGCAAGCAGTATATGCTAACCTTTTTACAAGGTTTCGAGAAGGCGGACAGACCTATCCTAGACCCTCGCATATCAGAAACGACCCTCAAGTGCGCTTATAGTGATATGGCCAACGTTCTACTTCAGCTTTCACAGCCCTCGTTTTCCAAAATTGGTTCGATTGAAAAGCTCGGAGATGGAAGCTGGTCAGTCACTCACCGGCCGTTGACGATGAATATGACCCTGCTGGTTTCATATGGAAATCTTTCGCCAAGTACTCTACCTTCTAATATGTTCAAAACCGCATCCGCGTATTTTGAAGCCCTTGCCAATCTTAATATCACTCATTTGTCTATTCAGCGCAATGATGCAATTGAAGACGCCGAAGACTGCAGATGGAAATATGTCGGACGCTATGCTTTTCGCAAGCTTATATTAGAACGGCATTTTCCAACAAATCCCGTTAGCGGACCTACGCCGTTCAAGTTATTTTGTGATGATTTTCGACCCTCAAATGTACTTGTCGATGAACACGACAAGCTCGTCGGGGTTATAGATTGGGAGTGGACTTATGCTGCGCCTGCCGAATTCGCATATAGCCCTCCTTGGTGGCTGCTTCTCGAGCCTCCCGAAGAATGGCCCCATGGGATCTTGGATTGGGTGAAGGAGTACGAGCCGCGACTGAGAACCTTCTTAGAAGTGCTTAGAAAAGCAGAAGATTCTATGATCGAAGACAGGCGGTTGATAGAGCGACTATCGGTGCGGATGCAGGAAAGTTGGGACACTGGCGATTTTTGGGTTGCCTATGCGGCTCGGAAAAGTTGGGCTTTTGATCAGGTTTTTTGGAAAATCATCAATCGGAATCCCAGGTTTTTTCCAAAACCTGGGTATGAAGAAGCACTTAAGCTACTCTCCAGAGAAGAACAAGATGGTATGGAAGACTTTGTGCAGAGAAAGTTGAAAGAAAAGGAGGAGCGTATTTTAGTTGACTGCGAGGAGACAGTCGACTTTTGATTATGGACCTTCTTGCACCTATTAATACCACTTTATCCTTCTCAAAACAGCCTATTTTGCGCCTCGCAGCTTCAGCCTGTTCTCTAATGATAATTCCAAGTCCTTGGCTCTCCGGATAGGGCATCGCTTGCACACAAACTGTATGATACTCAGGTAAGTGAGGTTAAAGTCAGAAATAACCTCATGGTCAAGGTTCCTAAAAATCCACGTAAAGTAGTTTGAGAGACCTCCGCACATGGAGGCCAGCCGGCCGGTCTCAGTAGAGGTGAAATAGGCCTGAAGTGTTCAAGTGGTCCCATCAAATTGGAATCATTCCGGCTTGGAAGTTTGAGCACACAGGGTTGCATTTCTAGGTGTAGAAGAGTGTTAGGCCAAGATGGTCACGGATAGGACGATAAATAGGGTCAGAGCTAGCATAGACGTGATGGGCATATAATTGTATGTAGTCAGATCCACCTAAGCGTGATAAAGAGGTTTATCCCACAGACGCTTATATAAGCAGCTAAGTCCAACCTATAACGATGATATAACAAGTTGTAGCCGCTAGACACCTTGTGTTATATATATAATAAGACTGCTTAGTGGCGATTCAGCTGTATAGGATGTTCAGCTGGACAGGGCACTCAGCTGTACAGGGTAATAGAACAACTGAAGCCTAATATAGCACTTCCTTGTAATAGTGCGACAGAAGGTGCGGCACATTCGAGGTCAGCATTCGGCTACCAAGTAATGAACAAGCATTTGTTGGGCGCCAACATCTTCCATCCCTAATTGAAAACTTTGGATCGTATATTGTAGCGGGTAGCCAATGACAGACAAGTGCCATACTTGCTGATAAACCCGGATCGGAGCTGACAGTCCTTACGAAGTGTCAGATATCTTGATAAGAGCGCTTCCCATTTCCATCTTTAAGATACGAATATATGCTTTGCAGGCTGTTGCTTGCGATTTTTCTTACATGTTATTCTATGGAGATTTGTAGATACTGTATTTTTATAGTAGCCCGATTGGGATTAGCGGACAATGAGCGCCCACTTAACCAGCTTCGTGCAATACCCGTCTTGCTTCACTTCCTGTGGCTTAATCATCCTTGGCTGTGAATTCATGCTGTGCTCTCTGAACATCTTTCGTAGTACGCACTTGGAATAACCAACATGCTCTTAGAGTTGCGCTTCTGTATCATGCATACCTCAGCCAAGAAGGACTTTGCACCCTTGAGAGTTGGATAAGGTAAGAGTGAGATGTTGACGTTCTGTTCCTGGTTCCTCCAAGACCTCTCCCGGGGCAAGTTTCATGCCTGGAAACTCCTGAATGACTCGCACGATACCACAGGAAGCTAGCATGAGCCCGAAATCCTCTGATTCCCCACGGTCAGCATTTTCTTTCGGTATGAGAAATTGACACATGACTTACTTCCTAGACAAAGTCGCGGTCCGCCATTGAACGGAAGGTAGCCCCAGCCGATGCTAGCAAGCTCGGGGCCATCCCATCTCTCGGGTCGAAAAGCCAGCGGGTCAGGACCGTAAAAATCCTTGCGCCTCTGCATGTGGTAGACTGAGTATGCAACGGGCATCCCTTCGCGAACCAGGAGAGGTGAACGCCCGTCCGGACCTCCGCCAACCGGGAGAGCAGTCGTCTTCCGGCAGAAGCGAGTATTAATTGGAACTGGGGGATATAATCGAAGCGCTGTATCTATTTGTCAACAAGCACATTCTTGTGAAGAAGCATACTTTTGCTTACTCTCTTTGAGAACATTGTGCAGATAGGGCATCTGCTGAATATGTGCTCTGGTAACATCTTTTTCGTCGCCGACAACGGTATTTATTTCGCGACGGAGGATGTCAAACGCATCCGGGTTAGACAGAAGAAGAAGGCTAGATGAGAAGGATTAGCGCATTCAAGCTGAAAAATTGCGTCTACCTACAAGGCGTACGACAATGTCGCAGCTGTGGTGTCGCGTCCAGCGATCAACACATTCAGTACTTGGTCTCGAACGAGTTGCAGGTCTTGGTTATCTTGGTGCAGTTCCGCGATGAATGAAGACTTTTCAGACTCGACTGGGCTTTCCACTTCTCGCTGCAAGGCGTCTGCGACAAACTGATAGGTGTAATTTTTAATCGTCTCACAAGCCTTGAAGAATCCTTTGGGGCGGTATAGGAAATACATATCCCCAAGACGGGCACGTGTACCAGTGACTAGAGACGCTCTGTCGAAGGCTTTCGAGAACAAGTCGCCGATTTCATGTTTGAAACTCTCAACGGGCTGTCCCAGTATCATAGCTATGGTCGTGTCGAGCGTCAGTCGATAGAACATCGGCTGAAGATCTGTGACGCCGGTAGAAGTATTCAACCTCTCGACCAAGTTTTCAAGATGCTCGCTGAAGTCCTTTAAGTTCTGGTACTGCATCCGCATAAACTGGCGTCTAAGAACCTCACGCGAATTTTTCCAGGCAGCACCGTCTTGGGTAAAAATTCCTTCACCGATCATCGCATGCATGGCCATACTGCGAGGTCCAAGATGAAAATCTATGGTATTTACACGATTAGTCTTAAAGAATTCAATGCGTATGGATTGTAGAGAAAGTCCCACGTCTTACCCTGAAATTGCGTAGAAAGGATTGCCTCAATATTCTCGGGATCCTGCGTTACATAGCCAATACCTCCGAGAATTTTGACTTCAGCAGTTGGGCTCAATTGATCAAAGTGTTGAGTGAAGAAAGCCAGCAGTTTCTTTTCGCGTCCTGCTTGGAAACCACTTTTCATGACATCTAGTGCCAGAGGCCATTCATAACGGAGCTTCGCAGCCGATGGTTTGCATCCACTCCGTTCCCCGAATTCAATATCTTGCTATACACGTAGATTAACAGCAATATTTGGCACGTCAAGTATGAGGAAACATACACGGTATTTCACAGCCTTGCGAGTGTACAGATATATCCATATCGAGGCTACGAAAAGGAGTGTTGTAAATGTTACTGGTCGGACAAGAGTAAAAGGTGCGAAGAAGTCAAACACGCCTTGAATAGAAGCGTTGTTAGGCATACTTCAGCGCAATTTGGGAACGAAGAAAGCTTCGGTTTCGATTGAGGGAGACTGGAGATGGCTGGAGATAGTGCAGCACGCGCTCTACGCCGCTATAATTTAACACGCCTTGGTCTAAACCCATTTGGGTAGGAAAGGTGGAAATATAGAAGTAATGAAGTTTCCCCCTTTAAATTATTTGGAAGACAATTCTGGATAACTATGGCTCAATTTGCATCATCTTAAGCTCGTGGCGCAGTAAATAACATGTTATTTTCGCAAGGCAGGTACGGAATGCACTACTGGTCGTGTTGAAAGAGCTCAAATAGATCTAGCTCAGAAGAAAAGCTTTTCTAAAATATTAGAGTCTTTCTGTCTTGGCTTCGATGCGTGCTGTTGGAACAATTGCATCCATGAAGACCGACGCTCCGACGCTACGACGCTACTGTAGTCTCCGTGCTGTAGCCGCCAGTCTAATAGCTTAATTTAGTGTCCGTCGCTTCCCCAGTCTCCGAATGGCGACAGAGTGGAGAGGAGATTATCAGATCCAAACAATCTGACCATTCAGGTGTTGCCGGTGACAATCAGGTTTTAACGAGCCTGCCAAGATAAGTCTGTGCGCTTCAGGCTATAACGCACGTCTCAATTGCATCGTATAACTGCAATTGGGAGCTTTGCGAATATATGCAATTCGCGCATAGCTTCCATGTTCTTAGTTAGTATTTCTTCGCCCGTTTCATGCGTGAAATCGAGGGGTGGAGTGGTAGAAGCCATAAATAATGAAATTGGTGAGTGTTGGCGGTGTGTGTGCCTGACGGCGTCAGCTGAAATTGTTGAGTGTCTACGGTACAGCTTCTGGTACAGCCATCAACCAATCAGTTATGAGTGAGAAAGGCTGCCACCAACAATGTACCAACAATGTTATGAGAGGTGTTGGTTTTTCAAATGACAGCCCGGCTCCTGATAATGCTCGTCTTGTTATTGGCGGGCATAAGGAGCCGTTCGCCCCCGTCAACCTGATATGGGCCAAGTCCAGATTCCTGCCCTCCATCAGATGCATTGGTCTTCCTTTCTTTGCCTCATGGCTGCCTACATGAGACAAGAAATGGCCGCGTTTCCTTCGACTGTTGTGGCATGATTTATCTTCCGTTTCTATCAAGCTAACGTGCTTGTCTCTAAATATTTGGTACATTTGACAGCTGCGAGACTTCCGCCGTATGGCCGATCCATTCTCAATCCTTGCAGGGTAAGCTCACAAGACGCAAGTCTCTCACGAGTCGATGGAGCTGATTGCTGTACTAGTACCGCTGGGCTTGCTGACGTTTGTGTGCGGCTCGCAAAATTCCTCAAAGACGCCAACCATGGATTTCGAGTAGTCGACCAGGAACTGGAGGGCCTCTGCGAAGAGATCATCTCCCTCCGGTCTGTAAACGATCTAGTTGAACGTACCTACATGGAAGGATCCGCGGCGAGGGTATCACCCCACCAACAGCAGATCATAGGTACAAATTGGCGTGCTACCCAAAACACTCTGGCTAGCTGTCAAGGTATAGTTGAGAGGATCGAGGCGATATTTTTGGAGGTTATAGGAGTTGGAGGTGGCAAGCACATCAAACTTGACCAACTGCGGAGGTGGCTGAAGCAGCAATCAAGGGAAGAGGCATTGACCAAACTGCGTGAGAAGCTGAAAGCTCATCAAATTGCGCTACAACTCAGTCTTTCGGCGGTTAGCATGTGAGACATTTCCTTTATATGCTGTGAATCAGTTGGCTGACAAGTATTAGTATTTACTCTCGCACATCGCAGCAAGCGTCGCACGAGTCGTATTCAGATTTATCCGCGTCTATTAAGAACCTAGGCGCCGATTTGGATTCGAAGATAAATTCGTTAGAAAGATTTGTCAACTTGTCCGCTGAAAGAACGGTTAGTGGAAAGAATTCCTGCCTTTCGTGCAAGTACTTATTTTGGAAGCTTGCATCCGCTGTCGAATCCGCACAAAAAGTGGTGGCTTTGGCGTATCTGAACAAACATTTCTTCACACCACAAACTGTTAGCAGTATCTATACTGGGCGCGAGAACGAGCTTGAAGTTTTGAGACAATTCCTCGTCACTCCCGTTTCTGCAAGTCCCCTTGAAGCGCAGAAGAGATTCGTGATCTTTGGTCTTGCTGGATCTGGAAAAACGCAGCTATGCTGCAAGTTCGCCTCAGAGAACAAGCAACGGTATTAGTCAATCAAGTATGATTGTGTAGATTTTCAGCTAATTTTATAGCTTTTGGGGGGTGTTTTGGATCAATGCTAGCTCCAAGGAGCACTCGGAACAATCGTTCTCCTCTCTCTCAACAATCGGAAAGGTTGCATCCAGTCCAGCTGCGGTCAAAAGCTGGCTCTCAAGTCTTGGACCAGAGCAACCATGGCTGCTCATAATCGACAATGCGGACGACAAGAGTTTTCCCGTGGAAGAATGTTTTCCAGACAGTCGATTTGGCACAATCCTCATAACAAGTAGGAACCCCATGCTCAAAACGCACGGCACCGTAGGACCTCGCTACTTAGAATTTCATGGACTAGATGAGAAAAAGTCGATCGAACTACTTCTCAACGCATCAGCCGAGTCGGTACCGTGGAGCACGTCCTCCGTTAACTGTGCGAATACTATTGCTAGAGCTATGGGGTGTTTACCTCTTGCCCTAATACATGCTGGAGCAACAATTCTTTCGGGCGTTTGCTCCCTTGAGACTTACCTCGATTTCTTCGAGAAAACGTGGGATCGAATCCGCCAAAGAAAGGAGCCCAATGCTGCCTCTCAAATTTCGGACACCAATGCTGCAATCTATACTAGTTATGAGCTCATACACCACGGACTTTCGACCAGGAAGACTCCAGCTGGCGAAGATGCTCTAGATCTTCTGAGAATATTTTCCTTCCTCGATCGTCAACAGATCAAGCTAAACATATTCCTACGTGCAGCATCTAATCCAGAGATCGAATTGACTGATGCATTGCGCAGAGACGGTGAAAGAAAGGCACACGACAAAGTGATCCCAAAGCGTACACCGGCGCAGACTTTGAGAAACCTTATAATGCGAATTGTCAGTCTTCTTTCGCAGATGGGGCATCGCCCTGTCTTACCGAGGTTCCTTTCTGAATCGCCCAAGCCAGGAGCATTTTACGAACTGAGACTGAGGGAAGGACTCAAAGAGCTCTCTCAGATGTCGCTGATAAATACCAGTTCCGGCCCACGAGATTGTTATTCAATGCATGCAGCAGTCCATCTATGGGCGAGACAGAGGCCGGAAATGACAATCGTTGAGCAAGCAGTGTGGTGTCAAATGGCAGCGACTATTATTTCTCGTGCTATCTTACTCCCGCCTTTGGGCGACACAGAAGAAGACGAAGCTTTCCGCAGAGATCTGCTTCCACATGTTCGCCATGTCCAACATGTCGAGCGAACAATCCAAATTGCTTTTGCAACAAATAGGGAATCTAGGCGAAAGTTGTTACCGGTATTGAACCCCCCGATGACCTCAGACCGATTATTACAACTTGTGAAATTTAGTCTCGTCTATGCACAAGGCCACCAGCTTGGAGAGGCAGAACGGCTGCAAACATATGTTGCAGATTTCGCTATCCGATATTTGGGCAAGGAAAACACTAAGACGATAAATATCATGCGCCTGTTGTCCTGGACCTACTGGCAACTTGCACGGGTGGATGAAGCTGTTGAACTTCAGAAGCAGGCCCTAAATGCATGTATCAAAGTTCTTGGCCGAGAACATCCAGAGACACTACAAATAATGGATTCATACGGATCAAGCCTGTGGCTACAAGGTAATATCCCCGAATCTCGCGAAATGCACACCGTTGCAGTCGAAGGGCTTACAAAAGCACTTGGCCACGATCATGTGCAGACGCTGAAGGCCATGGGGGGCTTAGGCCGCGCAGTTGGCAAGGACTTCGATTTCACCGAAGCGATCGGCATACAATCACAAGCCTTTGCTGGCTTGAAGAAGAAGCTTGGTCAATCACATTCAGCCACACTTGAGGCCATGGACAATCTAGCTATGGCCCACTTTGACCGAGCTGCGTATCGCAGAGGCCAGCAAGGAGATCTTGATCGTGCGCTTGAACTGGAGGCAGAAGTCTTTAAAATGCGCCTAGATAGGTTCGGCAGAGAGCATCATCATACTCTCTGGGCTGGTCTCAACCTGGCACGTATCAAGGCTGTCATCGGCGAAACTGACGAGGCATTGTCCATATTTCTACCTGGCCATGCTGTGGTGCGGAGAGACCTCGGTGCAGACCATTTCATTTATTTATTCGGGGAGCTACATCATGGCCGCATCCTCATGTGCGCAAAAAGGTATGAGGATGCGGAATGAATTCTGTGCAAAGTGGTGGAATCTCACCAGAAAAAACGATCAGGTCATCCTGATCGATTACTCGCAATGTTCTCCTTGATAAAATGCCGCAACGTCTTAGGCAAAGAGAACCAAACAGCCCTGCTGCTTGAAGAACTGATCGAAGGTACGAAAGCAATCTTTGGCCCGGATCATGCGGCGGTCAAATATATTCTCGATGGCCAAGTTCTATCGAAGAATACAAGTGAGCTTCTCAACCCGTCTACAAAGAAAACGAGTTCCGGCTTCGTTCTCGAAAGACTCAGCCTCATGCAGGATGAAAACCCCATTTCTACTGCGAAGGTTGAGCCGATGAGCAATGTTGGGTTCCATTCAGGGAACATGCTAACCCAAAGGAAAACCTTCTGAAGATGGGAAAAGGTTCTCCACGCTGGTATGCGATGAGAGACGAAAAATAGTACAGGTTGTCCGAGGATGGAACGTGACCAGAAAGGGGAACGGAGCAACTGGCCGAAGCGAAATACGCGGTTTGTAATGACCCTACCTCAACCTCCTTCGAAAATTATTTTCGAACTTCGCCTCGGAAGAGTTGTCTGTGGGCTTACGTTTGCTAGAGACCTTAGCCTAGACTATTGACGTTCACTGTGTCAAGTTCGGTCACGGATGAACAGGCGGAATATGACCCTGGTAGTTATTCAGATCTCCGAGATAAATGTCGCAAACGAGAGATAAATGAGCATTTGAATGCTTAGAAACAAGACTCGAGGTTCATGTCTAGATACGAAATCAAATGTTCGAAATAACTCAAGGGATAAATTATACAGATAATTGTCGACCCCACCAAATCAAGTACATACATGTTCTTGACGAGCATCTCGAGTGGTCTGCTCAACACGGCATTTGTCAATTCTTAATAAGATGAGAATCCAAATTTCCGAAGTGTCAAATATTTGCCACATACAAAAATCGAACTGTATGGTGGTCCTCTCGAAGGGGGAGGTTCCGGTCACAATCGAATCGTTGATTCGGCATCTTCGCTTGCGTACCGCCGACACAGAGGAGTGAGTCACAATTGGCGTTTCAGGATTCGCTAGCCACAGGTGCGACCCGTTTACTGAAGTACTTCGAAAGTCATACGCGGCTCGGGTTCCGCCGCCAAGGCAGCTGGTAATAGTTGCAGCCTGGAGCTAGAAAACCCGCATGATGAGGCTGCAATGAGTCTCACAAATCAAGTCAAGCCGAAGGACCTGGTGATGTAGCTTTCGATCGGAAGCGCTTTGGCAGTCGAGTAGTGTACATCGGAGCAGTCACTTGGAATGGGTTAATCACCTGCTACATCTTGGTTCGCAAAGGGCTGACCTCGTTCTTGGAAAGCTGCGTTGTGAAGCATCTCACTCACGAGAAATGGCAGTTTTCGTCTTTGATTACGAAATTGATATTTGAAATGATGTTATAGCTTACGATAGGGAAACTTTTATCCTAGAACTATTAGCGAAAGGTAATGTAGAATAGTTTTGAAAAGAGAAATAAATTCGGTTTCGTGCATAGGCAGCTATCCGCGGTAAAGGGAGGTACTCTGCTGCCAGCGACACAGATAATGGGCGCAGGATTATGGCTAATTGATACTCGTTTCTTCATATTGCAATGTATTAGCGTAACAACGAGGGCCAAACACGGGAGCAATCGAGTGTTTGGCGTGAAGAGCAATTCGATACGATCTATAACTCAAGGGCGGAGTATTCACACATATTGGAATAGTAAGGAGATTAGAAGGCACTCTGCAAAGGAACAGGTAGAACCTTCAACTATACAACTCCTTGACTCCTCGTACTCCTAGTAGTTTTCGTTCTCTTAAGATTCAAGCACAACTTGCCCGCCGAGGCTCGTTTGGCACCAACCGCTATGAAGGAACCTCAGACCTAGCTTGGTTCTCTTCCTGTTCCTATACAGTCATACTTCTGGGAATTTCGTTCTGTTTCCCCCACTTAAACACTCACCCAATAGCCGGCCGCACATCTTCATCGATACGATCTTGAGCGCATGTAAATTGTCGGTTTCCTTCAATTTGCCGCCCTTTGAAAATCAAAACTAAATCTACGCCATTTGCTTTGAACTCCCATATCGACTTCCAAACTAGAGTGACATCTCAGTATCACCTACGAGAGTAGGTATCAACACACGGGTGTTCTTTAGGAAACATCAAAGGCTGGACTTGTTTGTCTCAATGAATGACAGCAGAGATCGTGTAATAGCAGAGTTGCAGTGTTAAGCATCAGCCAAATCACGCCCCTTCCGTTTTCTCTGTCGTGTTTGTCGCTGTCTAATGCCTTTCCTCGTTTGAGAAGGGTTATGAAACTCCAATCCCTGAGAAGCAACATCGGCGTAGCTCGAAGTGCTAGATCGTGAATCAAGACTGCTCGGTGGGCAGGAAGAGAACACAGACGCCGAATCCTGCCATCAATCAGTATTCCAGTATTCCCCCAAGAAGTGATCAATCGAAATTTACTAACCTGAGTGGAACTATCACTGTAACAACTCTCTCTTCGATACCTGGCTCCCGGCAGATAAGGAAAGTTTTCCACACCGAAATCACGCTCTACCACCAGCTGTTCCATCTGCCGACCCAGATTCCTCCACTCCGCGTCACTTCGTGCAACATCGATTATCATGAACGTTTTTGCCGCTTGGTCGATTTTGCAAACGAAGTTGTCAGATTGACGGAGCCGCTTCATTCGCCTTTTCCGCGCTTGTAGCAGTTTTGCTGGAAGGTTGGATAGCGAGAAGGCTTGAGCTTCTAGGGATAGACCGTTAAGACTTTGGACCGAGTAGATGTCTAGGTGATCTTCTTGGCAGCGTAAATATTGGAGACGAAATTCGTCTCCAACTATTGAACCTACGAAGTTCTCGTAGGGAATGTCGAAAGACGTGGTCACGGGTTTTTGGTCCCTCTTTCGTTGGCATTGGGCGGTCTGTGGGAACGAGGTTGGATGTCCTTCTTTTCGTGGTTCATTGATATATAAGTTTTGCCTGTGCCCGTTACAGCATTGGCATGATGTGTAATGATACAGCTGGATATTCTCAAACCTTCGCGCGATGATGCTGCTAGAGTATATGTTCGGGGAAGACCTTCTCCGTTTCTGGATTCTCGTAGGTCTGATGCTTCTAGATGCTAGCATGTAGCAGTCATGGAGCTTTTCGGTTCTTAACAGCGTGGTATTTAAGGTCGAATATCTCAATTGATATTTCAACACCTGGACTATTAGTTTGAAGCTCATTATATGTATTAACATTGCATACTACGCACTCTAGAATCGGCAATCCTAACAGAGTTTGGCAAATTGTTCGTACTTGTTGGTGATTTCTTGATCAAGTTTGAAGTCATTTGATCTTGCGGCTTCTGCGCCTGTCTGAAGAAATATATCGGGAAGACATAATTAATAGCAGTCTCAGGAGAGTAAGTCCAAAGGGATAAATGCACTACTTAAATATTGAGAAAATTTGGGGAAAGAAAACTTCTCCAGTGCAATACCGCTGAACACAAGCTCCTTACTTTTGTGACTGAAGCATCGTCTTAGAGGAGTCGTTTAGGAACCCAGCATAGGAAGAGGCGTGCTAGATTTGTACACAAACCACTTGCGGCCGAAATCTAAGACCAACCATCCTCTAAAAATCTTCCAAGGCTGTATCTGACACACCTTTCCAAATCCAAAACTTGCGGCCATTTCCTTGCATGAGGCCCCTTTTATTTTGAGGCCCCTCTATTCTGAGGCCCTTTTATTTTGAAGGCCTTCTTTTGCTTTCAACTTTCTCTTACATTAACGCCGAGGTTGCCCTGGTGCGCCAAGGGTGAGGCCACATTATCTTCTGGCCTCTACTTTGTGGCCATTTTCACTAATTTGTATTGCCCACACGAGTTCACCGACCGTTTCAGTTTGAGGCCCTTTCTTGGATTCTGTGCCCCACATCAGGTATCGATCATTCGAGGCTGTATCCAGCTGAACACAATGCTCGGAAATGGGCAGCCAATAAGGATAGGGAGGACTTTTGGCAGCATTGCGCTCCGAGCATGATGGTGAGAGTTGAGGAAGCCTACAAAAGGCTCCTTCATCCACCCTTTTTTATAACTCTCTATCTCTAAGATTGAAGAAAACCAGGATCATATCCCCGATCTGATCTCAGAGCATTCCAACAAATCATTTTCAACATCGTCCCCTTCGTCCTTCACAAATGTTCATGTATATATCACAACCCTCTCATTTGAACATTCTTTGGCCTCGCAAAGGTGGGTTTCATTGATAACTAAGGTAATCACTGTGGGATCACAGATACATCACTTACTCCTCCTCCCCGCAGCAAAGATGTGCCTGCTATGAGCATGTCGGAAAACCACCTTCAGAAAACCCGGTAAATACCCACGAGAGGAAGAATTGATCGCCACAATGATATAGTAAACTTGATCATCAATGAAAATGCAAAGCCTAGGAAGTGTCTCGAGACCGAGGATCAACGGGGGAGGGCAGGTCGGCCCTTGGATTTGGCACCGCAGTCACTGATATGTGCATCAAAGGCGTTGCGCTCGATAAACTTCTCAAGACATCTACAAAAGTAGTATCCAGACAAAGGTTCATTCTTGCAAGTTGTCATGTGTCGTTTTAAGGTGCCTTTGCGCGATGTTCGTTGAGAGCACGAGCACACATACCAGCCTAGGCGTAACTCTCCGGGCTCAGGCTTGTTGTGCACTTGTAGCTCATGACGCTTGAGATCCTTGCTACTTGTAGCTACGGTATTACAAAAGGCGTGTTCGCACTTATGATGAGCTTTGGACCCTGCTCGGGATTGTCTGTGTCTGAGTTTAGAATAGGAAAGATTGAGGCGGGGATATAATAATATACCTGCGGAGAGGGGGATTCGAGTTGCGACTTATGGCGCGATGGCGGGTGCAACCAGAAGTCTCCCGTAGCGGTATCGCAGCCACAGCCTCGAGTGCCTCAATTCGTTCAAGTACCTCTCGTAGATGGTCTGGCGGTGGGGGCGTAACACTTGTAGTTGATGGATGTGCTGGCGCGGGATCCAACCATAGAGGTTGAAACGTGGGTTCTTGAGATGAGTAGGTGTTGGAATAGGAGGTCGACTCTGGAGGCCAAGTGTTTTCGAGGAAAGTATTTCCATTGATGTTGAAAGCCCCGATCGCTTGCTGAAGTGCGTTGTCGTTGTCAGCAAGTGATACTTGACTTAACTGCCCATACGACAGAGAATCATCGGCATCAAAGAGCGCGGGCGGTTTCTGAGTATCACCATTGTCAAGCCCCTGTACGGCGTTACTAGGAAAGATCCAATGTCTGTCAGAGTTAATGTTAAGGGGCGTGCCGGCTGGCTCAAGGTCAAGAGAGCTAGAGCACGACCGACAAGCGCCATCAACATCCACCCTGGGATCCATGATTCGCTGATGTGTATTCTTCTTAACCCAGCATAGACGGATTGTGGCTGCGTCGTGTCACTCGTGTGGCTTGGAATCCAGGCGGGAGGTTTCTTGCACCGGACCGTTCGTTATCAGGGGCTGTCCAGGAGGGGGTCCTCGGCAGCTGATGCTGCAGATTTGCGTTCCAGAGATCAGAGATGCCGGTGCAGAGGATGTTGATTTTAATAAGAATGGCTCTTGCCGCAAGAGTATAGAGGTAATGGGCCGGCAGAGAAGCAAAGAAGAAAAGAAGAACAATGTGGGTAGAAGCAATCCTTCTGATTTAAGTATTCATCGAGCTAGCTTGTGGCCCTTTTGCTGAGTCCATTTTGCTGAGCAAAAGGACTCGAGCCGTGCCTGTCTTGTCAATCCATGCACTGTACTGATGGACGGAGACAAATTTGAGGCCTTCCTCACTGCCCAGTCCAATAATTCCTTGGTTGCCCCGGGAACCCTTATACAATAATGATTGTTTCATCGGGTGGCATTGCACTTTTTATTTCAGTGTGACTGTCTTGTTTTATTCCAAGGAAACAAGTGCTATGCGGGATTTCACCTCTCCAAATTTCTTCCCTTGGAGTATTGCCATGAAATGCAAGTGTAGAACAGTGCGTGCGTTTACTCGAGTCTGCTCACGACCAAACAGCACACATGGTGGAACGCAGGAACAGGAACAGGAATTCCTGGGATATTAAACAAAGCCGTGAAACCCCAGATGTCAGCACGCATAGGTGGCGACTCACCCTCATTGGGCCAATTGTCAGCAGATGATGGTGTGCCAGTGCAGCAGTCGTGACGCACCCACCGTAGACGAGGGTGGGTGGGAAAGCGTCAGGCTTTGCCTCGGGCTCTTTCGCTGGCTCATCTGATTGAGGAATAGGGATGTTTGGAGGGGGGGGGGGGGGGGGTTCTACAATAATGCTGACGAGTTCATAGTGCACTTGGAAACAGTTGAGGTAAATCTTATATCAAGCTTAACCATTTTTTACAATCGTAAATACTTGTTCAATCTGCCCCCCTTTATCCAGACGTTAGACTCTCGCTTAGTGGTTTCGGGGGCAGAGCGGGAAGTGCCTGCAAAATTACAGCCTTCTCTATACTTTTCCACCCACCAATCCTATACAGTGGACATGTGTGGTGTTTTAAGCGTACAGTGCCAATCCCGTAGTCTGAGTGGCATTTCTGGGGGCGAGTTAAGGCTGCCTCTAAAGTCAAAGTGAGACATACAGCCTTATAGCTGACCGTCTGCACTCTGGTATGCTCATGGCTATTTCCCCCACGGATATTAAAAAATCAGCACAACCGAGAAAGAAATTAGTTGGATATGCTTATGTCCTGCGGAACGCCACCTTCTATTCCTGGATTTTCGTGTACTCTATGGAAAGAAGATTATCTAGCGCAGAAAGGACTAGAATGGACGTAGAATAGAAACAGTCGGACTTCCAATCATGTTAATATATCTAGACTTTGATTCTGGTAAAAAATGATCTAAGCTAGGCAAAGGTAGCGGAAACATAAGACATACGGGCTCGTAAAAATGCTCATCACTTCTCAAAATTCATTGCATGTGCTCTAACGAGGCCTTGCGACAGTATCTCCTTGTTGGTCACAATGTTTGCTCCTGGCAGCACCTATTTATCCAACGAGAAAAGAGTAGTCGTGGCTTGATTTTCAACTATTGCTAAACATTCAGAACGCCCCGGAGCTTGCATGAGGGCATGTTTACGAGTAGACACGATAGCTTTTTGCAAGGGTTGGTCACACTTTTCAAAGTGTGACCAACCCTTGCCACAATGTCGCGTGTTTAGCAAGGATAAGTCACACTTTGGAATAATTAAGTGGGGCACCAGGGCTGGCTGCAAAGCGGGTCAGATCAGACCTATCCTAAAAGCAAAAAAAATCTACTTCTTCCACAACACAAATTGACTGACTGATTAACTGACCAACTGACTAACTAATCCAGTAATTAACAAAACTAACAGCAAAACAGTTCAAATTCCCAAAGACGAGAAAATGTGCAAATGGGTGTGTTTCATAGACTTCAAGTAGCAGATTCTCGAGACATATATAGTATAGACCAAAGCAACTGGCTTGGTCATTACTGCGTTTCGGGAGCTAACAGGCGGCGGTGGGCGCATAAAGATGTTGGAGGAACGTGCTTCTAGGCTATAGAGGAATAAAGAAAGAAGGAAGATGATGCATGCATGCGTTCTGATGCCTATATGCTATATGCCTATACTTATATATGGCGTTGAGTAATAGTATCTGAAATATTGATAACTAGAACGGCTTCGTGGTCGTTTATCTTGATTCTGTATGAAGTAGCATCGAGAGATGGAGAGAGATAAATGCAGGAAGAGATGGAAAATACAGGGAGAAATCGAAAGAAACAGAGACAGAAAGGGGGAAATATCATCATTTATTGCCCGCTATGTAGCGAAACGCTTGCATACAGCTGTCCATCATCCATACCATCCATGCATGCCATTAATGTGCCTCATATCTGCCTAAAAGAGCAGCTCCTCTACCGTATACACATTCGTGAAACCGTCATTCGTATGTCTCTAGCTCAACAATTGTTCAATAGCTCCCTGCACACTACCTCCACTTCTCCTCAAAGCCTCAACATTCCGGTCAAAATCAAAGAATCCCATATCATTCAACTGCCTCAACTGATCCGCGTATCTCTCTTCCGGTGGTCTCGTATCAGCCGGCGCAGGCGGACTCGCTGGTCCCCCCGCTCCGCCAAATCCACCAGGTCCAAATAGATCACCAAATCCACCACCAGCTCCTCCAGCTCCGCCTGCGAAACCGCCACCTGCTTGTAGTGCTTGCATAGCTTGTTGCATTTGCTCTGGCGTGATGGGCGGGAGACCTTGCAAGCCAGCACCACCACCAAGCAGAGATGCAAACGGGTTCACTGGCGCATCTGCGTTTGCAGGTGGTGACCCTACGGTGCCTGGTGTCGCGCCTGTTTGACCTGGAGTTTGACCTGGAGTTCCAAAGAGTGCCGCGAAGGGGTTTGCACCTCCTGCTGCGCCTCCAGCACCTGCACCACCAGCACCGCCCATCAACGACGCAAATGGATTGGCAGCCGCATTGTTAGGTTGATTTGGCGTACCGGCTGCTCCAGGTGTGGTATCTGTGACTCCCGGCGCCGGGAAACCTCCAGCGCCACCAGCGCCTCCTCCCATCAATCGTCGCATTGCGGCTGCTTGTCGCAGGGCTTCGGGGTTGGTGAGCATGCGGCGGAACTCGGGGGACTGGAACATCTCTCGTGCGTGTGGGTTGTTGCGGAGAGCGGGGGTTTGTTGGATCATCATGTCGATTAGGGCGGGGTTGTTGAGGGCTTCGTTCATGGTTTGTTGTACGTTTGGGTCTTCAAGCATCTGGGCCATTGCGTCTTCGCTGGGTGGTGCGCCCATCTAGAGGTTCTCAGCTATAAGTATAAAAATTTGGGCGCCTGGGGGGACTTACACCACCGTCTGCGCCGAACATGTCTGCTCCTGGAAGAGCCATATGTCCAGCGTACCGAGCACCGGTCAAGCCAGCTAAAGGATTGTTCGCTGTGCCGGCTGCCATATTGGTTGGCACTCCTGGCGCTGATCGAGCTGCTGCACCGGTGGCGGCTGAGGGGCTGGCTGCTGGATTTTGTGCGACATTGCTTTGCGCGCTCTTGACCATGTGTATTGTGTTGCCTGACTTGATGTTGTATTTGCTTAGGACGTCCTCATTCTTCATAACACGACCGGAGTAGATCAGTCTTTGTCTATCGGCTGGCACCTTTTCGTAGTCATCCCCAGATAGCTTCGTCTTCAGGTCCAAGACTGTCGCAGCCTCGGACATAGTGATGGTGTGGTTACCATCGCTGGATGTCTTGACCTTGAAGGAGACTTGCTTGTCCTGCGTCTCGGCGGTTGCGTCTTCTGAAGCCATTGTATGGCGGATGATATTTTAGATGTCGGATCGAAGAGAGACACACAGAGGAGAGGGTGGGGAGTGAGGGCGAAATTGGATTGGTGGTGGTTTGTGGTGGTGTTTGCGATTATCGTGTGAGATAAAGACAAGGCGGCTACAGATGACGTTGGTTCCCTTCCCACTTAGAAGAAGCAGGGGTGTGGCTAGAAGACTGTAAGAGTAGATCTGCGATATAAAGTATGAACCAGAACAGTCGTTTGTATGCACTCAAAGTTAAATATCCACTTTACAAACATGGAGAGACGAGACCTTACCGTATCCTCACAGTTGGGATTACTGTAGCTATTACATACACCTCTCGATTCCTTCCAATTTCCTCCACGCCATTCTGAAGCCACATGGGAGTGAGAACCACACGACCCGTCCGGAGAGACTATTAACCCGAGACATACATATCAAGTGATTGATGTATTGATATTGGCATGTTCTTTTCTTCTTCTTTCAATTACAATCCTTTCATGTTCTGGACAATCACCCTGGTCTTGCTATTATGAACAGGACAGTATCTCCTTCACGTGATTTCCGGCAATGATCATGGAGTAGCAACCTCGGCTCGGCTCCCCGCGATTTGATGCAAGTCGAGGAGCTTGAATCATGGAGAAGCCAGGATGAAGCACTCTGTCCTGTTCCTACTTTAAGTACTCTCTGTTCAAATCACATAATCTTTCCTTCTCCTCATCAAGCTTGTCACATCAATCAGTAATCAAACCCTAAAATGCGTGGAATACAAATCAAAGAATATGTCAAGGTACTTACATGCCCCCAAATCCATATATATATATATATCACCAAGAATCATCTCCTAACTCCTCTCTCTTTACTCTAGGGACCCTCCGACCTCACCGTAACCTCCCTCCCCCGACCCCGTCCCCTCCAAAGACCAATACCAAATAGCCATCCACGCCTCGGCAACAAATTTCTTCGACCTCCTCCAAATCCGCGGCAAATACCAAAACCAACCCCCCCTCCCCTGGATCTCCGGCTCCGAATTCGCAGGCACAGTTCTCTCGACCCCTTCCTCCATCCCCTCTCCCAAATTCCAAATCGGCGACCGCGTATTCGGCGCCGCTCAGGGCGGATATGCCACGAAAGTCGCGGCGCGCGAAGACACGCTGAGACCTGTGCCCAAGGGCTGGAGTTTCTTCGAAGCCGCAGGTCTCTTCGTAACGGCGCCGACGAGCTACGGGGCCCTGGTCACGCGCGCGGGCGTCAAGAAGGGCGATGTCGTGTTAGTGCATGCAGCGGCTGGGGGCGTGGGGTTGGCAGCTGTGCAGATCGCCAAAGCGTTTGGTGCGACTGTCATTGCGACGGCGGGGACGGCGCATAAGCTGTCGGTGGCGAAGAGCTTTGGTGCGGATCATGGCGTGGATTATAATAATGCGAATTGGGCGGACGAAGTCAAGAAACTGACGCCTAAGGGGCGGGGTGTGGATATTGTGTTTGATCCGGTGGGGATGGTTGATAAGAGCACGAAGTGTATTCGCTGGAATGGTAGGATACTGGTGATTGGGTTTGCGGCGGGGAATATCGAGAAGGTGGCTATGAATAAGGTGTTGTTGAAGAATATTAGTCTTGTGGGGTTGCATTGGGGGGCGTATACTGTGCATGAGCCGGAGAAGATTGGGGAGGTTTGGGAGGGGATTTTCAAGCTGATTGAGGAGGGCAAGTTTAGGGGGGACTGTGTTTACGGATAAGGAGTTTGTGGGGGTTGGAGAGTGTGGGGGAGGCGTTGGAGGCGTTGGGGGAGTAGAGAGACTTGGGGGGAAGGTTGTTGTGAAGGTGCCTCAGGAGGGGCAGAGTAAGCTGTAGATCTCTTGTATAATTGAGCAAGTGATACGTGGTATCGTGGGTACAGAATGATAGTGAGTGATGATTATGGCATGACTGATGATGGTATCTATTCCCAAGTACATTTTAACTCAAATCACTCCTCCTTCGGTATACAAAGACCGGTACAAACATACATCGCTCCGTTTCGCTCGCCGAAATGCACGCATCAATCATGACTTCTGAAACCAGTCCAGGCACAACTCGATCTATTATATAAGGGTGTAAAAGTAGAATATTCATTTAGAAATGCTCTTTCCAGAACGAGAAGTTGACTTCCCGGACTGTTGCCTTTTTACAAGCTTTCTTGATCTCACGCGCTGCTACGTTGGGTCCTGTTATGGTTGTCAGTATCAAATCTCATAGGAAGATGTAGGGAAAGGGAACATACCACAGAAGTAAACTCCGACATTCGTCCTCATCTCTCCTTCCAATCCATTCAGGTAAGTTCTATCCAAGATACCCTCCCTCATGCCCGTGAACAGCCTTCCGAAATCAGGACGGCCGAAGTTGGTGCGGGCCTGGAGCTCAGTGAGAGGGTCCACAGCAGCACCAACACTGTTCAGCACGATGTTCTGGGCAGTATCGATATCGAGTTTCTGGGTCAGATAGGTATGAATTCGCAAGAACTCGCTACCGTTATTGCCGGGTAAGTTGGCAGCCGCTTGAGACTGAGCTTCTAGAGATGACAAGAGGATCTGGAACCATTCAAAAGAGGTAGTGTCTTTGCAGACCCAGATGAACTCGACGCGGCGGAGACGAGTGGGGGGGTTGGGTCCCTGGCGCATGTGCCAGATATTCTTTAGGATGGCAGCCCAGGGCGTAACTCCGATACCCGTTCCGATGAGGACGGCGATTTCGTTGTCGAAGACGTCTTCAGCAGGTGCACCGAAAGGTCCATCGATGCGGATTTCGGGCATTTCTTGCCCGTTTTGAAGAGCGACTTCGAACATTGCGTTGGGGTCGCCGCCATCGTATAGCTTGGACTGGGCGGGTCCTGCTCCGAGGGCATCTCCTAGGGCTCTGGTGAAGTCGCCGACTTGACGGACGTGTACGGAAATGTAGGGGTCGAATGGGCAGGATGTGATGGTAAATGGATGCCACTGCTGCTTTGATACTGAAGGAACGTTCAAGAACAACCACTGGCCGGCCTTGTATTTCATCGAGGGCTTGGTGAACTGGATCTCCATGGCATCTGGGTGATGTTAGTAGTGTTCTCACGTGGATAATCTCAGGCAACTTACCATATGGATGGCGCACAACTCTAACGATCTGTGTGTCTCTCCTGGATCGGATTTCTCGGTACAATCGCTCCATGAGGTAAAGACCACCTCCCCAGAGCTCCCACCTCCACCCTTCATAACCGAGGCAATGGTTCCAGAAGTTGTCGTGGTCGAATGGAGAGAAAGGGGTGGCGGTATCACGCACGAAGCAGCCAGTGGCGTGAGTGTAAAGGCCAAGCATGAAGGGAATGAATAGATGATGGGTATACCAGAACGTCTCGAAGGATTGCTGGCGAATCTTGGCGTGAGCCGTCGTGTACATGAGAAGCATGCATAGTAGCATGATATGGCCAGTAATTCCACCAACTTGGGTGTAGTGGATCTGAATTGCAGTTTCCTTTCGGATCTGAGTTCTCTCAACGTTGAAGAAGCTAGCTATTGTTAGTTTCTTGACATCCAAGTTTCCTTCCAGATGGCTTACTTGACATAATGACCGGCGGTGTGGACGATAGTGTAAAACAAAAGTGAGTAGGCAACTTGTCGATGGAACCATTGCGACTCATCGAGCGGCAGAAACTTGACCTTTGGTCGAACATATCTCATGATATTCCGACACATTGGTAGCAGAATCATAGCACCATCCACTGACAGAACAAGACCAGCACCTCGGGATATCCATACGGAAAAGGTGAGTGAATTCAGACCCGCAAGCTTTATGTCGTTTGCTTGCTTCCACCTGGAAATCATGTTAGTCAATAACAACGCATACACGACTACAAATTCCTTACCATCCAAGTGCGAATAGCCCAACATGGAACCCGTGAAAAAGAAAATTGAACATCAACTTCGTCCCCCGAGTTTGAGCCTTGAGCTCATTCATGAACCCCATCTTGCCAGTATATCCTCCTCGGCTACCACAATCCTTATTAAATGTCGGCCAGCGACGATATCGACGTAAACGCACAGTCGTCAATGCAAAGTAGCTGTTGAACGAACGACACTACCTCTATCACTTCGTACTCCAATATTAAAGGTCGTATATGAGACCAAGAGAAAGAATGGACGTCCACCGAAAGAGCTTAAGGGTCTGAACCAGCAGGACAGAAAGTATATGAAGCTCAAGGATGAAAGGCTTACTTTGCCAATCGCCGACGACTTAGGGAAGGGGGACCACAGGGGTTTTGGATGAAGAATGCAAGAAGCCGTCCCGTACAAGATGATGCGCTTTGGAGCTCGTGCGGTTTGTGGGGAGGGATATTGCTGTAAGAACGGATATGAGAAGTTCCATGAAACTCAATGGACGTCCTTTAGAGGCTCGGCAAGTAAGCAACCTTCTAAACCTGGTAGTCACGGTCCTTGACGGGTTGCCATCTGAGGCTCCAAAGGCTTGAATAGGCAGGGCTCGTCACGCTTCCAGAGTTATGAGGATGATCAGACGTAGCAGCCAGTTTCGAAGGCTGGGAGGCCAGTATCAGATCAGTCCGATATGATGGGTTTATCTTAACATTCAGATGCAGGTGGGGCGTTTTGCAGGGTATATTGCGGTGTTAAAAGCTTAGCTGTTGGAAATGGGAGTTTGAGACGTTTGATGTAGCAGGGCTCCGACGCATTGACGGGCGACTGAGACTCGAACCGCAGTATGTGCAGGCTTAGGGGTCGGTAAATGTTTAGATGCGATGAATCAATTCAAAAAATCGTACGATATTCAGATGGCATGTTGGAGAGGATATATGGGACGACTTTTCCTCATAGAAAGTTGTGCGATTGTTCTTAAAGAAAGAAGGATGTTGTCAAGAAACATTGCATCTGGGTGACAAGAAAGGCTGCGGGGGCCCGGCCAGGGTCAACGCCTCGTCAACTTCCCGGCGCTTCGTCTCGTCCGGGATTCGCCCACAAATCCAATGCCCCTCTGCGGGTGAGTAGCACCGACCAATCAGCGCCCAGAAGGACCGATTTCTGCATGAGAAGGCTGTGACGAGTCGTCTTCCGCGCTGGATGAAGTCGATTTCTTCAACCCGCGAACGCAGAGAAACTGGTTCCATAGACCTCTGGTTCTGCAGCAATATCTGAGCACCGTCCGAGCTTGGTAAAACGTTAGTCTGTTCTGTCTGACTCGTCTCATGAAGGATCAAATGATTCAGCCATCAGTTGCCTTGACTGTGAGGAGTGAGCGGCGGTCATCATGGTTGCACAGCAGAAGGCACGCGTTTTGATATGCATCCTATCTGTATCAAAAGATCCTCCTAGAACCGGTCCATAATGTGATCTGCACAGGAATTTGTGTAGAGGACTGTCGGATCTTGTCTGGCATCTGGGGTATGGAATAAGTATTTGCAATTGATTCTGGAAGAGTTCCTGTCGAGACCCGGAGGTTGTAAACTCCGTACACAAGTATTGCTGCGGTCAAGAGAGCCACGAGGCGTTGAGCCGTGGAGTGTGACTTGACTTGGGCGCTAAATATGCCATTGGCTATTTTGGTCTATGCTATTTCTGCGGGGGTACCTGTAACCCAACCCAATAAATCAACAGCCACAAAATAACGGAGATTCGGATTTCGGGTCGCAGAAGTCTGGCCCGCTATCAGATTTATTGGATTCTGCAGCGGGGCAGATCTCGAGCCCACTCAATCTGCCCCTCAGGTACGAGTACTGTATCGCGTATCGCGTCTAACTTCATCCGTTAACGATTGACTGACCACATTGTACTGGGACTCGGCATCAAACACTTGTGTTGCTCAACTGTAGCCGCTGCAACGCCAGGTCGGTGATCATCCTCAGCCTCATATGGGGCACTGTACAATTTATGAAGCTATGAAAAACCGTCATGCAAATGTGCATCTAATTCAACTTCCGGTTGATCAAAGCACCCCAACTGGACCCTAGTTTTCTTATTATATTGCCGTCTGCAGGATAACAAAGTTCTGGTTTGTCTGTGATTCTGCTTAACGCCGCACGGGAGCGTTAGGGGCTGCAACGGATGGTTTGCATTGTAGCTCTGCTCTGGTTTCAATTAAACTATCCATTGAAACCTGTCCAAATTTCTCTATCTGTAATACTTGAGACCTTTTACTTTCATTTTCGATTGACGTACATCGGGCACAATGCCTTCTCTCCACCTAAGGCATCAGAACGATAACCCTCGTGACGAATCGTAGTCATGTATGGATCAAGTAACGACTCACCCATGGTCGTCCAGTGGCTGATCTCATTATTGGGATTGGCTTGAATGTCTCGCAAAGACCGAGCAAACCAACGGAAAGGCAGCAGGATAGTTATAAGAATTCGTTCACCGCTTCTGATATCGTAGGCCTTGCAATGTGACGCTACTACCTCCGTAGTTTGCGGCCTCCCCACACACTGTGTACTTGGACATATCCGTAGGCAGGCTTCCAGGGCGTGCGACAAACAGAAAAAATTGGCAATAAAGAGACAAGAAGACATTAGCAGAGCTTGCATGACGGCCGCGACGCTATACCGAGAACTTGTAAGAACCGGGGATGTTTGATTCCAATATTCTGCCTCTCGATTTCCGTGAATAATCGTACTTGAGATACTCTACCCCATTACCGCCCCCAATCCGAAAGCATAGGAATTACGTTAGGCATCCTGAAGGCGTTATATCCCAGCACTGGCATCAGAAGACATGCGATGATGGTTTGGGCCTTTACACCAGTTTCGGCATCGCTAGACTTAAACTTTCATGGGCGCAGAAGAAATTGTAGACAAGACAGCACAAGCAACTCGTGCATTTCTCGCTTCTCTAATATCAACTGCACATTTGACATTTGAATCGTGTCTTCCTCGAGATAAACAGTACTCAAGCCAGTTTGGACGCTTTATAAAATTGGGTGTAATAGAGAGCTTAGACCTTGAGTCTGTCATATTCGTAATGCTTGGAATACGCCATGGAAGGCTTAATACAACATACTACCAGAAATAGTTGCGAAACTCTTCAAGCATCCGTTGAGAGTAAGAAAGATAATATATTCGGGAGGCCCAAATAAACTATCATTCGGCCAACACGACCCAATTTGAAGCGCAGTGATAGACTTCCGGCGTGAGACAAACGTGGCGATGCTACACAATGGAGCTTTCTCCGTCACACTAATCTGTGGGTGTATATTTTGCTCGCCGTTCTCAGGTCTTGTGTTTGCGGTTGCCTTCGTGGATAGAATGTCTATCTCCAGCTACCAAAAGCGAAGGAAGAGAGGGGGACTAGCTCTTGCCTTTGAATAGCACAGCACCTTCCTCGATTACCACTTTGCTTAGGAACTTTTTCTCGGCGTTCTTCTCAAGCACGATCTTTCCCTCTCCGCCCCAATTCTCGCAAACCGAAGCATCCTCACTAAGCAACCGCTCAACCTCGGTTTTGAAACGCAGACCTCCAAGAAAGCAGTGCTATCGCTGGCTAGGATAACCTCGGGCATTGTCCCTTTATATGAGGCCTCAGGAAAAGCTGTTCGAGGAAAGGCGCGAAGTAGACTCTGCAACTGAACTTATGAACTGGTGCAAGGCCTCTCGATGCACATCTCTATGCAAACACTTCTGAGGAGGCAGAAGTTGACAAGCACTTTTGCACTTTTACCCAACATCATCGTGGACATTTGCAAGCGGGGGACATCGGTGCATGTGGAAACACCAGGAAATGGTCATCAAGTTGTCGCAAAGATTCCAAGCCAGTAGTAATGGTACAGACACTGGCTTCTACTAATACGAGTAAGTGGTACAGTCATTCTATCGCAGGTGGCGGACAATGTTGCGTTGCCTGTGGCGAGGCTGAAAGTTGTTGACGCAAGCTTGCTCACAGGCAACACGTTTTGGTGCAGGAACCCGACCCCGACCCCCACAAAAAGCGCCGTAGCGTAGCGTACATTAGCGAAAGATATCCGGCCGGCGACTCTGGCGATTACATTTCAACGGCACCAGAACCTTGACACAAATTCTGCACATCCACCGCCCAACTCTCTCGATGAGAACCTGTCCTGGACTGCCTTTGCCCATTTGATATCCTCTGCAGATAGAGAGAGATAGAGAGAGCCGCAGTATTGGGCTAGGAACTGGGCGCAACTTGAAGCAGTCAATAAACAGGGGCAGAAAGGAAAGATGGTGAGAGCTCAACGCCAGGTTCGCAGGGAATGCAGAGGAACAGATGGCTTACTACTCTGTGAAATCTAGGGTATCAGTCGACGTCCCAAGGGCGACAAAGCCTCCAAGGCGCAAGATGGCGGACGAAATGGCGGTGGAAACAGCAAGCCCAATATCAAAAAGGCCGCGTTCGATACAACGAAGAAGAAGGAGGTCGGAGTATCGGATCTTACTTTGATTAGTAAGGTCTCGAATGAAGCCATCAACGAGAATCTGCAGAAGCGATTCGAGGCCAGAGAGATCTATGTAAGAAACAGCGGGAGCGCGGGCTGGTGGGGTACTTTACATGCTGACTCGGAGCGATAGACATATATTGGCCATGTGCTAGTTTCCGTCAACCCCTTTCAGGACTGTGAGTGAGAGCTATCTAGCTATGAAGTCATTCTACTAACTTTGTGGCAGTGGGGATCTATACAGAAGACGTCCTAGACAGCTACAGAGGGAAGAATCGATTGGAGGTTCGTAACAAACTAGGCCTCAAGTCAACTTTTGTGCTAATAAGAGCAGATGCCACCACACGTTTTCGCCGTTGCCGAATCTTCCTACTATAACATGAACGCCTACAAGGAGAACCAGTGCGTCATTATTTCCGGAGAATCGGGAGCTGGGAAGACAGAGGCCGCAAAGCGCCTAATGCAGTACATTGCCAATGTGTCTGGAGGCTCAAATTCTTCGATTCAGCAAACCAAAGACATGGTTCTCGCAACGAACCCTTTACTGGAGTCGTTTGGAAATGCAAAGACACTACGAAACAACAACTCGTCACGTTTCGGAAAATACCTGCAGTTGCAGTTCAATGCTCAAGGAGAGCCGGTTGGAGCCGATATCACAAACTACCTATTGGAAAAGTCAAGAGTAGTGGGGCAAATCAAAAATGAGCGGAACTTTCACATTTTCTACCAGTTCACGAAAGGAGCATCCCAAGAATACCGAACAAATCTAGGAGTACAAAAGCCGGAGACGTATGATTATACCAGCAAGTCGAAGTGTCTGGATGTGGATGGAATTGATGATCTTGCTGAGTGGCGTGATACTCTCAACGCCATGAAGGTTATTGGTTTAACACAAGCCGAGCAAGATGAAATATTTCGAATGCTGTCCGCTGTTTTATGGACTGGCAACCTCCAATTTAGAGAAGATGATGATGGAAATGCTGCGGTCGTCGATCAGTCGGTGGTTGATTTCCTGGCATATCTTCTGGAGGTTGACCCCCAGCAAATCATTAAGGCCATTACGATTCGAGTCCTCACACCACGAAGTGGAGAGATCATCGAGTCCCCGGCAAACCCTCCTCAAGCGATAGCTACACGCGATGCTCTAGCAAAGGCAATCTACATGAATTTGTTTGATTGGATTGTGGAGCGTGTCAATGTTAGTTTGAAGGCCCGCGGAACTACAGCACATTCCATTGGAATTCTTGATATCTATGGTTTCGAAATTTTTGAGAAGAACAGTTTCGAGCAGCTCTGCATCAACTACGTCAATGAGAAGTTGCAGCAGATCTTTATTCAACTGACGTTGAAGACGGAGCAAGAGGAGTATGAACGAGAACAGATCAAGTGGACACCCATCAAATATTTTGATAATAAGATTGTGTGTGATTTGATCGAGTCCGTTAGACCTCCTGGTGTCTTTTCAGCTATGAAGGATGCCACGAAAACCGCACACGCAGATCCCGCAGCATGCGATCGGACTTTCATGACAGCTATTAACGGCATGTCAAATCCTCATTTGACGCCTCGCCAAGGTAACTTCATCATCAAGCATTATGCAGGTGATGTTGCATATACTGTTGAGGGTATTACCGACAAAAACAAGGACCAACTTCTCAAGGGCCTGCTTAATCTTTTTGGCTCGAGCAGCAACCGCTTCCTCCATGAATTGTTCCCCAACCAGGTTGATCAAGATAACAGGAAGCAGCCCCCATCAGCCGGAGATAAAATCAAGACTTCAGCCAATGAGCTGGTGGCAACTCTGATGAAAGCACAACCTTCGTATATTCGGACAATCAAGCCGAACGAAAACAAGTCGCCGACTGAATACAACGTGCCAAACGTTATGCATCAGATCAAGTACCTCGGTCTTCAGGAGAACGTGCGTATTAGACGTGCTGGATTTGCGTACCGTCAGACCTTTGATAAATTCGTGGAACGATTCTATCTTCTGTCGCCTCAAACTTCATACGCTGGTGACTATACTTGGACCGGGGACTCGAAGACTGGAGCGAAACAGATTTTGAAGGACACCAGTATCCCCGCGGAAGAGTTTCAGATGGGTGTTACCAAAGCTTTCATCAAGGCGCCAGAGACTTTGTTTGCTTTGGAGCACATGAGAGACCGATACTGGCATAACATGGCTATTCGAATCCAGCGGGTCTGGCGAGCATTCTTACGTATTCGAATTGAGGCAGCGACCAGAATTCAGAGAGTCTGGAGGAAGAAGAGAGTCGGTGCCGAATTTCTTCTGCTTCGAGATAAGGGTCACAAACTCCTTCAAGGGCGGAAAGAAAGAAGAAGATTCAGTCTTCTCGGCTCGAGGCGCTTTATGGGAGATTACCTTGGTACCAATGCTACTAATGGACCTGGGGCTCGAGTTCGTAATGCGATTAACATGCCATCTAATGAGAAGGCGATCTTCTCTTGTCGTGGCGAGATTCTGGAGACCAAATTTGGTCGGTCAAGTAAACCGGTGCCTCGAATCATAATCTTGACGAGGAGCAAATTCTACATCATAGCCCAGCATCTTGTTAACAAACAGGTTCAGATCCAGGTTGAGAAGGCCATTCCACTTGGCGCTATCAAATTCGTTGGCATCTCAACATGTCGAGATGACTGGTTCTCACTGGGTGTAGGCTCTCCACAAGAAGCCGATCCACTGTTGAATTGTGTGCTGAAGACTGAACTTTTCACGCATATGCAAGCGTCAATGCCTGCCGGGTTCAACTTGAAGATTGGCGACTCAATTGAGTATGCCAGAAAGCCGAACAAAATGCAGTTGGTGAAGGTTTTAAAAGATCGGGATGCTGCCAAACCACCTGTATCGGAGGATTTCTACAAGAGTGGAGCAATCCACACACAACCGGGAGAACCACCAGGCTCGGTTTCGCGGCCAATGCCAAAGGGGAAGCCAGTAGCTGCTAAACCATTCACGAAAGGCCGACTCATCAAGCCCGGTGGACCAGGCGGACGTCCTTCCAGAATTACCAATAATTCAAATAGGAACACAACGCCTGTATCTCGCGGCCCAGCAGTTTCTCAAGCCAGAAGCGTTCCCCAACCTCCACCTGCGCTTCAAAAATCCGTCGCAACCCACAACGTCCCAAACCACACTCGAAATTCTTCCTCAACCTCTTCTGCAAGAGTCGTGCCGCCGCCTCCACCACCACCCGCTCCTCCTGCAGCGCCACGAGAAAAACAATACCGTGTTCTCTATGATTTTGGTGGCCAGAGTGCAAATGAAATCACTCTGAGGAAGGATGAACTTATAACCGTTATCCAAAAAGAGAATAACGGTACGTGCTATCTTATAAACCTATTCCTTAAAACCATATGCTAATTGTACGTTCTTAGGTTGGTGGCTAGCCAAAACCCCCGATGGCCAAGGCTGGGCCCCTTCCGCCTACCTCAAAGAAGAAGCCCCGGCACCCCTCCCTCCACCACCACCCCCCGTCGCTTCCCGGCCCATGCCGCCTCCTCCCCCAGCCAGCAATGGCATTCGAAGCAAGCCTACACCTCCCGCGCCTCCTGCAAAGAGACCAGCAGCAGGCAGAAAACCGGCTCCACCACCAGCACCAAGGGATTCGGCAATGAGTATGAACAGCAACGGGAGTGGAGGGGATAGTGGGCGAAGTACCCCGCAGCCTACACCGGCTGGTCTGCAAGGGCTGGCGGATATCTTGAAGCAGAGGCAGAGTGCTGCGAGGGGGAGAGATGAGGATGATGATTGGTGAATATTCGAGGGGGTGTGCTTTGTTTAGGGAATGGGGACGAAACGAGATATGAAATAGATGAGACAAGCGATGCAATTGCTTTTGATGCGGCGGTTCACATGCAGATGAAGATAGACATGAGCAGTGGAATGTGACAATATGTATAAAGCAATCTTCATGCGTCTCGTCTCTTTGTGAAATGCTTGTGATTGTATTATATATACACCGGCCGAGTCCCAGCAACGCCATATGTGGAACAGAGTATCTACCCCCTCTCTATGAATTCACTATTGTGAAAGGTTTCCACTTTCAAAGAGATGTCCAAGCATGGTACGTAAAACACAAGTTCTTCACAGTTCATAGTATAGCCTTAAAATGACATTTTCCACCCTGTATGTCTCTCCCTCCACCCGGATCTTTATAAGCTAAATACCAAGTAGCATAACAACTAGAAAGTTATACCAAGTCCAAATCTAAGCCATATCTACTAGCGTTTCTTACCTATAGACATCATTCAGAACACTCATGCATGCAATGCAATCTTAGGAGCGCTTTTTGCCTAAAACGTACGTAATTTTCGTAGAAATAAAGCGGAGTAAGACAAGTTAGTAAGCAAGCAAGCGGATCAGGTTTACCGAATCTTGATCTTGCAATGGGATGGATATATAGAGAAGATTGGGGTTTGATTGAACAGAACTCGGTATGTGAGTTATTCAATGTAATCTGAGGTGACTGCTGTTTTATATATAGACATATCTGTGCAGAAGAAGAGAAATCTATTCAGCATAGACATCAAATCTACGGATACAAGCTGAAGTATGAAACATGTAAAATCCATGCTCGTAAGCCACTTTAGACATCCCAATTCCCTTGCTTGATGGAATTTTATCCCAATCCCGTCCTGGAACGCCAAAGAGGCCGTGTGTATATATGTACAAATGATGCAAGAAAATACAACGAAGAGAAACAGGGGTATAATCTGTTTCCGCTCCACTTCCAGTCTCCCCAGCCGGCTAGAAATCAAAATCTGAGCATTGAATGACTTCAAATCAAGAAAGCAGTGCACCCAACCAACACAACCATAACCCAATAACCGGCCAAATTGCTCAACGTGCTGACTGCTCCACTGGCACTTTCCGTTCCGCCTGAAGCAGTGGTGCCATTGGGCAGTGTACCGTTGAGGACAATGGTAGAGGTGCCGTTGATATCTGCGACATTGACGAGAGTCGTGTTCAGGCTCGCATACGTCCCATCGCCAATCAAGGAATTCAAAAACGTAGCATTGTTATTATCATCGCAGCCACACACGGCATACTGAGCACAGAGACAAGTAATGGGCTTCGTCTGATTGATTCCCTGATCATCATCCTGCCGGGCCCCTAGGGGAAGAGAGCGTGCGGCATTTGTAGGCGTCGCTGTTGCGGATGCGGACGATGAAGTCGAAGTAGCGGAAGAGTTGCGGCGGGCAGTGCGGTTGTGGAATGTATATGGAGAGCCGTATGGATATGCATATGCGCCGTATGGCCAGTGTCCTGGATATGCCGCGATTCCAACAGCAGCACCCACACCTACGCCGACGCCTGCACCGAGCAAGAGCGGGGAGACGCCTCCGGGCGAGCGAGCTCCAGCTGAATATGGCGTCTTTGCGCCGCCGCCGTAAAAGCCTCCATACCTTGGGGTTACGCCTGAGCCTGTCTTTGTGGAACCGCCTGCGTTGGAGGATGAAGAGCCGCGGGATCTGGGAGGGTTGTTAGTCTGTTGGCCTCTATACTACTAAAGGAGAGAAAGTGGACCATACCCTGAAGACGAACTCGAACTCCCTCCGCTACTCGAACTGCCTGAACTTCCACCACCCTTCCCACTCCCACTCGAACTACTACTCCCACCGCCCTTTCCCCCTCCTCCTCCCCCTCCTTTCCTCTTCCACAGATCAGAGACATCTGCGAAAAATCCAATACTAGTATCGCGCGCAGCTTCGCGTTCGCGTTCGACAAGCTCGCTGTTGTCGATAGGCTGCGGCGCCGCGATGGTAGATGCCGGGAGCGCCAGCAGCGCTGTGAGCGCGGTTGAGAAGCGCATCGTTGTATGTAAGAGGAACTTGTTTCCTTTGCCTTTACTTTTGCTCGATGATTAAGTATCGTAGGGAGAATCCTTCGAGTTTGCCTTTGCGTTTGTGTTTTTGGTGATGCTGTGACAAAGAAAGAAGGAAAGGTTTGGGTTTGTGGATGGTTTCAGCGGTCATAAATAATGACAGCTCCAACTCAGCCCAGCTGTAACTCCAAGTCCGGTTTTGCCTTGCAATGTGCCTACTGTGCCTTCTTACAAAGCCCTACCCAGGTACCTACTTGTAAGTAACCAATGATCGGCAGTATATTTACTCTAATTCCTGTCTGCTGGACCAATCACATATCGTAATTTAGAAGGCTGTGTCTCACTTGCATATCTCAGCCTTGGCGGCGTCATGGGTATTTGATATGTATGTTTTTTACGAACGGCGGCGCGGTGGCGGGAATGAATCCTTTGGACGAGTCGAGTATACTATACCGAGACCGAGTACTAATCAGGGAGTCAGTCCAAGATCAAGTCTAAGTGATCGCCCGGTCCCATACTTACAATAGACGAAGTAACAAGGCCATGCCCTCCTCTCCCTACCTTGCCTCCGTATGTTAATCACTCCACACTCTGCGGATGATACGGCGATCATGTGATGTGGGGTAAACATAGGACTTATTCTTTTAGGCAGAAGGTGCATCTTCTACAACAGGCTCTAGAAGAAAGTCTAACAAGGCGCAGGTGGCTATGTTAGGTACCTTACTCATAGTAACCGAACGAACGAACAAACGGGCTTTAGAACAACAGCAAGGCTAGTTATGACATCAAATAAAAGTCTTTCGAAATGATCTTTTGGTAGACTACTATGACCTTTGATAGTAAGGATACCCAAGGATAGCTCTGAGCTGGAGTAACCATACTGTATGGAAACGACTGGTGAGAGATCGAGATAGAGTTACACAGATATGCCTTGGAAAACAATCCTTTTACCATTGATGTCATCTATCATCTAATCATCATACCAAAGAGACGTCACGATAACAATCCCCCATAGCCATTTACGAGAGTTCCTTTTCTAAAACAGCCGGCGCAGTAATAGTCTGGCCCTTCAACTTCTCCAACCCTTCTCCACCCTATAATATCATCTGATCAGCAACCGGCGGATAGAAACTCTAAGGAAGTGCGTGCGTGTGACTTACGTAGCTAATCAATGGCGACACTTCAATGCCATCATCTGTACCCGAACTCACAACCGTAGCACCAGCAGCCTGTGCCCATCGCTTTCCTTGATCCAGGATATCCCTCTTACTCGTATCAGGATCATCCTCACCCGTACCTTTAGCATTCTTCAAAGGCGAGAATTCGTCTTCGCGCTTGACTTCTAAACTGGCGAATTTTGAGAGCTCAAGCATGGGAAAGACGTCAAAGACGAATTGCTCCAGCTTGATGCCATTCGGCTTCTCGGGCTTGACCGTAGTTCCCGAGTCGGTATCGACATAAGGAATCTTCTTCCGAGCAACGTGGTGAGGCAGTTTATGCGCCCACTCTGGGATCGATTCCAGAAATCGAAATGAGTAGTAATGGTTAACGATGTTAGCAGCCCTAAACTTTAATACGTCGGGCTGCTTAGCATCCTTAGCCTCTGCCGTCTCCTTGTCAATTTCAGAATACTCGACAACGTCTGGTTTGCCGTTCTTAAGCAAAATAAGTCCAACAGACTCAGTAGCGTTGCGTTTCCGGACGACCTTGGTAGCAATATCGACGTCCTTGGATGCCGCAAAGCCGATAAAGACCGGATCAGCGACCTTGACAAGACAATTGTCCACACAGTAAGCGTGGATATGCTGAATCCCACGCTTCCTCATATCCTGCATAACTGTCGACGTGAAAAGGGCCTGGTAGATCCCTCCATTTCCGTCCGGCGCCACAGCAACCCTACCCTTACTCTCCAGCAATATCTTCCCATCATTCGAGATACAAGGCAGCACCCCTTGTTCGAAAATAACCACATTCTCCTTCTGCAGTCCAAAGTACCCATTTTCCTCAAAATACTTCTCTGTGGGCCCTCTTGTAGGCCCACTCGTCATGACATACCACGGCATAACCGCCTCCTTATTCCCGGCCCTCTTGGCGGCCAAGTGCTGCAATTTGCGAATCCGCTCGGCCTGGATCTGAAACAGTGATTTCTCGGACGGTAATCCGATGTTAAAGCAGCCCTTGGGCGCAGAACTGCCCAACCGCGTCCCTTGTCCGCCCGCCATAAGCACAACACCCACCTTATCCCCCGCAATCAGATCAAGGCCGCTCTCATACCACTTCTCAATATCCTCGGGTTTTGAATCGAGGATACTGGCTGTGGCGGACTCGGGTAGGGGCTCGAGGGGCGCTTCTTCTTTGTTTGCATTTTCGGCTTTCGGGGGGTTGAGGGCTGCGGAGGTTATGGAGTTTATGTGTGCGGGGTCGAAGGAGGAGAGTTGGGAGAAGAGTGCTGCTTTTTCGGGGACAGAAAGGGTGTCGTAGAAGGCGAAGACTTGGTCTTGTTGTGCGGATTTATATTTGGATTGGAGCTCCTGGAGCTCTGAGGCGGTGGGCTCTTTTGGCGGGGTTCCTTGGCTGCTCTCGCCGATGTGGAGGACTTTCTTGACGGTATCCATGATTGGTGATGTTGTTTGAGATATTGCAATTGTGATTAAAGGCCTCTCGTAAGGTGAAGTGAGAAATTGGGGCTCGTAAGATGTTGTGGTTGTTGGTTCAGGTATATATAGATGGACAGGTACGACAGCTCAGCTCAGCCCCGCCATTATGTAAATACGAATCACAACACGAGCTCGTGGTGAAACAGAAAGCGGCACTCATGTTTGTCGCCTGAAACATTAAAAAGTGGTGCCGCTTTTTCTCTCCAGCCCCCACTGCTAGAGGTCGAAGCCACCTCCTATTTACCCGAAACACTACGGGAGAACAACGTCATTGGCTCATGAATTCGAGACAATTCAGCTCAACTAGTACTTGTACAGTCTTTTTGGAGACCAATACGGCGTATCCCACATACTCATCCCCGATCAATTGTAAAGCATGATACGCCTGGGTATTGTAAAAAAGGGCCATCCTCAATGATCTCATTTTTCCCAGGTGTTAAACCCAAGGGAGTACAGAAACAAGGTTTTCTACTTTTCCCAAAATAAATGATTAACCCCGTAGATCACTATCGAACGACAAGGCTCCATCCACAAGGCTGAAGATCTTCACTACCATCAATCACTTCGACATAAGGACTTGAGGACTTGAACTTCACACCTCTGAAGAGTCCAATATTACCTGCGATACAAGTCTAAAAGAAGGCATCTCATCATGGGAATCGCTACTGGTGAAGCACCCAAACTCGAAGAAGCCGATACAGACAACCTTCCCATCTCCTCCTCCCCCGCCAGCTTCTCCGGCCACCTAAACCTTTCCTCCTATGCCTTCTCCCCAGCACCCCTCATAAAAAACGAAGCTTCCTCCATCTCAACACCAGCATCACCTCGCCGCCAACGCACCCCCCGCCACCAAAAGCTCCCCCCCTAAAAACGCTCATCATCCTCCGCACCCTCGCCATCCCTCACCAAGAAACCCAAATCCAAACGCCCCAAACCCACCAGCAGCGGCTACGCACCCCCCTCAACCTACGCCCACCTCCCCCCACTAACCGACATCCTAGCGCCCTCCCTCCACCTCCTCTTCATCGGTCTAAACCCCGGTCTCACCACAGCCTCCGCGGGCCACGCCTACGCGCACCCCTCGAACCGCTTCTGGAGTCTGTTGCACAGCAGCGGGATCACGACGCGGAGGTTGAGGCCTGATGAGGATGGCACGCTGCTGGACTGGGGGTGTGGGAATACGAATATTGTGGCGAGGCCGACGCGGAATGGGAGCGAGTTGAGTAGGGGGGAGATGGATGGGAGTGTGGGGGTGTTGGTGGAGAAGATTGCAAAGGTAAGGAAAGCTATATACTGTTTTTCTATGTTTGCTAAGTACTCATGTAATTAACATATTTTACTCGTTTTCTTTTCCTTTTCCTTTTCGTCTTGATTTTCATTTCCGTCGCACTCTATAAAGCGTGAACGCTGATGCATCCATATAATGGTCTAGTGGCGCCCAGAAGCCGTCTGTGTAGTCGGAAAGAGTATATGGGAAAGTATGTTCCGTGTGCTAAAAGGGCGATCACTCAGAAAAGACGAATTCGCGTATGGATGGCAGGAAGGTGAACGGGTTGGGGTTGACGGAGACGGCAAAAACGGCGAGATGATCAAAGGATGGGAAGGAGCGAGGATATTTGTTGCTTGTGAGCTTCTTCTTCTTCTTCTTCTTCTTCTCCTCCCTCTTTTAGTGCTGTATCATTGTTCCGAATAATATGGCATCAGCCCTTGCCTTAGACTCGACCCGAGAATAACTATCGCAGGCTGCTAACTTCGTCCAGGCAGCACGAGCGGCCTAGCAGCCTCCGTTCCATTCGCGGAAAAAGAACGCATCTGGCGGGAACTGGGTGTTTGGATTCAAGGCCGTAGAGCAGAGAGGGCGAATGCCGAGATAGCTGAACCTGCCGTGAATATATAGTGAAGATCTTTGATGGATGGATAGACTCCTGTCTCATCATTACGTTCGAGTATCATTAGTGTGCATTTATACCTCTAAAAAACATGTTGATCTCCACTTTCTTATTATTGAATGCGGCTTGTTAAAACTATAACTGTATGGTGGTTTTTTCGAGCCGGCTTTGAGATGGTTTGCTTGTAGCTAGGATGTCCAGACTCGCTTGTTATATATGTAGCATCTGACTTTTGAGATGCTTCATTTCATAACCGAGCTGCTAAAGCCGACGTATACTGGACTGTTACTGCCAGTGTTAGTGCCATCGGAGAACAATATGCAAGTCTCTTTCAAACAATCCAAAGACCTAGTGATCGCGAGTAAGATCATCGTATTTTCTCTACCAGCATCTCCGTGCTGAATTTTATATTCACATGCCTCATAACCTCATAAAACATCCACCCATATTTGACTATCGAAAGACCAGCGAACGATAGATATGAATACATGCTAATCCGAAGCTTACATGAACTTCGAGGCCAGTCCCATCAAGCCGGACGAGCCACCGCCCTGGCTCTTCATGTACATCTTGAGTGCCATCTCCCCAGCTTGCTGAATAGCAGACTCCTTGCTAGCGCCCGAGGCGACGTTTCCTTGGGAAGATTGGCTATCGAATAGCTTGCTGGCTTCACCCATCGCCATACCCACGAAAGCATTCTGCGAGTTTCCAGATTGAGAGTTGCCGCTCTGGCCACCGGAGAACATCTTGAGGGCTTGCATGGCAGCAGCGCTACCCATCGATCCAGAGCTAGCTTGTTGCGAGTTACCTCCGCCGCCGAAGAACTGCTGGTGAGATTGAACGGCATCTGCATGTATTAGCACATGCACCCTGCAGCATGGAAATCAGAAAACGTACGCTGTTCGTCAAGGTTGCCTTGTTGGATGTTCTGCTTGTTGCCCATCAAGTTACCCAAAACACTCGAAAATATATTAGAATCTCCAGAGTTCCCCGCATGCTGCTGGGCATGCTGAGCTGCACCCTGCAGATCCTCGTCATTCTGGTTATTGTATCCACCGCCGCCGCCATAGCCTCCCTGCTGGTTCGAGCCGCCTCCGTAGCGTTGTTCGCCCTGGTTGTCACCTCCATAGCCTCCCTGCTGGTTCGAGCCGCCTCCGTAACGTTGTTCGCCCTGGTTGCCACCTCCATAGCTCTGCCCACCACCTTGGCCGTAGCCTTCCTGTCGACGCTCTCCACCACCGTATCCGCCTTCTTCACGGCCACCTTGTTGACGGCCTCCGTCGTCCTGTCCATTACCGTCGTAGTAGTCTCTGCTTGCCATTTTGTGCTGAAACAAGCTTGTTAGCGGGGTTCGTTTGCCAAATAGCTCATGCTGACAAGGGAAGTTCAAGAAGAGGACAAGTATGTCTTTGAAACCCAAGCATTGAACATACCTGATCTTGGGGTTCTGGTATTTTGTTGTTGGATTTATTTGCTTGTGTTGTATTTATTTGTCAATGAGTATGAGAGAGGAGGATGGGGATGGGGTGTTGATCTTCAACCTGGAACGAGGGACGAGGGCGACGTAATCTTGGCGCTGGCGGGGTATCTTACCCCTCCCCTCCCCTCTTATTGAATAGTCACGTGAGATACATTCACGGGAGCAAGAGGGTCTTACCAGGCTCGAGGCTGGTCAAGAAACCGGCATTGTGAAGCTGCAATCTGGACAAAGGTAAGAAGACTTTCGAAATGCTTCTCTCGATTTCCTTTTGGCATTGCTAACAGTCTCTCTCGACAACTTTGAAGAATGCGTGGCAATGGGGATGAGTTGATAATTTGTTGCTCGGAACCGTGGCCTAAGCGCAGGAAATCAAGTATGTTGACCGGGTGTCCTAGGAACTCTTGGAGGAGACCAAGGTATAACCATTCTTGCAACAAACTAACAAGCTCCTCATGTTGATCTTCTCGAACGACCAAGAATCCGGCGTTATTCAGCGTGAATCCACGCGAGCCAGGATAGAGTAAGAAATGACCGATTTTACAAGAATATTTGGAAACATAGGGCACCTCGAGCATAGGCACCGATGCTTCCGTTGAGGTAATGAGGTGTTCCGCCATGAATTATTTGTTTCATGCCCAAGTCTTAACTTGGTGAGAGGGCAAAATCTGGTGACTTGCCATGGCAGAGAGAAATGGATATATAACACCAGAACGAAGGCCTAATTTCTTTTGGCATTAGCAATTATGTGGCATACTATGTAGACGGTTACATGAACTGGTTTGGAGAAGGAATGAGCGATTTGACACCCAGCCGCATCCTCATCCTCATGAATCTCGCACAGAAAATTTGACTTCTATTTCGAAATTCATAACTCCATGCGGACCAATAGTATTCTTGCTGTGCGAGTCAGTGCGATGATCGAGATGTTTTATTGCAATGCGATCAAATATTAAGCGCCGAGCTTCGGCGAATTCAAAGGTCGCAGCAGCTGAAATCCTTACTGTCGGCCCCATATGAGGGGCGCAGGATCCAAGTCGATCCTGAGGCACGAAGATACGCGCACAATATAGTACCTTATATAAATCCCTGAACGAAGGCTGAAGTTTGGATCAAAAGAAAGTCATGGGATGGGGTAATCTCCGCGGTTGGGGGCGGTTCAAGAAAGTATGCTGGGACTGTGATTGCTGAAACGAAATGTAGGACCTACCATATGATGCACTCCCACATCTAGATTTGGAGCGTATAATCAACTTATTCATGAGCTCTAGTCTTCCGCCTTCGCAACAACTCGCCCAGAGGTATCTCATCCTCAGATAAAACTTCTTCCTCTTCGTCGACGCCATAATCTCGAAGTCGATCGCCATCTGAATTCGTCCAGCCCTCTTGTCCATCCATGCCCTCTTCATATTCGCTCTCATAGTCGATCTCGTCATTATCACCCTCGTCGCCCCTACTCTCCCCATTTCTCTTCGCGTAATCATCCCTTTGTCGTCTTTTGAACGCTTCTTTTTCCTCTTCTACGCTCCCATACTCTCTCAGTACAGCACTCTCGCCCAAAGTGTGATTTGTTCTCGGCATCTTATCAGGATCTGGAGGAGGCCACGTTTTGTCTTCCTCCTCAAATCCATTGACTTCCCAATCCGCAGCATCCTTGATATCAGGGGCTCCGCCAAAAGGCATAAACCACATTAACACATTACTCGTCCCCATCCCCTGACACAAGTTGTTCCAAATGCCGATATCATATGGGAACTCCTGCCTTTCGATACGCATTCTCTGCCCACCGTTGGCATACACGTAGCCCCCCATCTTCTTCGCACGTTCAACAAGAGCTTCATGCCGCTCAATCTCCCAGCTTTCTATCTGACTTGTATTTGCACCCAAGCTGTAGGTCGCGCGGATTAGGAGAACGGAGAGCGTGAAGAGGGTGAAGTTGTTGACTATCAAGAGCACGAGCAGGTACGCCATAGCCCAGATTGGAGGGCCGAGATAGGCGGGTAGGTCGCGACTGTCCCAGATGGACGAGGCGCGTATGAAGAGATGGTAGTCTAAGATGGATATGCTTATTACGGCATAGAGGACGAAACGCAGGAAATGTGGAAAATTTGTATGGGATACGCAGTTCGATGTCCAAGGACAGTGGTGGTCCATTTTCGGGATGCATCTTGAATATGTCAGTATAAACTAGACAATGAAGGGCAGATAGAACTACCTTTGGCATTTTGTGCAGTGATGTGCTCGGGGCGGCTTGACAGCTTTGCACTTCTTGCACCATCGTATCCCCTTTCCCAATTTGACATCGCGTTCACGCTCAATGTCGTCCTCTTCATCCTCACTCCCATCCGAAGTAACCTTCTCTACCCATCCCTTTGGCCCCGGATCCACAGAGCAAGCCCTTTCATAACACCACCATATCGCCAGCACAAAAGCATTGAACCACCAGAATTCTGGTCCCTGCAAAGGAGCGGGCTCAATGTAATAGAACAGGTATTGAGACGTGTACGCCAGAAAGATAATGAGGAGAGATACAGCAGGTATCGCTAGGTCCTCAATGGATTGGATACGAAAAGGGAGGTGTAAAGGCATACCACCGCTACTGTTATCATGTCACGAAAGTGTTTGGTTGATGTGATGCGTGGGAATGATATTCGTCCAAGGAAAGCGGCCAGCCTTGCAGCCTTACCACAAGACCCCCAAGAGTACCTGGCCTGGCCTGAGTGTGGTGTACTGGCTGCTTACATAAGCCTCCAGACCACAAAACTTCACTTCGGTTCGGTCGGTCTCACTCCTAGTGCTCGTGGCGCTCTACACATTTCAATAATATATACCTCCGTATGCAATCATCCTCTTATGCTAGCATCCAGCTATAATTCGACCATCTTATGATCTACCTATTCTAACCTCTGCCTACCTACTGGCACTCTCACAGAGAAAGTTCTAAGTCGGTGCAATCTTTCTCCGCACTTCACGATCCAATGATTGGTCATAAACGCGATCGGCTGAATACTTGTACCGCTTGCATCCTTCAACAATGGAATTTTTGAAAGACATCGATAACTTGCAAGTTTCATTGTTTACTAGGCTGAGAGCAAGTGTTTCTCGCAGTCATAGCCTGTCTTCCTCCGAATCTTCGGATTCGGACCCTCGGTAACTACTTCCCACCAGTACGGAGGTTTACTGTGTGCCGGAACCACCGTAGCGTGATCATATTTTGTATCGACGTTTTTAAAACACAAACAGACGGCTCAATTATCCTCCAAGGTGATGTAGCCATTAATAATCCAGAACGAGTGGGTATTTGTCCTCAAATTTCTTTGTATATAATAAGGGTGTCCAAGTGCACATAGATCAAACCCCCTTTCTGAGTACGTCTTTCAACAAATATTATTGTCTGATAAATCCTTATATCTTGCGAGAAAAGTCTCGTTGAAGCTATTCGGTAAGGCTTCTTGTATCAATCCCTTATCACAATTATGTCAGGAACCCCTTCTCAGCAGGTCCCCCTCTCCAAGGGGACGGACTCGGAAATTTCCCTCCCCTCAAACGACACCCCAGTGTTACCAGCGCTTGAAACAGTAAAGACAGACTTTAAGCCCTCGACGAGTTTCTTGCTAGCATTTGCATCATTGATGATCATCACCCTCGCAGCAGCTATCGATGCAACCTCACTCAGTATCGCCCTTCCCATTATCACCACAAAACTTCGTGGCACTGCTATTGAGGCATTCTGGTCTGGCACATCGTTCTTGGTTACATCCGCAGTGTTTCAACCGGTCATTGCTGGCTTGAGCCATGTTTTTGGACGGAAAGAACTCGTTCTTAGTTCGGCGTTGTTCTTCGCTGTTGGATCTATTGTTGCAGCGGTCGCTACAAACTTCACCATGATGCTTGTTGGGAGATCCATTCAGGGTATTGGAGGAGGAGGAATTCTCGCACTTGGTGAAGTTATCATCACAGACCTTGTTCCCTTAGCTTCTCGAGGAGGCAAGCTACCTTATCTTGACCTGTGATTCACTGGCTGACATGTTTCCAGCATATTTTGGCTATCTTGGATCGATATGGGCGATAGGCAGTGTAACAGGACCCCTTATGGGAGGTGCCTTTGCGCAAAATGTCTCCTGGCGTTGGATATTTTGGATCAACCTACCATTTATTGGTATCGGAACAGTCGCCATCATCTTCTTCTTGAAATTAGACAAATTGCCTGGAAGTATCACAGACAAGATCAAGACATTCGACTGGGTCGGATCTGTCATTTTTGTTGGCTCAACGGTTGGGTTTCTCATCCCTCTAACCTGGGGAGGAGTCCAATATCCCTGGGATTCATGGCGAACGCTTTTCCCTCTCCTCGTGGGTGTCGCTGGCATTGTCGGCTTTGGAATGTACGAATACTATCTTTTCCGTAGACGTATCGCCTCCCAAGACATGAACCCTATCGAACCCATTATCCGCTTCAGCATCTTCAACAACACCACTATGCTCATTACCTACTTCGAGACCATTATCCACGGCATCGTCCTATGGGCCCTTCTTTACTTTCTCCCTCTCTATTACGAAGCCGTAAAAGGCTACACCCCCATCATCTCCGGTGTTGCCATCCTCCCGGAAACCAGTCTTGTTGCGCCAATGGCAGTGGTTGTAGGCGTCGTCTCCTCCTTGACAGGACGCTACAGATGGGCTATATGGATCGGCTGGTTCCTTGTAACCCTCGGCTCTGGACTTCTCATTCTCCTGGAACCGGGCACCTCTATTCCCGGGTGGATTTTCCTCAACTTCGCAGTCTCAATCGGCACAGGCATGCTTTTCCCGGCCATGGCGCTTGCTATCCAAGCCGCTGGCCGTCCAGAAGATGCCGGTCATGCAGCGGCCTTTTACTCCTTCACGCGCGTTTTTGGTCAATCTGTTGGTGTCGCGATCGGTGGGGTTATTTTCCAGAATCAAATCAAGCAGAAGCTTCTTTCTTATGAAGCGCTAGCGCCTTTCGCGCAGCAGTATAGCAAGGATGCTACTGCTTTGATCAGCGTCATCAAAGGCCTGGCTGAGGGAACAGATAAAACGCACTTGATCAAGGCATATTCGGATAGTTTGAGCACGATTTGGATGGTGATGACTGCGTTGAGTGGGGTTGCGTTTGTAGCGAGTTTGTGGACGAAGGGTTTTAGTCTCACGCAAGAACATAACACGAAGCAGGGCTTTCATGCCGAGGAGAAGACTGCAGACCCTGAGGATGGAGGTGCCTCTCTGCGGACTGGATGAATGGCTTGTAGTAGGGAAGCTTTCTTGTTTGTGATTTCTTGGCATAGCGCGGCGTTGGGGAAGTTTGGATTTCATGATGATGGATCGAGAAGCAGTTGATAGAATATTAGATAAATAATTAACCACCTTTAAAACACATTCGACGGAACAAAACCCAATTATGAAATCTCGATTCCCCTCCTTCACATCCCGCCCCGCTCCACTCCACCCCGCCACGACAAATCCCACACAAAAAAGTCGTACCATATTTCTTCTCAGCCCAAAAATCCCCCCCCGTGCTCTAAAATTATTCCAAAATGCCTCCAAAGAAAGCAGCTACCGAAGAGACCAAGAACAATGTCGTCGCCTTTGGCCGCGTCCGAAAGAATCTCAAGATGGGGTGTGTTGGCCTCCCGAACGTGGGGAAGAGCTCACTTTTCAATCTTCTGACTGAGCAGAGTGCTGCCGCGGAAAACTATCCGTTCTGTACGATTGAGCCTAACGAGGCGAGATGTGCTGTTCCAGATGCGAGATATGTATGTTGAAGGCTATTTTTTTTCAATTGTGTTAGTGCCTAGCTGCGTGCGGGATGGTGGCATGTGTGGTTGTTCGTCTTTCTGAGACTTGGTTTTTGTACTAGATTGAGTAATTGATGATTTAGCCGCAGCTGGTGGAAGAAATTTATTTTTCGTTTTAGCTTGCGTTATCTTTTGCCTTGGAGGTCGGATTTAATCTTTTTACGTTCGAGTGAAGCTCCTAATCGTTGGAAAGGACTGCCACTAATGCTATCAAAAGGACTTCCTGTGCGATATCTGGAGACCACCGTCCATGTAGTAAGTGATATATTCCATAGACCGCGAGTCCTCTTCATGCCTCAAGAGCTCGAGTACGATTCTGTTTCTAAATGGGCTAATTCGTGGGACAGCCCCGCGTACCTTCAGGTAACAGATATTGCTGGTCTCATCAAAGGAGCGTCTCAAGGCGAAGGCCTCGGGAACGCTTTCTTATCCCATATTCAAGCTGTGGATGGAATGTTCCACATCGTGCGGGCATTCGACAATGATGAGGTGTTGCACGTTGATGATTCCATTGATCCTACGAGGGATTTGAGCAAGTTCTTCTGCTCTCTATCCTTCTTGTAATTTGTGAGGACGACGTTTAACATTTGTGTCTTTTAGATACCATCCAAAGTGAACTTTGCAAGAAAGATCTAGGTCTGTACCACCCTGAGTTCATACCGAAAGGCAAAGACTGAGCAGTGTCATAGACATTCTGGCTAAAACCATTATTTCCGAGGAAGCAACTGTCAGGAAAGCGGGTGGCAAGTTCAAGATGAACCCGTTGTTCCCAAGCACTACCACAAAGATCAAGGCGGTATGTGTAGTAGATTCTTCCGCGAAAACGATTAAGAGAAAAAAAATGAATACTTATCCATCCAGATGTTGGAACAAGATAAACCAGTCCGAGACGGTACTTGGACCTCTGCCGAAATCGAGCTGATCAATGAAAAGGTAAGTTTGTTGTCCGTTCACCCCTTATTTCTGGACTGGTAGATTTACTTCATTCCAGATGTCACTTATTACAACGAAGCCCGTGATCTACCTTGTCAATCTTACCATGAAGGACTACATCAGGCAAAAATCCAAGTACCTCCCCCACATCGCAAAGTGGGTCACTGAACATGGTGGGCTCCCTCGAGATGTGATTCCCTTCTCGGTAGAATTCGAAGAGAAAATCCACTCTTTCAAAGACGATCCTGCCGCACTAGAGGCATTCATGAAGGATATCAAAGTAAAGAGTCGATTGGAGAAGATCATTACTGAAGGTAAATAATACCGTTCTCAACATTGAAAATCGCAAGGATGCTTACTAATACATCAAAAGGGTTCACGAAGCTGGGACTGCAGTATTACTTTACAGCCGGCGAGAAGGAAATTCGATGCTGGACGATTCCACGCGGTTGTCTTGCCCCCCAGGCCGCTGGAGCCATCCACGGTGATTTCGAACGCGGTTTCATCAAAGCCGAGGTCGTGGCTTACCAAGACTTCCACGATTTGTGCGAGGGTGCGAAGAGCATGGCGCCCATCAAAGCCGCTGGAAAGTACCGTCAAGAGGGAAAGACATATGTAAGAAAAGTCGGAGACGGAATTGAGAATATGCTAACGATTTGATAGACTGTGCAGGATGGGGATATCATTCATTTCCAATTCAGTAAGTGCAGATGAATCGGGACAGAGAGATATAACTGACGAGTATTTCTAGATGTTGCGCCTAAGAAGTAGAAATAGACCATCAATTTAGACCAGGGGCATTTTGAGGAACGACTCAAGGTGTGTACCATTGATGTGAACTCATTCGAATGTCGATTTTGAAAGACAGGTGAACCTGAAAGAAGCGGTAAGTATTATAAGCTTATATGGAGCACGAGAAAAACCAAGTTGCAAATCTAGAAAGACAGACTAAAGTCGAAGGCAAACGGGACGGACCGAGTGACCCCTCCTAGTTGTGCCCCAAGCTTCTTCGAGGCCATTATTTTGCCCCAAAAAGAACAGACCTTTCCCCCCTTCTCTTTTTTATATGCTCAGGTGTTTAGATTTGCCCAATAAACCCCGCATTGTCGATTTCATTCTTCTTTAGTCTGTGGCTAAAAGTCCGAGAGTAAAGTATCTGCCACCACCACCACGCACCAAGTCGGATTCAGAGAAGAAATTATACACAGTAGAGCATCTATATCATATCGTTTCGTAATTGATAGATATGCAAAATGACAGGCAACTTACCTAGGTAATAACTTAAGTTAATAGGTATCGCTAATTAAGGAGGCACACTAGTGGTACTTTAGGTTACACGAACAATATCGACTCGGAAGAGTGAGAAATAACAAAGGAATAAATACTTCAAAAGGCATCAAGAAGGCTTATATGGCGTTTAAAAAGACAGTGACCCGTAGGTAGAAATATCCAGCGAAGTGAAGGTTGTCTCAAGGTGGTAACATGTATAGTAATTTAGCTATTTAGGTACTAATAGATTTGCAATGAATGCGATATTCGGCTGCCGTATAAGCTTTTTAACATCGCAACAACCTGCTTCTTGGTCACATTTTACCTCACACTACATTAGTAACGACGGCGAGAATGAATTTGCCTAGCTTTTCGCCATCGCAGGTCTGTTCTCTCTGTATCCTTCTTCCTTCATATAAAGCCAGTTCCAGAGCACTAGGCTGATGTGCTCAGCAGCGGCTGCCTACACCTTCGCGACAAATGTTGATGGAACCTTCGAAAACCTGAATTAGCTTCCAGCAGCGGCAACGAGGAATAAAACCAGGCAGAAAATGGCCCAATATTGATGGAGACAATGGGAAAACATCCGACCAGGTCGAGGTCGCGGTCGACGGATCACAATGAACGGCTCGAGCCGCAATTGTTACGCGCTGCGGAAACCGACGATGTGGAGAAGTTAAGTCGGCTTATCGCAGATGCAAAGAGCAAAGGACAGTTTCACGAATACTATCTACGCATTGCCTTGATACGAAGCTCGGATAAAGGCAAGATTGCAACGACCAAGTACATATTGTCTATAGGCGCACCGCCAGATGCAGCCTCGGAAAACCGATTGCCACCTCTCCTGCGCGCCATAGAGCAAGATCACACTGCAATTGTGCATTTGCTACTAGAATATGGAGCGGACCCGGAGACTGCCGATAAGAAATCTAGGACGGCGCTCATGACAGCCGCCTGGAAGAATCGTTGGCATATCTTGAATTCGCTGCTTGCGAAAGGCGCCGACGTTAATAGAAAAGACCGTACCGGACGGAATGTTCTCCATAATCTGGCCGCCGACAAAGTAATGGACTGGGGAGACTCTATCATCGAGCTTTTATTGAACCAAAATATCCATATTGATGGCGAGGAGGGCCAAGACATAGGTGGGCGTACCCCTCTGCATTGGGCATGTGTGACGGGGAAGAAACGGTTGGCTGAGCAATTACTCGCTCGACCAAAGGGACCCAAAGCGTACATAGATGCCGTGGATGGGCGTGAGAAGACAAGTCTGCACTTTGCAGTATCTCGCGACAGAGATGACATCGTCCAGATGCTTCTTGATTATGGAGCCAGTTTACACGCAAGGAGTGATGGAGGGTGGACACCTTTCCACAATGCGTGTCAAACTGGCTCCGAAAAGATTGTTGGTATTCTTCTAGATGCCGGGGCAGATATCAATGCAAAACTTCTTAATGGAATGTCACCTCTTCGTAAGTTCAGCTTCCATTGTGAGATTGCCACTCCAAACGTTTTGAATTGTTGTGAATTGTTCTCTTTGCGACATTTACCCGTTTCTCGGATTGACTGGCATGCAAAATATTGCAGTGTTCCACATCAAGTGAAAACCCCCTTTGGTGTATTGGAGGCTCAAAAATGCCTTGATATCCAGAGACTCCCAATTAGACTGGGAGATTTGCTATCACATTGAGAAACCTTGACTGTATGCATGCAGTAGCCTTTGTTACATTTCTCAATTTCACATCAAGTGACTCTCAGCTATTCTTAATCTATTTTCAAGATTTCATACTGACTCCGAGCCTAAATCTTAGACCTCGCAGCTGAAGGCGGCCATCTAGAAGTTGTCAAACGCCTTCTAAACTGCCAAAACATCAAAAGAGCGCCCCGAGATTCTTTCGGAAGTACGCCATTCTTACGAGCAGCTCAGAATAAGCATAAAGACATTGTTAAGCTTTTGTCTCCTGCCGATAACTTAAAGGCTATGTCCGAAGATGCTCTTGGCGCGGTCAAAGGATTCAGCGCTACGATTGTAGACTTTGGAAATTTCCACAACGGAAATCGTGTTTCAAGGAAGAGCGTTTTTGATGTGCTGTATGGCGACGACAAAGACAACCCCCGAAAGCCAGCTTTCACTATCATTCCTAACGATAATGCTACAGAGTTCAGGTGGATTCATTTACCATCAAACAATATGGCTTGGGTGGAAGCACTGCTTACGAAATTATTTATCGAAGAAGGCGCCAGTGATATTGATGGCTTTAAAGCACTCGAAAGATCTTTTAGCCATCAACATCGAGGACAGCAAAGCCAGTAAGCCAAATTCCCATACAAGAGGCTATATTTTCTATGTGAGCTCCGGAGCTGAGAGCTGTGTCAGGAGCTAAAGAAATATGTCTTGTAATATATAGGATCCCAGCTCCTGAGACAGCCCCTAAGCTCTGCTACCTAGACCAACATCATTTTTTGGTGCTAATTCGTTGGCCAGCTCGCACTTCATGAGGCCTTTATGCCAAAGTACTCCTAGAGCGCCACAAATTCCAGAAGTTGAACCCCCCAGCACCATGACTGAGCAGCCACCCCCAACTATTGTGCTCAACGGGGCTTCTACTTCAAATGAAAACCCACTTCCTCGGAATCTTACCCGAACATTATCTTCCGCTTCTGGCGATGATGAAAGTAAGCGGATGAAGACATCTGGGCAACATAGTAACAAAGACCAAGGCAAGGGCCTCCCAAAAGACAAGTCGAAGAAGGCAACGATCAAAGGCAACAAATATCCGAAAGCTGAATCGCAACCTTCGAACAAGAACCAACAACGTAAACCTAGTCATCCCTCAGGCCAGAGCAAGAACCCGCGTTCTCCAGCATTCCCCAGTCGGAAAGATGGCACGCACATTTCGAGGGGTAATGTCTACACATTCATGCCTTACCTTCACTTTGAGACCAAGAAGCGATGCCAAGAAATGCAGCTGGCAATAAAAGCCGCTGAGTCGATGAAGACTTCGCGCTCTCGGCATCCTCTTAAAGGTAAGATATTATGGATATCAGCTATATCCCATCCTGGCATGAACCAAGTGCTTCAATGCACAAGAGTGTCTTACAGCCTCTGAATCACTTCTACACATTCCGTTGAAGGGAAACATTAGAGCTAATGAATTTGCTTCCGCAGCCAGAACTTATGATGAAATGCTTATTCGAGCTCATTTGACAACCTCGACCGTCTCTCTGCATATACGGCGGACGTTAGACCAGTCATTTTATCATAACATTGACACACTTCGCCGCGATCAAGACCAGGTCGTTTACCGTTATCAGACAAAAGACAACCACTCTAAAGAAGAGATTGATCCTAAACTTGTAATGGTCGATCAGATGTGGATGTGGGTGCTAGGAAAAAATCTTGTTGTCACTGCTTTCCCACAACGGTGGCAGCAGCCTAAGAATGACCCTTTAAACGTTCTCGATAGCATTATCGAAGACGTCAACGACAAAACCCACGAGCCTGTTCGTTCCGTCCATGATCTTGCCATGATTGTCACGAGCCGCTGCACTGGAGTTTTTGACCGTCACCGAATGGGAGATGAGGACTACCAGTTTCTAGACATGTTTGAATCTTCCATGTAAGCATCTCTTTCAACCTTTCAACTATTTCATTCTCTTATTAAGACACATCCGCAAGCTTAAATGCCCATTCTCTAAGCCTCGGACTTCCCGAGGCATTCCCAAAGTCCCTCATCCATCTTGACTAGGTAATGCTGACTCTACAACTTGCAGTGGGAATGCTACGGATAGAGAAACAATACTATTCGAAGAATTCAATAGAGCTTCAAGGCAAGCTTCGGCGTGGTTGCAGCATCGTCGACACCTAAACTCTCTCACCAAACCTTCACAACATACGGCTCACCCTGACAACGACAAAAAAGATGGAGAGGATTATGCAGACTTAACGCGTGCACCTATCTTTGTTGACAAGATGCTTGATATCGGTCAGGAAACCGACTTACTGGCTGAAACAAAAGACATCCGCGACGAATTAAATATGATCAAAAAGGTCTTCGAAGATCAGCAGCATGTCCTCCCAGCTGTCGAAGCGTCGATATGCGACATATACAAGGACGAACAGCGGTCGCAGCAAGAAGTCAAGAAACGGTTCGCAGAACAGTTGAAGATAGTTGGGATGCATATCAAAGACATTGATCGCATGGACAAACAAGCTCAACGAATTAACCAGGGTATCATAGATATGCTAGACCTCAAACAGAAACACGCAAATGCTTTTGAAGCACGATTCGCACGCGATCAAGCTACTAGTACCGCCAGACAGAGCCAAACGATTATGGTTTTCACAATTGTCACGATTGTGTTCTTGCCTATGAGTTTTATTGCAGCATTTTTTACGATCAATATCCAGGAGTTCCCCGTAGACAGCAGTAACAATCTGCCGCTCGCATATGTTGGCAAATATATGTTTGGGATTGGATTGTCGATTTCCATCCCCATGATATTCATCGCATTTTATCTAGATGACATTGGCGGCCTGCTCAAGAACTTGAGGAACAGACTCAAGAACTCGAAAAGCAAACTAAAGCACTGGAGATGGGAGAAAAAGACAAAAGAAGAGTTCGGGGATGGAGAGACGGATGAAGGAGATCTCCAGACGCTGAGGCTCGATCAAGTGCTTAGCGGAGCGCGTAGTGCCAGGAAGAGCGTCGAAACTGACTTGATACGTGAGCGTCTTTCTGTGTCTGCTAGGCCGGTGACTGCGGGGTCTGCTCAGCGAGAAAAGTCTACGGGATTTAGAATCATAAGTAGTGATATTGAGAGCGGTTTGAGATGATGATAAACTGGGAGGAGCACATCTGAAGTATATACCACCATGTATTTCAACGAATCTAACGGCTGAGAAATATTACAGTATATATCTTTAGCGTGGGGTACCTTTTTTCCCGCTTCCTGTTGCTACTTCACTGGGCGAGCCACCACGACAAGCAGGCTTGCTCTTTCCCCAGTGGAGCATTCACTCCAAAACCCTCCTTCCAAGACCTCGTGCCCAGTAAATATAGAAAAATTATGCACGTGCACCTAAAATCACATTTAACTTATAAGCAAGCGTGCAAGTTTTTTACGTACAGACTGGCACTCGCGACATATTGCTCGACAATGGAGTAGTTACATTGTTCTTCATCCCGATAAGCATACAGTTCTAATCATTTCAATCGTCCAAGAGTTGGGCGAGCTAATGTATCAGCAGTCGCAGATCAGAGGAGTGTAGTCAATCGCTCGAGTAACGAACGAAAGTTTGCATTTGACAGCTAATATCATTTTGACCGAATTACGGTATATCCGATGAAAACCATTCCCTTCACTTGTGATATGGAAACTTGAGAAAAGGGAGGATGGATTTAGGATTGGAGAAAAATGATGATTTGCGTAAAAAGAAGAGGTTAAAAAGATATCTCTTGTCGCAAAGTGGAAATTGTAAGTGTGAATGTCATTTGAGAATAGGAGAGATGTTGAAGGTGGTCGTTGGACTATATACTTGACATAACATAACTTTTCAGATACTGACGAGCTTCTCTTTCTAAAATGACTTTGGTAAAAGCAGATACCTTCGCAGAATAAGTGTATATTAGAGCGACGAAGCCGTGTTCGGTTCTTGGTCACAAATTCAAGCAAATGAGTGTCGAAGCATATTGCTGTCGAATCTATTCGTCTCTCGTTACACACGCAATTGTTCCGTGTTTTATCTTTGACTACATGTATTGCCTTGCTTATATCCCATAAGGAGCGAGGATATAGCATAACCTGAGATTCTCGCCGGAAGGCTTGATAGAGAGTGCTACTAAGGGGAAAAGTTGGTCGCACAAACCTCACTGTTATATATTCAATATGGAATGTGAATACCTATGCATCTCCGCCACTCGGTTCTCTCGATCTCACCACCTAATTATCAGGAAAAGGCCTAATATATTGGCATGGGACATGGGCCTCCAAGTCTGCTTACTTCTTCTTCATATCACAGTCTATATATGCTAGTGAAGTAACAAGAGCTATTGTTGGTCTTGTATCATAGTTTATACAAATCGAACCCTTACAGCGCAGAAGGTCCTTTACGCTAAAACCATGCATATTTCCAAAATGGAGGAGCATTGAGAGTAAGTCATACCACAGAAGGTGAATCAGAGCTGCAGTCCGAAGTTATATAATAGTTCTGGTAGGATTTCTCTTATCCTCAACAAACGCCACTGAGACGATCTTAGCGGTCAGCAGTGTTTGCTGCCTTGCATGCACAAGAAAGCAGGCATGAGATCGCACATGTGGTGATATTTCGCTTTTGAACTTTCCAAGTAAAACTTCCGACTCGAGAGAATAGTCAGAGCATTCGTCGAATGTGATGAATTGCTGTCAATTGCTAGAAAGTTTGCTGTCATATTGAATTTGCAGTCCTTGACTTGACGATCGAGAGCTACGTTTAAGAATATGTTGTAGCCATTTTTGAGTTTCAGAGTTATTTAGGGCTTTGATAGACAGGGCCGGATCGTGCGCGCGGGTTCGGAAATCCATTCTTTTCTCTATTGATGGTATATTCTAGCAGACGAATTTGTCCATGTCGAGGAAATAAAGAGTCTCAGCTTTTAGCAGTCCTGGCAATCGCTTGTATACTAAAACAAACAAACTACCCACCACACGACGTCTCTGTCCCTCTCACAGGACCCAGCACGTGAATTCAAGAGAGACAAAGCTGATTTGCTTGAAGCTTGAAAGCTCTGCGATACAGGGGATTAGATATTAAATATTCTATGTTTGAAGAAGGTCAAACGACAAACGATAACAGATCTATAAGTAAGAACGAATTGAAGTAATGAGACCCCGTGTTCACAGTATTCGCTATGTCCTTACACAACCAGTCATTGCCACCTAGTTCTTTTCGAGAGAAGTATGCCCTAAGCGTTTCATCGCAAGATCTGACTTCCACCGTCAAGAAAAAAACTGTTGTCAATGAAAACGTTCGCGATATACTGCACGGTCGTTAAAACCGACATTCCAATGATCAAAGGTATATAAAGAATCCTGGTGAACGGCAACTGAATCCATGATCATCAGTGATGACGGTTTGATGTCAAGGGCTGGGGCATGATGAGCTTGAGTTGGATGCAGCGGCGGGAAGGATGTCATGCTCTGAACATCAGAAACGTTGCGTCGATGAGGGGCTGGCCGGTGAGTCGACATAGGGGGGCGAGAGGAGGTTGGAAAGGCAGAGAATCCGTCAATTTGTAGGTAGGTCTCCCAAGCAGGATGTGACCTTCTGGGTGTACAAGTACAGAACTGGGTAGGGGAAAGAGATTCTTAGGATTTTCTCAACGGAGTTAGCCTCGTTGGAGTTCGCTTGGCAGTCGATAGAAAAAGAGATAAATGCGGGTTGCAGGGCGGATTTAAGACATTCGAGTGCCTCCTTCCTAGACACTGCTGTAATATTCAATAGAATTTAGCTGCACTTGCAGCAAAGCAGGAGCTTAGTGGTTACCAAATCACACATATATAAAGATTCAAGGAAGATGGATTCCGGAAAAAGCCTCAGAGAGGCGATACTATGCTCTAGGTGTACGCACCGAACCTCCAAACAAACGAGAAAACTCGGATCCCTATGTACCAAATATGCACACATGCCGTGAAAAATACCAAAAGACCCTCTAATTACGATCCAACCTGCGTCTCAGATTTCTTGTCCGTCGCATAAGCTTCTTATACTTGTGCTTCTTCATCTTCAGCTTTCTTTGCCTCTTGACGCTAATCGCAAACATGCCCTCGTATTCCCGGACACCACCTATTTGCGTCAAGTATTTATTCTGGCGTGCTTGCATCCTACCACGGAAACGGGTGGGTGTGGACATCGCTGTGGGTGTGGCGACGAGGGGGTGGAGTGCGAGAAGTATGTGATTTCTCCGTATTTGTCTGTGGACTCGGAGATCGTGACGACGGATGTGTAGGTCTTGTGTGTTTCTTGGGATGCTTCGAGACCTGCTGCGAGGGATTCGGGGGTGTTCTCGGGGACTGGCGCAGGAGGTGGGTTGAAGGATTGGTATTTTCCCGAGAGAATGTGGCGGGGGAATCTCATGGCTGCATCCTCGGGGGCGCTGTCTAGATGCTGCAGTTCTTTCCTATTGGCTTCTGCTGTGATTGCTGCCCGCAACTCATCCTTCTCTTCACTGCTTGTCTGCTCTTGCTGTTGCGACGGGATCTTGAGCTGCCTCAGGTTCCCCGTGATCATATCGAGATTTTCTACAGTTTGCGATAATGTAGAAATCACTTCCGTGGGCTTGCTGTTTGCCTTTATGCGTTGTGTAAAGATAGAAGCAAATGCTTCTTCGCTGACAGCTTTTGGGAAGCTACTAGTGAGGGAAATGGGGCGATAGAGGGAGAAGAAATCGGACGCCGAGATTTCTATACCAAAGGTCGTTAGAACAGGTCATGGAAGCCTAGTTACTAGAGATACGTACGGTTAGGAGATATGTGATGTGTACTGGGCACACAGGGAAGATTCCGTAGCGATTCATCTCTGCCCTTTCCACTTAACGCTAAATCCTTGCTCTTCTTTTTACTCGCACGGGAGGCTTTCTTCTCGCCCTCTGGCCGCGCAGGGGCTGCAGCCGCAGCTTCTCCCTGGCCATGTGTTACTCCTTTCGAGCCATCTGCGGGACTGGAGGGCTTTGAGGAGGAGTATCGTCGCTGGTGGGAGCGGTATGACAAGGCTTGAGCTGCCACGGCGCGCTGGGCGGAATTGGAGAAGGACGAGACTGTAGGAATTGGCGTCGCAGTCGAGGCTACCCGACGGACTGAAGAGGAGAACATGCCGCGTCCAGGGGTGGAGAATGGCAGTGTTTGGGGTGATGGGAAGAGGAGAGGAGGAGTTGTTGGATTACTTGTTCCGTTGCGAAAGCCGGAAGCGCTTGATAGCCGCCGACCGCCACAATTGGGTCACGTGTGGTGTCATATGATTGCCGGCGGGTTAGGTAAGTGTTCCATTTCTTTTTCTTTTTTTCTTTTCTTTGCGAATTCATAATTACAAGCTATATAGGTATTATTTATCACATTTTCACTTTGAGATTTATGAGCAAGTAATAAAAACTGTCATATTTCTGGGTGGTGATGGGGCTGGTGTTAAAACTGTGGCTTGATCCTACTACTTCTTACTTGCACGAATCAGAAACATTACCTACATATGATCTATTACAAATTGGGGGATTCAAACAATTTTCTCCCTTTCTTTCGAGTTGACTAATGTCATTATTCTCCCTTGGTGAGGCAACCGCTAAGGTTGAATAAATGAATCCCCTCCCAATATCCAATTCAATTAGTAAACCCCGAAACATAGCCGGAAAGCCTGCTGGAACACTTGAAGAATCTGGCCAAGCTTGTATTTTAAGTCGAGTGATGGTTCTATTCGCCCATTAGAAAAGGATGGAGCGTCGATATGTACATTAATGTTATAGGGTAGTCGTAGGAAAGCTAGAATACCGCGGCGGGTACTTGGTATAATGCGTTGTTAGGATAGGCTTATGATAACTTGACAAATTATATGAAATTTCAAGGTTGCTATATAATGATCAGTCTTGGTATTGAATGTTAAGTGTTTGTACTCTACTTGCTTCAGCAATCTGGAGGATACTGCCCCTGATTAAAAATAGATGCAAAGTCACATGAATGCTAGGAAGTGTCGAGCATAACCCTTGTTCTTCCATTATATATTACAATAAGCAATTAGCACGTCCAAGCTATCTTATAAGTCTGTAGCCTTTAGAGCATACAAACCTCTTCAAATGCAGCTATAACAATAGTGGTGATGAAGCGTTGCTAATTAAGCGAGAAAAAGGGGTCAAAGATGGCCGCATGCAAATGGTTGATCGCCTACTATCGGGCCATGTGAGCAGTCGAATAGATTTCACTTTTTTGATCGTTAATGTTTATACTATACATCCCCCCAACAGCCCAGAGTATGCCAGCAATTCATCCGTTTCCTAGCTCTCAAGCTATGTTCAACCTATCATCTCATCATATAAAAAGCCAACTTTCAGCATCCAGCAACCTTACATGCTATGTCAGAATCTTGTACCTGTCCATCATAATACATAAAGGGGAATCTCCAAATCAAATCCCAAATCAACTTTCGTGTGGACGGATAGCAAACCAAAACACAAGGAAGCCTACAATCCCAAGGAATATGACAATTCCCCACATATACATAAGAAAAAGCGCGACTCTCTTATGCTTTTTTCCCAGAGCTGAACACTCTCCATCAGTCCACCACAAAATCACGCCATCGAGGTATCCAGTCGAATACAGAACAAGAAATGGTGGGAAAACGGCGCTTAGTGCGAGCAAGCAAGTTGAGACTCGTCTTTTCCTTTCTACCAGATCCGTCCGAACACCCTCGTCTTGTGACCACGTTTCAAGTCGTGGGGCTTCGAATGTGTGCTTCTGCGCGCCGAATCCCATCATCGACTCTCGAAGTCCTGCGCTAATGCTCTTCCCTGAGCCGAGAAGTCCATCGGCTTTTGCGAGGTCTCGGAAGTTGTTTAATTGTACCGGGTTGTAGAGCTCCAGCCAGGTACCGCGTTTGGGAGGTGCCAATGGTGAGCGGTACACAAAGTCGTTTTCAAGCCACTCATTGCCATGCACATCTGCGTTTTCGTCGTTCGCTGGTGTGACCGGACGGTGGGTGGCTATTAGGGAGATTGGACGAAGCACGTTTGTTGGGTAATTTTCCTTTGCGCTGCTTCGGCGGCGGGCACCTGGGCTTTTCGCTGTATCATCACACGAGGACTGGCATCTCCTCTTCTTCGGGGCAAGGCCAAATTTTGACCGTACACCTTGATAGAAAGCTCCAGGTGGACCTTTCACCAATGGGTTGCGGCCCTGAACATGTGCCAAGTCCCTACCACCATAAGTTGTTGTTTCTATGAAGCCATCACTCTGTCTCTGGTCTTCGAGATCGATTATGCTAGTGTCCATGTAGCTAGACGTGGGTTTCTCCGGACGTCTCCTTGATTTGGCAGTGTTCGTGCAGGTTCCATCTGCATTGTAACCAGGGACAGAATCTCCTCTTCCGAAAGTTATTATATGTTGCCAGGAGGTTGGTCGGCTAGGTGATTTGAATGATCTAGGTGCCAAGAATGGGTCATCTTGAGGATTTATCACCGAGCCTGGGTCGCCGAATTCGTCCATCCAACTAGAAGACCTGAGATCCTCACTGACTGGATTTGAGGTACATATCTTTGGAACCTCCAACTCCCCACTATCGCTGGACTGGGTAATAACCGACAAGATTGGAAGACGGCTCCCATTTCGAGATCGTTGGTGGGAAGTGGTGTTGCTGCGACGAGGCTGACGGCTGGATATCAATTCAGGAGGGTTGGATTTGAAAGGATTGGTGTGAGGAATCATCAACGGCGCTGGAGGTTCGTAAAACGGATTTTGGAGAGGACGGATCCTGTTAGAGTCTGATAGATAGCCATTGATTTTGTGCTCTCTGAAAACCGGCAGAAATATTGGTATGCGAGTATTCTTCAGGTCTCTTCGGCGATAATCACCAGAGTATGATATATTGCTAGGGTGCCGCGCTATCCTGTCCGTTGAACTGAACTCGCTCAGTTCAGCAACGTAAGTACTGGTGTTGCCTGGATCCGAAGTGTCTGCAATGCTACTGCCAGTTCTTCCAACTGTTCCTCCTACCATATCGTGGTCATACCTGCCAGCCGGAATGCTCTCTCCAACAGTTTCCCAGTCATTGTTGGTATCATTTGATGGACGTCTGTTTGCAATAGGTGTTTCAATTTGGCCCGGCGGGGAATCGGGCGGAGAATCAGGAAACGAACCGTTGTGGTTAATGGGCACTCGGACCATGTTATGCTGCTGGGTGGAAACCCAGTTCGAAGGGATTGCTTGCTGATCATAGAAAGCTTGCCCCTGGGCATGCGTAATTCGTATGTTATGAGGAGCATTTTCTAAATCCAACGGCGCCTTCGCCTCGCTCCTTTTGATGAGTGACTTGATAGCCTTGTAGGTGGATGTTTCGCTAGGACAATCTTCGTATCTCCCTAGTACTGAAGTTGAGATGCTCCCATTGCTGTAAGCGCTATACCCACTAGCACGCCTGAGTGCGTTGCTGACATCCCTCTCCAGTGGAAGCCTGTCAGTCAGATTGAACCTGAATCTCTGCGCATCATAAGGCACCAATGCAGTGTTGGTGTCTGGTGAAGAGACAACAATATCTGGGTCCCGGCCATTCCTAAATGGATTGTTGGAGTTCAAGGCTGGCAGACTGGGTTCCGAAGACTCTCCAATCCCAGAAAGTGCATAATCAGATTTGGGATAAGAGCGATCTTCCGGCCGACTTGAGTTGGTAACGTTTGTTGAGTTTGATGGCTGAGTAATCTCCAGAAGCTTTTTCGAGTCCCCATACGATGATGAATGACCAAGGGCTTGAGGTGTAGTAGGAGTTACATGTCGTACGGCAGTACTGGAAGGTGGCTCAGGTAATGTACATTCGGGGGGCTGCCCTTGTGCACTGAAACTAGATCTCTGCCTCCTTTGCAGTTTGCGAGCATTCAGAGCAGAGGACTTTGCTGGAGGGCTTGATGGAAATGCGCGAGAAGGGTGCCAGTTGAAGTAGCTAGGAGATCCACTGTGGTCGGAGAGACCAAATTCACTACCTGATTTCTCAGTAACAGCATCAATCCCATCGGATGGAACGTAGTGCAAATATATATTACTAACGGTGCTAACCTCTGGCTGTGATGAGACGTTCGAGGTTCGCCGAGGCAAGCCTTTGCTGTGATTCCCACCAGCAGGCGACTCAAATCCCTGGAGATGGAGCTCGTCCTGCTTGTCTGTCAGAGTAAAGTTATTATTCGAGCTAGCGAGGTGAGTTGGTGTCTTGCGCTCAATCCCATTAATACTATCGCTGTCCGGCAGTGGCCAAGATACGGATGATCGTTTCTTGTTTGAAGTGAAGTAAGGAGTACCTCCTATCATAGTTCTGCTTCTCCTAAGCGGACCATCTATATCTACTTCTTGAGGCGACGATGTGTTCGCTTGATGGCGGGAAGTGCGCTTGTATATCTGGAGTGAGCTGCGCCGAGCTCCACTGTTGCTCCCGGGGATGTTCGTAGGCCAATGAGATGCAGTGCGGGGTGGCATTTCAGACCCTCCTTCTCGTGTTAAGGGATGCGAAATTGACACTAAAGCATGTTTGATATTGGCAAATAATGAGCCTGCCTGACCGGACTGAGGAAGCGATTCTAATACCGAGCGCTGTTTCGAGGTTGTCTTGTCTGTTGCCACAAGAAATTGTTGCGAAGCTGGACGGCTGCTTAGAAGGTAATTGCTAGAAAGAATAGCTGGAGGAGGCCGGCGTGGAGCATACGATAGAATAGAAGATTCTTCGTGTGGATCTGCCGGTTCCATATCCTGTAGAGGAATAGAATCATCATCGTGTTGCTCTGAGGTATTGTTGGAAGTATGGCGTAACCCGTTTCTCGCAGAACCCGAAGTGATAGAGGAGTGGGCGGTCCTCAGATCGTCGAATACAGTCCGTGCTGGCGCATATATTCGTTCTCCTTCTTCCGCTTTTTGCGCCAGGTATTGGGAGCTCGTTGTTGCCGATAAAGCTCGCTGGTAAGGATTCTTCGAGTTCTTCGTAGGTTTGGGTATCCTAGTTGTCCCAATAACGGCAGCAGAGCTGGATCGTAGGTTACTCCCAGGCCTGGTCGGACCTGGCAAGATCATAGGAGCACCGGTTTCAAAATTCGGGGAGTACGATTTTCGAACCATTGTGTCGGCGATCTAGCCGTAGCACTTCTCAAGTCCCTATGAAGGTGATCTTCTTCTTTGGACTGATGGACTATATGGATGTATGGAATCTAGTATCCGATGCTATAATGGTCAAAGAATAAGCCTTGAAACGCGTTGTCGAGTTAAATAGTCCAATACCTCATGGACAGAACCATTACTGATACCACAGGATGAATGAATGCCATGCGACACATTGACGATCAAGCTGTGACCAAGAAACGGACGTGGGGAGAATATAGAATGTGGCTACTGTCTCCAAAGAACAGAATATTGAGAGTATTGCTGCTGCTTCCAGCCGTGGGTATAGGTACAGGTGTAGGTTCAAGTGTAGACAAACGATGCGAGAGCCCCGCAGCGAGATATGCGCCTTGACGACAGTCGGATATTGAATGGCAAGGGAAGTTACAAGTACGGAGAATTGCACTTCTCAGTGTTGACTTTTCGGTTATGTTTTTCATCGACGCGTCGTCTCGTCGCAACTAACACCAGCATCGCTTCGATCCTTGATGGACCGTGATGGAGAGTAACGGCAATATAAAGAGTCGAATTCTTACTCGTGTTATTATGATTGAACAGTAAACAAAGCTTGCTCACATCATTATGTATCACCCATAGGTACAGGAAATCAAGGATTGTTTGCAAGCAAGCAGCTTAGCAAGTACTGTTGCAGATGGAGCAAAGGAAAGCACAGCGGTTGAACAAAATACTTGGTAACTTTCCTTTTCGCACTTAAAATAGGCAATGCACTTTCCCAAAATCAAACTCACCCCTACCGTTCTCTTTTTTCTTCATCTTCTCTCCCGCTCCAAGGATCATTGCTCAACCGCCATACTTGCCAGTGCATGTTTGCTCCCATTCAGAAAGAGCTTTACAAACAGCCGTCCCTATTGCAAACGAACTTTCCATACACCATTTCCCACCTAGCCCTCATATCAAATAGTATTCACCGCTCGCACCTTGCCAGCCCAACGGTTTCATTTCCAAGGGCCGCCACATCCAGTATCATAGCAATCGGTGAGTGTGCCCAAGAATTCCAAACCGTAGAAGATGATTGATGAATTCTTCTATGTACTTTTTGTCTCCTAGATGCCCTAAGAACTATCTTGGATGCTGGTTGAGGGGAAGTAGTGAGATGGCTGGTCAGTTTCGGAGCAAGCGTCGGTATCAGATTGCCCCAAGTTAATCTGAGTGATCCATGTCGAGGATTTGCATTAACTGAAATTGATGGCTTTCTCTAAGCCTTCTCCAACCAGCGACCATAGCAATCAAGTTGAGGGCTGCTGGCTGACTGCTGGATTCGAAAGAAATTGCTAACGATGTAGTCGTTTAGATTCGAAAGAAAGGGGCAGTTCTAAGACCAAATGCACGGGCTACATATCGATCCAAGCGTCGTGGGACCGACTTATCGATAGGACAAAACAAGATATATCAACACTTTATTCTACTTGTATCATGGCTGAATTGAACGTTCTCCCTTCCGAGATTGTCCTCCACATAGCACGTTGTAAGTACTACCCCTCTGAGTCTCTGCCAATAATCTAACACAGATACCAGTTCTGGAACCCTTGGACATCGTCTCTCTGCAGCACGTAAACAAGAGACTCCTTGCTCTTGGCCGAGATGACACTTTATGGCGCGAACAATGCTTCACAGAATCTTCATTCCTTGAGAACCTGCGCCGCCGCCGAGAACTGATATCCACGGATGCCGAACAAGACCCCCGCTTTCGGGATCTCGCCTTGGCTTTAGCAAACGGAAATGGGTTGGGCGAATCCAGGCTTACCAAGCCGCGAGAAGAGGCACGAGATCTCAAAGCTAGGTCGAACGAAAAGATACGAATAATGGCCAACTGGGACCCGAGTTATCCATCAGAGAAGGTTCAATGGTACAACGAATACATAGCCCGGAATGCTCCAATCTCCACGAGTTGGCTTCAACAGCCTCGGAATCGCGAAAGTACCCAGCATGAATACCTTGAGATTCGAGGCATGGGACTCTATACAGAAACGGGAGAATCTGATTCGTCCTTAGTTGTCGCCCCGTTAGATGACGGCAGTGTGTGTGTATGGGATATTGCTGGCACACAGGGCCGAAAAGGAAGCATTGTAGCAAGAAGCAAGTCCGGGATATTATTTGAACCTGAAGGCATTCACATAACTGCGCCCAAGGATAGGTCAAAGATGATTAGCCCCGGTGTGACCGAGTGTATTAGTATCGACAACATTCGCAAAAGAGCATATATTGCTGTACAGGAAGGTAGGACTCTTTATCTCGCATTTCGAGAACTGCGACCCCTCCTCCCAACAAGACAATCCACTCCATAGTAGAAGTCTACGCCTTTATCAGGCTGCAAAGCCAAGTTAGGATTGCAAGTTACACAATAGAGATCACTCTGCATACATGTGTATATTTATGCAGTCACCCGCCCAGTTTCGGGGATTAATCGCTAACACTGGCTAGATCTTGTGGAAGTCGATCTTCAGACACTTTCTACAGTCAGTCGCGAGAAATTTCCTTTCTTAATCACAGCTCTATCCGAAGCTAAGTATCCCGTACCACTCACTGTTGGTACGAATCTCGCCCTCTATCTGCATGATTCTCGTGCTAGGGGACAGCTGGGACAGGCATCCGGGCTCTCTGAACGTCTTGAATCCTATGATATTAGTTTTGGGTCTTTGAAAGGCGCAAGTACGCGCGGCTTTCGAAGTCTCCTGAACCCCGAGCCCAGTCCAGTTTATGCCCATCTCTCCCAGCCTGGTCCATTAAGTATTCTACACTTGCCAAGCTCTGACAACGACTGGGATGGAAATGGTGAAATCTACGTGGCGGGCCGTTTTCCAAGTATTCTTAACTATGATCGTCGATTTTTTCCTAGACTTCGAGGCACAATATATTCAGGGGCTAGGCTTTGTGCCATGACCTCGCTTCCTTACCCCTTTACTCAACTGGAGAAAGACCTGGCTAGGCGTGGTGAGCTTTCAACCGAGCAAGTTCACGAAGCCAAGACCCGTCCTGGACAGACCCTTATCTGCGCAGGGGAATATAATAGTAAAGGCTCTCTTGAGATCTATGGTCTTTCTCCGAACCCGCAGCAGACAACAATATCCTCGGACTTTGCAGCCGGAAATTTGCAAAACTCTGTTTTGAAGAACCGGCAGACATCGTCCAGCTCGAAATTACTCTCAGTTTCTAACCACGGGACGAGGATAGTCGTTTCCGATGGCAGCGGGAATCTCAAGTGGCTTGAGAGGGACGGCTTTACGGTGGCTCGAAATTGGAATGTTGCTCAAGGTTCTGTCGAGGCCCCCGTGGGGATCTTTGGGACCATGGGGGGTTCATACATGGACTCTGGGTCGTCGGGAGATATTGTCCTGAAACTCGCAAACACACATCGCGGGAAATGTGAGAGCCTCGTGAATGAAAACCTTGTTATGTGGACGGGCGAGAAGATAGGATTGCTTGGTTTCTCAAGCAAGCCCGGGTTCACAGCTGACAGTTTTGAGGAAAAGGTGGCACAGACCCCAGAAGAAGCTCGCACAGAGGAAGAAGAGCGTAGCTATTCGCAGATAATGCGTGAGGCTTTGCAAGCTAACGCCCATGAAGTCAGATTCCTGCGTGGGTTAGGCCTTGGAAGAAGTGGACGTCGTTAAGAGAGCGTGGATGGACCATTTTATTTTTGCCGAGACTCCTGGCAGCCTTGTGCGTAGAACTGAGCATGTATTACACTTCCAATCGCGGTCTCGGAGAGGTCAGTTGGCCAGGCGAACAGGACCAACAAGGTTCGCATCACTGTATGTGATGGGATACTCGTTGTCCGACATCGTGAAGTGTCATCCAGAAGTTTTGTCCTCGCCTCAGAGACCCAACGGTGGCCGATCCCTATTCACGAGGCTGTTCTGACAACTGGAGTGGCGAACGAGGGCATTTTGTAACATGAGATCGTCCATAGGTACAGCGCAGGGAAGTTGCTTGAGAAAGGGGGTTATATATACGGAAAGTCTTCCCACTTTCCCCTAACAGCTGACAGATCCGTAAGGAACCTCCTTCTGGCGCCTCGGGGATCGTGACAACTGCGGCGGAGATCTTCAATCTTATAATACTCCACGTCGTCTGAATGGCAGCCTCACAATCATCAGGGCGCTTCCGGGATCCTGGGCGCCCTCACTTACAAGGAGCACCAGATGGCCTGTGGGGGGAAGGGAAGGGAAGTATCTTGACGGTGGAAGATTCCGTGTTACCAAGTGCCAATCAAAGAGACGAGGCGACCCTGCCAAGAGATCAAAGTTCCCACTAGTCCGTTGCCTCACCGCTTGTACCTTCGTACTCTCGGATGTATTGCAACGGCACTCGCCTTCCCGTCTACCCGCATTCAAATGCTAGCACAAGCTGCGTCTTCTGCAATACTCTCATTGGATGCAGAGAGATGCTTTTGTGGATCGTTGCATCATTTTTTGCCGTTTGATTTCTCGGGGTCTCCTCTAAGAAGCTTGTGGTGTTGCCTTGGCGGCTCCACCCAATCCAATAAACCAGATATCCATGCACGGGATATACTTAGTTCTGCAGCCTCGTGGAAGTCCCACGCTCGCTGGAATGATCAAAAGCCAGTTGCACGCCATCTTCTCATCTTCTCGTAATTCTTCTGTACTGTATGGTCTGCACATCGCATTTTCGGTACTTGTCAACCTTATCGTCGCCTGGGGTTTTCAACCCTGCAGCTCGTCTGTCAGCCTCACTTTTTTCCAAACAACCATGTAACTTGCAACGCACATTGCACAACGATCGAAACTTTTGAATACCTGCTATCTTTGATTGAAGCAAAAAGAATAATTACTGCTTTCTTCCATTGATCGCTTTCCGTTATTTGCTCGGACCACACGTAACCCTTTGCGCCGTCTTATTATTAACACGACATATCTATCCATGGCTGCTTTCCATACCAGGAGCTCGACCCCAGAAAGCATCAAGGCATTTCCAAAGCAACGGCATAGTAGAAATGGACAAAGAGCCCGGAGACCTAGAAATGAGTCCTCGCGCTCCTCACCGTCACGGGGTTCACCCACATATCAAATACAAAGAGAGTTTCCATATCAAATACCTACACCGATTTCAACACCTAGCAGTTCCGCCCTTTCTCTCACACCACCCCTCGAGCACGGCAATGGCATTACGATGGAACGCACCCATTCCGGAAACTCCATCTTATCAGATAAGCCATATAGTCCGCTGCCCGACAATACGTTGACACTACGCGACGAGGAAGCCGCGCGGAGAGTCTCGGACCACTTCAGACAAGTGTCCTCCCAGCGGCGTTCCGAGCGATCAAAACACGAGCGCATCCTTCGCCGACTCATTAGACTAGACCATCGCCTCGACACCGAAGACGGTGAGATCGACGACAAGTCACTCGCCGGCATCGTGACAACAGCGGACTCTGTCTTCTTCGGCGGCGCGCTTGCTGGACGCGTGCAGTGGGACTGGTCATCTGAAGAACGCTACCAAACTGAACTCATCGGCACCACTGCTCTACGCCACTGTGCCGATGGCAACGGGATCGAGACGCTCATCGTGCTCTCTGAACCCATCCTCAAGAACCCACAATATGACCGTCGCCTGCTCCTGTCCGCATTCCTGCACGAACTAGTGCATTGCTACCTCTTTATCCAATGCGGATTCGAGGCACGGATCGAGGGCGGCCATACCCCGGGGTTCCATACCATTGCGAGGATTATCGATGATTGGGTTGGCGGCGGCTATCTCAGTCTGTGTAATATGAAGGCGAACCTAAGTCATTTTCGGAGAGATCGCTTCAGGGATGATCGGTGTGAGGGGAGGTGTAATAGTACGCCTAGGCCCGAGAGAGGTCCTTATGGGTATACTTAATTCATGGCGTTCGTTTTTGTTTTTGTTTGGGGAATAGTTTATCTTATACCCGGAGTTTAACATACTGTTTAGTCCTGGGCATTTTCTCACGGGCGGGGGCATGATTAGATAGAGTTTTGGTCTGTTATTTGGTGTTGGTGGTTCTGATTATGGTGCGGAGCGAAAGCGAAACTGCGTGCATAGCAGCATATGAAAAGATTTTGTACATAAGATAGGACCAGATGACAGGCTTCGAAGCTGGGAGGTGGTAGTAGGCGTTTATTTTACTTCATTTAGCGTGCATTCTTGGTTGAACTTGGTCTTTCTAGGTACTAGAAGATTCAACATGAGAAAGCTATCCCAACTTTATTTTCTCAGATATGTAGAAGAGAAGGGAAAAGAAAAAAATCACAAGTACGTACTATTTACCTGTCATGTGTGTCGTGCGTGTTATGTAATAATACTCATGACTCCTTGTACGCGTCAGATAAAACAGGGGGGTTTTGACGCCCTGGGTAATACTAAGCACGATACTCCGAACTCTAACCTGTAAACCCACGTTGTACTAGCTCGAAACTGGATTCCACTTCCCACCCATTAAACACTGAAAGTACAAGTGAATGGAATGGAGTAAAGGTTATTGAAATCCATTTAAGGTAATAATATCATTACTCCAACATATCCCACCACAATCCCATCCTAAAACGCCCATCCATCATTATGCATCTACGCAGGAACATAAACACCATCTTTACACAGCACAACGACATTCTTGAAAAACCTTCTCCATTCCAGCGGGTCGCCCTTGACCTTCACAAATCTCACCTCAAGCAGTTCGGCCTCGCCCGAGATATACGTATCAACGACAATATCACCGCTTAGACTGCAATGCCGCCCATCCACAGTCTTGACTTTGATCCAGCCCGCGTGATGTCGGCCTTGCATCTGCGATACAGGCGGAATGGGCACGTTGAGCTGGTGCATGGCGTCGCTTAATAGCTGTAAAAGGAGATGGGAGGAGAGATGCGAGAAGAAGCGCGTGAGCGAGTAGTTCGGCACGATATCTCTGAATCTCCGCGCGTGTTGCGTTAGACTCAGCGGTACTGATGGCGCAGGCGTGAATTGGCTCATACTAGGCTCATCAGCTAGTGATTCGAATGGGTGCTCTGCTAGGCCGTTTGTCATGGTTGCGATTCCGCCGTGGTGAAGGTGCGTGGGCTGGCTTGAGGAGAAAGTTGTGGCGTTTGCGCGGGGCGGACGCTCCCAATCGAACAGTACGTCATTGATGGGGGTTTCGGGTTGCGTGAATGAGAAGCGCGGTTTTATGTCGATGTCCATTGCATCTTGGCTCTGGCGCGGTCGCTGGGAGGCTGTTGGTTGTTGGCTGAAGTCGATGCGGAGGCCTTCTAGCATTTGCGTTGCTAGACCTAGGGGATCCGTCATCTTCCCGTCTGAGGTTAATAGAGGATTCCTTCGTGTGTACCAGGGATGCAGCTTGATTTGCTCGAATCCAAAGCGTTGCTGGGTATCCACGTTCATCATTCCTCGTAGTAGTGATAAGATTGGAGCAGGAAGCTTCTGCCATAAATCGTCTGTACTCCGGCCTTTCTTCCCGGTGTATTCTTCGAACTCCCAGCTCGCTAATGTAGGTTCATCCCAAGGCGTATTGCCTACTAACAAGACGAAAAGAACCACCCCACAAGACCATATATCAACTTGATTTGCTGAATAACCAGAGGCCTTTGGTGCATTCCTTGACTGCGTGCTTCTTGAACAGGTGATGACTTCCGGTGCTATATAGGGAGGACTTCCACACATGGTTGTGCTGAGTTTTGTGTTGCCCTGGTACTCGAAGAGCGTAGCCAACCCAAAATCTGCAATCTTCAGATTCCCACTGTCTGAAAGTAATATGTTCTCCGGCTTGATATCTCTATGCCCCACGCCTTTTGAATGCATGTAGTTGACCCCACTAATCAATTGTGTGAAGTAGAAGTGTGCAATATCCTCGCTGACTCCTACATCTGCCTCGATTTTGTCGAATAGGTCCCCGCCTTCCGCATACTCCATTGCTATCCATTTCCATATAGGATCTTCGCCTGTAGCAAACCACTCTATAATGTTTGGATGTTGCCCAATGTGGGAGTGGAGGGACACTTCCATAGCAATCTGCTTTGCGGATATCCGTCCATGTTTGACTGCGTAGGCTTTATGGATGAACTTGACTGCAAAGACGGGAGATGTATCCGTGGGAGGAATGGCTTTTTTTATTCTATATTTGTCAGGGAATGCCCGATGAAGGATTCTGAAACATACGATGCATATGCCCCTCTCCCAATGGTTTTCGATATAATTCGAAAGGGCAAATCGCTGGGGAGGGGGTCGAGTTGACTCTGGAAGGGAGTTTCCATTAGCATTTTGGCACGCGTTTTCCAACATTGTGAAAGTCTTCTTGCTATATATCATAGGGAAACTTACCATATCCAAGAGAGTCAACCGTATCCGCAAAAAAAAAAAAAGCAAAAGTCTCGTGTCCAATGGCTTCTGTTATGATCGCGTGCAAGTTTCAAGAGCAAAGCTGCACGCGTCACTTTATTGGCCCCAAGGGAAGGCAAAACTACAGCCTCGCGCTAACTCATGCGTTGTCAAAGCGACCACGACCCCAACCGCAACGTGAACTCGAGTAAACAATTCCCGCCTTCCTCCTGGCCCTTCTATCCACCTCGAGAAACCTACAAAAACGAGGAAACTCTACTTTTTTTTCTTTTGCTTTGTCCGCCAATTCACAACTTCTTTGAGAGCCAAATTTCACATCAATTCACAATCGCTTTCTTTCAAGTATCAATTCACAGCATCCCCGCTCGGCCTTTGTGCATTTGCTTCCTTTTAAATCCATCGCCGCCCCCAAGCTTCCTTGATCATGAACTACGATATGGAAGATACTCAGAACTCAGCGCCTGGCAGTTTGCCACCTAGCCAAGCGACGAAACTCGCACCACGGAAAGGACCAGATGCTCATAGCACGACAAAACGGTCCGTCATCATCTCCTTGCCCGCATTGCCGTGATTTATTTGTACTGACTTGTCTCGGCAACAGATTACAGACCGAGCTCATGCAACTCATGACATCCTCCGCCCCAGGCATCTCCGCCTTCCCCTCCGCAGATGGCAACCTTCTCTCCTGGACGGCAACAATCGAAGGACCAGACGATACGCCCTACGCAAACCTCACATTCAAGCTCTCGTTCGCCTTCCCCTCCAATTACCCCTATGCTCCTCCTACCGTGCTCTTCAAGACGCCGATTTACCACCCGAATGTCGACTTCTCGGGTCGGATTTGCTTAGATATTTTGAAGGATAAGTGGACTGCAGCGTATAATATCCAGACCGTGCTGCTAAGTTTGCAGAGCTTGTTGGGGGAACCAAATAAGTAAGCTTTCCTTTGTCCTGGTAAATGCAATGGGAATCGCGACTGACCGAATATAGTGCATCACCGCTAAATGGCGAGGCGGCGGAGTTGTGGGATAAGGATATGGAGGACTTCAAGAAGAAGGTATTGAGTCGACACCGTGACGTTGATGATGAATAAGCTCCATGCTGGCTAGATTGGCGTTATTGCTTGGGTGATGGATGATTCATGGAGAATGTGCATATGAGCGACGGGTTCCTGGTTTCGTTGTCCATTTTCTGCGCAAGTCAGCATTGGTATGGCGGAGGGGAAGGGGGGAGTATATGGGACTTTTGGAGCACGCTGTACTGTTAATCGCCGCCATTTGTATAGGGAGGCCATACATAACTTGAATTCATGAATTCGGGTTTGATCATTACACTTCACATTGACTACACGATATTCCTTGAGAATTAATCCAGTTCAACGTCTCTATTACATTACAGTCCCTCTACCCAACAGATAAATCTAAATGTACCTATGCCTATGATACCCGACCATTTAAACCCCCCATCAGCGCATCCGATTAGTAAGAATAACAGTCAATACAATTAATTGTATAATGGCTGCATCCCTCACAACTAACGGCAGCTCCAGTATTATCTTTCCCGCAGGTACAGCAGATCCATCTGGCGGTCTTTTTGATGATATTTCCTGTAAGTTTGGCCATTGTTGATTGGGTTGTGTATAGCGTCCAAGATGAAGACAGGAAGAAGATGTAGGAGGTAAGTTCATCTTTGTTAGAGATCGCACAATTATTGGGAAACTAAAGGAAGGGATACATCAAAGAAAAGTTAGGGTTTCCATAACCTTTGTGTGGGGATGTATGCATGCAGGCATCCGTTTCCCCTGTTCCTATTCCGGAAAACTTGATTAAATTTAATACAACGGAATAAATTGGATGTAATTTGGATCGTGGAGTGTGATGCGGGCGGGTAATGAATAGCTTGTTGGCTGGGCTGGCTATTGAGTAGGCTCGAGGAGGATTTGTACTTTCCTTGCGGACGGGCGGGTTCGATTCATCAAATAGGCCTGTGATGGGAGGAGTAAGGCGAGAAGAGGTACGCGGTAGGTAATGTGAGCAGTGACGGTTTTTGAGACTGGAGAATAAGTAGCTTTGTAATTCAGAGTTAATGAGTTGCATGTACCGTATAACTCCCTAGTCAGAGTTGTAGAAAAGATGTCCAGGCCTGCGAGGATGAGGATATGGTGTCTTATTCGACTTCATGCCGGTGAACTTCTCAATAACCCCTTGAAGGCTATTGTTTTAAGTGGCAAACGCCCTCTTTCGTCTTACTAACCATGCTGTTCCTCTTCTATTACATATTTGTACGAACAATAGAAAGACTTTAAGCATGTTGCAAAGGGACAAAGCTTGTACTGCTGGAGCATGGCAGAAGAGTAACAAGATGCTCATGGGATCATGGCATGGCTTGATTTATTTGCTGCGTAAACCAATTTGGGTTCAGGAATCGATGAATGGTATTTTCAATTTCTTAAACATTGAAATACGCTTGACGGAGCTGCGAAATAGCCCTGCGAGGTAGAGAAAGATAGAGACTTTGAATAACATCAGCGGCTTTTTATACACAGCCTCGTGCTGGACAGAAGAATCGACACAAACTATACTTCAATTGTTCTATGCCGAATGGCACATTCAAATCTCCCCGAATGCTTGCCGCTTTCTCTGTCCCGGACGAGTCTGCACTTGGGCTAGCTAGTAGAGATGATTATTTGTTTAGGACTGATGGAAATACCTCAGGGGATTGCCACAACCAGGTGGCACATGCTATAAAGCTGGAAATGTGGAATTCAGGTTCTGGCGTAGCAGTTGTCGTGGTAAGTTTGGGATATGCAACGGAAAGTAATACAATTTGAAGCAAAAAGACATCAGCACGCTCTGAGACATTGGGTGAAGACACTTCTTCTCCGAAATTCCCTATTCGTACTTCTCATTCTGGTATGGCGATATTGCAACGTAGAATGTTGAGTAATTGAAATCTTCCAACACCGATTCCTCCAAAGCCCTAGACCTTCACACTGGAATCAATCACACCATAGCGAACATCGCTGGGGAATCAAGATGACCTTTTCATTCAGAAGCTAGCCAGCATAATGCGAATCAACTCCATCCAGCCCATATGCCCTTCAGACTCAAGAATATGCGATCCTCTATTCCTCAACGACAGCCGTCTGCAATCCCTTGGCATCCTTGACATTGACAGCCTGAACGTAGCTGTACAGCTTCTCCTTAGCACCCTCTTCGTCGTTTCGCTTCCTTGAGATTCGGACGCGCAGTCTGTATGGGACACCCTTGATACCAGCCTCCCAGACCTTCTTGTTTAATTGGGGGTCGAGACGAACGTCGGATGTGCCCTGTAAAAGTAAATCTCCTGTCAGTTTCTTCGCTCCTGGCTTCGATGGTCTTGGCCTCGACGGTTTTAGGGTTTAATGTCTTGGGGTTTGCCGTACCATTGACAGAGTAGCGAACTTCTTGATCTCCTTGACGGCTCTTGGGGCGCGCTTCTTGAATGAAACACCATGGAGCTGTTGATTCAATCAGTATTTCTCTTCCTGCATATTTCCTTGCTTCCTAGGTTCGACGTACTCTCTTGTGGAGGTGGATTGTGTATTCGCGCGCAACGACATCAGCGATGGCGGATCTTTGTGCCTTGCCGGCGGGCTTCTTTCCTTTGGACGACATTTCTAGAGAGAGTCAGAACTGGGTGCTTGATCGAGACGCAATGATTGTTTGCTGCAGCTGTATAACGTACTTGGAGTTGACGGCGAGGGTTGTCGGGAAATTTCGTGGTCTTTCTTCTTCAAAAATTGAAGGTTCGTTCGTGCCAAAATTGAGCGCAGTGTGTGCGCTAGCGTAAGCGAATTGCAGGCCTGACTTGCTGCCTTGAATGCAAGGCGGCAACAAGAAGGAAATGAAGCCGAGGAGGAACTTCAACCACCTCAATCTTTCAATTCACTGATTGATTGATTGACCACCAGAAGGTCTTCCGCGCCGGACGCTTCGTCACAGTCTTGAAGTTCGAAGTTGACAATACCAGCAATTTGTCTGCGGATCAGACTGGATCACTCTCTACTCCACGCTCATTTACAACCTCTCCTTGCCCCCTCGAAGATCAACACAAACATTGCTCTCGTTATCTCGTTACCATCATCCCTCACTTCACGATCAATCGCGTCGAATCGCACACAATAAGTTCTCAAGATGGATCTCCATAATCCCTCGCCACAGCCGGATCTGGCCCGGAACAGGCTTCCTACCCTCTTTGAAGTTCTTAGCAGAAGGACATTAGCGCCAGTAGATTTGTTCGCATTCTACATCTACATGAGAGATCAACAGAGATCGGTGGACTATCTAGATTTTTGGTGTGGCTTTCTGGCTCCAGGGATTGAATATTGAATCAATACTGACTTTTGAAGGCTCGATGTCGCCCAACACATGTCGCTATGTAGGCATTATGTCCGAGAACTACGACGATCCGTGATGATTGGGACTCCAGATGGCGACAAGTCGGCCTCGAAAAGATCTTCTGCTTATTTGGAGGGAATGGGGGACTTGATTCACCCAGCAGGAGGACCATCGACGTTGATGACGGAAAAGGAGAAGAACCAAGATGCTCAAATGTCAGCTTTCCTCCGCGAAGAAGGCTCAAACGGTAACGGCATGGGACACTCCCCATCTGCAAGTTTTGGCTCGCACGCATCAAACAACCATCGCTCGACGTCAAATGATCAGCCACGGCCGAGTTTCATGAACAGCGCACATGAACAGGCATCAGACTCGAATTCCCCAGCTCATACCGTTGCGCGAGCAGATATCAGAGCCTCGGCCGAGAAGATCCTCTATACATACCTTTTACCTGGCGCTGAGCGCGAAATCATCCTTCCACACGCCATCACCCATGAAATTACCCTCTCGATCGAAGAACGCGGACGCGATGACCCAGAAGTCTTTGACGCGGCCAAGGACTACGTTTTCCAAGCCATGGAACGCGATGCCTTTCCCGGCTTCCTACGCATGAAGGCACTTGGAAACCTTGTTCCAACATCTATGATTATGAGAGTTATCCTTGGTCTCATCGCCATGTTTGCCGGATTCTGGGTAGCTTTCGTGTTCATCTTCCTAGATTACCCCAGGCACACTAGAGTCTGGGTATGTTATTCCAGTCCACCTCGCATATCTCGCACACGTTCACTAACATGACGCCACAGCTCCTCCTCCCTTTCACACTAGGCGTCTATGCCCTCTGTTCCCACCAATACCGCCTCGACCCCATCCTTGCCCTCGCCGGCTTCAGCGAATACACCTTCATGTCATTCACCAAGATCCGCGAGCCCTACGTCCGCAAACTGCTCAACAAGCGCGCCCTCATGGTCCTAGCCGTCACCATCCTAATAGACACAGCGCTAGTTGTGCTTTTTGTCTTTGTGCCCGGGAAGAGGTTGTAATTGTAATGTAAAGGAAAGGAAAGGAAAGGAAGACGTAACGGCCAGATAGTCCACATCAACAAATTGGGACAGACATGATATCTTAATTCTATTCGCAGGGAGTGGAAGGAGGAAAATCAAATGTGTATAGGGAGCGTACCTGTCTGGTAAATAGGGCAGGCAGGTTTGGGCGTTTTCAAGGAATCTATATATCCCCCCCTTGCGGCCAGCTTTGAAAAGAAGGGAAGAGGAGCGAGCGCTGGGGTTTTCGGTATGGTATGGTGTGATTGGCGCGAGACGTTGGTTTTTAATGCTTCTAGTAATGCAATACCCTCCATGATTAGCTGTGATTTTTGTGTAAATGATGTGATGTGATGTGATTATCCTATGTATGATGAAAATTTGGCTCTGTTTGGAATAGGAGGATGAAGATGTTGGTTATTGCAGGTTCATTTGGAACATTGCAACATAACATCAAATATCAATGACCCGATAGCCACATATTATGGGATTATTTGTTCTTGGATGTTTACTAACAGACTCCATCCAATAGGATATGTATCAGAATTCAGCAAAGGGAGTATGTTCTTAATCTATGCGCCATCCATGCGTGCCACCATAACGCCCCATTAGAAATCTCATTCAAAGTCATAATCTCATCACTCAATCATCTACAACCCCGACGCCAAAAGCCCAAAACTCCTCTTAAGATTCTTGCCGCCTTTCTCCCCATCCCCATCTCCCTCCATATCCACATCCTCATCATCCCTCCTGCCACCCCCAAGCTTTTTTCCCAGGCCCCCAAAGAAACCCCCTCCTCCTCCACTCTCGTCGCTCTTCGCACCCTTGCCGCCACCTCCTCCTCCACCTACACCTCCACTCTCGACCAACTTTTCGACTTCCTTGTTCCACTCCGCCTCTTCTTTTTGTCGGCGCTTGGCTTCGGTCTTGATCTGAGCGATCTGGGCTTCGAGGTCCGAGAGCGAGGTGCTGCAGCGTGATGACCAGGCTGAGAGCGTGAGGAGCATCGAGGGCGTGCTGGAGGGTGGGAGATCGCGGAGAGGAGCGACGGAGGAGATTGAGATTAGGGAGTTGTAGGGGTCAAGCGTTGCTTGGATCTGTTATTTCTCACAATATCAGTCTTATGTGCTGCAATACTTCTTTTCAGAAGCCGCCCAGTAGAGAAGAAGCAATGAAATCACATACCAATCCCGCATATATAGCACTAATAACAACATCCTCCAGCTCTCTCGGTCCATCTAATCCCAATTCCGCAATCAGGTTTGCATAACTCAATTCCTCTGGTCTTCGGGCTAGCGTCAGGAAAGACAGTTGGCGAAGCTTCAACGTCTGCGCTGTGTTCAAAGGTGGCAAGTTGGGCGTGGATATATAAGTCTTGTATGTGCCATAGCTGAAGATTTGCAGGAGAGTCAGGAAAGGGGCGTGGTCTGGAGAGGAAGAGAGTGATTGGATTTGTGGGCTGCTGAGTAGCTCGGCGAATATGTAGGTATTTGGCGCGGAGGTCGCGCGCTGGACTAGGTCGGCTGCTGCGCGGGGGGAGGAGGCGGATTTGGTGAGGGCTAGAAATGGCTTTTGTCTGGGGTTAGCTGGATGATACTTAATGGGATGACAGGAGGGAAGCTGGGGAAAGTACTTCTAGAGCATTGAGGGCTTTTGTTTGCTCCATTTTCGTGGGTTTGGTTCTGTGAGGCTCAGGTTGGTGGATGAACGGGTTGTTGATTCGCTGCCTGCTTGGATAGAGCTTTAACTCCCGGTGCTTCAAAAGCTTGTCTGGGTGTTTGGCGGGGGGGTATACCGGTGTTATGAAACTGGGTTCGTGATCTACAATGGTGCAGAGGGTTGTTTGAGAAACACCACGGGCGGTGATTGACACTACAGTAAAGTATGTGATGTTTGAAGTTGGACCTCGAGTGGTTTGAGGAGCGTTTGATCTAATCAGCTAAGCGAGGCCAGGAAGCCTACTGTAAGCTTAGCCTTGCCTTGCGAGTCTTGAGCCTTGTTAATAGCGCCCGCCATCCATCCGCGTGGTGCATGATGTGTTCCTGATATCATGACCCACCAAGACTTGCGAAGACAATTGCTACTGTAGTTACCGTACATAATTATGATCTTATTCCGTGTGTTTTCTGCATTGGGTAGGAGGATTGATGTACACGCGGCAGCAATATTGAAAGAATCACTCCACCATGTACGGGTCGAGGAGTACGCCTCGGAAGAGACTAAAACGGATTAAAACATCTGCAGGATCTATAAGCAACGCATTGACAAGAGGACGAGACGTGCAATGCCATCCCTGCCCTGTCTATTGTATTGAACCTTCGGAATATGATCTTGTTACTCTGGCTTGCCGCTCGGAGAGAATGAGATGCCTGTCATATCCTGCCTGTCTCGAGTTATTGAAATACATCGGCTTCCTCGGGCGTGTGGGTGCCATTATTGCTGCTTCTTTCGACATAATCAGACGGACAAAAAGGTGTCTTTTCCTACCCTCACCTACCTTTACTCCCCATCTTTAACCGTAACAACCATAACAACAATCACACCCCGCCCCTCTTTATAAAGTCTTTTGATAATTTGAAGTATTTCTGCCCTCTGTATTTTGTTACACCAAAGCGAAGAAAAGCGTACAGTGCAGCAAAAGAACGTTCGTTATTCACCCGCATAGGCTAGCAAGCTTGTGGCGTCAATACCCCGAAGCCGAGCGGCGTTACAAAGACGTCGACACTGAAGAAGGAACAAAAGCCGGCGTCGTGCAGGAGCTGGTCTTCTGTTCTTGTATTGTTGTACTGTACTTGGGTACATACTGTGAGTGATTGCGCCGTGCTTCGGCTTGCATGCACCATATCGCATGACAGAGAAAACATACTGACCGAGAGTCTGCATTGCAGCAAAGTGCTTGTTTGGTTGCATGTCAGATTGTAGCCGAATTCAGTATTACGAGCGCACCACCTGCTACTTATATTCAGTTGCCCTTCCTATTATTCAGCCCTGCGGCTGACAGCAGCAATTTCATTCACAATGGCCCCGGCATATTTAAAGGTTGCGACGGAAGAGTCGGATTCGAGGCCTCCACTGGGTACACCCGCACATATGGCGACAACAACTTTGAAAGTCGGCGGCATGACCTGCGGCGCTTGTACGTCTGCGGTTGAGTCTGGATTCAAGGGTGTGGAGGGGATCGGAAGCGTGTCAGTCAGTTTGGTTATGGAACGGGCTGTAATAATGCACGACCCAGAGAAAATCAGTGCAGAGACAATACGAGATACGATCGAGGATCGAGGGTTTGACGCGGAGGTTTTGGCTACGGATCTACCATCACCGACGTTCGACAAAAAAGGGTACCCGTATAATGAGGAGGAGGACGCAGAAGACGCAACTACGACAACTACACTGGCTGTGGAGGGTATGACATGCGGCGCTTGCACGTCAGCGGTTGAGAGTGGCTTCAAAGATGTCGTAGGAGTCAAGCATTTCAGTATATCATTACTGTCAGAAAGAGCGGTGGTGGAGCACGACTCCTCTCTTCTGAGTGCCGAACAAATTGCGGAAATTATCGAAGACAGAGGCTTTGGGGCAACCATTGTCGAATCAGATTTATCAAAACCCAAGACAATCAGTGTAGGAGGAGGAAACTCGTCAGGTAAAGACAAGGTAGCGACCACCACCGTTGCTATCGAAGGAATGACCTGCGGATCCTGCACATCTGCCGTCGAAGGTGGTTTCAAAGATCTGGAAGGACTAATACAATTTAATGTCAGTCTACTGGCAGAACGTGCGATAGTCATACACGACCCCTCAAAACTCTCCGCAGAACAAATTGCCGAAATCATCGAAGATAGGGGGTTCGATGCCAAGATCCTATCAACAGATTTAGGGTCCGCAAACCAGACCTCTGACGCTACCTCGTCCCAATTCAAGGTGTTTGGAGTAAGAGATGCAGCAGCTGCTACAGCGTTAGAGGCCAAGCTTCAGTCATTACCTGGCGTTAATTCTGTAAAGATCAGCCTCGCTACTTCTCGACTTACCATCAACCACCAACCCAACATCGCTGGCCTTCGCGCACTAGTTGAGCTTATTGAAGCCCAGGGCTACAATGCTCTTGTGGCAGATAACGATGATAATAACGCTCAACTTGAGTCACTTTCCAAAACCAAGGAAATCACAGAATGGCGAACCGCCTTTAGGACATCGTTGATGTTCGCTATCCCAGTCTTTTTGATCAGCATGATCTTTCCTATGATCCCGTTTTTAGACTTTGGAAGCTTGATAGTTTTCTTTCCCGGTCTATATCTCGGCGATATCATCTGTTTAGTCCTTACGATACCCGTCCAATTCGGCATTGGAAAGCGTTTCTATATTTCTGCATTCAAATCGCTGAAGCACGCCTCACCCACTATGGATGTCCTAGTTGTCCTTGGTACTTCTGCAGCATTTTTCTTCAGCATTGCAGCCATGATTGTTTCTATCTGCGCTCCACCTCATACTCGACCCAGTACTATTTTCGATACGAGCAGTATGCTCATTACTTTTATTACCCTCGGACGATTTCTCGAGAATCGAGCAAAGGGTCAAACCTCCAAGGCGCTCTCAAAACTTATGTCACTCGCTCCATCAATGGCAACCATATACGCAGACCCCATCGCCGCAGAAAAAGCTGCCGAAGGTTGGGAGGTTGCAATTGGTGCCGGAAAGGAACCAAAAGAATCTACCCAAGAAGGCAACGCAGCAGAAGAGAAAGTCATTCCTACCGAACTCATTCAAGTTGGCGACATTGTCGTTCTACGACCTGGTGACAAAATTCCAGCTGATGGAACAGTCACTCGAGGGGAGACATATGTCGATGAGAGCATGGTGACTGGAGAGGCTATGCCAGTTCAAAAACGAAAAGGCAGCCTCCTGATTGCAGGAACTGTAAATGGTACAGGCAGGGTGGACTTCCGAGTCACAAGAGCTGGTCGCGATACGCAGCTCAGTCAAATCGTCAAGCTTGTGCAGGAGGCTCAAACTACAAGAGCACCGATTCAACGTCTTGCCGATATGATCGCTGGGTACTTTGTGCCTACCATTCTCATCCTTGGATTCCTTACATTCAGCAGCTGGATGATCCTAAGCCATGTTCTTTCTCATCCACCCGAGATCTTTTTGGACGAAGCCAGTGGCGGCAAGTTCATGGTTTGTGTAAAGCTCTGCATCTCAGTCATTGTCTTTGCTTGTCCCTGTGCGCTTGGCCTCGCTACACCTACCGCTGTCATGGTCGGAACTGGTGTTGGTGCAGAGAATGGAATCTTAGTCAAAGGCGGTGCTGCTTTGGAGACTGCAACCAAGATTACCCAAGTCGTTCTTGATAAGACCGGAACTCTTACCATGGGCAAAATGAGTGTTGCCAAGTTCAACCGCGTTTCAGCGTGGGAGAGCAACGAGTGGAGAAAGAGACTGTGGTTGTCGATCATTGGGCTCGCAGAGATGGGCAGTGAACATCCCATTGGCAAAGCTATCCTAGCAAATGCGAAGGAGGAACTTGGCCTGGGCATCGAGGGGACTATCGACGGTAGCGTCGGTGACTTTGAGGCAAGCGTAGGAAAAGGTATCAGTGCTCTCGTCGAGCCAGCTACCAACGCCGAACGAACCCGTTACCGCGTACTCATTGGCAGTGTGCGCTATCTCCAAGACAACAAAATCGTTGTTCCCCAAGAAGCAATCAATGCCTCTGAAGAAACCAATCTGAAAGCCGCCGGTCCCTCAAAGACCACATCAGCAGGAACAACCAACATTTTTATCGCAGTCGACGGCTCCTACACCGGGTATCTCTGCCTCGCCGACACTGTAAAAGACAGTGCCCGTGCCGCCGTAGCTGTCCTGCACAAAATGAACGTCAAAACAGCCATCGTGACCGGCGACCAACGCTCCACCGCCCTCGCCGTAGCCCGCATCGTCGGTATATCGCCCGAAAACGTCCACGCAGGCGTAACGCCCGACCAGAAACAAGAAATCATCCGCAATTTTCAGAAACAAGGCGAATGCGTCGCCATGGTCGGCGATGGCATCAACGACTCTCCCGCGCTCGCAACGGCTGATGTCGGCATCGCCATGGCCTCTGGCACAGACGTCGCGATGGAAGCCGCGGACGTGGTGCTCATGCGTCCCAACGACCTTATGGATATCCCGGCCTCCATCCAACTCGCGCGCTCGATCTTCAACCGTATCAAGCTCAACCTGTCCTGGGCCTGCGGATATAATCTCATCGGCCTCCCTTTCGCCATGGGATTCTTCTTGCCGTTTGGATGGCATTTGCATCCTATGGCTGCTGGCGCGGCTATGGCCGCTAGTTCCGTAAGTGTCGTTGCGTCTAGTTTGCTCTTGAAGTTCTGGAAGAGACCGCAGTGGATGGAAGACGCGCTGGTGGAGGAGAGGGGACAGATCCAACGGAAGGGGAAGGGCTGGGGGTTTATGGGTAGGCTGGGTGATGTGGTGAAGAGTGTGACGGGACGCGGGAGGAGGGTCGAGGAGGAAGGGTATGTGCAGTTGAATACTCTAGAGACTGTATAGTTTGCATAAATGAAAACTTTCTTTTGTTTTGCTTTATTTCATTTGCGTTTTAGCGTTGCGTGATGAATGCGGGGGGTGTGCTTTTGGGATAGGCGTGCCTGCATTTTGTTGATGGATGAATGGCATGTTGTGATATCTCAGGATAGATACAGTAGATAGGGGAATATAAAATATACATACTCTCTATAAGTGACTATCTTACTAGAAGACTATCTATCGTTCCTATGCTTGAGGAAATTTAGTTAATAAATATAGTAAGTAGCCGTCAGAACAGCCATTGCGGGTACACGCACCCACCTAAACTGAAGCTAGATGAGTTATATAAGTGTTTTTCTAATAGTATTTTACTGAAAAACTAATTATATAGCTAATGGCTGTGCGAAAGCAGAGCAGCCAATCACAGATCGGCGGGCCTAAAGGTTTCAGGCATAAATCTAACCTCCTTATCGCCAGACATCAACAAACTCAAACCCAACATCATGATGGAACCAGCAGCCAACTCTCCACAATTCCCCCTCTTCACCCGCCTCCCCCCAGAACTCCGCACTCAGATATGGCGTCTCGCCCTACCCTACGAGCTCAAACCAGCCCCAGCCCTATTCTTCTACAAAAGAGGCTGCTGGGAACCCAGTCGCTCAATAGAAGGAGAGCCGTATCGAGGCCCGAATGATGAGCTGGAAAATTTGTATTTCAAATTTCATTGTGAGTTGCTGGATCATGTTGAATATGCCATGCCGCTTGTGGGTGTTAATCGGGAAGCGAGAGGGGTTGTGGGGGAATGGTTGGGTGCCCAGGGTAAGATGGGGATTCGGATTGAACGGCGTGGGGCTGTGCAAGGGGTTGGCAACGGGGAAGGTCAAGATCAAGATCGAGAGCGAGACCAGGAAGAGGAAGAGGATATGTGTTCTAAATTTACGTTCACACGTCCTTACAACTCAGCACAAGACGCGCTGTTCGTCACACAAGACACCTGGAACGATTTCCTCACCGAACCCTCAGATCGGCAATTCGAGCCTGATCTACTCTTCGTAACCGTAACGCTCTGGGCTGATCCTAAGATCCTCGCCATTCCAAAAACTCTTATCCAGGATCACGATGCTTTGCGTTCTTTTTCGGACATCTTTATGTCCTTTGATGGGTTGGAAAAGCTACTCGTTATCGTTAATGATCTGCATCTGCATGTGGATGATGGGAAGAAACGGTGGGAGTTTGGATTTGAGAGTGTGAAGCGAGGAGGCCTGGTTTGGAATCTTGATAAGAGATCTTTTGAGTATGCGGACGGTGTGGCGACGGGTGAGGAGGTTTTGGGCGTGGAGGAGGCAAATGGAAGTATGGGTGAAGGGTTGACAAATGAGCGGAAGAAGGGCTTTGAGATATGGCCTGCGGTTGCTGTTAGGAGATAGATAAATAGGTATGAATGAATGGGTTTTATTGCTAGACTGGAATGGGCCCTCATTATAGCTCAAGAATACGTACAGTACGCGTGACCTTGTCTAATACTTTCCTCGTTTTAGACTAGAAACCTTCTGGTCTGATGGTTCTAAGGAATCGGGTTTCCATACCGAACTACGTCTGGTAACTTGTTGAACATATTTAAGGAGCTGGGTGTTTTCTATTTCACGAACAGCTCTAAGGTAAAGATCCCTCGAAGAGTTTGTCTACTAAAATGCTATTACCTAAAGCGTCGCGGTTTCTGATTCGGCATTATTGTAGATATTGGAGTGTGTACGCAAATTCTCAATACAGACGCCGGAACTACCGACAGCAACGTCTAGAATCACTTTTCATCGAGCGTTGTGCATTGTGTCAATATAGACGATGCATAAAAATCCAAAGGAGATAAGCCGAGCAGTTTGGGGGGAGTTTCACTTTTGTTCTTAAAGATTTTGGGGAGGGGTTGTGTATTCCTTGGAAATGGTAATAATTGCACCCATTGAGATGTCCTTCTTTCTTAATTTTGAAATCCGGAGAGATGAATTGTCAGAAGAAATAAGGAACACTTCTTCTTCAAACTTTGTACGATAGATGGCAGCTGTCGTCAAGCATGAAAAACGTTTTGGGAAAAGATTCAGAAGTGACACTTGCAAAAGGAAAGAAAGAAAAGCTAGAATTCAAGGCCTATAAAATGCTGTAAGGCCACAGATAACTAAACGTGATATAACATCGTATGTACAAGCAAAGACGACCCATCTACCTTGTATTTGTACATCTCTTATTTGCTTCTGTTACGGAAACCGGGCATCAAACAAACGTGCACGGCACAAACGACACTGTAAAGAAGGTAACTTGCTTCAACGGAGATGGTAGAGTATCAGCGGATGCATGAACACTCTTTCCCATAAAGGACTTGTTTCGGGTGAAAGAGTGTAGAAATCTACTTTTTCTTTGCGAAGTTGTTGTTATAAAATAGATACAGATAGACCGGTGTGGCTCTAGACGACTGTCCTCGCTTCACATTTATGACGAGGAGCCGGGTGTTAAGCTCCTTCAGACTTCAGTCCATCTAGCATTTGTAAATATGTATAATATAATGCTTCGCATCCAGAACAACAAGCCATTTGCATTCGCCTAGATGTCTCGGTTTTCTTGGCGACACCAATAACATATTTTCTTGACCATAGCAATACCCAGCAGAGGACCTCCAAACATGGTTTGTTCCCAATTTCTATATTTTGACTGGGACAGGGCTTCCAAAGATTCTAGGACTTCAGTTACTGAATATTTTACTTTACAGAATACAATTCCCCGCGAGCGTCCTTCAACGGCCCAACCTTCTAATGGCTCCGGTACCCCTCGAGATCGCGCACCTACTCGCCTCATATCTGTAGACAACGTCCTTCAATATGCATCCCAAATCCCTTCTGGCCAAGCACGCGGTCCACCAGGCAAACGGCCTGCGCCCAACACCCCCCGACGTCTAACTGCTGGTGGGAATATAGCTGCGAGGGTAGCAGCACAGAAAGTGCCTGGTCGAAGCACGAAAGTTAGTGAGAAGCTGGTCCTTATCCCCGAGACCGATCAGGATGCCTCAGACGAGGAGGATGATGGTGAGGTAGAAGGAGATGATGGTCCATTGAGGGATGACGAGATGGATGTACTGAAGAAGAGGGGAGGGATCCGTGGGAAGAGTTATGCGGAGAGGTTACCCAAGGCGAAACGGACGGATAAGGTGGCTAGAGTTACGGCGTATTGCACGGCACAAGGATATAAGATGATGCTTACGGCGGCGTTTGTGAAAGAGAGGCATGGTGCCAAGACGAAATTGTATGATGACTGTCTATACACAGTCTACCACCTACCAATGCTTCCAGGAAGTGAAGGGTTCCGGATCAAAAGCAGTCCGGTCTTGAAGAGTCCTGGTGGGAAAGCGGTTCTAGATGAAGAGATCGAGAGAAGCGAGAATCGGGATTACCACGAAGGATATTTTGAAGATTCAGAGACGTACGGTATTAGAGGCGACGAAGATAGCCCCCAGAACGAATCCGAGGAAGACCGAACAAGAAGGGAAGAAGAGGGTCGTAGAACTAGGGAAGCCACCCGAGTCAAAGAACAAGGGCACCGAGGAGACAGCCCGAATCGAATTGCACCCGACGCCACAGCATTCGCCGAGATGTTCGTTTTCTCTTATGGCGTCGTCGTGTTCTGGAATTTTACAGAGAACCAAGAGAAGGACATCCTGGCCGACTTAACATTCTACGGGCACGAAACAGGGACCTCATTACTTTCCCGACCCATCAAAGAGGACGATTTTGAAAAGGAAGAGCTCCATTTCGAATACAGTCCCAGGGTAGAGAGACCGCGAGTGTTCAACGACATGATTACGCTCCGAAGTGGCGATCATATGATCAAACTCTCCATAAGCCACGCCATCGCGCAGAGCACAAAACTAAATTTCTTCGAAGAAAACATGTCAAAAACCATGCTAGACGCACAACATGTACCCAAACACATGGCTCTTACGGGCCAGCTAGGCATGTCTCGGAAAGAAATCGTCAGGATCTTAGGCCGGCTCTTCAAGAGTCGTGTAGACGTCAATCTTTGTACGTCCCAAATCGATCCCTTTGCAATGTAAACAGCTACTAATATTGTCCTAGCATCTAACATCCTCGACGTCCCTAATTTTTTCTGGGATGCCGAACCCACTTTGCACCCGCTCTACTGCGCCATCCGCGAATACCTCGAAATTCAACCCCGCATCACAGTCCTCAACGAGCGCTGCCGCGTATTCCTCGACCTCGCCGAGATCCTCTCCGACTCGATAGCGGACACGAAAATGTCCACCATAACATGGATCATCATCGTGCTAATCGTCGTTAGTATCGCCGTCACGGTCACGGAAGTGGGACTCAGATTTGGATTATTGCAGAAGGGACGAAGTAATGGCGATATTGGGGGCCTGGCTATTGGAGGTAAACAGTGGGAAGAGTGGAATTTCTCAAGGAGTGATTTTAGCCAGAGGCAAGTAGCGGATATTTGTGGAGCGGGCATTGTGCCGGAGAGGTTAGCTGAGTTGTAGATATAGTTACTTTGTGCTTCTATGCTTGCGGCTGTGATTTTTGCATTGCGTTGCGTTGCATAGCTATGGTGTTCTGGCGTTGTATATATTCCTTTAGAGTAGGACTGGGTCAATATTGATTGGCTTATTGAACATTACTTGTCTATTGATCCACCCCTGTTCATACATGTCAATGTCCTGATGTATTTATAATTAGAATGTTTAAAAAAGCTTGCCTACAAGTTCGGCAGATCAGATAACGCTGTGAAAATGCCTCAAGTTTTCGTTTGAGCGAACCATGGTTTTAAGCAGCTGGTCTTTCTGCAAGACATTTAGTGACAAATTACACGTCTCCATACCCCCATTCTCAGTCAATTATCAAGCTGCGAATCCGGCTTTGCATTGCGTTCTATACCGGTATTACCGAAGCGTGAAGGTATTCCAGTGTTTTGCAGGTATGTATCTAGTAAGAAGCCACACATCTGTGCATGTTACACCATGGCCATGGAAGGCCTAGTTTGCAGTTCAGTGATAACGCCCGCGAGGAGTGCAAAAGGATGTCGTAGGGGTAGTGGTATGTATATTTTGCCAATAGTTCAAATTCAGGATATCGGTCCTTTCGCAGGGTATCTAATGATTAATCTACACATCTCTCCTCTCCTTATATCCATCAGCCGTTCTCCCAAAATGCCCTCGGCTCATTACTAGCTTCGGTCCCCAGCCTCTGGAAGCCTTGAAGTACATCTTTATCTACATTAATCGAGAAGTTCGCATGGAAAGAGTCTTCGCCCCCACACGCATTGACGACGCCCTGCAAGCGCTCCTTAACGAAATTGAAGGTATGAATGGTATGCACTGGATCGCCAGCACTATGAAGCCGCTTCCTTATATCTTCCGGACCCTCGTACTCGTTCCCTTCACTCTGCAACCAGATCAAGTTATCACCGCCATCGTCACGGCCGGTTGACATCTCGGTAATAACAGAAGTCCACATTGCAAAATAATCTTGGAGCCGCTCGAGAATGACGGGCGTCATGGGTGGCGGCAGTTCTACGAGGCGCGAGAGAGCTAGACACGAGAGTTTCTGCCTGTCGATATTCGCCATGCTATCAAAATGGCGGAACCACTCTGTGCTCAGCCACCTCCAGACTTCATCTGCATTCCCGATAGAACCAATGATGGTAAGAAAGACATTTGGGTCCGCGAGCGCGAGTCGTGCGAGAATGGTGAAATAGTCTGTCTCTACGACATCGTCAAGCTTAGGGTACCGACGGTTCGGACCAGCAGTTTGGTGGGCATCCCATGCATCATGGAGTCCTTCAAATATTTTCTGGCTGTAGCCGCATTCGTGTAAGTCTTTGGCAATGAGCGTGATGCCTTGAGAGCCTCCAATCTTCTCTGCGGCACGTATGAGGTTCTCCACTATGGATGTTACTTGACCTGCCATTTCACGCCTCTTAACGCCGAGCAGGTTCGACATGTATGAGAGGACACGTAGGCGGATGCCATCGCTGAGCATAACTTCGGGGGCGAGTAAAATATAGGATTCGACGATATTGAGTACTGTGCGAAGGGTATCGGAACCGATTTCAAGGAGGGCAAAGGCGGCCTCGACGAGCGACACTACCTCTGATGGAGCAGGAGCAGGGGATTGGGCGAGAATGGTAGACCACAGCTCGAGGGCTTCGTCCATGAGGTAGATTTGCATTTCTGAACCGGGCTCAACGGCTCGTTGGATCAGCGGTAGAATCATGGCATGATATCTTTGAGCCTGTTCCTTCATGGCCATGACCAGTGTAGAAAGGAGAGTCAATATGGCTTGCTTCAAAAGGTGTTCTTCGCCTGATGCTTCCCACAGACCGGGTAATATTGAGACAATCTGGTCAGCGAATGGAGAAATGTTGTTTTCCAGCCGGACTGCTATGACTCTGATTGTTTCAAGAATTGCCATCTTCGTTTCCGTATTTTCCACCTCTTGAATCAGACTCATAAGTCTGTTGAGATAGTCTGAAGCGTAAGGAAGAAACCCGTCGGGCACAAAACTAAAGTCATCGACGACGATTTTAAATTGCCTCGCCGCGGTAACGCGAACAACGTAGTCGTTAGTCTCGTCCTCTGATTTCAGAAGATGTTGAAAGATTTGATAAACCAAAGGTCTGTTTGCTTCCGAGATGCTAATGGTGATCCACTGCCCAAGTAGGATAGCAATTCTCCGTCGCAGGACTTTGTAGCCAGGCCCAGTCTGTTGAACGTCATTAACCAGCGTTGAAGTGAGGAACGAATTGAAGTCGAAGCTTTTAAAGACAACCGGGGCTGATAAGCCCATTGCCGTATATACCGCATCTTTCGTCACCACCGTACTATCACTTCCACCAGCAACAGACTGAAAAAATGATAGCAACGGCTGCACAAGAAGGTCCTTGTAGTTTATGACCAAGTCCATGAACAGCTTTTCCGAGCATGGTCGACTTCGAATTCCGATGTATCACCACCGCCTTCTTCTTTGATCTCCCATTCATCTTGGTCATCTTCCCATGCCTCGAGATCAGCTTGACGGAAGACAAAAAATTTGGTAACAATGACGTTGGCAAGTTGGGCGACGAGATTCTCAGTGAGTAATTCCGTTTTGATAAGCGCCACACCTTTCTGTTGCTCTGCTTTTACCTCAGGTGTTTTGTATTTAAATGACTGGGCAGGACTGAACACCATTCTGAGGCAGCCGCGCAACAAATTTAAGCCCTTGAGGCACAGTTTTTCCATCACCGGTCTTTGATCTTTGGAATCATCATCTTTATTGAGAGATTTTGCGCTGAAGTCCTGTGATTCTGAGCCATAGGAATCGCCGAACTTGACTATTAAACCGTTATACGCTCGTACTAAATCCAGCGAACTAGGAAGAAGCGCAAATGCTGCCGGATGTATCACTGACATCTGAAGATGAAGCTTTGAGAACTGGACCAGATGCCTTTCAACCAATTCTTTAGCCGGAGATACCAAGAATGGAGGATCTTGGGATACCATTTCAAGAAACTGGCCGAACTGAACTTGAGAGAGCTCCCAGATTTGCTGAACGTCCGTGGAGTGGTTGGGATATTCGTAACCAACAATGAGCAGACGTCTGAGGATCTTGATGGAAAATAGACTGTTCTCCAAGGCATCCATAGCTCCGGCTTCGTCGTCCCCATTGCCTTGTAGAAACCCCATCCATATTGCAACCTTCTGAGTATATATCTCGTTCAACAAAAATACGATCTCAGGTGTAATTGATTTTAAACTCGTTTGGGAGGCGCGTAATCTCGCAGTCGACAACTCCTTCACCACTTGTAACATCATCAGCATCCCCCGTCGCAGGTGTAGCTGGTTCGTCTGATTTGCGGACCGCAAAATCTTGATCAAGTTCGTGAGGACCTCTGGCCAATCGAGCGGATAGTCTATTCGGACGACTTTGGAAACGACGAGGGCGTTCTGCAGGGCGAGTTGTGTATTGGCCTCCTCGATCCCTCCCTCTATCAGATGTGACCGGATCTCAGCCTTCTCTTCCTTGGTGATGGCATTGATGGCTGTCTTCCGCCAGTACTTGTCGATACCATTTTTCAGTTGGATTATAGCAAGATATCGGACTTCAGAGGGTAGGGATTTGTCCAGGTATACTGCCTGTGAAGAGATTGTCAGTGATTGCCATAGAAGCTGGAGAAATTCGTGCTGGTGGGGAAGAGCCACAAGCTGCATCGATGTCTGACATGCCATGCCGAATTCAATATCTACAATGCTAGATGCGATTTTTGGCGTCCATGTTAGGAAGAATTTACTTACCTGCAGTAATGTGTAGTAACCCCGCTGCGTCTCCCACGATTGAAGCTGTTGCGTGCCGGTTTGGATGTGCACTTGCTGAGAGGATCCCGCTGACTGAAGAGCTAGATAAACTTGTTGCGGCGTAAGAGGCGCAGCTTCGCCAGGGACCTCAATAGCAAAAGCCATGGTGTTGTGCAAGGAAGGTCAACAGCTGGTGTCAGATGGTGTTTCAAAAAGTTTATTGCTCGCTTGGTGGGGCAAGCGGCTCCTCCTAAGATGTCGACGTCCCACCCCACCTCAAGTGAAGGACTACAGGTATGTTACAAACTTCGTACACGCCTTTGCTTACAGTATATAATACTATATCACAACTTTCACAACCATTTGAACTTTATGTTGTTCTTACATGTTAATATTCTATCCTGGGCACATGTCTACTTTGCAATCTCACAGGCTAACTAATTGTTTCTTCCTCAGCACTCAGGCGAAGAAACAATCAGCCAAAGCACGACGGGCGTCACCGGCATCAACTTCTCCAAGCAACTATACCGAGTCCGGGAATGTAACAGGATCCCAACGACGGTGTCTTTTTGAGTCAATATAGAGACTAGCCTGGACATTCCACGCATCACGGGCTCCATCTATGCTATCTTGAAAGGCAACGTATATACCGACTGGATTGGCCTTGACCCAGCGAAAGTTGGCGTACTGGTGGGCTTCACGCCAGTAATATTCGATTTGGTAGAATGTACTGCGCGTGCTGGCGCCGCGATTACGATGAATGAAAAGATAGAGTGTTCCATTGACCAAAGGAAGTATCGGAGTACTGATAATCTCGATGGAGCATCTTCATCTTGACGATGTCCAATCTTTTTTGCAGGCTTCCTCACGGGATGCTTGAGCCCCTCCGAGCTGATGGGGCGCATGATTGGAGTTACCAGATCGGCCATGATTCTCTAACAACCATTAGCCACCTTTCAGTCTTGACTGACAAGATTTGATTTACGTTTGACGAAACAAGTGTGTAACTCCGACCCTTGAACGGTGGTCTTGATCATCGTTGGTAAGGCCAGCTTCGCTAGTCCTTCAACTCGTCCGCCGAGCATCCTCTCGGAACAAGCTTGAAGTTGAGGATGGCCACTATGCCGTTGAAGCATACCGGAAGTTTGGTACCCGTTGCAACAAGACGCTCAAACAATATCTTATTATCACGATCCTTGAAAGGATTCCCAGTGACCTCACAAACGAGATAGTAGCCGCTCTTATCAGCGCGGACCTTGTACGGCTCAGGCAGTTCCGCATGAGTGCAGATCTCAGCGATTTGTGAGAGACAGTCTCTGACAGCAGAATACTTCGCCGCCAAGAATATATATGAAGCGTAGGGGAACTCCAAGAAAGGATCAATCATTTCACTCTCGATGAGTTCTGCATTCCGGTCGGGTTCTTGTGGCAAAAAGAGTCCCGTATCACTCTATTCCAATTTGCAAGGGTCAGTTCGGGCAATCAAGGCCGCATAAAAGATATAACAAACCTGGACTAGTAGATTTGAGGTAGGAAAGTACGAGGGGAGCTAAGATTGATACTTTCCAATTCATAAAGAGGAGCATATCTTTGATAGCACCACCGAGTCGGCTCATAGGGCGTAATATGAGGCGTAGCACGACGGCTAGAGCTGCTGCGACTGAGCCTGCAGCTCTCTTAATGACTGAAAAGTCAGGAAACATGACCACCGATCTCACTTCGCCATTCGCGGCGTTCATCAATTTTCGTTTCTTTCCTCCACCCGAGACTCTCATCCATTGATGACCTTCGCTTGTTGGTCTTTGGTGCAACCGCCAAGTTCAGTAGTCCCACTAGTCACTGTGCCTCTTCTGTATCTGAATAGCGTGCACCTTCTCCTTGCTGTGGTAAATAATGGCTTGTTTTAGCATCTGCGTCGCTTGCATACTTAGGATTCTCGGTGGATTCTGATCTTTGCTGGCTCATCCTAACATCTCTCGCAATTGTGTTCGCAGATTCCTCGATATCTTTATTTATGCTTGAAGTTGAGCTAGTTCTCGAGGGAGGATGGGCTAGGGCATTGCTGTCGATAGTTCTGGCATCTGTGTGTAAACCAAATGATGTATGGGAGTTTGATGTAGTAGCAGGCTGTACAATCAAGGTCAGCCGTATGTTTTGAGGTGCTAATCGGAATGATACGTACAATATTGGAGATGGATATGGACAGCTCGAGCTCTCTGATAAGTTGCTCGCTTGCTGGATCCTCTGACCCTGCCTCTCCCTCTCTTGTTTTTGTATTCAGGAGCTCGCTTAGCTTATCCGTTGGCATGGTTGACGCCCCGATAGGATTGCTCAGCGAATCTGGCGGCTCGCGTTCTCCAAGACGGCTGACATACTGAGCCTTCATACTGACCCCCAATGTATGGGCTTTGAGGTTATTGAGATAGTTGGCGCATTGACCAGCATTCACCCTTCCGAAGGTGTCCGGCGGAAAGTAGATATACCATCCACCAGAAGGATGGGAATCTGCGCGAATGCCTGTTGGATGGAAGTCCTTGATGAGCCTGGTTATGTACCTGAATCTGTTGGTGCGGACTTCGCATTGTTCTCTGTTCAAGAAGACGTGCGGAATGCCAGAGAGTTGTGGCGAAATAAGGTCCGTCTCGATGTGAAAGAACACCTGGGGATGACCAGCGGGCTTATTCAGATGACTTGAAGTCTCGGAGGTTCTGGAGACGTTGTTTTTTGCTTTGTTGCCAGCCATTGCGTCGTTAGGAGTTGAGGGTAGCAAAAGCTATTCGGCAGCTATTCATACGAAGTCAGTAAGGGACAGCAAACGATTGATCGAGCGTGAAGATGATTCACGTTGTGCGAGTGCTATCAAGCAAATCCCCCCCTCAAAGCGTGAGGTTGAGTTTGTAAGATGTGGTTCATAAAGAAAGAAGGGTTGCGAAATGGAAGGAAAATTATCTTTAAGGCAACAACACGCAGTTTAAGTGAATTCAAATCGGTAGACTTGAAAACCTAGAGTGCAAGATAACGGACCTTGAGGAACCGAGTGGTATCTAAAGCTGCACTAAATTGGCCGCTTTCAGTCTATTCACGAGATTATCACACGTATATTACTGAAGTTGCCTAAAGCTGCGAGCATAGCCATCGACGAGAATTGTTGATTCTTCTGGGACTCGATCTTACTTCTTATTCATCATTACTCCATATTCTTGGCAGTTAATTACCCATCTTTGAAGTGTCCATATAGGATAAAACAAGTCACCTGCTCCTATTCATACTTTTTGACTTTGACCGGTTATACACTTTCCCGGATGAACCTCACCATATTAGTTTAACCAATCAAAATAACGGTTGGATCAACTTCGGCAAGGAATGATTATAGTTGCAGATAATACGCGCATACTAGGCGGAACAACTCTAATCAAACTTAGCCTGCAAGGACCTGACGGTTTGAATTCTAAGAATATGGTCTAGTACGGAGGTTCAATCCCTTCACCACTGCGTTCTCATGTTCTCGAGAGGAGACCTATTGCTTTTGCCAATTTAATGCTCCTTGCCTCGCCCCTTATTTTAAGCGACCACGTGCATTTAAATAGCGCCCTTGGCTGTCTTCGGTGGTGCGCAGAGTCTGCCTGGGTCGAACATTTATTCGATTGGCTGCAGGCCTGTCAATTAACAAAAACACCACCAAATGGAACCTATCTTCGTAACGGTGGCAGAACGGACTGCGCATGCTGAGAAGTGACAGAAGTCCCGTCAGGATACAGATCAATTAACTACCTAAGCATTGCAAAAATGGGGTATCCCAAGACCAATGAGGGAGCTTTTGATCAGAGGAAAGGCTGCAGAACAGCCGTGGAGTGTATGGAGAGTAGTCGCGCTCGAGGGAAAACAAAGTCATGCTAATGATATCGATCCCATGATTGATCGTCTGAATATTCACTTTGTTGACTGTAATGAATGGCCCTTGGCTCATCAGCTACAGTGCGACACTATATCAAGTTTGTGGTCATCTATCTTTCCTTTTTGAGACCCGCAAGGCAATGGCTTTCATTCATTCCAATCAGCCGCTACTTTACTCCCTGGCATCCTAATACAGTAAACTTTGCGCTCTTGCCTTCACCCGACGGGTATCGGGTATTCAAAGTTGATTCCCTTCGTTTCATAGGTTCAATATACGACGTTTTGCACCAGTAAGAGTGTGCTACTCGTCTTTTGGTACTTCTTTGGGTGCTAGTGTGCATGTATGGCTTCGGGTATTCCAGACTTGAGACTTCCGCCGCACTTGATCGGCGAAGTTGGTGGGAGGGAGGAGGGGTATATATCCTCACAGGCTGCTCCTCAAATCGAAGCTTCTTTTGAACTTTTGAACTTCTGAGGGAGATGTCATTCTGGGCAATTACCGGTGAACTTCTCCTTTTCGTTGAGTTAATGAAATTATTATGATTAATGCTGAGATTGAAATGCATTCAAATCCTAGTTTATTGACATATTGGTGCCCAGTCAACGCCAAAGCAGATATTCTTAAGTCTTCCAATCGATTATAGCCAGGTTTGTCATGACCGATCATCATTACTCGTGCTCAATCACAAAGTCTCACAGCAACTAATGCTCAGCAGCCTCAAATGCTAAACCTACTCTGGCCCTGCTGGCCCATCCTATCCAACATGCCAAGATACTCCATCTCCCTCAGATCCTCCCACCCCATCTCCATTCCACCCATCATGTCACCAGCACCACCAAAGCCAATCTGCTCCACGGAATCCCCAGAATTCACCAACTGCCCTGTCTCCGGCGACATCCCGCTTGAACCCTCGCCCGTCCCTCCAGCCTCAAAAACCGCCCGCGCAATCCTCTTCGTCTCGCCCTCAGTCCGCCTGCTAGTCCCCCAAACCTCACCAAACGCTTTCAAGCCGCCCAGCCCCAACCGTACCCGATCCCTCATCCGCAACCACTCCTGACCTTCCAGTACATAGCAACACGCCGAGAGACAGGCAAGTGTTGTCAGTGTGAAGCTGCAGGCTGAGAGGGGAGTGTGGTTCAGTAGTGGGCACGGGAGGGCCAGGAGGTCGATGGCGGTCTCGGCTGCGAGGATGGTCTTGCGGGTGTGCAGCCAGAGGGTTCGGGGATTTGGGGGTGAAGTGAGAGAGGAGGGGGGTGGGGCACAGCGGGATATTTTCTCGATGGGGGAGTGGGCGAGGCGAGAGAGGGGGCGGTGAATGAATATTAGGAGACTAGATGGTGTTAGTCTGGGCTGAGATTACAGTAAGAGCCATTCATATCCTTGCTCGAATATCGGCCTAATTGCTCAAGATGAGTGAGATCTTCACAGCGTAATCCCTTGCCAGATACCCAGACTTTTGGGAGAATGTCTAAGGTTAAAGCGAAGAAAAAAGAGGGGGATGGAGACAAGAGTGGGAACTTACACTTGAAGAAGACCTTGAGCCTGGAAGAGAAGTTCATCGACTTGCTCGTCTTTATCGATGACGCCGCGCTTCTCGGGAGGAAGATGCAGCTTCCAATTTACAAGCATAGCATCAGCGTTCGCAACAGCTAATTCTCGGTCTTTCATAGAGAGTTGATCAAGGTTGAGCAGGCTGCCAAAAATGCGGCAGAGATCAACGAGGTAGGTGAAAGAGCTGAAGATTGGTGTTTCGTCCTCGAAATCCCGATCATCGTATTCGGCAAATGTCCTCGCACGGGGGATGACCTAACATACTGTCAATCCTCACACGAGAAGGATTCGGGATTAGAAGTTACATACGCCGGAGGCCTAGTCATGATGTTCACAAGGCAATTCAACATCCGCGGTCACGGCATATAGTCTTTGGACAATCAGTAAATGCCAAAGGATACTCTCTTGGAATTGCCAATTAGCTCACATGAAACTAGGCGCGCGTGTTATCCCGGCAATCATAGAATCAGTAACAAAAAGTCCCCAGTACGTCCTTCTCCAACTCTCAGCTAACACAGGATCTCGCTCAATATTTGCAAATTCACGCGAGTTCATCCTCAGTTCCAGTGCCAGATATATAGCTCGATCTAAGACCTCACGAGCGCGATCCATCTCATCATCACAGTGAAACACAATTGCTATTAGAAGCAAGGTTTGCACTGTGAACCCATTTGGTGGCATATTGGGTAGATCTAGCTGGCTTAAGGCAAGCTCTTTATGCTCAGCGGATGGTATATCAGGTGCGTACAGTGAGCCGATGTACTGTATCACGGCTCGTAAATGTTTTAGAGATTCTGGGTCATTTTCGAGTCGGCTGAAGAAATAATAACGAGGTAGCACGAATGGATGAGCCTTGTAAAAGAAACTGTTCTGAAGTTAGTACTTGCTGTATTGTACTATTTTCGAGATGATTACTTGTAATATAAGTCGATTAGCCTTGCTGGGCTCGCCGACTTTAAAGAAGAGCTTGCAGGGCTTAGGGAAGTCTCAGATGACAGACCAGTGTACGATCCGCTCGAAGAAGTCCCAATAGCATAGCCCATGGCATTATGGTCACGAAAAACCTGGGGTCCGAGAACTGGACTGACTTTACCTCCCTGGGGGGACTTCTTTCGTGGAGCGTTTCGATCTCGCATCCCTCTTCGTGATTTTGCATAGAAGCATGGCTTGTCATCCTGTAGACACCGGCTACAGTTGGGCATTTCAGCGCCGCATTTGACATGGCGACTTCGACACTATCATCAGATTAGTCAACATGCTTATAAGGGATTCAGTTTTGACTCACTGGGATACATGCCAACGACACTCGTATACCTCCCCTTGATGCTGTCTCTTGATTTTGTGTTGTCGTTGATGGTTGGAAGTCTCCTAGCTCCTGAGCCGTCCCAAAGTCAAAGAACATCGACATATTCTGCTCGCCGTCACGCGGTAATTGCCTTTCATAAGTATTTTGGCTCATGGGATTATCCATTGAAGATTATCGAGGCGGTAGATCGTATGATTCTTTGAGTGCCGAATCGGGTACTCCGTATTCAAGACGGCGAACTTCTGAAATGATGGGAAAGGTAGTTTTAAATTCTGCAGAATTTGGGAAGTGATCAAGAAATAGTGGAATCGGGATTGATTTAGATAGTGGCTGCCATGTATAATGGACCAGGGGAGGCGGAGGTTACAGCACTAGAGCCAAAAAGGAAGCGAACTTGGTCCGCCGTTTTCCAGGTGTCAGCCTTTCCGTCAGCATAGGATATGTCAGCAGATGGATGGCAGCAGAAATAGCTGACTTGAGAAAATAAGCTGTTCTCTATCCACTTCACTAGTGCCCCTGAGTCCTGACCCACTGTACTCAGTATAGAGTTAAGATAGTTGTACCGCTGAAACTTTCTTAGAAGAGTCCGTCACAGCAGGGACACCCGTGACTGGAAGACTTCCGAGATAGTTGGACGCCACCACACTGCACGCCAGCCCTAGACATCTAAGCATAAACTGTTAGTGCTGAGCATTACACCCAAGACAGGAAAGAAGCTTTTAAGACATAGGCCTTGAGTTTGATTGGTAAGTTATGCAAGAAGCCCCATCTGCCACGCTAGTATTTCGGCACTGAAACTGGGGGTTCGGCCGACGTTAGGATGCAGATTTCATCCCAATCATAAGATCAAATCGTTAGAGTATAGGAACAAAGCATTCGGCAGCGAAAATTCATTTGATGGGTTGCAATGTAAGAAAACTCGAGACCAGGGTTGCATTGGCTGAGAGCAGAGATACGATGTACAGTACATACGAGAAGGTAAACCAATGCTGTATAATCATTTGATCTAGCCGAGGCCGTATTCTGGAAGCAGTCATCCACCGGCTGACTTGATTAGAATACCTGCATGATGCCGTGAATCGAATCTCCACGAGTCTCCGTGCAGATAGGATTCAAACATTTCAACTCCGAGGAAAGATGCCGCAATATACCCGGACGTCCGCTGTACTCGCATAGTGCACAGAGTGTCGACTCGACACTGTCGAGTTGCTTGATGTACTACTGAAGTCTAAATTGAAACAGTTATTACCTAGTGCCGAATTAATGATGGTAAGATTTTGACTAAATCTATCTCATCCATCAGGAATGAAAGTAAATTATAGCAGCAGTATAGGGGGATCGTTCCCATGCGGAAACACAGGAGTGTATCAGATCCTCTAACCTTGGACCGCGGCCAGGGCTCTCGATACAAGATGCTTCTTAAAATATGGATTGTAGCATTTTCGGCTGTTGGCTCTAGTGGCTCAGCCTTTCAGAAACAAGAAAGTCTGGCGGACCGCAGATAGGTCGTGCAAAGGATGCTTAAGATTGTGGAGAGAGGGGTGTGTGAGCTCGCACGGGGATAGGGGTGTGTGCCTGGGGAAATGGGCTGCATTTCGTCTCCTTATACCAGGTCTTGCAAGGATAGCTCCCGCTGGATAGGCACCTTGAGGAGTGAGAGGATAGGACTTGAAGATGATGTTTCTGAATAGCAAAACAAGCGGCACTTGGCGAGAACTTTGAAAGCGGATACGGCTGACGGTCAAAAGACGGGCGAAACATGACGGACGAAACCTGACGCCAGATAGAAAAGGGAAATTTTGTAGGCCAGACAAGTGCAAGAAAAAGCTGGCGAATCTAAACAATCTAAATGCGCCCTAGTAGCAATGGGCCGAGAAACTTGAAGCAATATTGGCCGTGCTGAGGTGTTTCTAGAATACGGCGTTCTGATTGATGGATACTGTAGCTGGCATGTCAGCAACCTGCAGCTGACGGTAGCATGCATATTACTCATACTTTCCCAATTACTAATGGATTCCGAATATGTGAAAGGCGAAAAATACTGCAGGTGATCAAAGAAGTTGAAGGATGGGATCGAGACTGGAGTGGCTTGATGGGATGGGGGGACGGATTTGACAGAGTTGAAGATGAATCAAGCTTTGGCTGAAAATAGTAAGATGGTCACGTGTAAACTAATCTCAACTTGGATTCCCTCATTCAACATGGCTGTTAATCACTTATCGATGTTGACACCGTTAGTGAAACTCCCAAATACCTCCAAGCTGTGCGCAAGTGTGTCCTGCACAAGTTTGGCCCTAGGAACCATGTCGCTACCTAAGAGCAGAAGTGGCTCAGCTTCTTTCCCAGAACCGATACCCTGACCCACCACAACATCATAAACGGCTTTCATTGCTTTGTCCTTGTCACCGTTGATCGGAACTTTGCCAGTCTTCAACCAAGTGATCATGTTTTCTGCCGTTGTCTGCTTATAATCTTCTGGAAGAGGGATCTTTCCAAAGATTGCGTTCAGGCCCAGGCTAGTGTTGAAGGTGCCGAGGACCACAGTCAGGGTTCGGATGTTGTATGCGGCAACCTCTTTGGCCAGGACTTTGGTCATTCCTGCGTTTAGAGCAGTTAGCGGAGAACAGTAAAATAGGTCTAGGAAAGTGAAGAATACCATCAAGTCCAGCTTTTGCTCCGGCATAAGGACCCATGGTCGGTGCGCCTGAAAGGGACGCTCCACTGCTCATGCTGACGATTATGCCGAAGCGGCGCTGGCGCATGTATGGCAATACTGCTTTGATGAGACGCAGAGGACCAAAATACATCGTCTCCATCTGAGAACGGATTTCCTCTTCGGTGGAGGTCTCGACGGTCGCAAATATTGAAAAGCCGGCATTATTGACTAGAACGCTTTGTGTATCATCAGCATTCATCTACTTTTCAACTTCCTAGAGTCTAGGGTTGGCATGGGAGCAATTCAAGGCTTCTTCGTTCCTAGTTCCTAGTTCCTACGACATATATTTAGGGTTTGAAGGGAAGTGAAGTACTCAATCTCTTGGCCTGAGCTTTCAAGCTCCTCGATGACCTTTGAGCTGTCAGGGCTGTCAACATCTAGCTGAATCCATTTACCGCCCTTGATCTCGACCTCTTTCACAAGTTCAGGAGTCTTCGAAGGATTGCGCGAGGTAGCAATAACGGTGTGTCCGCCAGCTTGTGCTAAACCGACGAGAGATAGCCCAAAACCGGAGGAACAACCTGTGATAAGGAAGGTGAGCTGCTTTTTTGGAGTGGTAAATGTGGTTGCCATAATGTGAGATTTGGAATGAACATATTAATGCATAGTATTGGCGAACTCATAGGTTCTATCAGGATTTTATAAGTATTTATATATCTCCTGTCGCGCTCTACGTTGGGGTTTGTGGCAATGCACAGCAGCACATTCCCACAAAACTCGACAGGAGATAAAGAAACACCGTTGCAAAGTCCGCAATAACTCACGAATATGGGAAGTCTCGAGTGGTTTTATGCAATCTTTAGGATCATTCAAGATACATCTCAGTTCTGTTTGGCCGAGCTCTGTTTACTTAGCCCTCGCTGCATATAGTGCTATGCTGCTTTTGGAATGCATTTCGACGCTAAAAATAGACTTACTTAGGTGCCTTTCCCAGGTGTCTACGAGAGCTTACTCTATATTGTAACAGTGATAAGTATAATCCTAGTAGTCATTAAGTTCGTACCCTGTTTTATTGAACAATTTCGCAGTTTAAACCCGGTACCTCCGTGTAAGGATTTCACTTACTGGGACAACGAATTGGCCGACTTAGCTATATGCAGATATTTAGTTTCTACATATTTAGATACAAAAGATGCTTACAAATAATGTAGGCTGCTATTATACCTACCTCCACAGAGCAAGTTCAAAATCTGGTGGTAGAGTCACGTGTAAATATAGTCTAAATCGGCACTATTTCAAAGCCTCGGCTCTTCAGCCTTCTCCCCATGAACATGGCCTGATGGCGTGAGATCCGAATACTCGTGTTACTTGCTGCAAGAACGAGAGTAACAGCACTCAATACCTCCAATGCTCCATTGACGATGTCTAACGACTTCGCCCTGGCACAGCAGCGGCTTGCTGTGCGGAGACAGGCACGAGAACGAGAAGCGCAATCCCGAATTGCTGCCCAACAAGAAGCTTCACGAGCCGCACAGCAGCTGAGGCGCCTACCATATCCCTTTTCACGTCTCGGTCAACCTGGATTGACGGCATGGGATAGCATAAGAGGTAGAGAAGGCACTCGCCCTGCTTTCAGGGTTGGACAGGTGGATACGGAGCTCTTGGATGAGGAGCTTCTTGATTTGCTGAAGGGGCAGGTGGGGGAAGCTTTGAAGTATTTTGGATCGCATCTCCAAGATGACTGGTCTGCAGAGATTATGCTTGGTCTGCGAGCTGTACTATTCAAACTTACGATATGGGATCATAACGCAACATACGGCGCCGCGTTGCAGAATTTGAGGTTCACGGATGCGAGGAAACCAGGCGCGGTTCTGGTTTCGCCCTCTAAGTGGCAGAAGGGGTTATATGGGTTGTTTACAGTGGGAGGCAAATATGCTTGGACGAGATGGGAAGACTGGTTGGTGGAGAACGATAATGGCTATGACGAGCTAAGTCCAACGCTTCGAAGGTTATCTCGACTATCGGATATAACATCGACCATACATTCCACCGCGGCATTTGCTTCATTTTTGGTATTCCTTGTCAATGGAAGGTACCGGACATTGCTAGACAGGATATTGAGGCTACGCCTGGCTCCCCCAACCAGTCAAGTTAGCCGGGAAGTGTCATTCGAGTACCTGAACCGACAATTGGTCTGGCATGCTTTCACAGAGTTCTTACTCTTTGTTTTACCACTTGTTGGTATAAGCAGATGGAGACGATGGCTCGCACGAGCTTGGCGAAAGACCAAGTCGGTAATACGCAGTGATGGCGAGGATGAAAGCGACGTCAAAGCCGGAGAATTTGCTTTCCTGCCAGAAAGAACATGTGCCATATGTTATCAGGACCAAAACTCTACAAGCACATCGGAAGCCGAGATTGTGGCTGCTGCTGGTGCTTCTGGAGTTATTGGCTCTGCGCAAACTGATATCACGAATCCATACGAGACCATACCTTGCGGCTGTATATACTGCTTCGTATGCTTAGCCAGCCGCTTGGAGGCAGAAGAGGGGCAAGGATGGACGTGTTTAAGGTGCGGAGAAGATGTCAAAGAATGCAAGCCTTGGACTGGGGATGTTATCGAGGAGGTGAGCAAGCCTTCGACTACTTCAAAAACAGTCGGATTTTCGGATGAACCAAGTGAAATGGCCGAAATTGAACCACATCCGGAGGAAGATCAAAAATCTAAAGAGGGCACAGAAAATTCTGTCGATAGCGATGGCTCTTCTGTGTCAGATGATGCTTCTCAACTGGGAGATACCGAGGCTTACGACGAGGAAGAGGAAGGCTTCATGGAGGATGATGATGAATGATGATATGATATGATATTTTCCAATTTCTGGATTTTAGCCTGTCCTTGCTATCAAGTGGTTGGCACAGCATTACAATGGTGAATGAATATTGCAATATATCGTGTCGGGTCAAGGGTCCCGCGTTGGCATTTTCATAGCGAATATCCACCACCACTCCGGATTCTGGCATACTTCGCCGTCTCCCAGCCTACAAAACATTCCACCCCACATTACCTCCGTATAGTGAAACCCCTAAATGAGTCGTTTCAGCAAACTTTTACGTCAGGTGACCATCATGACATCATGACCTTGAGCTTTCTGAACACCAGAGTCAGAGCTAGCTTGCCTTTTTTATACTACTCGAAAGAGAAAGAAAGAACGGCTTCACTCGTGGAAAACGTATGAAATAATTTGTACTATTCACAAGTCTCACCTCGCTACCCCTGCCAAGAAGAATCCCGCCACCCGCTAATCATGTGGGATCAACTCGAGCCCACAACTCCTCATGTGGCCTATCTAACCTTCTCGTCGTTCCTTCTCGTATACGCCCTCTTCTCCCAGTTCATCAAAGACAACCTACACATCTCTGAGCCTCCACTTGCGGTCACCTTTGGCATCTTACTTGGTCCATATGCCTTCGATCTAATTACACCCGATCGCTGGGGTATGGACGACGGAATGGTACAGGAGCTCACCCGAGTTATTGTCGGCATACAGTGTTTCGCGGTTGGAATTGAGCTGCCGAAGCATTATTTCTGGAGGCATTGGAAATCAGTTTTGTATTTCCTTGGGCCTGTCATGTTCTGCTCTTGGGTCATCACTTCCTTGTTCGCATACCTGATATTCAAGACCGGCGTTGCTACTGCCTTGATAATCGGAGCCTGTCTATCACCCACCGATCCAGTTCTTGCAGCAAGTGTATTGGCCCAATCGAGATTCAGCAAAAGAGTCCCAAAACGATTGAAGCATCTCCTCGCCGCCGAGTCAGCTTGTAACGACGGTGTCTCCTTCCCATTCTTATACACCGGGATCATGGTCCTCAAATTCGCTAGTGCAGGGAAAGTAATTGAGCAATGGTTCCTCATCACAATACTATGGCAATGCGCATTTGGCCTCATCCTAGGTTTAATTATCGGCAATTGCGCTAACAAACTCCTTCGCTTCTCCGACAGCAGGAAATACATCTCCCAGCCCGCCTTTGTCGTCTTCTACCTACTACTTGCCATCCTATGTGTAGGCGTGGGCTCCATACTCGGGTCGGACGATTTTCTCATAGCTTTTGGTGCCGGTGTTGGGTTTGCCCATGATGGCTGGTTTTCAAAAAAGACGGAATCATTGCCATTCCCAACGATATTGGACATGGTACTCAACTCCAGCATGTTCGTCTTCTTTGGCACTATTATTCCCTTCAGGGATTTCAAACCTCGGGATGTAACTCCGAATTGTGGCATCTGGCAGCTTTGTCTTTTCGTCATCCTCGTTCTCCTATTTCGCCGTATCCCCATTGTTATTGCCATACATCGCTTTATCCCAGATGTCAGGACTTTCCGAGAAGCTTTGTTTTGCGGACATTTCGGACCCATGGGTGTCGGTGCACTGTTCCTAGCCATGGAAGCTCGCGCCGAGTTGGAGACTGGAACAGGAGTCCCACATAAAAAACCGGGGAAAGGAACGTTCCCGCTCACGGGGAGAGAAGAGGCAGTTTTCTTGGTCTGGCCGGTTATCTGCGCTACAGTGCTTGGGAGCACGATGGTGCATGGGCTAAGTACACTGGGAATTAGTGTTTATGGGCACTTTTTGACACCAAAAGAGGAAAGAGCGCCGCTGTTGGGGCAACAGACAGATGGGTTGGATGCTATGGTTCATGAAGGTGGTGGAGGGGAGAGTGAGCCGGAGATCAGTGGTAGTGATGATGATCATGATGTTTAAAGAGGTTTGTAAACACTGGCTGATCTTTAGACTTGATAGAAAGGGGTGGTACTATTATTCTAGGTAAAAATCCAGACTGCCCAAAGCTTCAAATGTAGTGGGGTATCCTTATGTATCTCAAAAACTCCCCATCCAAATCCCGCGGGATCTTCAAAATCCTCAGCCGCTCTTTCCTGTACAAACGCCAATACTCCCGAAGTCGAGTTTCCCAACCGGCCGTCCTTCCCACCCGATCCGAAAAGTCTATGCATGTTCAAAATTCCCAAACTTCAGTCTAGTCCCGCTCAAACCGCTCAGTCGATGATCATACACGCACAAAACTCCCTCATCATCAATAACCCCCCTTCGCTTGCTCACAAGTCTCATTCGGTGGAATACAGCCCCCACACCAAGCGTGACTGCAATATTTGTTGTTGCAGGCCACGGTTCCTGGTGGGTTGTGCGCTATTCTGCACTGTTTATTTATTTTCGTTAGTCCGAACTTCGATATGGCAAAATGGGAAGGGGGAGATGGAGGGGAGGGTAGGGGATGAAAGGTAGGAGAGGGGTACTTACATGGCAACAAAACCAGCGCCCGCCCATCGCACCACCAGCTGCATGGTTGTGTGGTGAACTGGGGCTGGAACTTGAGTTCATTTTCGCTGAGATGAGAGCTCTGTTTCGTAGGTATGTGGTACTGTAACAGTTCTTGAACTTCTAATTGATTTTCGATGCGTTCGTAATCTAAACTTTTGAAATAATTTCAGGAATGCGACAGAGATGCCTTGAGAATTAATTGGAAATATGGAATAATTAGAATTACTTATATACTAGAGTAGACAAACAAGTCCGACTCTTACTCTAGGCAACTGGACAGGTACTTACCACCCTCGGCCGGCGGAGTAATGTAAAGGTTGTGATTCATCGAGCCGCGTGTTGTGTTGCAATGCAACGCATCTCGGCTTATTCGGAGATAAATGTTCGGTGATTTGGTCGGGTCCGAGGGTATTTAAGATGCGATGTGACGACGACTGAGAAAGTGCTGATTTTGATAATGATTGGCATTGTTCAGATGAAACCTTTTAGATGTAGGATACGCTTCGAGATATATATATATTCCGGCACGTATGCTTACGGTGGTTTCGCACTTGAGGTGTCCATTTTGTTCGCGGTTGTGGACTTGAAATGCGACACATTCTGATGTGTCGTTACACCCTTGGCCTGGAAGATCAAGAATGACTGCTTTGACTGATTGATAGAAGGCTTTGATATTCCTGGTGATGGGTTAAGAGGCTTGGAAGTTAGAGTTGAGGACTGCCGGTGTATTCTTGTTTAAAGCACGTAGTCAAGTGGTTTCTTTCGAAGGGGAAGATGCAAGACTTACCACTTATACTCTTGATGACGATAAATAGTATATGCAAAAACAAATAACTTTAGTACACAGTCTTTAGTGTATAGTGTACTTGAGTATATTGAAATTACTTAGATATACAGAAGTCAAGTAAGCAATTTTAGAGCTTAATTGGATTTGGGTATCAACCCCAACTTAACTCGACTCTACCATTTCAGACGCTAGCGCTGCTGATAGACTGTCTTATTAGGTTTACAAATAAATTAAAGCTTGTGGCATGCCCAAAAGCAGAGAGAGTAATCATAAGCTAGTCCAAATCTCGCAACCACATGGAAACCATCACTTGATCCTACTAAAACTCACATATAGTATCTCTTCCCCGTTATGTTCTGTATTAGTTCCAAGTCATTGTCGATGTCTTATATGAATCATGCACATGCAATGTAGGCGGAACTTAGCCATACTAGATTGACTCTCACACCTAATTATCAGGTGGGAACTGGTTTTGAGGGAGGCGTCGTGCCTCAAAATCAGACGTAGCAAAAGTGAGTATCACGGCAAAACATGCCTATACTATATTAATAGTAGTAGATAGTTATTAGACTTAGAAAGCTTACTAGTATATAGGGAAATATAACTAAGTCTTTCTAGTCATATAACTTAGCACTAGCTAACTTAAGCACTAGTAATAAGCTTATTAGTATATAACTACTATCTTAGCTAGCTAATAAATAACTAATGCAACCTCTAAGACTATAACTTACGGATATACAATCATAGTAAAATCATCACCTTGTGATACCAACAACGATAAAGCAACCAGATAATTAAGCAAAGGTCTACTTGGCTCTAAGCTTACTAAGGCATATAACATGCTTATTAGTAAGTTGACTAGCAAAGAACTATCTGAAATACCGAATACACAAGTAAGCAAGACAGTATAGATAGAAGATATTTCTTTCTGTTGTAACCTCCGGTCATAATTCTTGATATATAAGAAAACTGAAGAGAAGCTAATGATATGCTAATCCAGCTAAGGACTTTATACGAAATTGAACTTATCAACCAGAAGAGTTTAAAGTGCATAGCTTATTTTCTGTCTGCTCGCTCTCGGCACATCCGACAGGACCGATGTGGACGTATTGCAATTGCAATAAATCAGTAAGCAAGCCTGTAGAACTAATACAGTCAAAAGAAATTCCGAATGTCCCCCGATAGTTTAACCCAGCTAGCATCTTTCCTGGGTGTTTCAGCTATAGCTAAGGGCTTTCTTCTCCATGTAAATATCATTCCATCACAGCTATTGTGACCAACGCAATAACATCAGTCCAACCCGAGCAATCACACCGTATGTAATCCTTCCTCTTTATACCCTTGGCTACAAAATCGACATGTAGCGACTCTACACCATCTTGCCAAGAGAAACGAGCGAAAGATTATAACAATTTATTGGCGGCATATAGTAATGTCCTAAGAGATGATACAAAGGGGCGTTGCTCGATAATGTTTCAGTAGACATGGTCTCGTATGATCGCCATTGTGGGGGTCTTCGACTTCGAAAGTGGATAAGAGGGATCTGGACGCTGCTTTCGAATGTTGAATTGGAATTGGATGGATGGAAGACAACAACGTATAGCTAGTTGAGAAGGAAGGAGTACCGTTTACCTATATGTGCGACAGAGGTGTCAGTGATGGTTGTCTTCGAGGCCTGGACAGCTTGCGTTGCTAATTTAATAGAAGGAGAGGACTTTGATACCTTGGCATATCGAGAGCTGTGTTCTCCCTGGGTTGTCTTATGCTGAAAAGAACGATGTACAATAGCCACAATGGGCAACCTTGGAGCTGACTGTAGCTATACACCCAATATTGATAGTCTCGACATCAAGTGACAAGTATTAATCGTGGACCGCCTATGCGAACCCTTAGAGTCCATGCAAAGCGCATTTCGTACGAGGGAGGGGCTCCTCAACCTTTTCGATAGCTACCGCATAGTTCGCGATCACTAAGGAGTGCCTTATGATGGTCGGGGTGCGCCCGTGAAAAATTTGCAGTTTTCACGGGCAAGAGCCGAATGCAGTGAAGAGCAGCTCGAGCAAGGCAGCGAAAACAGACACGATTGCTGCCTCGAGTAGGCTTCAGAAGATTTTAAGCAATGGTTCATTACATTTATAACGATTTGTTCCTATTATCTAGAATTCAAGCTCGCGTTGCAGCCTGTTGACCCAACACTTTCTTGTGTTGGACGTTGGCTAGTGGCTGCCTTCACCCCTTACCTCAACAGCCAACTTCTAATCTCTAGATCTCTAGGAGAACCATCTTCTAACATGACGGGCTCGACTACCTTTTCATCATGGGGAAATATTGCGAAGAGATCTTCATGTCTTCAATCTTTTCCTTGGAACTCGACCTTCGCGCTTACGGAGGAGGGGGGCTTCGGCACTTCCCATTTTTACAAAATAAATAGAGCGGGCCAACTTCACTACCTACCAGTAGTCTTCCCAATGTCCTACTCAATCCACCTATCCAAAAAAACTCCACCAAACGATGACATGTTCCAGTGCTCAGTTCCACAGATGCGGAGTGGGTGACTTCTTCTGCCACTAATTCTTCATTGGCAATTGCAAGACTACTGCACTTCATGTAAAAGGCCGCAACCACCTATCATTAACCTGTCTTCCCACTGGTTAACAGATATCTCCATGCCAGCGCCTAATGTTTGCCCTTATGCCGTGCGATGCTTTCCCATCACCTTCCAATCCCCGCCCTATGGCCAGCTCGTGCAATAACCGCGCATCAGACTAGAACGTAGCATCATTGCCCAAAGCCCGGAAAAACCGGCCAGGACACCATTCCTCCTCCTTCAGGAAGTCGAGAATCTTCAAGGCATGGGATTACAGAGCTCTCGCAGGGAACTGAGGTAAAGTAAAGTGATGGATTTAAATAGCTCTGCACGAGACGTTATATCCGCAGTGAGCAAAGGCATCTTGACAGAAGTCAAGTGATCTGCTACGCTCCCAGTCCATTGGTAAATTAAGGTAGAATAAGCATGGTGTTAAGTGCTTGGCTATTTCAAATTCTAAATAAAGCTTACCTAGGAACTCTAAACATTACCTCGTAAGCCCCTGCCAATCAGCGGGTTTCGACACATGCGCCCTCCTTCCAGATCAGAAGCAGCAATAATCCTTGTTTTACTCAACCGTTGCTTGTGGCTCCTGGGATATTATATTAATGACAACCTACGTACAGGGTATAAGTAAGGGTGCTTGCGCAAGACCGGAATGATAGGGAAGGGAGGATTTGATTCCTTCGATAGATATACCGATGTATCTAAAATGAGCATATGCGTGGGTTTTTCCCTCGACGATCAATGCTTGCTTTTACGAAGGTGCTTCCGTCTGCCCTACGAGAAGGATCAATAAACCCTTCAGTATGTTGAGCAGCTGAGCGTGCGGCACAGACCTCGTGCTTCCCAGCATTAGCACCAGGACTAGGACAGGAAACAATATCCTTGCTACAGTACTGTAGTATTTCGGTTCATGAAACTGGAGGTGGAAACAAGCATGCTTCGTGATCCCTGCATCAGGACAATAGAGGCTCGTGGTTCGGCTGAGCTAGAGGGGGGGGCAGACAGGGCAATGTCGATAAACTAGGTTACTAACTGTGCCTCATGAGAACAGGAAAGAACCCTCCCTAGTTTATGTTGAAAGATTAATTCCGCAAATGACAAGCAAGCATCTCTCCTCCGTACTGTTTCTGATCTCTTGAAGTCTAAGAATAAACATAGCTTGCGGAATGGTTCCTAGATGATGCTAGGCATGGGGGCTTTTTATGGCAGCTCGTATAAGAGGAAGGAAGAAATCCCCGCATTACATCCCTGCGTGTGGGGTTAATTAATTGGCCTGGAGGGACTACTGTAAGTAAGAAGGAGTCGTAGAATAATAAGCTTAGTGAGATAGATAGATTGCTAGGGCTGAGGGAATTGATCCGAGTACGTATACAGTAATTCGACGAATAGTAAGTAGCAGATGTATCACCGTCCTTGCACAATTCTCTCATACACCGTTAGATGACCTGCATGGAATGGAATGCACACAATCGAAGCATGCCATGCTTAGCCACCCGCAGTGCTGTAATTGATTAAGGTTGCGGGTGTCGGAAAGAGGTTTAGGTTATAGTGTGATGGCATGGGTGAGATTATATATATTTCACGGCTTGTCTTATTACCCCTGTTACCTCGTGGCATACGGTCTAATGCTACGTTAACTTGTTTATATTGTTGTTTAGAATCTGACATGGAGCTTGTTAGAGATCAGAGATCCTTGACGTGCTTTCTTTCACTTGCGACCGTGGGGACACCTAGGCTGGAGACGTGGGAGCCACTTCATGTACAAGCGCCGAGTATGGAGTGTCTGCGTGGCATGTTTTGCGACACGACACTCTCAGTATGCTTGATACCGTTTTTGTTTTTGGGATGGGCAAAGCTTTTGGGGATAGTAGTTATACCCGCTTGAGCGTATGTATGTATGCATGCATGTATGTGTGTATGGATTCGATTCATTGAAGGCCTCGTGAGAATATAGTAATAATTATACAAGGAATGTGAAGGCAGGATCCGCACTGCGTAAAATCCAGTACCTATGACTGCTATCTAGAAATCCTTGAAATTTTGGTGCGATTGCCCATATCAACATTTGCCACGTCCATGCAAGTACATGCTAATCAGAATTCTCAACTTCTTTACAAAATGAACGATAAATATGCCTCATCTCCCAAAGTACTTTTTCCAAAGGAGTGAAAATTGCGCTACGTCTGAGAAGTCGAGCCATCCTGTCGCTGCTGTAGACGGTGCTCTTCAAAAACCATATGCGCTTGTTGCTGTCGGTGAAATTGCATCTGATAACTAGTATCACTCGCTGTTCTGCTTCGAACCTGATCCATGGTAACTGTAGAGACGGCCATCGGCCGGGTATCGTTTTCGTATGAGCTGTGAGCCACACTATTCGTCTCCTCTGAATATACTCGTTGGTGTCTCCTCTTCCGCTCGTACCCAGAGAGGTATGAAATTTCATCGTGATGCATTTCATTCCATTTCTTCTGTACGGCTTCCCTCGTCCACTTCTCAGTACATCCATGTTTGAGCATTCCCTGGGCGATTGCGTCCCACTTCGATCTCTCGTACTGCTCCCAGGCCATAATCAGAGCTCGCTCCTGCAGAAGCATTAGCATGTGATCGATGCATGCCGGTAGGTGGAGAACAACGGGCTGAATAATGGCGTTCTGGTACCTCATTGTCTGTCCATACCCTTAGTCGCTCGATGAGTCTCTTTTTTCGCATTTGCAATGCTGGGACTTTCATCTGTTTGTCGGTCTTTTCGTTGAATCGCACAGCGACCTCCTTCCATGGAAGCTGGTCCTGCTCCGTAAGCTGTAGAAGAAGATGCTCCTCATAAGTGAGATCATCAGAGCTCAAGAACTCGTCCTCGAATCCGGCTTCGGGGCTTTTCCTCTTCCTTTCACCACTTCCTGATGATCCGAGGCTGCTCATGGAATCAATGAATGTTACTTGAGTGGGTCCCTGTGAACGAGGAGTAGACACATCGGATTGCAGCGAGTTTTGTCTGTAGGGGCCGTTCTCCTGCTTGACAGCTCCACGGAGAGTTACCGGATTTGGTGCTATAAGAATAGGGGCGGAGTTATGAGCGCCGTAGGTATGGTTATTGTGAGACGGGGTGGGTTGACGAGAGTGATGACTATCGTTACTGATGCTACTTGCCGAGTTATGGTTTGGGCTCGCGAGCATTGCTGGAGATGAGTTCGAAGTTACAGCGGAAAGAGGTGCAGAAACACCATAGGAGCCCCAAAACGGCTCTGGACACACAAGTGGTGACAATGGAAATGAGTTTTCCGGCGAGAAGACTTGTAGCGAGTCTTTATGCTTCATCGGTGGATTAAATTTGGAGTGGCCAAAGTCCTCATCGTCACTAAAAAGGTGGAAAGTGGGTGACTCGCTAGTGGGAGACAACTTGATGCGCTTGTCTCTCATTGTGGGTGAAGGCCTTGTTTTGGGAGTTGAGTCAGACATGGAGATCGGTGTGATGAGAGATGCGTCGTAATGGACTGGTAAATTGAATGATGAGACCTATTGGAAGTCAGAGCTTTTCGTGAACGTTGTGTTTGAGTAACAGAACAACATATCTGAAAACATACAGCACTATAAGGAGTGAGGTCTGGAGGGTTATGCAGGGTACGGCTCGGTTGAATCGAATAAACAGCTTCTGTCATCGAAGGCATTGGTGACTGCAAGAATTTTGACTCACACAAGACTGGTAAGGGGTCTTGGAAGCTGAAACTGAAAACAGTGGTGAAAAGTTGGGAGTGAACAGGTTGGTTTAATTCCAAGAATAAAGTTGATTCAAAGCTGATGCATTGGCTTATATGGAAGACGCTCTTCTGAGATGAGTCCCGAGTAAGCGGAAAGCACTAACAAAATCATATAAAAGTTCGTTTGAAAAATATGCCTCACGACAGGAAAGGCTAAGGTAGTGCGACTGAGGGAGCCTCGTTGTATAGGGCAGAGGAAATCTGACAGCGAGGACCTTAAACTTATCCAAAACGAGGGGCACAGCAAGACTGTGCCATGGCCTCTGAAAAGGTCTGTCTAGGTGGCAGTGATTGACGGGATAGCGTTTTCATACCGGGGCATATGCACGGTTTAGCCGCTTGGGAACGAACCGATCATACGGCACTTCCCACCGAGGTGGAAGTGGGAATATCACCGTTCAAGTTCTGCCCACGTAAAGTTTGGCCCCCCTCGTTCTTGAAATTTAAAATATGCGCAGGCGCCTGTTTGTTGGTTGTAAAGGGAGAGCACACGGAGTAGCGGCGGGGATAGAGACAAGAACGGATTGCACAATGTTCAGGGGAGGGGTTCCGGACCGTCGGCATGACTACCGTGCGCAGAACTGAGGAGTGTGATTCGAGCATCATGAGATGAATTACGATTGAGCTAACAACGCGCAATAACGGGCGAGCCCTACCTTAGTTTGCATAGAGCTAGGACATAGGAGAACACATCGCAGGTGAAGAAACAAGGGAATCCTATCAAAACGGTAGAGAACGAATCATGCATATTTTGTACCGCACCATTTATCTTTGAGAGCATCTGCTGATGCCGATCAGCCTTATCATCGCTGATAATAGCACACTGTCGCAGCCGGTGTGCTCCGTCCTGTAAGACTGGAGGGCGTGCTAGGGTAGGGGGAAGGAGGAAAGGGGGGTGGTATGGGGAGAGAGAGGGGAGGGGAATACTGATACTGTGTGTACTCCGTACTCCGTTATTCGTAACAATGCTTCTGGTCACCCTGAAGAGCTGAAGGCCCCTGAAAGACAACACCCAGAATCGATCGACGCACTCTGCGCCATGCAGATACACTACTCCGTATGTTGCAAAAAGTACCTATAGGTCCTGGGGCAGACCTTGTATAATGGAGGATAATGGTGTGCGAGGCAGTAATGTGATTGATTAGTCTTTGCTTCACAGCCACTGTCCCGACAGTCTGGTTGTCGGGACGCTCTAGACAAGGTTCAGTTCGTTCGTCTGCAAATCACAGTCTCTGATTTTCAAGAGGACAAGGGGGCCTGTCACGCCTCGCGAATCACGATTGCGGATAGACGCGCGCCTTGTAGGGGTGTTGTGTGATTCCTGCGCGTGGACGGCATGGAGCCATTTTAGTCGACACGGGCGACTCCTAAGAGGTGGAACTTTGCGCGCTGTTGTATTTTCTTGCTTGATCTAGCCAGGTGCGTGCCGTTGCGCAGGGGCAGCTTCACCGTTCTTGACCGAGTTGCTGCCCAAAGAAGATAAGGTGGAAGACAATATGGTTCGACATTCTGGCGGCTGTTCAAAAATAAGGGGCGGTAAGCTGACTGACTGTTCTTGATATGCGACCGAGTACAGATATAACATACACGACGACAGCTACCAAACCGTCGGGTCGGCCCCCTCAATGGATTGCATCGCACAAGAAGTTACCAAAGTCGATCAGGTCGCTTTGTCCCAGGAAAGAAGATTTATGCTGTTACGGTGGCACATGCAAGCTAAGGCTAAGGTCATACGCTACAACCGCAGCCGGCGCTTGCTCCAGGGGCTATACTCATCGCGGACAAGTTCACAGAGCCTGAAACGGGGGGGCATCCCCTGCTCTTGGTCCTCGATTGGCTGGAATCGCCTCAAAAACGATCAATCAGCCTTTGCGGCTTTGTCGAAGAGGCGCAAGTGAGGTGGAACAAGCCCTAATTGCGGGGAAGCGATCTCAACAAGCGCATCTGACGATGGGGTGAGTGAGAATTTCGCGTCAGCCTCATGAATGTTGTTGTTCCATCAGTAAGCCTACGCTACGTGCAACGTGCAACGGTGCCAGTGGCCAGGGGTTGAATCATACTCTGCACCACCCATGTTGGGGTATAGTAGGAGTCGGGTACTGTAGGGTTTGAGCTATCAGAGCTTCTCGAAATAAACGCCGCTCAACCCGAGTCAACAGTACCCTTACCGATGCAGCCGCCACATGATCGTTGATATGCATGTACGAATGGCTGCACAGTTTGTCAAATCCACGGGAAACTGGAGGGGTGGACTTTGCTCGTGCAGTGGACTCCATATCAGACGGATCCGATCTCTAAATCACACAGTTCGGCGTCTGCAGACGAGACTTGAGTGCCGGTTACTAGTGAGGCCTGTCAGAACCCGATCATCGCTTCTAGGCTGCGAATCAAGAGTGCAGATGGCAGAGTATGATTGACCTGGGTTGCCTGGTTCTTATCCCCCAATTTCATGTTGCAGGGTGTGAGTGGAGCCATGGCGCGTCCAAGAGACTATGACGGGATACTACTTGGCATTCCCGATCGATGGTCCATGCCCCTCTATGCTCCTTCCTCGTCGATTTCCTTGGGGGAGCTTGCTGTCCTCAACTCTTCATGTTGCGCGTCTATCAGTGGCATATGGGGGCCCACCCCAGTTGCAAGAATATAGGATGTTGGCTTCAATCAGGTTTCACGGAAGCAATGCGACCACCTGCCAGCGAGGAGTGAACGATATTCGGTACACCTGATCCACGCTGGTTAAATTGTTCGATAAGCTGTGTTCCAGCAAAAGAATCGGGCCATTTCCATGGACAGAAGCCACCAATGATGCGCCTTCCAGGCAGAAGCTCCAGAAGCTCTCCAAGTAATACTAGGCTATGAAGACCTATGAAGCCTCTAGACATCCTGGAATGGAAGTTGACAAATCTCATAGTCAAGGATCTCGAATGTGTGTGCTAGCTTCGCCAGTTTTGTGGTCAGAAGATATCTTGAATGTCCCATGGCTGCTTCAGAATCCCAACAAGATGGTGCTGCAGTGTAGAAGTTGGGAATAGCAGTATTCGTGGGTGTGAGTAACTTTCTGTGATTGACTCATACACCTATGAACTTTAGGAGCCTTCCATGCCTAGACAAAGACGACCGATCCGATATCTTCTGCAACCATTCTGGGCGGCAACGTTCTAACCGAGCTGCGAGTTGATTTACAAATTCCCAGGAAAGAAGGGTCGGCGCTTAACAAGGTGGATCTGCGGTTGGTCACAAGTATTTACTCCAGGATATATCTCAGAGTCGTGGTCATATGGTAAGGCTGATGGTCCTCTTTCCTTCCGAGGCATGGTGACATTGACATGCACTCCTTCTGATGGATCTAAAACAAGCAGTCGGGACTTTTCAAAGACGAAATAGAATATCCGCAACTCTCGAGAACAAGGCGCAGTTAGCGAGCCTCGAAATAGAAGAAAATCAGATGACGATCATCAAGAGGGGTATCTACCAACAAGACCAACGGTTAGTCAGATCTTACCTCCTAACGGGCACTAGAAATGCCAGATCTAACCTCCGATCCAGGTGCCAAAGCAATCCACAGTGTTTCAAGCGAAATATAAACCTCGACTCCTTTTCATCACTTAATCCTTCGGCACTAAACATCACCCAATACGTGCCGACATCCTAAATTAGGGCTGAATTTCCGACGTCCCTTACTCATGGCTGCCACGTTTTTGGTCTTGAGAATCCCTCCTCCAGCAGAATTCGAAACAACTAGGAGTTGATCCCACGAGGCGAATCTCACCTGCAGCAAAGTTAATATCTACAACATTGGATGGGGGCTAGAACAAGCTTTGTGCAGAGACACATCCAACCATTTCTAAGACGTACAAGGGCAAGATCGGCCTGGATAGTTTGATGTAAAATACGAGCAGCCATTTTGGATGTTTGAATTCTTCCCGTACCTTTTGGGGTGCATGCTGTTGCTACCATCGATCCTTCGAACAATTCGACCAGTTAGTCCCACCGTTAACTTATCGAGATATTGCAACCGCAGAAGGATCTTACCGTGTATCACCCACCTGAAGCGTTTTCACTTTGCAGGTGGATGTGATATGAGTGACGGCCCGATTTCTGGAGACGACGCGGTACCTTGAAGAACTTTGATCTCGTACATAGACCGGCATGAGGCACAGGAGATATCAAAAATCAGACAAAAATAGAACAAGTACTACCGTCGTTGGACATAAGATGTGACTCAACCATGAACTACGTAGCTGCCCTTGCAATACGCAGAAAATATCCTTCTCCGTGGATTCGAATCTCAAAGTAGAATGAAAGGAATGTAGGAAACCATATATACACAACCAGATCAAACTGTTGTGTACGCAACACGTACTATTGCAACAACAAACAGCCAACGAAGTGATCACAACATGACCAACTTTGCGACCTGGCTTCAAGGCCACGTAACGTGATACCCCAGAAATACTTTTACTGGTAGCAGTATAAGGATTGGGGGCGCATGACCACAAGGAACAGTAACAATGCTGCAAGGCTGCGTGGAGCTCGTGAAAGATACAGTATCATCAGCCTTGCATCGCGAGACAGATAGATTGTGTAGGCCGCCACAATATCAATTTGCAGCCCAGATGTCTCTCGCCCGAAAGAGCAACTGAGGAGACTTCCAAATTGACGCAGGTATTATGCCAAGACTTCAGACTACCACCTTACTGCATGTCATGCAAGCCCACCGACTACTACCCTCATCGACCGTTCTTAATTATCAATTCGAAATGTTCCAAACTCTTCTCGACGTACTCGGTGAGGTGAGGCATCCCTGCCCGACTAGGTTGCGAAAGTGTGATGCAGTGCACTTATATGCGGCCGTTCCTGCGGCCATCTATCCCAAACTTTCAACTCTGCAACTCCGCAACCTCCAGGTCGCTGAACCGCAGATACGGGAGAACCCACCAAATTCAGTTTGATGAACGAGCATCGTAACATGCATAGGCAGCCAGATTCTAGGCAAACCATTCCCGCACGCTTCCGGCCAGCTTTGCTGGGCTATGTGCCGAGTAGATCACTTCCCAGCGATGAAATGGTGACGGAAAGACCGGGGCGGCCATTTTCGAGACCGTCTAAGCCTTCAGAATTAGCATATACTCCACTTCAACAGTCATAAGAGGGGAGTCATATCGTGGAGGCCGCAGCAGAAGTCATCGCAGCCAAGATCGTCCACACCCGGTGCGTCGGCCTTGAAATAGTGCCACAAGAGGGACTCAATAGGCCAATATACGATGGTGAAATTGAAATTTCAGCTGCTCCAGCTGTAGCTCTAGACTCGAGTAGACGCGCGGAAATATCTTTCGTGTCGGTCGGTCGGTCGGTCTTGATACTGACTTGGATCATGGCAGTAGGTGACGACGCGACCAGCAAGAAGAGCAAATGAGAGCGAGGAACGACCCAGGCAAGCGAAAGATCCCTTGTTCACATTCAAAAGCAATCTCATCAAGTTCAGCTACTGATGATTGTCGGCAGGAACAGAGTCTGATCGATTTGATATCCGGTCTTTGCGACGGTAGAGCTGGCCCATTCGCTCCCTACCAGCAAGGGATGGGAAGCTGCAATTCCTCAGCTCCCGAACTCTGCAGCTGATCGCAATTTCCATTACACCTGGCAACTATCTCCACAATACGTCTTTCAATCGAGATGAATGAGATGAACCGAGAAGGGATCCATCCCTTGATTGCCCATACTACCCCTCGTCAGAGCCAAGCGCATGATAGGCAAGCAAGAAAGGACACTTTCCCACCCCTCTGCATAAAAAATCAACTTTTCAAGACCATGAGTTGTGACCCCAAGCTGCAAGCTGGGCCGAAGAGTACCTAACAAGACAATCCGTCTAGAAGACAGCCGCTGTTGGAAACCTTCATTTTTCCACTCCAGCAACGTACGCAGACTCGAAACACAAAGAACATTGCCTAGACAGAAAAAGGTTCCAGAGTGAGACCTTGCTCCTATGCTTATATGCAAGAGCTGATGACCTAAAAGCTCAAAAATCTTCTATTCAGAAACGAGCCAAAGCAGAGGCTAAAATGCACCACCAGAACAGCACAGAAAGGTAAGCCCTCTCCTCCATTCTTACCCCACGGCCACTTCTTAACTTTCCTCTCAATGCATAATCAGGACTCGATAACACGCCGAGAAGTCTTATACTTCGATATAAAGAAACACGCCTTCAATCGATGGAAATAGCAACACCTCCGCCATCGGAGCGTAACGCAATCAAGAGCAGACATCCATATCCAGCCTTTTTCGCAAAGCAGCTACAGTATAATGACCCCAAACTCCGCACCCCAACAATAAACAACCCCGGAATTGATGTATAAGTAATAGCAGCATAAACGCGAAACTGGTAATCTCCAAACCACCCATTCCGTTCTCCTCCAAGCAATTAACACACACAGGGCCACGACCCTAAACCATCTTTCTCTCTCGATCCTACGCTCATCAAAATTGCCCCTGACGATCACAGAATTCGAATCTGAACTTCTATCATACCATCCCCCCGAGACGAGCAAAAGCGCATGCATGCATAGCAAGCAAACACCAACATAAAGGTAACAACAGAACAATAACTACCCTGCCCCGGAATACCCCACAGCATTAAACTGGAAAGGAAAATCTGTCTTCAAATACATCTTTGCAAAAGCACTCGCTCGCTGACGATCAAAAAGCATAAAACACATATCCTCTCTTTGCGAACCCCAACCGAAAACAAATACAACATACAACATACAATCAAGGAAGCAAGGAAGCAAGTAAGGAAGCAAGCAAACAAACACAAAAACAGGATCTTAGAAAAAGCAATCCTCTCCTATCACCTACTCTTCCCTCCCTATCCACCCCATTTACCTACTTACCCAACAAACAGAACAACACAGCACCACCCGAGATCCACCAGTATTTCTAGGCATGCAACCCTTAGAAACACTTCCACTTTCACTTTCACTTCCACCTACCCACCTACCTTGCCGCCCGCCAGCCAACTACCCAACCACCCAATCTGCATATCTCAAGAAGCCCCTCCTCCCTCTCCCCTAAGTCCCGTCGCCTAAAAACACCAGAAGCTACGAATTCTCTTCTTCTCTTCTTTTCTCTTCCCAAACCCCAACGAAAACCCCCTCCCCCTCCCCCTCCTTCTACTCCTTCCTTCCCACATCAACATCAACATCTACACCCACCTCCCCCACTCCACCCCAAAAGCAAAAGCAAAAGCAAAAGCAAAAGCAAAAGTAAAAACAAAACCCTCAACTCAGCTTAGACTCTAACAACAAGCTTCAAGCACACGCACACGCACACTATACATCACATCACTAAACACCACACCTACCTACCTACCTACCTACCTACACCTTATAAAAGAAAAAAAGCCATCTATCTATCTATATATCAACTCCTTACTTACGTATGCAGTATTCCCTTTCAAATGAATTTATATACGATAAGGTAGGTAGGTATGTAGTATATATGCACACTGTAAGCGCCTCACTCAGACTCAGCCACTTCCTTCCTTCCTTCCTTCCTCCCATCCCAGCGCTTAAATCACTCACTCACCTACCCACTCACATACAGTACTTATTAAAATCCCCCACCTCACTCACTTCGTCCATCTATGTACCGTTAAATCCTCATCTCATTTCATCATTTCGATAATTCCATTCCATTCCTCTTCTCTAATCTACAACCTGAACTTTCTTTTCTACATATAAACAAATATACGTCGCACGCACGCACGCACGCACGCACGAATAAACACAAGAACAGACAAGACAAGATAGTAAAAGTTTCATTACTTCCTCGTTCCCGCCGACTAAAGGCAGGCAGGCGTAAGGTAAGGGGTATTCTGCTCTGTTGCATACGTACAATAAGGTTCCATTTTCATTTTCATTTCCGTTCCATTCCATTGAGAAGATTGTACGAGGAAGAATAAGAAGAAGAGAAATAACAAACAACGTATTCTTCCTTTTCCTTTTCCATTTCCATTTCCATTCCACTTCAACTTCCATATGTGTGCATGTGTAGTGCAAATCAACAAACAGAGAAAGAAGCAAGCCAATTTATTCCGATCCCAGCAAAAAATGCCTGTATCATATCCCAACTCCATCATTCCTAGCCCAGCCAAACATACCCGTAAATCCTACCCGTCAATGCAAAACTCCAACACACCTTCAACCCGAGAAAAACAAAATAAACAGAGAGAAAAGCCAAAAGCTAGAACGTCATATATCGAGCAAAATATTATACTGTGGTGGAAGTCGAGTCGAGTGGTGTCATACTGTAATTTCCTCAGTTCATCCCCCCCTCTAAACCCTGCACAGCAGCGTAAGAGTACGGGAAATCCACCAAGCCATCCAACATCCAATTCAAGGGATCGAAAACCTCATAATTACTCTCGTTATAAACTCCCCCCATACCACTACTCGGAAGTCCACTATTGCCACTCGGTAAACCATTATTATTGTTAGGTGTGATTGACCCAGAACCACCCATGAGATGCGACGAGATTTGGTGCGACGAAGGAGGCATGAGCGTGCTTTCGAGTTGGTGTGTTGAGGAAGCTGAGGAGTCGGTTGTTGAGTCTGGGTTTGTGGGATTTTTGAGAGCTGTTTTGACTTGTTAGCGACTTTGTTCTTGTGCGCGTCTGCTTTTTCTTCTATCAAATTCTTGCTTTTGATTTTGACTCTGTTCTTCATCTGAGAAATCAAGTAATTGCATGTGATCGAAAGGACGGAAGGACTGTTGAAAGAGAGCGGTGTAATTATCTGCGCTGCCGCTGAAATCAAAAGCATTCATGGGGGTGGGGGTTGGAAAGCCCGACGCCTCGACATAGTTGCATTCGTAGATGCTTGAGCGTAGTGTGGGAGAGTTATACTCGTCTTGTGTACGATCAGGGACTTGGTCTTTGTCCTTGCCCTTGTAAGAGACCATGTCCTGGTCTTGATCTTGGTTGAGCGACTTTGAAGGGGAGGCAGCACCCTTGTAGAAGACAACTTCTTGGTCTTGAAATACACAGTTTGTAGTCATGAGCTTAGGCACCTGGCCATCACCATCAATACTCAAGTTGGTAGAGAATGAAGAACGAGAAATCGATGACGCAAAGGCAGGCAAAACTCCCTGATCAGATACAGTTGAATCGCAATTGTGAAACCTTGGACGAAGCAAAGCAAACAAGGAGAAACCGCACAATGGACGTCTTATATGCTGACCTTCGAGATTACCACGACCTTGAGCCTGGAACTCTTCACGCCAACGCCAGATAGAATCAAACATTAGACTCATGCTCATACGGCAGCGGACCTTTAGCTGAAGACTGTCGTCAACGATTGTTCTGGAATCGACGCCGTTATTGCTATTCTTGCGGGATTCGACGCGGGCGCCGTTGTACATCTGAACCATGAGCTCAGCAAGCCTCCATGGCAAGTCGTTATTAATGACCGACATGCTGCGGATAGCTTGTATGGTGCGGTGGAAGAGTTGTCTGCCTTGGTTAAAGTCTATTTCGCTAGCGAAGAAGGAGCTGAGGAGCTTCATAAGGGTAAAGCAAGCGGCAATGATCATCTGGAGGATGTAGTTAGTAGCATAGCGCAGAGGGCTTCTTCCCTCCATGTTAAATGAGCTCGTTTCAAGATCAAAGACAACTTCTAGGAAAGCGTTGGCAGCGCGCCAGAGTCCCATAAGGTCATCCATATATCCTTGGGTTGTAGATGAATCGAAGAAAGCTGACAGCCGAAGATGTAAACCAGCAGCTGTGAGATAGAGCTTGACAATTGGTGACAGCTCTGCTTGTGACATAATGGCGGCATATAGCTCGCTATATTCACGGCGATAGACCCGAGTCAACGTTGCTCTCAGCTCATCGCCTGCAACGCCACGAGGATCAGTAGAATTACTGTACATCTCCTTTGACACTTTGTCGCAGAAACGCTCAATTTGAAGACGCGCTTCAAGCTCAGCTGACAATTTGAAAGGGCCGTTCTCGCCAGGTCTGACTGCTAGAGTCCAATCATACAGAGTGGAAGCAGGTTGGCCATAGCCTGTACCGAGATTCTGAGCTACAATATTACAGACAGCCCAGGTAACAACCCTGTCATGCAACTGTTCTTTATTCAAGTCAACGGACACCCGCGAGAAGTCTTGGGTATGGTTGGGGCGATGAAGACCGATGCCAGTGGCAGTTTTCATCATGACACCACCAAGGATATGACTCGGGTCTGTAGATGTAGTACTCGTTGGGAGAGGCCATGTACAAAGTAAACATAGCGCCTTGACGACGTAGTGAGTGCTGGGAACTTCGCCAATAGTGGACCAGAGTAGCCTGCTCAAAGGAGCCGACAATGCTGTCAACAAGCTGGGGTCTGCAGTGTAGCGTCGAGCTGCAACAACAATGATAACCCAGAATAGAAGAGGATGTTGCTGGTAGTATTGATCGGGGGACTGGGCCGGGTTCAGGAAGGGTAAGTAAGGGTGATAAAAATTCCAAAATTCACTGAAGAGGTGGTTGATGGCTTCTTCAGTCAAGCCCACACCCTCCAACTCTCGCACAATCTGAGGTCGGAGACCATATGAACCAACACCCTGCTTGAGAGTGAGGAGTGAAGAGACAGCCTCATCAGAACCCATGTATGACTGAGTATTTGTCGAATACACCCCATTGTTCGCAATTGGCGATTGCAACTCATCGTGTTCAAGGACATATCCTTGAGACTGCGCCCTCTGCAACTCGGCTTTGTATGTCTCGATTGTTCGCTCCATTTCCGCATGCTTGCTGCGCTTGCCAACTCTTTTGAAATGATGGTCGATTTTGCACGCCAACTTCAATCGAGTACAGCGGCCGCAAGGGTGGAAGGGGTCTTGTTGGACGTCGCATTTGAGCTGTAGACAGGAGATTAGTCATCTTGGTCCAATAGATGAAGTTGACTTTAAGGTGCGACTGAACGGTATAAATATAAATGCGCCGTGACTCACCTTTTGCTGTCGACACTCATTGCAAGCTCTCTTGACGCCTGGTTGTCGTGGTGTGTGACGCTCAAGCCCATCATCATCTGCCTCGCCCCCAGTACCCGGGCTGCTCTCAAAGTCGAGACCGCTCCTCTTCCTCTTGGTAGAATTGGCTGTACCAGGTCGCGCGCTGGTGGTTGGGCTTGTAACCCCGCGGATCATGGACCCTTGACTGTCCATGGCGGTGCCGAAGACTGGGAGACGCGATGATAGATGCCGAGCCGAGTGCCTCCAATGGCAAGTTACCAACAACCGACAAATGGAGCTGGTGGTGTAAGAGGGTGGCGGGAGTTGAATTGTCGTCCGATAGACGGAGCGCGGGGTCGTCGAGTAGTAAATTGTCTCTGGGAGAGCTCTTCTAAGTAGAGGCTTGGTGCTAAAGCTTCTCCACAGATTAGTCATCACTGCTAAACTCCACCTCCACTTTCTTTCACCTATCAATGTCTTGACTGTGGACATGTTACTTTTCTATTCACACTCTTCAATACAATTATATTAACTTTCCCATTCACACTCTTCAATCAATTATATTGCGAGTCAAGGCACAAGCCTCAATAAGGTAATATCACGGTCCAAAACAGCAGCGTGAGGCTTTCCATAGAATTCGAATGAACGCTTTCGGCTTTCCCACACCCTGGTGCGTATTCTCCCATTCTCTCAATCGCCACCATTAGATAAATTGACATTCTGTATCTCATCCGCAGTGACCTCAAGCATACAACCAGGGAAGGTTGTCGATGGTCTTACATTTCCCACCCAAACACCAACCCCAAACCACAACATCGCCTCGCTAGCAATGTCCCAAAGACCGCTAATCAAAGGCCCGCTCCGCGCGCCCCTATCCGAACCATATAACGACTCCTACACCCAAGCGCCATCATCAAAAAACGAAGTTAAAGTCTCTGTAAAAAGAGCCCACGTGATGGGTAGGTATATATCATATCATAAATCCCCAGTGCTGCCATATCGTGATCATACTACTTACTCATGCGTACTGTAGTGGTAGAAGTAACTCATGAAGCATTTGCGCAGCCTTTCTTGAATCCATCTATCATACAAGAACGGATCAAGGATGATCGGCAGTGGAGGATTGCTCAGGAGAAAGAAAAGGCAAAGGAGCCAGATGCTGCTTCGTCGTCTCAAGCGCACTGAGTCTGAAGCTGGGTGGATGGGTCAGGTGTTTACGGTCACATGACTGACATGATACGTTTGGAGGTAGTGAGTCCCAGCCATCAGATGCAAAATCCCGGGAGTCAGTTATTATCAATTCCGAGGATGTGCTGGCTAATAACCTCGTGCTTATGCAGAACTACATACTTATGCTCACCATCATGTGTTTTGAGTCCTTGTCGACCTTGCATGTATCCCGGAGAAATCTATAGCTGTGACAGGACAGGGCCTCACCGCCCATGCACCCCGCAATGCGACTAAACCAAAAACGCAGGTGGAAAAGCACAACGTTCTTATCACCGTGCTCGTAGATCAAAAGCTTGTCACAGAAGATCTTCAACCTACCTTCCCCCGCGGTTCGGGTTGAAGAATTTTGGGTTCTTGGGTAGTCAGAAGGCCGAGGATGGATGACTCGACTCATGCATGGATCGGAGGTTGGTTCTGGAGATTCGAAGACGGAGTACGAGTGGGGAAATTAAATGAGTACGACAGGATGTATGGGTTTGTTTTCGTACTATGTTACATGGGAACTTCATTCGTACAAGTATGGACTTTTACTTGACCGAGAGATGCCTTGGAAGTTAAATAGATCATCTTGTGACTTGTCGCGTTTGGCCGAGAGAGCACTAATGATTAAGGCGAAGAGACAAAGTAGGTGAGTCTCGGAGGCTCTAAAAAGGTAGATTTCATACTCTTGAGCCTCATTCTGTGTAAGTGTGAAATCATAGGTACCTTCAAGCAAGCAAGATATTTATAGTATTGTCTACGTCTTCTATTTATCTGATCTGAAATGTACTACAGTACAGCACTGTATGCGTGCATCTCCCTTTCTGTTGATACAACACGAACATGTCTCGCAATGAATGCTTCATTCCTCGGCTCATTCATTTTATTTCTCAGGAGGGCCGAGGCGTCCACCTGAATCACACAAAGCAAGGCCTGCCAAAATAATGTGTCAAAGATGACGCCAGACTCGACGATCCTCCACGACAGACAGGGATCAACGAGCTGACAACACAACAAACAAACAATCTGACCTGACCTGACAGGGATACGGAATGCGGAATGAAAACACAGACGGACGGATGCGGGCACATATCTCCATTCCCGGATACCCATCCCATACCCATTGGTCGATGCAGGAGGAGCGTTAGCGTTGTGCAACCTGCTCGCAGGAGCCAATCACGGAGCTAGTGGCAGAATCGAACCAATGGGGCGGGTATAGCGGATAGTACCTTGCGCAGACTCAACCCGATGCGTCCTCGTCAAGCCCTTTCAAGCCCTTCCAAGCCCTACCGCAGGACCCTGCTTATGAGTGAGGCGTGCATGGATCAAGACGTGCACTCTCTCTCTCTCTCTCTTTCTCTGATGGTTGAGATGGGGATGGGATGGTTCGCACGATGACGCCCATGAGCTTAAGTGAAGTGATCACCAGACGCCTTCTGGTGCAGTAGGAGGAGGAGGTAATCACGGGTCAGCCATAGGGATAGTACACATACGGTAGTCCCATTACGTATTATGATCAGCGGCCGTTCTTTCGACGCATCGGTGAGAGGGACTGCATGCAGTACAGAAGTAAGTACAGGACGAGGCTGTTGGCCCGAGACATGCTTTGTGTTTGCGGGGAAGGAGGGAAGGAAAGGAGGTAAGGGAGGGTGAGTACAAATAACAATTCACTTCGCCTTTTTGAGACCCACGCTTTTACCCTCCCACCCTCCTCCCACGCACCCCAAGTAGAAAACACAAGCAACAACAAACCCACATGAATTTTGAATATTTGAACTGATTCAACCATCAACTTCCTTGCATGTCTGCGCGCTGATAACTTGCAACCACTAACACCATGGTTTCCTTGAAGTCATTGCTTGTTGCTGCTCTGGTGGGTTTAGTTGTCGGGAAGCCTTTGTGAGTACTCCTCCTCACTACAGTGCCACCAAATCCCTTCCCTCTCCCCACATCTAACAAGCTTCTAGGTATCCACGAGATCTTGCCTTCGACTACACCTCCGACAAGGTTCGCGGAGTCAACCTGGGTGGTGTAAGTCGTTCGTTTCCTAATTCAATTTCACCCCCCAGATCGAAATACTGACTCACTTCGCCCTTTAGTGGTTTGTTCTGGAGCCATGGATCACTCCTTCAATCTTCCAACCCTGGGCAAACGGAGGCGGAGTAGTCGACGAGTACACTCTCTCAGCAGCTTTGGGAAAGGATGCAGCAACCCAACAGCTTACGCAACATTGGGCTTCTTGGATTACAGATGATGATTTCAAGCAGATTGCTCAAGTCGGCCTCAATCATGTCCGAATCCCAATTGGCTACTGGGCTCTGAACCCTCTCGATGGAGACCCATACGTGCAAGGACAGCTGCCATACCTCGATAGTGCCATCGTTTCCGCTCGCAACTACGGCCTGAAGGTGATGCTTGATTTACACGGAGGTAAGTGCTCTCCTCTTACATCCTAAGCTACGCTAACAGTCTCAGCACCCGGTTCCCAGAATGGCTTCGACAACAGTGGAAAGAACGGCAACATAGACTGGCAATCAGGCGACAACGTCAAAAATACCCTCATAGCCATCTCAAACCTTGCCGACCGCTACAAAAACGACCTCGACGTCGTAACGGCCATTGAGCTAATCAACGAACCTGGAAACTGGGGCCTCGACATGAGCCAACTCAAAGAGTACTACTACAACGGTTGGGGAAACGTACGCAACTCCGCCGGCAACACAGCCGTTGTCATTCACGACGCATTCCTCGACATCGACTCGTACTGGAACGGCTTCATGGATCAGGCTGCAGGCACCAACAACGTGATTCTAGACACGCACATTTACCAAGTATTTTCCCAAGAAGAAGTCGCGCGCAAACCCTGCGAGCACATCCAGAACGCCTGTTTCAATGGCCCGAAAGTCTCAGGCACGGATAAATGGCTCATTGTCGGCGAGTGGTCTGCCGCGCAAACGGATTGTGCAAAGTGGTTGAATGGTCTAGGAAAAGGAGCTCGCTACGATGGCACACTGCCCGGAAAAAGCCAAGGCTACTATGGCTCCTGTGATGGCAAATACGAGGGAACTGTGAATGGAATGTCAGACGTTGACAAGACGAATCTGGCCTACTTTGTTGAAGCACAACTCGATGCGTTTGAACAACACACGGGCTGGATTTTCTGGTCCTGGAAGACGGAATCTGCACCGGAGTGGAATTTTAAGGATTTGGTGGCAGAAGGTCTCGTCCCGCAACCGCTGACTTCGAGGAAATTCGCAAGCCAATGTGGAACTTCCGAATGCCTTGTACCAGGAAACTAGGAGCGACTAAGCATCTGAGAAAGATTAGAAAGAAAGTGAGAGACAGAGAAAGAAAGATCCTACTAATTGTATTGTATTGTATAGATTTCTTTCTTGTATTCTTGACTTTCATATGCATACTAGGGCGGATACCATTGAAATTACGAGAAAGCGGCATGGCCGGCTGGCGTGAGCATCATAGGAAGAGAAAACTGGTTGATACCCCTTCATTCTCTCGGGGAGTTATGCGTTGCGTTGCGTTGAGTTTCATTCTCCTAGCTTGCGTTGCTTGGATTGAAGAATCTGGCGGGATAGAATAAGCATGGATCTGGATATGAGAATGTAGCTTTAGCGGCAGGCATTGAATACAAGACCTTACGTTGAATATTTTGAAATGAGATTCCATTTTTGCATCATACATACGTAGAGTGTAAGTCAAGTTCAATCGTGCTGTGAGAAGAGTATATATATAGGAAGGACCGAGAGAGGGAGGGAGCTTTCGAATTGAAAGAAGGATATATATATATATATATAAGTATAACAAGTAAGTAAGTGTATACATACAGCAT